TAGTTCAGTGAGGCATTAGTTAATAAAAAAAACCAACTAGAATTTGACGGGCATGGGCTTAGGTTTCAAGCCTTGGTCACTTTTTCTCATTAAGTTAGCTTTGGCTGCAAACTAGAAAGCTATTACCTCAATATAACTCATCATTAGGATTGTTAGTTTCCTTCTGAGCTCACATGGATTTCCTGTAGCTTGGTAAACAGTTAGGAATCAAAGCGCTTAGGGCAGCATACAGAAGCGGGCGGAGGGTGGTTAATATTAACAAATTAGTTCAGGGTAGAATCTCTCGGCAATTCAAAGCGCCTCGCACTACTCGAACTGGCCCGCACTACTTTAGTTGGCTTTAGCGTGGGAATCAAAGTCCACAAAGTGGCCATTTGAAGGGTTCCCCAGAGTTCCCCGCAAACCCCGCAGTATTCCCCGAGTGGCACCAACTTCCAAAAGCAAGCAGGTTCCAAGGGGGGGTAATGTAACCACGGCTTATATTGCCTCGATGGTCTGATTCTAGAAAAGTGGTTTATAAAGATATGATGTTGAGCTAGATCCACTGTGCTCACTCGAGAGCTTCTGATTTCTAGGTTATATTGTGGCATCTCCGGTTTCAATCGAGATAAACCCCTTTCCGCCGTCAAAACTACAATTCTGGCCTGTTTGACTCAGTCTTGGGATTCAATATGGCTGAAATTGCAGACGAGTCAAATAGGGATTCCCGCACTCAGGCGGCGATGAAGAACCGCTGGTCATCGCTATTACACAATCCCAAACTGATGGTCATTGCTCTCTTCGCCTCGTATGTCTCAGATACTCTTATCTGATAGAACTCTTTTAACACGTTATATAGGGTTGGCGGATTTGAGTATGGATATCAACAAGGAGTACTGGGCCAATCTCTTGTTATGACTCGCTTCACAGACAACTTTCCTACTGTCGTTGCATCCTCTAGCGCGACCGGCTGGCTCACATCGATTCTGCAATTGGGTGGTATTTTAGGATCTCTCTCTGCAGGAATTCTGGGTGAGATATTCTCCCGGAAGTATACCATGTTTTCGGCCTGTTGTTGGGTTGTCCTTGGGAGCTATCTCTATTGTGGAGCCAGCTACCACGAGCCAGGTTTGTTATACGCTGGCAGGTTCTTTACTGGTCTTGGAGTTGGTACTTTCAGTGGCGTTGGGTGAGTTCAACCTTGACTCATTTTCTAGTCTCATCAACTAATTTTCCGGTGCGAAAGTCCCCTCTATAATGCCGAGTTATCATCACCCGAGCTTCGTGGATTCTTGGTATCATTCTACCAATTTGCTACCATTTTCGGCATCATGCTGTCCTTCTGGATAGGATACGGAAGCAACAATATTGGTGGAATTGGAGAAACACAAACCGACATGGCCTGGCGCCTTCCCTCCATCATCCAAGGCATTCCAGCCCTGCTTCTCGCATGTGGAATTTGGTGGCTGCCATTTTCTCCTCGCTGGCTTGTCAAAAAGGGTAGAGTCCAGGAGGCGCTTGCTACCCTGTCCTACCTGCGTAAACTACCTGAGGATCACGAGCTGATCCAGGCTGAGCTTAAGGAGATCGAGGCAGAGAGTCTCTTCGAGAAGCGGTCCTTTGCAAAGACATTCCCAAACCTGGCTGCCAAGGAACAAGGAAGTGTATTGGTTCGCGAGTTTGCCCAGTATTATCGAATCTTCCGGACCTGGGACAACTTCAAGCGGGTCGCCATCGCATGGCTCGTTATGTTCTTTCAGCAATGGAGTGGTATTGATGCAATCATCTACTACGCCAGCACTGTTTTCCAGAGCTTGGGTCTGACTGGAGGTACTCAAGCCCTGCTCGCTACTGGAGTCACCGGAGTAGTATTCTTTGTGTGCACTCTCCCAGCCATGCCTCTCATCGATAGAGTTGGGCGAAAGCCCATGCTTTATGCCGGTTCGGCCGTCATGTGGATTTCGATGGTCTTGGTAGGCATTATCGTCGCTAAATTTGGAAACGACTTCGAAAATCATTCAAATGCCGGTTGGGCTGCAGTGGCTTTTATCTGGATCTATGTGGGCGCTTTTGGTGCTACATGGGGTCCAGTATCATGGACACTGGTAGCAGAGATATTCCCGCTCTCTGTTCGTTCCAAGGGCTCATCTTTCGGTGCTTCAAGCAATTGGGTAAGTGCATCCACCGGAGTTCACAAGCAGTACTAAATCAGATTTAGGTCAACAACTTCGCTGTCGCTTTCTTCGTTCCACCTATGTTCCAGACTTGGAAGTGGGGCACATATATTTTTTTTGCCGTCTTCCTTGCTGCTAGCATTGTCTGGATCTATTTCTTTCTTCCAGAGACCAAGGGTGCGACATTGGAGGAGATGGATCGTGTTTTCAAGAGTCGCTCAGGAGAGACGGACATGATGATGCTAGATGAGGCACGTCGGGATGTCGCGATAGCGCACGATTCCGCGCTAGAGGTCGAGAAAGAGATGATTACTCACGCGGAAGAGCGTGGTTCTTTGAAAGGCTAGTTAGGGCTGTTCTTTGTGCATTGGCGAGGGAGCAGAGGTCAGTGACTCTGGTACTGGTAATAGCTGCATTTTAGCTGTTGACTTGGCAGCTTTCGTGCTTTGCTCATATCGTACTAGTAGTTATTGGGACAAATCAAATCAAGATATACTGAATTACGGCACGGCTTAAAGCAAGGATGACTGCTGGAATGACCCTTCAACTGCAAAACTTCCAGATGGGCTAGTGAGTAAATATTCAGGGATATTTAGCTAGGCCGAAGGGGCTGTTGCGATTAAACACGAGGTGTTGATGGGTTCTGAAGAATATGCAGATCGTCATATCATCGGTAATTTAGCCATGCTTCTGAGTTTATTTGTATTATCTTTGTTTATTGGAACCAATTAGCCCACTGAAAATTTTGTCTTAATAGTACCTCTCAACTCATTGTACTGTTTCTATCACTTGGTTCTGAAAAAGGTGATCCAGCAGCGACTGGAGGATATTAGTTAAATTCCAAATTTCTAAAATCTAGATGCAACTTACCTAGTCTACAGCCTCGGAGCCATTAATCATCCCTTCTATTTGGATATAAGGCAGCCCAACCCCTATCTATGGGTCTTTATAGTGGGGAATTTTATCTAAGGAATTTTAAACGCTTGTCTGTCTCTCTATTACTTTTCTGATCATTAATTTAAGCGTTACAGAGGCAATATATGACTGTAATAGTGTAACGGGCCCAGGCCCGAGGATATATCACGTCATGTCACATGACCTTTTCCTCCTAGAAAACCAGGTAGAAGCTCACATAGATAACTCTTCTTCAAGATTATTATAAACAGCATATAGGCCTAGCCCTAATTAAACAGTTGTCGCTATAGCCCTTTACATATAATAATCTTCTGATTCGATCGGTAATTATAAATTACCTGCGAAGCTCTAGAGGTCCTAGGCACATAAAGAACGTACCTAGACATCGCCAGAACCTATGTCAACCATAACCCAACCCAGCCCAAAATGGGTTTTGGGTCTAATTCTATAACCTATTAATAGGTTTTGGGTTGAGACCCTTAACCCAAAACCCATGTGGGAACCCACTGGGTCCCTATTTTAGTGTAAACAGATTAAATATACCAAGCCTTTAAATACTGTATGTATCAGAGCTGTTTTTAGGCCTTATATATAAGTATTTTTAGTTTTTTATCTGATAATATTATTATTTTATATATAATATATATAAATTACAGGTTAAAAGATTAAAAATAGTAGCTCCCTGACTAGTCTGAACGCGCCGGGCCGCGATGCTTTTCATGCTGCTGCCAGCGATGGCAGCAAACAAGACAGGGAAAACAGTAGGTGCCTTAGAGGATAGTTTGCAGTTAGCGAGGACTCAGCATGCCGGAAGACAGAAAGAATGGTGAATTCGAATTGCGGAAATATTGAGACACTGAAAAGTTTAGCGCCTATTGACCCTGGACCCGCGGGATCTCCATCAGCTCGAAAGACCCAGATCCCAAAAACAGTGAAGAGGAGCGCGATTACGGCAATAATTAAATCAAAAGCCAGACGCGAAACTCTCTCTAGCCAAGAAAGATCCAGAGGCTGCGGCGGGGCTTTGTTTTGTTCATGATTTTCGACCACGGAATGCTCAACAGCTGCATGAGCCGCTTTAGATTCTTGTTCTTCAACTGGCACCGCCTCATAAGGGAATTGTTGTCCTTCTGTCATACCTAAAGCGGTAGTCAAGGAATCATTTCTAGACTACGGTTGTGTATAAAAAGGGGAGAATTTGAAACCAGCTGTATAGAGAGGTGGTCGCTGGAGACTTTAAGGCTGCATAGTGTAACGAACTGGGGTTGTTACCATTCGCGGATGCCTGACGTAGATGGCATCCACTTAGGCATCCACGCCTACATGTACTTAGTTCTATCTCAGCTTCCTCCTTCTTCTTCTCCTCAAGCTATTACTTTCGTCGAACAGCTACTGTTTCCTTTGCTTCGTATGCTACGCCGTACGTTGATCTCTGTGAGCATCTGAGCATCCTCACACATAGTGGGTGTAAAGAAATATCGTGCCGGAACCAGAGACAGAGCAATTGTGATAAACAACCGTGATGAATAGGGGTAAATAAAACAAATAGCACTATTTTTGAGCCTTACTAATAGTACCGGGTGCAGAGGTTTTCTCCGATGCTAATTAGAAGTAGATTGACCCCCCTGCCGTAGGATTTAGATGTACAGGTAAGCACTAACTTTGGCAAGGTGCATAAATGTGGGGTTTTTTGGCCAGCGATTGGACTAATTTCTTCTAGCCGCGACCGAATTCGATTAAGCGTAATGAAAGCGGGGCGTTGGGAAAAGCGCGAGTTCCGAAGGGGTAGGAACGGTTGGCTCTCGGTGGCCCATCTGTAGGTTGCGGCTGCGGCCCCTCATGTCGCAAAGTGTTTAAGTTACATATTGACCCCCCCCCCCTCTCAAAGCTTGAAAGGCCTTAGTTCATGGCATTGATTGAATCAATGACAATTCACAAATGGATAGAGCTGCTACATAAAGTACGTGTCCAGTCATCAACATCAGCAATAGCAGTGGCTGGTTCAGAAATGTCTCTATCCTCGGCGACAGACGGAGGCTTTTGAGGCTTTTGGCGAAAGCGGTCCCTGCGATCGACCTTACTAAAAGAAGCTTAACGTTCATGAGATACCTCCAATCACAGTATGTATTAGCTTACCCCTCTCGCCAGAGAAGCTACCTGTGGGCCAAAATGAGGATACCCGTAGCGGCTGACTGGGAACATAGGCGCTCTCCAACATAGACAGCCTCGTTGCCACTCAAGTGAAGATACATGTACGAGGTTTCGGCAAGCGGCGGCACCGTGCCGGAAAGTGAGATATTTCCGAACAGAGCCTCGTGTCAAGCGGGCAAATTTCCGAAGTAGGAAGGAGTCTGGACTCTCACACAGTCAAGCAAACTTGAGCAGCCTTTGTTCCTTGTCGCACGGAATGAACAACCCTCCGTACTGTGAGTTGTGTGCACAGATGAGTTGTGCATCTAGTATGTTGGCACGTAACTTACTCTAGGTACGGAGTTTGTACAGAATTATTATCCACATTTCCTATTCAAGCCTAGCGGACTCCAGCGCGGGGTCAGCCCCGGAGCCGCTTCGAAATATTTCGAATAGGATCGGATTATATAAACAATAGTGGTGCCGCTAAAATGTGATAGCGGTAGGGTCACCCCTCTTAGCGAGTCTTTTTTAGAAATTCGTTAGGGGCCTGTGCACAGTCGAACCTCTCTTCTTCGGAGAGCTGGTACTTTCTGCAGTGTTGCTCCTTTCCCACAGAAGACTTACACCGAAAGCCGGCACGTTTGCTCCTTCATATTGCGTCTTAGGAAACATTTCCACTGGATGTCAACCTAGAATTCCGGCGTATTGACTAGTACTCGACATATTAAATTGAAGCTGAGCTGATTGTTAATGCGAAGATCTCATGAGGGACCCTCAGAGGTAATCATCAAATGTGTTACAATACCGGACTTCCAAGTTAATCCGAAGTAGAATACAAATACAATATGTGAATGGGCGGACGATGAATGAGCGGTCTTACAGGATCCACAGTGGTATCTTAAACCCGATAATAAAGCTTCCACCAAGCTTGTATTTCGGTTTCAATCAGCAAGTTTAAGCTCTCCGGGATACTAAAAAGGTCCAGTAATAGAGGTATATAAATCCTTCGAGTTTGCGTTGAAAGAGAATATTATGTTGCGTGAGGAAAACCAGCGTTTGCGCGCTGAAAACTATATAATAAAAAAGAGTCCACGGAAGCGACAGGTAGAGAGAGATCAAGGCATATCGGTGGGTGAGGCTTATGAACTAGGTATTGGTGTTTTATATGCAGCAGAAGGTGGTGCGATGGTACCCGGGTCGCCTATTTCTAAGCCTACGGAGACTGATGATCACCCCTCCAGGTGTCGATATGTATGTAGTAAGTGAAGAATTCGAGGCTATTGGGCCAATGTTTGTATAGAGATAGATCAAATTAAACATAGACTTACACTATGGTGGTGGTCTGAAAGCTTTTAAAAAATAGTAATAATCTTGATGGGGTGGAGGAACGCTTGTGAAATTCGTTATATTCGATTGTCATGAAATATTTTCTAATGGACTCATACGCAGTATGTAATTGGAATGAAGCCAAGGTAGACGCCGGGTTCATCAATTTTCATGTCTCAACCTCAACATTTTCACTAGTAGTCTCAGGCTTTTTCTCGGCAACAGGCTCACCGCTGCCAGCCAAACCCAGTTCGGTGTAGATTTGGAGCAGACGGTTGCGGTCCTCAATGGCGTTTCCAGCCTCATCACCGAAGACTTCGTCCATCTCCTCAAGGGTGAGATTCTTGGTCTGGGGACAAAAAAGTAAACAAACAGTGCGCCGATGAAGCAGATCAGGCCGAAGAAGATGAAGGTACCGTAGCCCATGGCTGCTATCATTTCGGGGGTGGCTTGGCCGATCTGGTCGTTTTTAGCACTTAAAAATAGGAAAAGAAGATATGGAAAATTTCTTACAGCGAAGTTATTGAGCCAGTTGGAAGAAGCGCCAATGGAAATACCCTTTGCACGCACTCCCAGTGGGAAGACCTCCGCAACAACGACCCAAGCCCCGGGCTAGTGTAATGATAGGCGTCAGTATATATTTCTTTCTCCAAGGAACGTGTGTCTAGGAATTGACTTACGCCCCAGGAGTAGCCAAAGTTGACCTCATAAAGCCAAACAAAAACGACGGCGGCCCAGCCAGCAGCCCCAGATCTACCAACTGCCCATTCTTTGGCGTATGTTCCCATAAGACCGGCCACGATGATGTGACAAATACCCATCCCAACAGCACCGGCAATGAGTACAGGCTTGCGCCCAAACTGATCAATATACAAAACAGCAGGGATGGTAGCTAGAAACATGAGAATACCGCCGACACCACTAGCAAGCAGCGATGTGGTGTTTCCCGTGAGACCAAGATCCTTGAAGATGAACTACAAAAAGTTAGCACAGTCCATGCCAGTCCTGTCACGGGAAAGGAGGAAAATACAGCCGCATAGTAGAGGATTGCGTTGACTCCAGTCCCTGTGAGAAGAATAAGATTAGCCACTGAGTCCAGGGATGTCAGATTGACCACGTACATTGCTGGAAAACCATAATGAAGACTGCAACGACGACTCTCTTCAAGAGGGACCTATTCGTCAGAAGACTGAGATATTGATGATATCCCAGTTTAATTTGGTTCATGAAACCAGGCTCGTGGTATTGAGGAAAGCGAGCCTTCGAGGTTTCGATCTCAAAGCGATGCTGTGCCTTCACCTCCAGGTATTCGAATTGGACAAGATCATTGTCGGTAGGCAAACGTCGAATCTGGGAAATAACAGCCAGACTTTCCTCCTCTCGTCCCTCTGTCATGAGCCATCGGGGACTGGGAGGCATGAACAAAATACCAATACCAAGTCCGAGCGCGGGAAGGATCTGAATGCAAATTGGAAGTAGCCAAGCGGCTTTGGACTGGCCTGCGCCGGTGCCGCCAATGTAGTTTGTTCCGTATCCTTGAAAGATATGAGCGACCAGCTTGAAAATTTGTGTTTCGTAGCTGGCTTACCGATCCAGTATGAGACCATGATCCCGAAAGTTATCGCCAGTTGTTGAAGCGATACCAGAGATCCTCTTAGTTCCGCAGGGGCCAGTTCCGCGTTGTACCTAAAAGAGAAATTAGCGGAGTATTGGAAGTACTTAGCAACGGTCGAGCCTTACAGAGGCACAATCATAGACAGGGTGCCGACACCCATACCAGTCACAAAGCGACCACCGAAGATATACGACGGACCTGTAGCACAGGCTTGAACGATAACGCCGAGGAGGAAGACGACGACACCGCTAACAGTCGCCAACTTACGTCCAAGCCGATCAGCGAGAATACCGTTGATGAGAACGCCGACCCAAGCACCAAGTTCAAGAATACTATTCACTTGTCAGTCAACTGAATTGCGATTATGACACAGAATCCGTGGGTAGTGTATATGTACGCCGTCAAAAGCCCTCTCGTTGTCGTGTTGGAAATGGAATTAGGATGCACTGTCTCAGAGAAGGAAGCCATGTTCAAGATTTGGCCAAACATTCCTTGATTGTCTTTGGTTTTCGATTAGTACAGAAAATGACAGTCGAATAGATCAAAACAGAACTTACAGCCATAGACAAAACCGCCAAGGGAGGCGAACACAGCGATGGCGAAAATTTTAAGATTCGAAAGCAGACCTTTAACTCCAGACGGCCCAGCGAGCTGGGCGCGTCTTCGGAGAGAACTTTATCTCCTGAAGCAGTTGCTGCGACCATTTTGAACTGACGGACGGTTTGGGCGGATACATCTTGAGCTAGGCGGCCGTTGCATTTATAGACTCAAACTGATTTCCGTGTTGTTTGCCCCTCATTTACCCTGATTGGGGGAAGCGACACAGAAAGCACCAGTCAGACACGTTTCAAAATCCAATCTGCCTAAATAGCTTCCTAGATAGCCTAATGGTAAAAGCTTGACTTTCGGGTAGCCATTACGGCCTAGCGGCTGGCTAATCTGGCAACGCTTTGGAACGTGGATAATATTACGGGGGGTGGTCCCGTCGCCCGATTGGACGCCATGGGCGTGTGACTAGTACAAATCGACCGCAAACATGAGCAGCCATGGGTTGGACAGGATCTTGGACCTGCTACAGGGGCTTCTCAGGTGACTCGTAGTGTATTGAGGCTGAATGTGTAAATAGCTGAAAACTGTTTGTGCCTAATTTTGCGGACTGAATCTAGAAAATAGTTTTCGCTAGCCCAAGGGATAAGTACCGTAACTAAAATGATGAAGGTCGGATGACAAGTTAATACTATCTAAAAGTCAAATCGCAAAGCTAACATTAACTAGAAATTCCATTTAAAAAAAGAGATTCCAGAAAAATTTTACAATTTAATATGACTTTGAACATGCTAGAGACTTCGTGAAGAGCTTTGAAAGCTTTCAGGTTCTCTGTATCAAAGCACTGTGGTTTATATCTGGCTTGTGCTTTTCGTCTTTCGTGCTTATCCCTCGGGTTCTGTAAGCCCCACGTATGATTACTGCGTACTGTATGCACCCCATACAGTACTATGTGTATTATTTTACATAGTGGACAATGATTGTATGATTACAAAAGTATACACATGGTACAAGTATGCAAAACCCCATTAGAGCGGTACATTCGTGAAATTTTGTTAACATACCGAGTGAAGTGCGGGAATGAAAATGCTCGACTAAAGGAAATAATTGGAAACATTGTGGAGCTTCTTCAAGTGCTACCCGCATACCTGTACCTTGATCTACTACCCCTCTAGAACGTACTCGTCCGTACTAACGGCGGCTTGCCGCTTTACCTTTCGCTCGGATCAACTTTTTGTTATTTTCAATTTATCCGTAGCAGCGAGGAACTTCGCGGCGCTCACCTTGCAATACATAAGTATAAAAATCTCGAGGAAGCTTGCCTCCATCTCAGGCCATTCACTCAGTCTTCAGTCTTTTGCCTACTCGCAGGACAGATTCCAGATGAAGTACTCTCTGATGTTAGCTGGTGCAGCCACCGCGATCTCAGTCCAGGCAAACCCTTCCATCTCTCCGCAGCCTCTTTCCTTTCGTACGACCCTCACTGTCAATACAGCTAAGCGGTACCAGACAATGATTGGCGGAGGATGCTCTGGTGCTTTTGGTGCTGCCTGCCAGACCAACTCCCTCTCGACAGCCGACCAGCAGACGGTGGTCAAGGCGCTTTTCGATGAGAATCTTGGTGCCCTCTCCATCCTTCGTAACATCATCGGATCCTCCACTGGAGCCACCATCCTTTCTGAGTGCCCTGCGACCCCTGCTGGTCCATTCAACTACTCCTTTCCTACCTCCAGCAACGATAGTTGCCAGTTGACTCTAGCTCAAAATGCACTTCAATACAACCCGGACCTTTTCCTGTATGCGGATGCCTGGTCTGCCCCTGGATGCTTTAAGACTACCGGTCAAGAGGCCGGCGGAGGGTACCTTTGCGGTGTACGAGGCTCCAATTGCACCGAAGACTGGCGTGAGGCGTATGCGAACTACTTAATCGAATATGTCAAGCTCTATGAGCAGCGCGGTATCAAAGTGTCTATGCTAGGCGCATATAACGAGTATGTTTAATGCACTCCTTTGAAAAGCTGTTCCGAAGAAGTTGATGATTTTGCAGGCCTGATTTCAACCCTTTCACTTACTCTGCCATGTTGTCCGATGGGTACCAAGCCTACGACTTTCTCTCGGTCCTCTACCCCATGGTGAAGAGGACGTTCCCCAACCTTGCCGTGTCCTGCTGTGACTCTACTGGTGCCCGTCAACAGCGCGATCTTCTGTACGAGCTCGGTCGCCTAGGTGGGCTCAATATGTTCGATATCAACACCTACCACAACTACCAGTCCGATATCAAGGTGCCTTTTGAAGATCTCCTGCACAGCCAACCCACCATCGAGACGGAATGGAGTGACGGCGGCTCGACATGGACTCCCACGTGGGACATCTCGGGTAACAACTTCGAAGGCTTGCAATGGGCTATCTACATGCACAACGCGTTCCGCAACAATGTCGCCGGCTGGTCCCACTGGTGGTGTGCCTGGAGTGGCGGCGATGCTGCCCTTGTCAATGTTAACGGCGACTCCTACCAAATTGCTGCCCGCCTCTGGGCCTTCTCTAGTTACTTCCGCTTTGCACGCCCGGGCGCTGTGCGCATCTACGCTGAGACTAACGTCGAGGACTTGTATATCACTGCTTGGATGAACACCAATAGTACCATTGCCATCCCAGTCGTCAATGCAGCGCACTATACGTATACTCTGGATGTGCAGCTGTACGGCTCAAAGGTTTCGCATGCGGTCGCATACTTGACAGATAATGAGCATAACGTGACAGTGGATAATGAGTTCATCTTCAAGGAAGGCAGGTTCACAGCCCAGATTGAGCCTAGGGCAATGAAGACATTTTTTCTAGACTTCTAGTAAGAAGCAAGAAGAAGCGAATTGTGAAGTCTCGTGGCTGTGAATAACTTCATTTATTCCTTGTGACCTTAGGTGTCCATCTACCTGTTTGTCTAAAAAGTTGAGATAGTTTGCATGTGGGACTCTGTATTTAAGCGTATAATTTCTCTGTCTACTTTCTTTTGCCTTTTTTTCTTTGCAAAGATTGTACATTTTTGATGGTGTTTATAATTATTTAGTCTTTAATAACCATTAGCTAAATATGAATTGAGGCAAAGGCAAAAGATTTCGTATACATACCCTTGCGACGGGAGCGGAAAGCGCGAGCGGAGGCCTTGTTGCGCAGCTCGCAACGTTACTTGCTGCTCAACCTCCTGCCCTCCTCACTAGTGAGGAGACTCTCATCCTCATCCATATTGCCTTCATCCTTGCGGGCCTTGGCCATATGAGAAAGGATAGACGAAGGAGAGGGTGAATCCTCAGCGGCGGCGACGGCATTCTGGCGCATCTGCTGTAGAAGGCGAGAGATGCGCTCCTCAACAATAGGATCGACAGTATGGGGTGCACGGTTGGGGACAGCATTTGGGGCCTCCTCGATGCAGCGCTGCTGTATCTGTTGGTGGTGGATCATCTCATTGTCCTTCAGTTGCTGAGAGGCCTTGGCAGCCGTCGCAGCCTGTTGCTGATGCATGTTGTTGTTCAGAGGTATAAATTTTGTTATTATTCTAAAGGGAAACATGAGGCTATATATCTAACGAGAAGATCAAGTTTATTTCCAATCAACTTGGTTCTTCGTATACGGTTCTTCGTATACATACTTCGGGATTAATTCCGATGGTTTGGCTTGGTTTCTGATTTGCACCAGCCTCATATCACAACAAAAATACTTTTGGGCCACAGGGGCGTGGAAATCAAAACCCTAAGAGAGTTGATCCATCCGCCGCTATGTCAAGCGGCAGTGCCGGGGGGGGGGGGGCACGCAGCGGCTGTTCGGTTGTTGGTGCAACAAGGTGAACGGCTCAGATTCAACCAGGGCACCTTGATGATGCATGACACTTCTCTGGGGATTGCTGCTGGTGCGGGAAACCTGGATATAGTCCAGGCTTTGTTAAAACACGAGAAGATTGACCCTAGCCTGGAGAACCGGTGACTGACATCTCCGTTGGTGTTAGCCGTCAAAGGCTCATATGTTCTAGTCGTTGATGCTTTGCTGGCAGATCAGAGGGTGGATATGTATAGCTTGTGAGTTACATGAGGGATCGTAATACACGAAGGCATCCAAAGGGCTATCCAGTATAAGATCAATGATTGTAGAGTCTGTTGCGGATGGATGAAGGCACACTGGCCCTTGGTATAATGGACGCTGGTAGTCTGCAGAGGGGCGCCGAGGTGGTACTGTATTGCTCGAGGTATTGAATGTGAGCTACAAAAAACTGCCACTTCGCTAGAACACATGATGCGCAGCGTGTACTAGAGTGTACGGCCTGAAAGTTAAAGAAATCAAAAAAAATCATCGATCTCATGATTCGTGGTGGTAACGATCACCTCTAAGAGCTGCTTGTTTGGCACAAATTCTTCATCATCGTACATCAACGGCTAGAACGTGCATGAACTGCCTCTCAACCTAGCCCGGCTGAAATATGGCCCCGACATGGCCGATGGTATATTTCGTATCTCTAATGCAGTCTCTTGTATTTAAGTTGTGCAGAAAGTATCTAGTACAAGCTCAGTCTTCTTTCATTTCTCCCAATAAGCGCACCCGCCGTATCATCTTCACCAGCCAGCTGACTGGTGAAGAGACAATAAAGACTCTCTGAGGATACTTACAATATATAGACCCAAAGCACAGCAGCATAGACGACTATCCGATTGGTGGAGCAACCTACCTCGCTCAATGATTACAAAAAGTCAGCAGAGATGGAGGGGAACCGAAGTTTCTAGCCTTACCCCGAGTAGCGATGACCCTGTGGACACTCCCACCCTTCTGATTGTGATGTCATGCTAGATTTCACTTGTAACGATCTACGACACAATTTCCTACAACCTACGCCAGTTACTAGCTATTCTGCCAGACTCAACAGCTTCAACATATTTTCGAGCTAAGCTACGATGGGACCTGCGACTGGGTGACCTGCCTCTAACGAACGAGGGGTGCATGCGGATTCTTAACGCCGTGCAGATACTGCCGGATGCGCTGGATGCTATTGAGAATGATCTCGGTGTGTGACTGGCCTTTTTGCAAGGTACGACTTGTAGCTAACAGATTGATCGAACATGTTCCAAACTCCAACGACAAGTTTGTCGAGAGGAGGGCTAGGTGGGGGCTGCGGGGGAATGTTGCAGAACTGCAAAGGCTTTTAAAGCAAAGTCTGAATTTGTAGGAAATACATATATCCATGGATATTTTTATATATAATGAATTAAATACAACGCGCCCACGAGATCTCATGGCTTGGTGTGCGGCCAGACCCCCGTAGATGGCCCCTTCCAAGGTTGGAAAAGGTGGGGGAGTGCGTTACTTATATTACTTGGCACAGGTGTGCCCAGAGTTTCACCTTTGTGGATTTGACCTGACTCGTCCTTTTGAGTTTAGTGAATCTTACGTTCGGCGGATGATACCCTAGACCCGACAAGGGGCCCCGAAAGAGATCAACGGTTATGATGATGTCCATCAAATCCTAAAAACTCCGAGCACCTGCGGAGGATGGCAGGGGCCTAGCACGACACGCTGTGCAGAGCTCCACGCCGCCACGATTTCATCGATACTGAGAGATTGCTTCTACCCTGAAAATTGTTATTTCAGGAAGATACTACGCTATGTCAACATGTGGTATCATGGTTACTAACTATGGAGGAGCTTCAAGGATCGCCGACGTTACATCCGAGTCTTTGATCCGGAATTTAATTGTTCTCTATTGGCGAACAACGTACTGTTATGACAACATAATAGTATGGTCATTTTGTTACTGCTATTTAAATTGTGTCACCTTCCCCCATTCTCCTCCCACTCCACCTCTCCTTGAAAAAGCATGCCAGTAGACTTCCACTTTTGACGAACAATCTGTTCGACTGGATTCGTTCCCCATGGAACATTTGGTTAAAAGTTGTCCGGCAGATGGACCCCCTGTATTTAGGATCTCTATTACCCCGCTCTTTGACCATCAAGGCGCATCTTCTTTATCCATCCAACAAACCCTGCATCGACCACGTTGCATTGCCCATGAGGCTCTTCTCTTATTTGAGACGCGCCATGGAAATGTTCCTGCTTATCAATTCACCGAAGAAGATGTGTTAGCTTTCGATCACGACGGCCCCCTCCCTATTTACTTCACCAAGACCAAATTGAACTCGCCTGACCAAGAATGGCGCGTGAAGCGCAATACTTCTGGCAAAGTCTCATTGCATTTTAAAGTCTTTCCTCGATATGTAGACATCGAAACACCGATGGGCCCACGTGTCGACATGCGTCGCGACCAGGGAGGCCTCATCAGTGGTGGGAGATGGTTCCTCCCCCGACCTGCAGCAAATCGAGTATGGTGTAACGTCGTTGAGTGGGATTTGTCGGAAGCACCATTGGGCACACGTGCGATGTGGTCTTATGGTGAGGGCCCTGGACCCATTTCCAGGGACGGGTATCCCATGACAGTTGCAAATTCGATCTTCATGGTTGGACCAATCAAGAGTTACCCCGAGCCAGCATCTAATAAGCGACCCCTTTCCGGCGCGAACATCAACTGGTTTGGGGAACTACCTGATAATATTCATTCTCTCAATCAATATAACGTGTCTTTTTTTTCTCAAGTTAGCCGCCTTTTTTCTGAGAGAAAAAGCCTCATATAGCATTTTTATTAGGCGAGTGGTTAGAGGGTATGGAGGAAGCGCATGTCTGGAAAGCTACATGTTTGAATACGATGATACGATCTGCAAAGAAACAGACGAAGAACTTGTTTCTCTCTTCTCTCATGAGATGATCCACAGCTTCTCATTGATGGACCCCGAGGATGATGGATATGATAATGGGTGGTACATTGAAGGTGAGTAAGTCTACTATTGCCCATCTACTGGCTTTTATAATACTCAAACCGTTGAATAGGCCTCGCAGAATTTTATTCCATATTCTTGCCCTACCGCTTCGGCCTTCGCGGTTTTGACTACCTCGTGGGCAGACTGAATGCGATATTACAAGCTTATGGTAGCAGCCCGCGAATCCATATGGACATAGTGGATTCCCAGCGCAGTTTCTATGATGACTGGTACGCAGAGCTGATACCTTATATGCGCGGTTGCGTGTACCTTCTACAGGTCGATAGTAGCCTGAGAAAATCCAGCGGTATATTTGGTTTCGACCAGATGAGTCCCTTAGACGACATTGTTGTCGATATGGGTCAACGGTGGCAAAGAGGAGAAAGGCTCCAGGCATCTGACTGGCTGACTTACTTGTGGCCGTACCTGGGAGACATGTCCCAAGAATTCCGAGCCATGCTTCGAGGCACAGCAATAGAGTTGAAAGATGTCCTAGTGGCTCACGAAGACTGGATTTTGGCCACCTCAATGCAGGAAATTCTGGAGTTTGGGCTCGACAAGTCGAGTACCAATAAACGCATCGTATCTGGTCTCATGCAAGGATCAAGAGCCGCTATTGCGGGGGTCAAAAATGGAGATAAAATCCTGTCGACGTCACGGGCAAGTTTTTGTGCGATGTCATTGAGTGCGACTTTTGAAGTTTCTATCGAAAGAGCCTGTCAAAAAGTGCAAATCTCATATTGGCCGCGCTCATTCTCGAAGGCTCGGGTTTTTCACTTGACATGCAGACCGAGTGAGGAGCTTCGCAAATGAAGCAGGTCCCCTCCGTCCTGAATTTTGCGTATCAGCAATACAAAAGTCAACAACTTGGAAAGATGAGCTTAAATATAAACATACGGAAACCAGCTATCTTCATTCAATCTATTATATTATCTTTCTCTTTCCTACTGGTCTCTTTCCTGGAACAAAAGCCAGCGATTGATCACCTGAATGCAAGGCTTATTACTTCGAAGCTTCTCCGGGGCTGCTTCAAGTTAGCTGTTGACACCCTATTATCGCTGCACAAAAATCATACGGCGATAGAAGTATTGCATTCAAACTCTTCAATGACTGTTCCCATCATCTATTATCAAACACCTGTCCTGGTGATTATTCCCGATGAGCCAGCTTTTCCGCATAATCGAGCGAAGTCGTGCAGGTTGAATCTGTGGGCGTGGCACAGACCTCAAAGACACCTTCGCAAGCAAGAAGACTTATCAGATCCTCGGTGAAAACACCATGAATTACTCCATGATGTCTCAGTGTTTTACCATTAATATTCCTGTTCGCTGGATCCACACCCACAGCAAACACATATAGGGATCTTTTATGCCAGCAGACCAGCATCCAAGCTAATCTTATCCACCCTGTTGGAGGAACCTTTCAGGTGAATTAAGATAAGAGACTACTTTATGCTTATACCATACACAGTTTATTGTGTTGGAGAGAACCAATAGATTCTGCTCGATCATTCTTCCAGGTATTCTTCAAACTGGCTGTGCACCTGGCAGGAGTAGTAGCTTATGCTTTTCGAATATAAAAAACAGCTGGTAGGCGACCACTCTCTCTAGAAGTCTACCGAGCTCCATCTACTTTACTAACTATTTTGGATAGGATGATTTCGCTTTCTTGGTTTTACAACTCTATGCTCATCGTTTTTATTGTAAATGTAGGAAAGCGACCATATAAATTTCAGGTCTCTATGGCTGTGGCTCTTTTGAAACGAGTTTGAGTACTCTATACTGGTTACCAAATGGAGCATTCTTCCAAGTCGCTTTGCAAGAAAATCATACTGGTCCTTTGAACAGCCATCCTTGGCCAGTGGATAGTGCCACATTTCACATGTTGCCAATGTTTTTACATACCAGCACAATTATGCCTATGATAATCATGGCAAGCATGGTAAAACAAAAATTCGACAAATACCCTAAAGCCACCGGATAGTAAAAGACTCCCTTACAGCCAAAATACGCAATTTTTTCCTCCCGGTAGTTAGTCAAGGTAGTAAATAAGGTCCACTTGCACAAGAATGAGTATGAAAAAAAGAGGAAGGCCAGAAAGGCCAATAGCAACATAATTTCTAAATTATTGTTGTAGAATGTGATCTAGCAATGCGGACATGAATGAGAGAATCTTTGTATGATAGGTTAGTTTCGAGACCTCGCCATAAAAAAAGGGAAATAAAGTTGAATAGATGATTGGAAAGGTCGTTTCTGATTGGGAGACATAACAAGCACCATCCCCCTAGATAGATTTTCTTTCCTTCTCTCCCGAGCCATGGCGCCGTCGTTCAATGCAAGGGACTATCCCAATATAGATTTACCAGCGATATGTGGGAGGAATGCTATAATTTGGGGTATCTCAACTATGTGCACGCGCCCTTCAACATGGTGAGGGTACCAATAGCCGACCACAGGGGTAATATCTCCCCTTGACATGGAAGCAAAATTAGCCGAGACAAGACTATCTCTAGGTTTCCAAAGTTATAAGAATCCAAATTGCCTTCACTGCACAAGTCATTCTTTACCAACATCAGCAGTTTCTCATAATCAATAGCACTCAAGCCAAACTTGTCTGCAACCTCCCTTGCTTCTTCCCTCTTTGCCAACATCAAGTCAAGTACATCTATCTCTTCAATGCCTATCGAAACCCAATGCTAATTTATCAATAGCCGGAACCATGCAGTTCACCCATCTAGCATTTGACGCCATCATGGCTTTGATTCTCATGAGTCCAGTAATTGCTGTGCCGGTCTCTACTGCCGCCACTGGTGCTGTGGCATGGGCGGATCCTCAAGACTGCCACCGATTCTACGAATGCCCCGTGGGCGGCAAGCCCGTTCTGAAAACTTGTGGCCCGGGAACTGCGTTTCAGGCGAAAACTAGTGTCTGTGACTATCAGTACCTAGTGGAAAGCTGCTGGCGCCATTAGGTCGTACCACAGCAGTGTCGCTCGTTTTCCTTTTTGTGCAACTGAACGAGTTATGTTTGCTAAGGAATGGCTCAATCCAACCATATTGTTTCATAGTATTCCTCTCCCCAGAGCTGAATAAACATTGTCAATGTGAAGCCTATTATAGCAAAATACAAGTTTTGGAAGTAGTTAGAGCTTTTAGCAAAAGGACAAGTGAGTGAGATACTATTTTGCTTTCGTTAGCTAAAGAGTAGAAACTGGCCCTTTGTAGAGAGTATTTCCAGCGTTATCATAGCAAAGAGAAAGGAACCTTCAGGTTGCAATGTATGGTTGTGGAGGTTGGTACTCTACTGGCAGGGCTTGTAGTATCATGATGGTGTCATCCACTGCCGGGGCATATGGCTCTAAACTTTCAGATCATGCTAACTAATACTGGTATATACTAGTATTGGGCTGGATATGGTCGTTACCCTACTAGGTTCGGTGATAATCAGGCCGGAGTGATTGTTATAAGTGGAGATTATTTCATTTATCTTTATGACGAACGAAAATTTCCGACAATTTCTCAAAGATTACTTGCATAACTTGGATATACTGGTCAGAGCGGGGGTCGAGTCCGATGGGGAACATCTTAGGTGCAATAACAAACCTGAAGTATTAGATCCGGTGTTGAAAGGCCGCGCCATCTTGGCCATATTGAGAATCTGGTAATATTAATTAGCGTTGCTTGAACTTATAGAACAGGCTTTGCATTAATATACGATCGAGTTCTCAGCTAGTCACTGGCTGGGGCAGACTCGTCGTCCTGGACCAAAAGCATAGGTCACTCTGTGGTATTTATCAGTAAGAAAGGCCTCATAGCCGAATTTACTGTCAAAAAAGCGTTCCGGTGTAAAATATTCGGGCTTTTACTATTCAATTTCATTGAAATAAATGACCCATATATTCTAGCTTCCCTGTGTCGTCGAAGATAGGTGATCAGTCACAGACATATACATGGTGTATAACCTAGCCCTTTCGACAATTATAAAGCGCAATGAGCGTTCCAAGTCAGGTGGATTGCCACTTTAAGAAACAGAGCCGCAGATTCTGATCTAAACGAGGCTGCACTCGTTGTCTACGCCGTAAAATCGAATGTGACTTGCGTCGACACCAGAATAAAACTTGAAAATACCAAAAAATTAGATTCATCGTTCGAGAGCTTTTGAAAACCAGCCTTCGTTTAGATGTCAAAGAAAGGGTTACAATGCATAATCTTCAAAGGTCCCATGGAAAAGTGCCCTCTCGTGGTAAATAAGGTCTCTCTACGCAAGAGACGCTGCCTTCGTTCGAAAAAGTTCACAGTTCTCATGGATTAGCATCTCGCTGGACGACCTGATCTAGTAAATTTGGGACAGCGGAAACCCCACCCACGACCTGATGTTGTTTCCGTACTGATTCTGGAGTGCCGGCTTGCAGCTCACCCGAAAGTGAAGTCACTGTTATGCCTGCTTGACGAGCCTGGTGCATCATCCACAATCCCGTGAAGACTTCGCAAAGGCGAAAGCAAGATTCAAACCCAGCCTCTCCAAATGCACTAAAAACGCTCTGGCACCAGTCGAACTTTTTTCGGTTGCCAGAATCTACGGCTGCAGACTTGCAAGCCTGACAGAGAGAAAACGTGGCCGAGTGAATCCCCCATGCCTTCTTATCATCTTGTGCATGGTAGGGCATAGCTCGGGCAATCTGATCGCCCCAGTAGCTTGAGATCAAATAATCCTGGTCGCCAAACTGATCATCAATGTCCGGCGTGAATGGATCAATGTAGTAGACGAGAACAAGATTCCGGGCCCGAGAGATTACCACGTGCATGATACTAAGCAATGTCCAATACATGACATGAATTTTTCCACTATCAAGGGAGTGGAATCGGTAGGCGGTACCAAATAGGTCGTCTGTCGGAGGAATTCGTGTGGTCAAAACCTCCCCTAGAGCGCATTCCTCCGGGCCCCGCCTGACATTTTTGGCATACCACTCTGTCACCTTTTCCCGATGTGCGAGGCATTTACGGAGCAGCATGCGACAGATTTTGTGGTTCGGGGGCCTAGCCATCCTCACTGCATTGGATATTGGCGCGAAATTAGCGTAAAGGCGAAGCAGTTCCACAGTCGGGTTGCCTTCACTTGGCTGGGTGATATAGTCGAATTCTTCTTGGTTGATGTTAATTCCTTGGGCGGACATTACCTAGAAATTATTAGCCGAGATGCCTCTGTAGCTTCTTCCAAAGATGTATGTAGTGCCGGCGTACCAGACGCTGCTTCTGATATTCGTGATATATGGTGTGAACCAGCGGGCTTTGGCCTAGCCGATGACGGTAATGGTTAAGGATCGCATTGGTACCCACGATGTGGGCAATCCATGCATGGAGATTAGTTGGACAATAATATGTCTTAAAGGTAGTGTATTAGACCGAATACTATAAAACAAAAGAATCGAATCGTTGGAAGCAAGTCCGCTTACCTCGATTTCCTGAAAGAGGACGGTGCAGTATATAATGTCATCGGTGTAAACATCACGGGTAATCATGCTCCCCATTTGCTTAATGGCGGAATTGTAAAGTTGAACGCCATATTTGAGTAGACCGGCATCTTTATTCTGTTTCCCCAGCCAGGCACATGCCAATGCAGCCCAGGACTTTTCCAACATCTCGCTTTTCCTGGGAATCGCGGAGAAATTAGACGCCAGATAGTACCAGAGATCCACACTGGATTTCGCATCACCCTGAACCGGAAAGAATACGTTGAAATATGATGAGAAGATCTGTTCACGTCTGGAAGGACCCGAAGCGATCCCTGGCGGTAGACCAGATCGCCCCTGGTTAACAGATGGGAGTTGTGCTCGCTGGATCATTTCTTGCGATCGCACAGATGCGGAATAAATCACAAACTTCTGGTCTTTCTCATAGCCAGGGCATTTTGTGCCATACTTAATACAACGCAAACATTCTGGCTTTTGCTCATCACACTTTTGCTGACTGTTAGGATCTTCTTCTGAACAATCGGATCAGATCATATCGGAGCAGCCCACCTTGACACGTCTTTTCTTGCATGTCCGGCAACCTTTTGATTGCCAGGGCGTACCCCCCATTGCGTCTTGCTCGGGATATAATTTGCCCAGATGATCACCTTGTGTGGACCGAGTTGAGGGCGCTCAGGTGTGATGGCGGGGGCTGAAGGAGTTAAAGGGGTGCAGAGCCAAGGAGTGTTTCACAGTTGGGAAATGGGTTGAGGGGCAGAATTCTTGGCCCCCACAAGTCCACATGCCCCTGTCTCTTGCATCAAATGGAATTAGGCTGACAGATCAGGGAGCAACAAGTAAATCACAGCCTCTTTGCTTCCCGCAACTATTTAGACCAACTGCGACCGATTAAATTCGGATTTGTGATGGCATGCCAACCTGCGAAAAACCCCCCTTCTATTTGTCTGCTTCCCTGGAGTGACAGTGTAAAGATCTAAGGTGTAAGTGGTATTTGCTCTCTCATCCACGCATTTCCCCCGGCAACATCAAAACTGACTGGCTAGCCCGCGGCCCTGGTCTCCACACTTGATTTTCTCTTAATTGATTACCCAGGTGAACCGGCTTCTCTGGTTCTGTTGTGCGTAAATGTGTTTTTGTCTTGCCATGGAATTAAAAAACCTTAAAACCCCAAAATTGTATAGTCATTCTACTCTCAAAAACAAGCAAATTGAAGTCAAACAAACTGACAATCTCACCTCGATATCATGTATTTCCCAGAAATTGACGCCCTCAAACTGTGGTGACATCGCGAAGAGTCATTTCATCGTGGAAAGTTGCTCCCTAGACCAAACTGATATGAAGAGGGTCCTATTTATACCAGATAAGTTATACATTCGGGACAAGGGATTCTAGCCTCAATATAACAACCTCCCACTGGAAATCAACTGGAGATTCGGACGTGACAAGTCTCTGTAAATCACCCCACAAGCACCCCCAGGGGGTTGTACCTCCTTGCTTTTATTTGTACGAGTACAGTCATTGGAAAAGTGTGCTATGATATTTATGGGTTGCGAGCACTTCATTGATTGAATTTAATTCAACTTCCGGCTTTTGCCTCTTTGAGCACGGGTCATGCTAACAATCTCCTAGTGAATGGTTTTGTACTAGGTGGACCAACCAGTCTTAGCTCAATGTCACATTGATGTTACTAAACGCCACATACATTTTTCCTTACTGGATTCTATCGCCCCGTCTTAATTTCCAGGAGAGGGAAATTACCGTATGCTAAACTTGGAATGGTTCATGTTGATCTTCTAATGTTCTTTTTGACACTCACAATGTGCGGACGAAGCCACCACATGGTCTCCAAAGCTCTCCCGACCCTGAGATCACAACCGAGTGGTATCACTCCAGGATCGCTTAGTGCAGAATCCTGGAGTGATATTCTAAGTGCCTAGATCTGTATTGAGTTAGCGTGATGTCAGAACAGCAAAGCAGAGCGGGGCTCAATAAAAGCCAGGGGACGCTCATAATAATGGCTCAAAGCTTCTCCTTCTCCTTCTGAAAAAGCAACACCCCCTTCTTATGTCCGTTCATTTCATTATTCAATTGCCACGATGTCGGACAAAATTACCATTGTAAGTTCTGTTCTGAACGCGTTAGAGTTACGATTTCCTCAACTCATCCCCCAGGACCCCGATTTCTACACCCTGACGAAAGATTGGGAGCCCGTTGACTTCGAGTCGTAGGATCCCCGTTAGAGTGACGCAACACGCCTCTATATCTAATGGACTAGTAGAGAAACTACATCTCTTGCGTCGACGATCGCAAGAGGTAGGCTAGAAAACGGTAGACGGTTGTTGTCATGAAGTAACCATTCGAGGGGTGTTGCTCTGCTTACATGAGAGCAGATACCAGGCAATGAAGGAAAACGATTACTGGTCTGTCAACCCCCCCTTTCCATCTTTCAATGTTTAAATTGACATCAAATGGCATGTAGGAGTCCTTCCGATGAAAGACAATTCGAGGCATTTGAAATTGGGGAAGTACCAGTTCATTTCTAATAATCCTAATCCCTACTAACCGTAGTCTTCAGCCACCTCATGTTCCTTTTGCTAGAGTATCGGGAGAAGTGTCCTCTTCATCTAGCTCCTCTGTCCAAATCCCCCACGGTAAGTAAAGTATTCACGTGGTTTAAGAAACTGCTCCATGCTTATTATCCTCTAGCATATCCTAGACATTGGCACCGGCAAAGGCACCTGGGCTATGTGATACTTCGGTTCCCTTGCTTCTAGAGCTCTACTAACTTAGAGGCAGAGACATTGCTGATCAATATCCGTCGGGTTGGTGCTACCTATTCCCCTTCTCAAGCAACTGATCTAATCGTGTACAGCGACTGTCCGTGGTGTTGATATTTTCCCACCTCCCGTGACTTGGATGCCACCAAACTGTATATTCGAAGTAGATGATATCTTACGTGAATGGACGTGGGAAAAGCTATTTGACTTCATTCACCTCCGCTTGATGCTGGGCGCATTTACACCAGAAGGGTGGCAGCAAGTTTACAAACAGTGCTATGAGTTAGTGTCGCTTAGTTCCTCCAACACCTTACGAAGCTCCGTGGAGTAACGTATTTGATATGTAGGTCTCTTGCTCCAGGTTGCTGGATTGAGCAGATTGAACTGGACGTCCGAGTGTATAGTGACGATGGTTCTTTGAAGAGCGATAGCTATTTGGCTGGCTGGGGTGATAACTTTATTGGTTGCTCTGAGCGAGCTGGTCGCTCGCTCCTAATACAGGAGACAATGCGATCTTCCATGGAGAAGGCTGGGTTCGTTGATACCCACGAGAAACTTTACAAGATACCTCTGGTGTCCCTGGCCAAAAGACAAGGTTCTTAAAGAAGTTGGTCAGCTTCAATACCTCCATTGGACTGCTGCTCTGGAAGGCTGGGCTCTATGGCTCCTCACCAAGTTTGGAGCGCCCTCTCCGCGGAGTAATGGGGAGGTTCAGGTCTATCTAGCCAATGTCAGATCCGAATTGAGGAACCCCCGCACTCATGCCTATGAACTCGCGTAAGTTCCCCTTGTCTAATTTCTATCTGCTTTGTAATGACCAGGTTTAGTCGCAGGGTCTGGGCCAGAAAGCCAACTGAGGAGGAGCTTCGAACGCGGCCCGAGGTCAAACAGAGCCCCTGTGAATAGCCGGACTTGGTGATGAATAGTCATGAGGCATTTAATCAGGCTGCTGTTTATTTTCTCGTTGTTCACCATCTCGCTTTGTCTGGTTAGCACCTCTCAACTGGTTGTACTCGATCAAAATAAAGTTTTTAGTACCGTCCATTTCCACATGATTAAGGGCTACAAATTTGATGAATTATCAACCTTTGGAGGTTAAGGTATTCTGTTGAAGCAAACAGTCTTATATTTAAGGCATCCCATACTAACTTGAATCTTCACCGGCTTGATTACTGGCCTCTGACATTTCAAGTTGTCCAGGCTCCCAGGTGGAATATATGCTATACTCCTACTAGTAGTAGTAACCTTGGAAATTAAATGTAAGACATCGCAAATCTTGTCCCAAAGGAGTGTTTGATAGTTCCACAATTCCAAGGCCTCTGTTTTGGTTACCCTGAGCCTTCCGAGCGGTTTTTGAGGTACGCATCATAACTTCTTCCAATGAAAACAATGGAAGATGCAATGTATCTCCGACTTGGGGGCAGTTTCCGCCGACTCGTTGATTGCTTTATTTGGCTTTTGCTTGATTCTCTCTACTTGTATACGAATGGTCATCCAAATACCAAAGGGGATGGATACTGGAATTCGGGAGTACATGACTAGAAAGCTTGCAATGTTTTCGCTTCATGCTAAGATAACATCCTTGTAAGGACTGTTAGGCTAGGGGTTACTGTTGAGATGTAGAAACTCTCTCTTGGGCTAGATGCGATACTGTGCTAGATTTAACTTCCATTTCAACAGCAAATATCTCTCCGCATGGACCTTTTTGAGCATAGTGCAGTATGCTCCGCGCAACCCTATATTTGCTATTAATAACACATCTCATCTATGTGGCGCGACAAACTATTTGGCATCCGTCGTGGAGAATTCGTCGAACATGATTATATTGTATACTGCTATCTGGCTTTCAGTTCCCGATTTCGCCTGTATCAAAAGTCACACTGTTTTCGGGTGTGATTTTGCTATCAGAGCCTTCAGAGGTAGCCGTGGGTACGATTCGAATCCCTAGTCGCCAAGCGACAGATGGTGAAGCCCGCGTTTCTTAGTCTCAGAGCATTACTTTCGTTTCAGACCTCTCACTTCCGGCTCAGAATAGGTTCCTTTCCTCGGTTGTGGCGAACTCCCACAGGCTTTTCACTCCGGCCATATGGATAGTGCAAAAGAACATAGCTTGGAGGACACCTGTATACGTATTGTAGCTCTGTTATAACCATCGATATCATTTTAAACTCGAGCTGGGCTGCTGTCATTTAGCCGTAGCAGAAGAATATCAGTTGAATAGTGTGGGATGCTGGTCGATTCCCAATAAAACGGTGGATGCCATCGTAAAACGCATTATAGGAAACTAGGTAGTACCAATAACATTAAAACCCACATGCCTGCTTTCTCTCACATCGCGCATACGGTAGCTAGTACAAGAAATGTACTGGTTCAAACCAGCAGCAGGAAGGATATTTGGCCCGTTGTGAGCAAAACGGGAGGTATAGCCGAGTCAACAAATCATAGAGCGAGCTTCCGTCAAATTTTACTGAATTTCAAGGAGAGCATTACGTGGCAAATCCGTGGGTGGGTATATTTCGACCACAATATTTAGTAGTCATCACAATTATTAAAAGTACTATTTTACCTTCTTTTTGCTCCTTGCACGTAAAAGAAATCATTTCGGAGGGATCGGTACAGACCAGTTTGGCTGGCCCCGCAATGCAGGACAAGATGAATAATTCGCGAGACTAGATACGCCGGGCCAGACCTTCCCAATATGGCTAGGGGAGCCACATTTCCCAATGGGGATCCAATTGACCGATTTTACCTCGGTGTGGCAGGGTACCATGGTAGGACTGAGCGGGCAGGATCTTATCTTATCGCCCAAGAACATTGTATGTAATCGTATGCGTTGGACTGTGGACATTATACCCCCTCATGGCTGCCCAACGGGTCCACATGGTAAACAGGGTAGCCTGACAAGCAATGGATCCACAGCTCCAATGCACTATTTGATCATGTATCTCCAATCCCTCGTATAATAATTGCCGCTGCTCCCGCACAACACTCCTGCTGGTTTAAAGTGGTAATGGTGATATTTGAAACGGGGCGCAAAGGAGGAGGAAGGTGGCCAGGAAGTGAATGAAATTCCTTGGTGTTTATATTCAATGCTATCATAAGAAGATTTTTTTGCTACTAAGACCACAAAATATTGAGCTTTGCCAGTCCTCGCTTCCTTTTCACCGGCGGCTCCGGGCTCTTTTTCGCACTTTCTACAAATGGTCGAATTGGAATATCCTCTAAAGACAGAATTTTGGTTTTCATGAATAAGTTGTACCCAACATATACCAAAACAAAGAGAGGCAAATTGATGTAGGAGGAAATGAAGGTTTCTGTACTCCACCTCCCCTTCATGAAAGTGGTAAACCCCCCAGTGAATTCAAGAAGGACAAAGATCAATAAAGATGCCCATGTGGTGAATGGTTGGAAAGGCGCTGCCCATGGCAGTTCCTTGTGCCGATCGATTCCTTGCTTTTGACAACCGTATATGAAACGCAGATAGACGATGCAAATGCATATAAAGTTGACGAGGGTGGAGATCGAAACAATACTCTGCATCCAGCTGAATACATTACTAGCAGAGCTGGAGAGGGTCATATAGCCTAGACCCATGAAAAGACCATAAAACATGACTGCCACGTAAGGTATTCCAAAACGACTAGTTCGTTTGAAAATTGCGGGTGCATGGCCATGGACAGCCATGCCGAACAGAATCCGGGATCCGCCAAGCATGTTGGAATTTCCAGACGACCATGCCGATGTTAAGACAACTGCATTGATGACTGATGGGAACACCTTGATTCCTGCATTGCGAGCCGCAATGACAAATGGGGATTGCGAGGCGGTATTGGTAGAGTTTAACAGGCTCGGGTCATCAGAGGGTACAACCAATCCAACCATGAAAATCGTCAGAACGTAGAAAATACGGATGCGGAAGAAGATTCCCCTGGCGGCCATTGGGATGGCCGTGCGAGGGCTTTTTGTCTCAGCGGCAGCCACGGTGATGTTCTCGATCCCTGAGTAAGCGTAGAGAGCGCTGTCAAAGGTTTTCCAGAAGCCAAGGAAGCGACCTAGCAAGCCAGGGACATTGAGATACTGGACCATTGGGCCTGGCTTGACCCAGTAGCTGAATCCAATAGCAACATGGTTCGGACCACCACCGCAAGTGATCACCAATGCCATTATATTGATCGCAATGATCAACATAATTTTGAGCATCGAGAAGCAGAACTCTAACTCTCCATAAACTCGAACAAAGACAAGGGCAGTTATCATCATCAATAAGCCGAAAATGGTGATCCAAATAGCATTGCTTACCGTTGCCCAGAACTCCACAATGACTGCAGCGGCGACAAGTTCAGCCGGGATAGATACCAGGTATGAATAGATTTGATTCCAGCCATTAGCAAATGCCAAAGCTGGATCGCAAAATAGTTCTGCATATCGGATCGCACCCCCATTGAGTGGAACGAGCGCACCCATTTCTCCCACGGCGAAAATGACGCTGGAAACGCTGAGACCAACGATAGAATAGGCCATGAAAGCCCCCAAAGGTCCGGCCACTGCAATTGCCTGACCAGAACTGAGAAAAAGACCAGTGCCAATCGTCCCTGCTAAGGCAATCATCTGAATATGTCGTTGATGAAGTCCTTGTTTGAAAATTTGGATCTCTTCGAGGTGGGCACTGGCCATTTCGATATTCCCACGATTTTCTTTTTCTTCGTAACGAAAGATTGGGGATTTTCCATGGTCGTCGTTCATTGTATTCTCGGTCGGCATAGCGGACAACTTGGGGTTGACTCGTACAGATTCCATGATAAGTGTGTCATACGAAGTCAAATCTATTGTCACAAAGGGTGCAACAACATTCATGCGCCTTTTGTATGTGCTGTTTTTTTTCCCTTTTTTTGCTTTTTCGCATCTGCATTTTTGCTTCTGCGAGTAGCTCGTTTCAGTGTGTCATCAATCGCGCGTCCCACCACCCACCACTGATTGGGGTCAAATTGCAAATAGGAACGCCATTTAAAGCCGACTGGTAAAGCCCTAGCAGAGACTTACCAAGTTCCTCATTTTGACTCCAGAGATTGAACTCTAGTAATCACTTTATCACCCTCTAGCCTCATGTGCATGGCCTTCGATGGCAGTGGGGAAGCCAGTGTTGTCCAAATCTCGGATTTTGGGAGCCAGAACAACACCAACCTCCTTCAAATCCTCCACAAACCAGAAATGCGAATAAAAAGATGTTGATGAAGGGCCAGTCTGGCGGGGATGGAAAGGGGGTGTCGTGCCACTCGGGAACTCGACTGCGGTTGCTGGGTCGAAATGGCTGTGAGAAGTCGGTGAGATGAAGAACAAAGTCGAGACGACGTCCACCAAGGTCGACCGTCGCCTTTTTTTCTTTCCAGTAATTTTTCCAGTCCCTCAATATGCCAATCTCCTGTACCGATCAAACGACCGCAATCAACACGAATTCGACGTGTTTCCCGGTCGCAACCCCCCTGGAATCTTTCTGGCAAACTGAAACGCACCCTCTCAGCGACCATCACTCCACAGCAGAGTTACCGGTTGAGAACGACATTTGTCATCATTGGCGCTTGTTTTGCCGGTATCAGTACCGCCCATCATTTGGTTCAGGAATTCAAAGGAGACCTTGAAACAGCACCCTCCATCACGATTTTTGAGGCCCGAGCTGCATGTTCAGGGGCAACCGGAAGGAATGGAGGACATCTCCGGCCGGACTTTTATGGGCATATCCCAAAATATATTGAGCGGTCTGGTCCAAGGGCTGGGGCAGAGATTGCGGGGTTCGAAATTGCCAACCTGCGTGCCCGGAAGAGATTCATTGAAGAAGAGGACATCGACTGCGATTTGACTTTGGCGAGATCGATTGATGTCTGGTGCAATGAGCAGGCGGCAGAAAATGCCAAGGCAATTTACGACAGCATGCGGGCGCATAGATTTGATTACATGGATGATATCATTTTTTATACTGAAAATAAGGCGGAAGGGGTGAGTGAGATCCTGAGAGCCATATATGGCTTTCAAGAGCTTGGAATAAGCATCGTGAGATTTTGAACTGATTGCTTTTGTCCCTAGATCTGTGGTGTGAAGGGTGCAGTCGCATGTGCCTCTTTTCACTGCCGGGACACTATGGCCCTTCAAGTTTGTTATGCACTTGCTGCAGGAACTGCTGGAGTCAAAGTTTGTTAATCTGCAAACACACACACCAGTACATTCGGTTCAGTCGGACAAGACCGGGGGGTTCTTCGCTGATACCCCCCGCGGACAAGTACATACTCGCAAAGTCATATATGCCAACAATGCTTATGTCTCGGGAACCCTTCCAGAATATGCGAAGAATATTATTCCTTGCAAAGGTATATGCTGCCGAATTGCTGTGCCAGATGGCATTATGCCTCCATTGCTAAATGACTCTTACATCAATCGAACCAATAACCATACTCTCTCATACCTGGTTCCACAGCCGGATGGAAGCATTGTTGTTGGGGGCGCTGCTGCGAAGTTCAAGCCATTCAGAGAGCAATGGTATGATAATGTGGATAACACTTGCCTGATCGATGCGGCCAAGGAATACTACGACAATTATATGCAGCGCACCTATCGCGGTTGGGAAGATACAGGTGCCAAGGTTAATACTATCTGGACTGGTGTCATGGGATACTCTTACGATTCGAATTCACATATCGGCCAAGTACCTTCCAAAGACGGCGAATTCATAATCGCCGGATTCAATGATCATGGGATTCCCGTCATCTGGCTGGCAGCCCAGGAGCTAGCACGAATGGTTTCTCAGGAAATTTCCTTCGAGGAGACAAAAATACCTAGGCTATTCAAAACCTCCGCGCAGCGCATCAATCAAGAAAAGCTAGGCCGAGAGGAAGATGGAGATATTATTGGTAGTTATAATCTGCCTGTTGCGAAGCCATGAGGGAATTCGGATTCGAGGAAGACCGCCTCAAAAAGTCTCGTGGTTGGCAGGAAAGCTTTCGTTATATTTATTTGATTTTACCGGGCGGAGGCTTCTTGGGGGATTTAATTTAAGCCTAATAAAATATGTATTTTATTCAAGTTGTATCCAAGTGCTCGCTAATGTTGAAATCTTCTATGTAACCATCTCCTATGTAACCAGTGAAGATGAATCAACGCTGAAGTAGCTTGATTTACTCAGTGTAAACGCATCCATTGGGGTTGGAAGTCTTCTCAATGCGAGCAGCGATGCCGACGCAGTCCTTGTTCCCGGCAGGGTTAGAGACTCCAGCAGAAGCCCAGATAGACCAGGCGCCGTCAATGCTGTTGGGGCAGGCAATCAGATCATTTCCAGCGAACTGCAGGTGACCATCCTTGAGAGCCCATCCCTTGCGCTCGGAGTTCTTGGGAGCAGGCTGGGCGCCGGTGGTGTATCCGATCTTTCCCTGGCCTATTGAAAGTACACGCATTAGTTATGACTGTCCTAAAATCAACCCGTCTTTTTGTTCACTTACCCATGCCAGATCGGTCGACGTAGATCTCCCTGGGAGTTGCGGACTTGTCGTAAAGGTAAAGGGCACCATCGTTGATGTAGAAGGTGGCATCTTGCTCCTTGGGGCGAGCGCAGCTGGCCTTCTGAGTGGACAAACCAGCAAAGATGCTGCTCTTGGCGGCGTTGAACGCAGAGTACTGGACACCAGACCCGGAGTGGATGGCAACGACACCGAAGGTGCTGGACTGAGCGGCGGGAGTGGCAGTGGCAGTGGCCGCGAGACCGGTGGCAATGAGGATGCTCTTGAGCTGCATGATGAAATGCTTTGTTGATCTTGATTGTTCGAAGAGGAAGATAGTGGTTGAGGAAGAATGGAGCAGTGTTTGATGAGCTGAATGTATTCTGAGAAATTACAAGTTCAGGTCGGAAAAAGCCATGCCTTTATACTCTACGACCTTGCCAGGCATTGGGATTACTTCGCAGAAAGACAACCAATATACAGCTACTCTGTATTCTACCGAGGCATATGTCTCAAATTTGGATGTTGATCTAACAGGGAAATGTCCATATCTACTCCGTACTCCGTACTCGTATGGATTAAGGGAGTGGGGGGGCCGGTGTGCTTCGCCTCTTCAGAATTCCGAGGACTATAATTAGCCGCAGGAAAAAAGGGTCTTATGTCCGGAGTAGCCGTGTAGCAATGATAGAACACAATACCCGTAGCCCTTCAAGTACTATGCAATGGACATTTTCTCGAGGACATTGGATTGATTCCATGTCCGGGGAAATCGCGGGATTCTCAACCCTTTCTGTATTTACTACCACGAAAATATTGGACTTCCCGTATACTGTACAGAATGTGTCATTGCTACTTGACTTGTAAACTGCTACAGGCTCCCTCAATAACTGCATGTCGATCCTCTAACTATCGGGGAAATTCTAGCAACTTCGGTAAAATCGTGGGTCTGGCCCATACTCTGAACCGATCCTATGTCTCGGGCGCGATCACTGAAGAAAGCAGACCCTGAGGGCGAGAGGGTCCACATGTCTTTCCCAGTCCGAGTCGAAGCCAATCAGAAACGTTCTCTTCGGTGGTTCTCAAATTAAAAACAGGTTTCAATTGTGTATTTCCGGGCTGATAACTTAAAAAGTTTAGTCGATTTCGCTCCCCTCCCCCGTAATCTAAGCCTACAGCACAGTATGCGATGCGATGCGACGCAACTCCGCGTGCTCAAGGGCTGTCCTGAAACTGGCAATATGTCCATACCTCTTCTATCCCTCAAAATTGCCCTCGTATTACGTAGCATCAGCTTTTTGTTCATTTCAAATTGGGCATTTGCCTGCTGCGGTCTGTTATTTCAGCTCCGCCTTGGCACCCCTTTCTTGAAGACTGGGCGGCGGAAATCCTCCGTCGAGATGACCACTTGAAAAAGGCAAATTTCAAAAAGCCTTTGCTTTATTTACCGCTGACAAGCAGGTCCTGGAACCTTGGAACTGCCCATATCCTCGCGGAAGAAACGACTCGGAGTAGCGGTGGTCGGGATGATTGAAATAGCTTCAGACGATGAGGTACTGATTAGTATATACTAACGACTAGTGTGATGCCCAGGTGGCGGCCTGGTATATATATCCATGGATAGGTACTATAAATAAATAAACTTGAATAAATAACCTCCACAGATACTGAAGGTATATCATCCTAAATGACAGCTTTCAATAAATCACCACTTACTAGTACTACCTTTTCCTGATCTTCAATAGGCTAGGTTAAATTATGGCCTGATGGGGGGAAATGCCATCTCGACTACTCCGTAAATGGCATCAGCTCCAGCAGAAACATGCTTACAACCTTGGAAAGGCAGTGACTGCCAATGAACATAGTAGAAGGTACCGTATTCGGATTTTGGAGCTACACTGTACGAGGACCCGTGGTCTGTAATATGATGGTGTATATTTAGATTAGCTCCCGCGATACCGTGGGGTTTCTCATATTAATGTGTGGAACCTCGATACGGCAGCATCCGGAGGGCAGTTGGCCCTTTCTTAATCGAACCTCCGACCAACTCTGCCTGCAGAGTAAATCATGGAATCTTATTCTCTGCTCAATTCATATCGCAGGCTTTTGATATCTATCCCTGCTAACTTGAATTCAGAGTTGGTGCCAAGTGTCACTGTCTTAGGAAGAGCCCCGACGCTCTGGAAGAAGATGTGGAGTCTGCTCTCTCGTCTCCACTACAGGGGCAAATATCTCAGCTGTTGGGGTGGTATGACAATCGCATGCAAGTCAATAGAAGGTCATGGATTCGAATCTACCAATCAATAGGCTCGCGCGGTCATGCGATATTCTGCGAAATAATCTCACCAAGGTAAGCCGATTTCATTACGAGAAAAAATGCTCAGTAAGTGCTAGGCATCCACTGCGAAGAAAATGCAGGTTTCATAAGAAATACTGAAGGGGCAAATCATGGTGGATATCGCCGGATATCTGAAATATTATATACAAATACATTAGTCACATGACTAGGGATGTCAGGGCCGTGCCATGCAGTCTGCGTCACATCCAGCGCTAGTCTCAATGCATGTCTATCCGATATCTCGTAGGAACGGACAGAGGTAATTTAAGAAGTGCATAGCATCATCTATGATGGCTTTGCGCAGGTGAATACACCACGGACAGAGCCAGTATTGTATTTGTCGATCTGTTAATACTTTGTTAGATATCTGTGAGAAGGTAAGGGGATCTTTTAAGGATGAACATACAATGTCGTCGATACTAGAGTAGGTACCGGCCACGAGAATCACCATTCCGAGAATGAAAATGAACCCATTAACCACAGTCAATAACAGATTCTTGCGCTCGAACATGCCGCCTTTCCGGATAAGGAGGAACCACATCAGGGCCGGGAAGTAGAAGGTGAACCCGGAGATAAACAGGGCCGAGGAGATTGACAGTAAATCGTTGAAGAATGGGATAACTTCGGCAATGATAAAGGCAATGACTGTGGCAGCTGCAATGACAGCCAGCCAGGTGATCCATCCCATCTTAGTGTTGATGTATCGGATTGGGGAGTTGGCAAAGATCCGACCGTGAACTAGGCGCCCAAAGACGACTGTATTGATCGACCCACTGATGAAGATAACCGGTAAGGCAACACCATAAGCAACACGACTTAAAGTGGTTCCTGCCGATGTAAGAGCCGGGCTGGACACGTCCTGTCCGACGAATGCGTAGATAAGGGCGCCGGTGAGGGTATAGATCACAATTTCTGTGATACCGAGAGTCCAGATCGACTTGACAAAGTCCTTAGGAGTGTGCATTTCATCCATGAAGGAGAATTGGCACATGGCAAAGCTGTAGGCAAAGATAATATTTGAGATGGCGATAAAACCTTCAGTAAAGGTTAAATTATCTTTGGGCCACGCAGACCAGTTAACAGCAGCCAGCCCACCGGGTGCGTTTGACGCCTGCACTCCGGTACCGATAATAGTAATACCGATGGCGATGACGATTGAAGCAAAATCGATGTACCCAAGAATAGCAACCTCAGTAAAACTGGGCGGCACGGCCAGGGCGAACAGGATAATAGCTGAGACCACCGCGAAGACCACAGAGCAGAGAGTACTCTCGGTGATATTCATAAAGGCAATAGTGCCGGTCAGACAGTGCGATCCGGTCAAGAAGATCAGCTGAAGACCCAGCATGAAGTTGATCAGTTCGTATCCAAAGCGCCCCCACATCAGACGACCAGCGTCGGAATAGTTGGCAACTTGGGGGAAGAGTAGTTTGACCTGACCGACAATGTAACTGGTATAGATGGCGACCAGGCCGAGACCGACACAACAGATTGTTCCAGCGACCATACCTAGGTAGGCAAAGGTTTGGGGGATGGACAGACTGCCGAGGGCAATAGCTTCGACGATGAGGACAATGGTGAGGCGTTTCCAACCCAGGCGGTTGAACTTCTGGATGCCATGACGCTCCGCGTCGGTCATCTCGCCCAGCATTTCGTTGTCGAAGGCCGGTGGGGCGGGGTAGGCGGTCTTCTCATTATCGGAGTCGGAGATGACCTTTGGGTCATGACCGTTGATGTTGTTGTCCTCGTAGCCCATGATGCCGGAAGGGAACCGGTGGGAGGATTGAGGTGAGAAGGGGGGTGGATGAAGAGAGAGAAAGGTAGGAAAAGAGGCGCTGAGAGGAGAAGAAGTAGTCGAAGGTGGCACAGGATCAGTCAACAGGGGGGGGGAGGTCAGTGAGATAAGAATGGGCATCAGTGGTCGGTCGTTCAGGTCACCCAAAAGCGGCGCACACCTTCCCCCGGGCGCAGTTTGATGAGACGATCCACACGTGGAGTACGACGCTGCTCCACTTGGGAGAGGTGGCGGGCCAACAGCATGGCCGGATGCAGGCCGGCGACTCCGCCGAAGGGGGTCGGAGGGGCGATAGAAGGCCCGTAGACGAATGTCGCGCAAGACGCCCGAGAGAAAAATGATAAGAAAGTTTCGGTTGTTATGTAAAAGAAATGCCCGGTGCAGTTAGTCCTTGGGGTTGGATGGGTCTGTCTCCAGATTTGGTGAGTGAGACCTTGTGGAGAGAATGCGGGGGTGGATGATGGTGAGAAGAACTGGGGAATTATTGAGGAGGAGTGTTCGGGTTGTTCAAGAGATCAAGATGCAGACTCAGATCTAAGATCAAGATTTGATGATGAGGATGAGAACAAGCTTCGCAGCCACCCGGCGCCAATCTGGACAATCCTGGCTGAACAAGGCTTAAGCCGGGCTGACAAGGTTGAGTTCATCAGGGTTGATGTGGTTGGTGGAAGGAGGAGGAGGTGGAGGCGAAAGGGAGGAGGTTGGCCAATCAGGTGATGCGATAGCCCGTAGGATCACGTGATTATAGGGTAGGAGATAAGGGATCCTAGATAATAGGTCACATGATAAGATATCCCGTGCCATGTCATGTGACTAGGCTGCAGTACCCAACTTACGCGGGCAGTACATTACAGTACACCGCAGTATACCACAGTATACCACAGTATACCATGGTACTCAGTACACAGTCGTAGTACTAACTATGGCCATGGGATACTAGACACCCTCTAACATCACCCTAACATCGCCACATTTACAATATCATGTAATATAGTTTAACAATTAAGGTTATATGGGGTAATGGAATCGAATAGTCTGGAGTAATTAGTAACAGATTGGGGTAACCATGGAATACTGTACCCTATCTAGTATCGCCTGTGTTATCTCTTGGCCTCATATCCTAGGATCCTCCGTGTTTCTGCTTCATCCACCTCCACCTCTCCACCTCCACCAACCTACACCAACCTACACCAACCTACACCAACCTACACCACACCCATCCTCATCCTCATCCCATCACACTCGTCGTATAACCCACCCGCAGCCCCGCTCGCCCAGCATTGCGCCCGCTTCCATCCCCCACCCGGGTGATACACGTTGCCAGCCCCAACCCCCAATTCCGCGCTTCCTCCAACCGCCCGATGATCAGCGCCTGTTGCACTCCTTGACCCCGATACTTTGGCAGAGTGCTATCCAGGTACAGATGGGCCACTCCCACCCCGTCACTATCCGTCACTATGCTGGCCAACGCTGCTGTTCCCGCCACCTGCTCATCCACCTCCGCAAAATACAGCCTCGTGTCTGTGCGCCGTGTCGCAATTTCCGCCAGTGCTCCCAACAGCTCGCGCGATCGCCCGTTTGATGAAAATCCCGCAATTGACGCCTCCACGAATCTCTCCCGCTCGTGGGGCTCCACACGCCGCACCAGAACCTTGGACGGGTCGGGTCGGCGTGCATCGAGACCATCGAGACCCCCCGGATGTCGGGGAGAGGGAGACCGAGAGGGCTGGCCTAACTCACACCAGTAAGTCGCGAGCTTCCCTTTCTCTTCATACCCTTGCGATTTCAACAACGCAAAGTCTGCCGACGAGGCAAATGGTCCCAAATGGATCTCTGGCGTCAGCCCGCTAGCGGTGAAGAACTCTTCCAGCCCCCTTACATCCTCCTCGTCGATTCCTCTCGCATTCCCCATCCGACCGCCCGGTTGAGTTTGCCCCGGAAAATGGCTCGTGTTCGGATCGCGATTCCACCCGACGGCAGCGGCTGGATGGCCACATCCTCGTTGGGGTAAAGCTCTTGGCACACTTCCGCTTGACGACGAATGTGAAGCATCTCGGCATGCTCACAGCATTTGGTAGTGTCTATGTCCATCGGTTCCTCGGAGATGGAAATGGCGGGTGACATGGTATTCCGGATGATTCGGGGGACCCAGTATCCTATACGGAGTACACCTCAATGAGTTTGCGTAGATGTAGCCTGTGTCAAAGTAGCGAACTGGGCTCGATAGGTCAAGATCCGAGGAAGTACGCATTAGCAGTACTAGTCCAAGTCGAGTCATTGGTGACTCACATTGCACCTTACAATCGGGTTAAATTTACATAATCCCCTATAACTAGTCAACGACTAGCAGCCAAATTGGGAACGTTCACAGATCTGGTTTTCTGGGAAAGGTCAATTAGGTTTAATTTGAATTCCAAGGTTAGTTTCAACTAGAAGCTCATCATGATCTTAATTCGCCTTTTAAGACCTCCGCAATCGATCTCGCTACATATTCAACATTGCCCTCGTTGAGACCCGCAATGGATACCCGGGAATTATCGGCCATGTACACATGATATTGCTCTGCAATACCGGCATTAGCATCTCTGTCTTTTCCTACTAGCACATCGGTGCCCAGGTGGCTCGGACTTACCTCGAAGCTTCACTACAACCTCTGGCGACAATCCTAGAAACCCAAACATTCCCGACTGCCGGATCAAGTGATCCCAAGTTCCAGGCGTCTCCAATGCGATTAAATGATCATACAAGGCCTTCCTCATGGATCGAATACGATCGCTCATGGTGACCATATCCGCATACCACATCTGTTTGAGCTCCTCTGACCCCAACACCTGGCTGGCAATCTTGGCCCCAAAGCCAGGGGGGGTTGGAGACTTCGGATCGCTGGAGCATCTCCAGCATGGATTCTGTGTTGGTGGCCGCCCGTCCAGTATGGGTGGCTAACAGGAAGCATCCGACTCGTTCCCTGGCGAGTGTCAGCGAATATCAATCTCAGTCGAGGCAGCCACTTACCGTAAAGACCCATGTTCTTCGCGAATGAGACACACACACCGGCCTCCATCTCCATCTCCCCGATAAACAGTCGAATCGGATAGGCATCCTCGTCCAGGTTCCCCGAGTTGAACCCAAGATAGGCGGAGTCGAAGAGTGGGAATAGCTGACGTTCTTTCATGCGCCTCGCAATCTCCTTCCATTGCTCTTTGCTGGGGTCGCAGCCGGTTGGGTTGTGGGCACAGGCGTGGATGATAACGATCGAATTGGGCTCTGCATTATCCAACATGGAGTAGTATGATTCCACATCCAAGTCCCGCGTCTCGGGATCATAGTACTTGAAGCTCTCACAAGGGAACCCAAGGGATCCAAAGACCTGATGATGGTTGGACCAGGTGGGTGAGGGAATGTAAACTTTAGGTTGGCCATGACATGCGCGCAATAACAAGCCCGCCAAATGCAGAGAACCAGTGCCGGACAGGCTTTGGCAGGTTGCCACTTGACTCTGTCTCTGAGAATACAGATCAGACCCCAAGACCAGCTTGGCTGTCGCATTCCTGAAGTCGGCCAGGCCCAAAATGGGCAGATATTCGTGGTTTAATCCGTTGGCCAGTAATTGTTCGCGCGCTTTATTGACCGATGGCAGAACCCAGGGTTGACCATTGGCATCGCGATAGGTGCCCTGGCCCAGATTGACCTTTTGTGGGAATGTGTCGGCCACATACTTTGCGGTTAGGGCAAAGATGGCATCGGGAGGAATAAACCGAGCCTGGTCAAACCAGGATGATGCATTTGGAGTAGAGGCCATGCTTTCGTGGCGAGATGAAAGAAGGTTATTATGCGCATTTCCCGCGACCATGGATTGTTTTTTCTCTTTATTGTTCATCACTCACGGGTACATCGGATGGTGGCCCGAGAGTCGGCACGGTGACCGCAGTGGACCACTCTTTCAATATGAAGCTATCGCGGGGCACACAGGAGTGGGTGGAGGGGCAGTGGAGGGGGATAATGGAGAAATGAGGGGAGACAGCAAATCAGCAGAGGCCGATCGGATCAGCTCCGAGTGTTCTTATCACGCAGAGGATCCCTTCAGTGCATACTTCTACCGTGGGGAGTGAAGGTCTACTCGGTTCCACCCACCGACAGTCGGGACGCCGACCCGAAGTCATTAGAGAAAACGGAGAAATGAGAGAAATCCGATGGAAAAGCAGTTGAATCATGATCATTCATAATCCATCTTACCCCTCCCCCTCATTTGGTCATTTATGGTTGAAAAGAACCGATCCCCTCTCTTTTCATTCTTCCACATCTACTCATTTACTTCTACAAGTACTCTCTTCTACTCCCCTTGGCCTTCTCACGTCTCCCCCGTCTCTATAATTTAATATACTATTCACAATGGGCTCTCAAGCTGCTGTCTCCCCCAGCCTCACGTCCCTCCTTCGGGCGTCTGGTGCCCTGCTGTCAGCTTTTTCAACCATGACTCCGATTCCCTTGATCTTGATGCCCAGTCTAAATACTTCGCCTACCTTTCCACAACCGGTCTCGCTGGCCTGGTCATCCTCGGAACAAATTCCGAAGCCTTCCTTTTGACCCGCGAAGAGCGAGCCCAACTCATCTCCACTGCACGCGCCGCCGTTGGCCCCGACTTCCCCCTTATGGCTGGTGTGGGCGCTCACTCCACCAAGCAAACCCTCGAGCTCGCCCAGGATGCCGCCGATGCTGGTGCCAACTACCTACTCGTCTTGCCCCCAGCCTACTTCGGCAAGGCCACCAACATGAATGTCGTGAAGCGCTTCTTCTCTGAAGTTGCCGCCAAGTCCCCGCTGCCCGTCGTATTGTACAACTTCCCCGGTGTGTGCAACGGCGTTGACATGGACTCTGAGACGATCGTCGCCATTACCCGCGAATCGGCCTCCAAGCGAAATGGCCAGTCCAACGTGGTCGGTGTCAAGCTGACCTGCGGCTCCGTGGGTAAGATTACCCGTCTATCCGCAACCTTCTCACCCGAGGAATTCGCAACATTCGGTGGCCAGTCCGACTTCCTCATTGGTGGTCTCGCTGCTGGTAGCGCTGGATGCATCGCTGCTTTTGCCAATGTATTCCCCAAGACAGCTTCGAAGGTGTATGGATTGTACGCAAAGGGCCAATTCGACGAGGCGCGCAAGCTGCAAGGCAAGGCGGCGCTGGCCGAAAGCCCCATCAAGAGTGGCATCGCGTCGACAAAGTTCGCTGTCGCAACGTGGACAGCTCCTCTGGCTGGCATCCAGGGTGCTGAAGAGAAGTTAGCACCCCGTCACCCTTACGAGCCCGTGGGTGAGCCATCCAAGAAGGCTGTGCGGGAGGTGATGGCGGAGGTTGGCGTGCTGGAGAAGAGCCTGTAAAGAACTGTGGTTTTGACTTATGAAAACTTGTTATGAAATGAAATGCACGATAGAATTGGCCATCGGCCCCGACTGAATTCCGCTTTCGCTCAAACTTGCTGGAGATAATCTATACATCATCTTCGCGTAATTCAGCTCTATTGGGCTAGGCAGAAGCTCGCCAATGTAGGGGCCGAATATGAAATCGGCACTAAATATTGCCTGCCATCTTGAGAACTTGGGGCCATGGGATTAGAGCCGGCGTTTGGGATCGAATCACAGGAATGGCGTGATGTACCGCATGATAAGTGCTTACAGGGATCACGTTGAAAGTACATATTTGAGTGTACTCGTAGAAGCGACCGACGATAATAGTAATAATCATTGAATTGCCATCAAGAATACGGGGCTGGAAATTTCCCGAACATCCAATCGATCAGCCCATCGCCCCACCGGGCAGTTATGTTAATGTCTTTTTCAGCGGGGGAATTCCGATGTCAGAATAATTTTCGGATAGAAGCTTGGCCCCAGGTACAGTCGAGTAGTAGTCCCCCCTTATTACTGTTGTTTTTATTATCATACCCGAAACATAAAGGCATTTCTCACTGGTTTGTCTCTATGCGACAGATAGTAATGCTCTGAACAAATTCCCCCTGCTAACTAATACTAGCATGTACTCCGTAGGGCTAGCAATTATGTTGAAGTGCATTGCATTACTGCTATTAATACTTTGGAAGTTCCGTCAAAGTGCCGAGGTACAAACAACAGTGGAGATGACAGGATCGAGATCGCGATAGATTTTTCTGCGAGCCTCGGCAAGTTGTTCATTTTTTGTAGGGAAGAAACACTCGGCCCTGGCAAAACGGCCCCGCTGCCGTGAAGCCGACCAATAAACGACGTTCATTCCGAGACTGAGTCGGCCCGACGCCGACGAACAAAGAACTTGAAGTATACCACCAAGTACACTCGATACACTTGATACACTCGAGTATTGATAAACAAATGAGAAATATGATGGTAGATGGAGAGCAGGCATGGGTTTAAGATTCAATATGACCAGATTCTCTCATTATCTTTCTTTCTTTCTAATTTAGAGAAGAGTCTTGCAGCAATCCCTCTGGAACTATCAACCTCGAACTCTTCAAGTTGAACTCTTTTGAAATCCTCGTCTCGCGGGCCAGTGGGTCCGAAAATATCAACGTCCCGAAACAGAAACACCTCCGTGCTACTGTTGAATAATCCTGCAACAAAATCATTCCGATCCCTCGATTCAAATTCATTTGCTTCAGTCGTAACAAACTATTGTTTTCAACTCTTTGCAGCCCCTGTCCTTCCGAGTCACGACAACCTTGGAATATACCGCAAACTTATAAGCCGGGACCGAATACAATACCCGCATCACTCGAACGAAACTACATACACTCTCGATCACAAATCATGACGGAAACCTCCGTCGAGGGCGCTCGCCCTTCAGGCCTGCCTAACAAGATCCCCTTCTGGCGCTTGGTCACCGAGCCCGGTGTTGTCACCCAGGAAGTCGTCGATCATGAGTATGCGGGCTCCGGCACTGAAGATGATCCCTACGTCGTACAGTGGATGCCTCGCGACTTTCGCAATCCACTTCAGCTTTCTTCCAAGATGAAGTGGTCTATCACCCTCGTCGCTGCCCTTGAAACTCTCGTTGTCGCCTTGGTTTCCTCGGCCTACACTGGTGGTATTGTACAGATTGAAGAACAGTTCTTGGTGACTACCGAGATTGCAACTCTTGGTGTTTCCCTCTATGTTTTGGGCTTTGCCGTAAGTACCTCGTCAACTTCATGAATTTGCTGGATATGAATTCTGACGGCTATTTAGCTCGGTCCACTCATTTGGGCCCCGATGAGCGAGATGTTCGGTCGCCAGGTTGTCTTCATTGGCACCTACTGCGGATTGACGATCTTCTGTGCCGCCTGCACAGGAGCCAAAAATATCGAGTCCCTTATCGTTTTTCGCTTCCTGGCTGGTTGCTTCGGTTCCTCTCCCTTCACAAACTCCGGCGGTGTCATCGCCGATATGTTCGCCGCCCGCGAGCGTGGTCTCGCCTTGTCGGCCTTTGCTCTAGCACCTTTCCTAGGCCCTGTCATCGGTCCTATTGCCGGTGGTTTCCTTGGCGAGAATGAGGGATGGAAGTGGGTGATGGGCCTGTTGACCATCCTCTGTGGTGCTATGTGGTTCTGCGGTGCCGCATTCAAGCCAGAGACATATGCCCCCGTGTTGCTGCGCCAGCGAGCAGTCACACTGTCTAAAATGACTGGAAAACTGTATATCAGCAAATTGGACATTGATCAAGGTCGACCGGGCATAAAGGAAGCCCTGAAGACTTCGCTTTCTCGTCCTTTTATTCTCCTCTTCCGTGAGCCGATCGTTCTGTTGCTCTCGATTTACCTCGCCATTATTTATGGAACTCTCTATATGCTCTTCGGTGCCTTCCCCATCGTCTATGAGATTCACCGTGGTTGGAGCCAGGGTGTCTCAGCTCTAGCATTCCTTGGTGTGATGGTGGGTATGCTTGGTGCTATCGCCTACTCGATTCCCGAAAATACTCGCTACGGAAAGCTCCTCGAGAAAAATGGCGGCTATTCTCCTCCGGAAAGTCGTCTTCCCCCATGCATGATTGCCTCTGTGGCCCTTCCCATCGGTCTCTTCTGGTTTGCCTGGACGAACGATCCCTCGATTCACTGGATGGCGAGTATCGCGGCGGGTGTTCCATTCGGCTTTGGGATGGTTCTAGTCTTCCTCAGCGTTTTCAACTACCTAATCGACGCCTATACAATCTTCGCCGCAAGTGTCTTGGCTGCAAACTCCTTGTTGCGATCTTTGTTTGGTTTTGCATTCCCCTTGTTTACCACCTATATGTATCAGGATCTGGGGATTCACTGGGCCTCAACAGTGCCTGCTTTCCTTGCCCTGGCATGTGTTCCATTCCCCTTCATCCTTTACAAGAAGGGCCTTTCTATCCGCAAGTACTGCAAGTACTCCGCTCAGTCCGAGGCCTTTGTTCAGAGTCTTCTGCAGGGCTATGAGACAGCCGCTCCAGAGATGACTGAGACCGACGAGTCCAAATTGCCTGAGCACACAGCAGCCGACGTGACCGATGTGAGCTCCTCGGGATCTTCCACCACCGAGGCCGAAGAGCCTGTCGTTGCGCACAAGGTCCACACTGTGGACGCGCAGTCCATGCATCGCACGCTGTCTCGTGTCGCAACGCACCGCTCCGAGGTCCGCGCACTCTACGAGGGAAACCCGCTCGATATTGACCGTGTGCACACCCGCGAGTCCTTCAAATAGACGGGGCTGCAATGTTTCATCGGGCGTTCGGGGATGGTATAGAGCTGTCTGCTACATAATGTAATTACGGGAGCCTTTTTTGCATGTGTTCGGTGTTGGGTTGTTTAGCATTTCTATTTCAAATACATGGTATATTAGTACCAATAATGAAAATCATTATAATCATCTCTACTTGTTTCCCTCTTTCACTTCTGTATTTCCAACTTGAACTCATCAATTTTCGAGTTCACCTTTTGTATCCGCTTGCGACCCCAGGGACAACAGCTGCTACTACGGGCGATCGCAAAACCGTGGCAAATGGAGAAGTTGGAACAGAATCAATGGATTTCAACTAAGTCTCATGGCTAAACCAATTTCGTACCTTCCAAAGGGGTTCCCCTCTAACTTCATATATATCAATGATAGATTAAAACAGGTTGTGGGTTGTGTTCATGTCAAGTTGGTTTCCGTGGCCTGCACGACCAAGGGATATGGGTATCAAATTCAAGAAAAAGAAAGACATTACACATCTAGTGCACACCATTGGCAACACCATTGTGAACTCCGTTAGTCACACCGTTTATCTGCATCTTTTGGACGCTTTCCTGGAGCCCGTTGATTTTCTCGAGTGGAACACCAGGCGGGATACCGTTGGAGATGCTGCTCTTCTTGCGCGGACGGGCGGTCCAGATCGCCCCATCGTCTAGGAGCTCCTGACCAGCTGCAAGGCTCTTAGACGACTGTTCACCAAGCCATTCAGCCTCGAGTCTGTCAATATTTCCCTCGATCTCCCAGGCACGTCCGCCTTCGACGAACATAGAAGTTCCGTTGAGCGATGAATCGGTCAGCATACTAGCTGCAACAGTGGACACCTCACCAGGTGTATTTGTGGGAAGATCAGCTTGCTTCCACTGGTTTTCGATCTTTCGAATAGCCTCCGTCTCGGTCATCCAGGGGCAGATGGCGTTGATGCGGAGATTGTGCTTGTATGGGGAAGATACATAATTGCGTAGGGAGCGCATAAGGCCAATTACACCGTGTTTGGATGCCTGGTAGACAAAGAGAGATGGGCTTTCTTTGAATCCCGAAGCGCAAGAGAAAAGAATAATAGAGCGGTCGACGCTGGGTCCGCGGTTGTGACGCAAATAGACGGAGGCGATGCGGGAGACGTACATCGAGCCGAGGAGATTGACATCCAGGACTTTGTGGGTTGGTGTCTTATGGAAATTGTGAGCTATTCGATTCTTTTTTTTTCTATATCCGCTTGGGGTGTGTTTCATTTTGCTGCTTGGAAATTACAATGTATGCAAAGTTCCGCACAACACAAGAGACTTACCTCGCGGACGGTCTGTAGGGTCAACCCAAAATCAAACCAGTTGCCGATCTCCACTATTCCTGCAGCAGAGACGGCATGATCGATACGATTGTAGGTTTTGAAGGCGTTGTCAAAAAGAGCCAGAACCGATTGGTAGTTGGTGACATCGGTTGGATGGAAAACGAGACGTGGTGACTGCCCTGCCTCGTTGGCGGGAACTGTTCCTGGCCTTTACGAAGTAAACGCTCGCCAGCGATATTATCCAGGTCACCAAAACAGACGTTGGCGCCACTCTCCAGACACTGCTGGACGAGGCTGGCTCCAATTCCGTTCGCACCACCTAGGGGAGGAGTTCTCGTCAGCACCAACTAGGCAATCAGACATGCGAGTGATTCGAGGGGGTAAGGGGCCAGAAAGCAAAACGAAAAGGGTGGAGAACCGGAACTTACCGGTAATCAGAACCACCTTGTCTTGGAGAGACTGAGAGGAAATCTGGGGGATGTACTGCGACATTAGGGGCGGGGAAAGAAGTGGGTCAAGAGGGACGATCTGTTGAACAAGTTGATGTTGAAGGGAGAATTTGTAGTGACAAAAGACTCAAATGAAATCGAACAGCAATATGGCTAGATCGAGGGGGGTTTATATAACTGGGAGATTGGACGACGGAAATAAATGCCTCGCAATCCGAATGCCCAGAACCGGGCAGCGACACGGAATGGCATCATAGCCGATGCTTCAAGCCGGATGTTTCGCGCATGTTGGTGGAGAAAAGGGTGTGCGGGCACCAGAACCTTTTGCTGTCTCCATCAGACAACACAGAACAAATCATAAGCTACAGAGATGTCCCGAGTGGTGCAAGTCAGACCCGCCTTCAACCCAGCGATCGGCAAACGCTGCGGGGGGGGGTGGGGGGGGGGACTGATAGAATGTGGCCATGACGGCTAGATGCAGAGGCATAGTCTTTATAACACGGGTCATATTGCGGGAATATGATAAATTGAGTTACGAGCGACGCGGAAGGGAGGTTGCGCGAGAGTGTAACGCTGAAGACAAAGGCGTCGAGGCGGACCAAGCCAAAGCAATCATTGGTCTTTTCGGATGGCAGTCCTCCGGTGGTTGAAAGGTAATCTGCAACAGACTCGGAAAGTTAAGAGGTCATTTAAGTTACGGCTGTAACGCTGGAGCACACCCTGGTTTAGGCCAGGGGGAAGGGAGGGAGTGGCTTGGAATTGGGCTTGGAATCCAACGTCATTTGCCCGTGCGTGTCTGAAGACAGAAGGTATCCCGGAAATCAGCTGAATACGAGGGAAAAAGACCAAGACAAATATACTCCGTAGAATAAGGCAAATTCTGAACAAGTTGGAGAAGGGGAAGAGAGGGAAGAAGGGAAAGGGATATTTCAAGAGTCGGACTTAAGAGGAGAGAAGTATCGACTCCATAAAAAACAGACAAGTGCCCACTTCTCCACGATTTACGCAGATCCCCCAGACTGCAGACAGAAAAGAGAGAAGATCAATAAGAAATGAGAACTTAAATAAAATAAAATCATGTACTATTTTCATATGCTCTGGTTAATTAAACCGATGCCACGCAGTGAAGATCATTCCCTTCTCCAGAAATCATACAGGTGTGTGTCCGTGACCACCGCGCAGCCAAGCAGATGCAGTGGCGAAATAAAATAAAACAATAGGAAAACGGGGAAAGGAGGAAATAAAACATAAGAAAATGTTCGAGATCCTCAAATTCCAGACATTCAGATCATCCCAAGGGCCCTCCCCTGAATCAAAGAGCCCAAATCCATTCTATAGCACATTGTCGTCCCAATCCATCCTCCACCCCGACCCAACTTCTCCTAACGACGTAAAGAATCAACGCACAATCATCGAGGTCGTTGGTATGTACAACAGTTACCCCCACCGACTGCCGTTTAGCGGCGGGAAACACAGCACAGAATTCCCGACTTGCCCAAGAACCAAAGGGAACCAATGAAGCGGAATATGGACAGACCGGCTGTCGTCCACAGAATGGCCGAGAAATAGTTCGCAGTACGTGTAGTCGAGGTGTTTGTCAGACAGAATCGGTCGATGCCGGTGGCAGTAATGCACAGCACCACGAGCAGATTACTGAAAATCCACAACAGCACCAAGTTGGTTCGAAAGGCCTTGTAAGAGTCATCCATGCTCTTCTCATCGCCTTCCTCGGGGTTCTCAAACGGCGCCAGCGCGCGCTTGACGGTCGCTTCGAACTGGCTATCAATATCGGCCTGTGGCTTATCAACTTCCTCGATGAAGTTGGACTTTCCATCATCCTTTGCCGTCTTTGCCTCGGGTAAGGCTTCACTCTTGTCTGATCCCTTGGTACCCCACGAAACGTCGTGCCAGTTACAGAAGGCGTAGACCATCAGAATATTGATCGAGCAAGTCATACCACCGAAGTAGGCCCATGACGATGTAAACATGTGCCAGGGATCCATGTACAGGAAACTGGCGATGAAGTAGATACCGTAGGTCGAGACCAAGGCGATCAGGACAATACCGGCTCCGCTCGAGCTGAAGAAGGACTTCAAGAAAGCACCTATACCCTTGCTCATGTCGAAATCCAATGTACCTCCGGTGAAAGCATTCTTCACCAGGTAGAAGGACAAAACAAGAATGTAGCACTGAACAATCGAGAAGTAAATGAACGAGAGAGTGTATGCGAGACGCGAACCCTTCGGGCGGTTACCCAAGGCCAGGATGAACTGAAGCATCAGGAAGAACACATAGCCGTATTTCAGGAAGTTATTAACGATGGGCGATGCGTCATTACCAAAAGGCCAGCCTTTATCTTTGTTCGCGTCACTTGGTGTTCCCACCAGATCCATGATAACCGAAGTAGTAAGCCAGAACGAAGCTAGGATGTGTTAGCAAGAGATACCACTCGGAGGGTCAAGAAAAACGGGGGAGGACATACCGAGAGAAAACCAGGTCATAACTAGACCAGCAAAGTTATAGGTCATTTGAATATGAAGGAAGAAGAGACGAATGATATTATGGCCAGATTTATAGATCCGACCGAAATGCATCATGGCGTACAGACTGGCAGCGAACGAACCGTTCAACCAGCGACGACGTTGACTGATGAATTCAGCAGCTCCTTCAGGCACATCAGTCTCACCCTTGGACGCCTTGACATAGGTCAAGTGCCACTTGAAACCGGCCTTAGCCACCAGTTCGAAACAAAGGATACGATCCTCAGCAAGGAACATGTTCTTCTTGAAGATGTTCATGCCTTCAATACCCTTCTTTCCGAGTTGTTTTGAGAGTGTGTGGTCACCGTGAAAGTATTGCTCGAGGGGCCGGCCCATAATCGCGCGATACCGGTAGGCAGAGAAAGCACCAGGCAACACACTCACGTATCCAAAGGCACTCTCGAGGGGTTTGTCGAGAATGTTAGAGATCTTGTACTCAAAGTTTTGAGCAGCAACAAGCGGGTTCATCAGGTTCTTCCAGCCTTTACCCAACATGGCGTGAATCTCACCACACGATCCACCCAGGTTTTTGTCGTTGTAGAAGGACTCCCAGAGGGCCAGGAGAGACTTCTTGCCAGGCTTGGTACCCGCATCAATCAGAATCACAACCTCAGGGTTAAGAATACGAGAGAATCCGTTGAATAACCAACGATGGGAGTTGATCTTCTTGCTGTTCTTCTGCTTGAGACAGAAGATCATCTGGACTGGCGGAAGGTTTGTTGATTCGTTGCCTTGGGGTCGGATCAACTGTTGGTTCGACGTGACCGACAGCTGTGTAGTGTATTCGAAAATGTGGGCAACCGTTTCGCGACCGTCAACGGATCGCTTCATAATACCGTCTTGGTAAATACCGACTGTCGCAAGCATGTCGAGGGTGTTCTTGTCGCAAGGGTCGATACCATCGAAAACCAGGGTACAGACGATCTTTTGCCAAGCAGGGCCACCCTTATTCCAGAACTCAGATTTCTTCAAGTTGACGATATCCCGGATGTTCTGCATAACACCATGCAGAGTTCGAGCGGTGAGAACCTTGTCTTCGTTGTAATAGGTGATGGCAATCAAAAGCTCGGTGTGTCGGTTGTACATGGCAGGACGCAGGTTGTAACCGTTGCGCAAGGTAAATTCGTCTGGATCGCAAGTAGCGGCGGTGTCTAATCCGAGGTTAGATATGCACCCAATTCCGGGTGACTGTTCAATACTTACAACGCAGATGAGAAAATTCCTCCGGGAATCCCTCCTCCGACTCGCGATATTCCCGCTGAATGGCATTCTGGATTGCACTGGGAACGGGGTAGTCCACACTCAGGACTGAGCCCTGGACCAGTTTGATCTTACGGGTCGCGTAGCGGCGCAGGCCCGAGGCAGGCGCATTGCGTTGCTGCCAGGCATCCGAGGGGGTCTCTGATGCGGGAGTCGAAATTCCAGATCGGCGATGCAAACCCATGTTGGGGTCCTGGCCGCCCGGGAAGATCGCAGCACCGGTATCCTGCAGGGAGTATCGCGTCATACCATCGTTCATAGAGTCCGACACGCTGAGGGGGCCAGGACTGGCAGCGTTGTGACTCTGTTGGTAAGGGTTGGGGCTCGTCGACATGCCACGCTGGGGGTAGAAGCCCGAGTTCGCTTCTTCGCCGTGGCCGAGGAAGGGGATGGCGGCATCGGAGTGTTGTGCTTCAGCGTGCTGCTGGTGGTGGTATCCGTCCTCGTACTATCCAATGGGCGCGTGTTAGCTGTTTTGCCTCGTCCTGACTGAGCACGAGGATGGCCACTTACCGGAGGAGCAGTGGAAGAGAAGTCGCTCTCACTACGCCCATGGAAGGGCGACCCGTAAGGTGAATGGGGTTCATGAGGGGAGGTCGGCTGTGGGGGGACCCATTTTGCTCAGCTCCCCGACAATCGGGGGGTGCTTCTGGGACAATCGAGGGATGTCACGAAGTCTGAGAGAAATGAGAAGGGGGGGTGGCTCAACGAAAGAGAGCTCGCCGTTTTATCGAAATCTGGGGAGTGATGAAGAGAGAGAGAGAAAGAGAAGCAACGAAAGAATGAAAGAGAAAAGAGAAAAGAGAAAAAAGGCAAGTTGCTTTGGGGAGGACCAGCACTAGAACATCCAAGGAGAATAATGCCAGATCTCCTGGGACACAACCGGTAGCCTTGTGAAGATCGGGCGATCCGTCAGAAAAGTGGGTTAGAAAGACGGCGCGAGGCGTTGGAACGAGGGCGGATTGGGATTGAGATTGCAGAAGGTGGATGGGAGGAGAGGAATGAGGTTCAACCGTTGAAAGAGAACGCGCGATCGCAAAGAAGGTTGGTCGCGGCTAAGAATAGGGACGCGGGAATCTTTTCTGGAAGCACACACAGTAGGGCCAGGCTGCACCAGCATAACCCGAAAAGATATTTTTGGTTCAGCAGATTTTCAGAGGCGGCGATGCACAGCACAGGGAAGGGTGGAGGCATCAGCAGCGCTTGTCGTTCGTCATCTGCTCCTCCAACGACTCCACCGGGACCCGCGTCCGAGACACGCTCTGCACCGTTGTTCCCCTGCGCCCAGGGCCTTTGCCACAGTGAGAGTAAGCAGCTAAGCAGCTGCTGAACCAAGAATAGTAGTCGCCTGGGGTGGGTGTGCTTGGGTGTGCGTGGTGTACGTGGTGTGCGTGTGTATACGTACCGCGGGTGCGAGTTGGACTCCGATGGCCCGAGCAATTGGTTGCTTCATCTGACTCGTCGACGATGAGGAGGATTGGCGGGTCATCGATGCAACGTGAGTGCACATTGGTTGAAGAGGCTGATGGGGGGGGGGGCCTATCCAATGTATTGTGATTCCTCTGTTTCGCTATCCCTTTCCCCAGGGGAACGCAGTGCAGCATGCAGGAAAGGTGGATTCATGGCCTTCAAGTTTCCAAGGTGATGATACGAGTACTCCGTACTCCGTAGTCATTGTGTGTTTCCTTTTGTCTTTCCACCTTATAGTACAAGTAGTACAAGAAGTAGTCACTGTACATACTCGCACTCGCATGGGTCACAACGCCTCCTCTCAGAAACCCACACAGACGCGGGCTGAGGGGCCGAAAATTGCCGGAGATGACGACAATGGCGGAGGGTAAAGATCGGCCGTGCCCCAGGGGCGCATTTCGAATAAGTGGCCGTGACCCACCAGGGTCCACCTTGGAATGAGGCTGGCCATTGAAATAAAAGTGGGCGTGGGTGTGGCAGTGGAAGGGGAAGTGAAGTGGGAATGGAATGGAAGTGGAAGTCTCCAGAGTGTCTCCATTGAAGAGCCTCGTTGAGGTGGTCACGTGGTGAGTATAGGGGAGATAGAGTATAGCATATAGCATATAGCATATAGCATACTAGTATACTAGTATACTAGTGGGCTTTGAAGTAGCATTAGAGCAAATTGAAACTCGACACAGCTACATACTACTAGTAGTAGTACTAATAACAACTTGAAGTAACTTTCACTGGTATGTTGATCGAGCACATGAATGCCCACGGGTACGTACAGTAGTACTAGTATTGAGTACCTAGGTACCTAGGTACTGATCAGTCTGATTGACATTCATGGCAAATCCATGATTATAGTAATAGTAGTACCCATACCAGCCCTGGAGCCCTCCCAGTCCTGAGTGCCCCCAGGGCCACCTGGGCAGGTGTGTCAGTGTACCGAGGGTAGTCGGGAACTTGAATATACCAGGTCGCCATCCCTACATATTTAAATACCATTTAATACCTCACATACAGTAGTACTATGGTATTGAGGGCTTAGATTAGTATTCATAGAGTATTTGCCTACTAACGGGTGCCTAGTAGGTGACAAAATAAGCAAGGCAGGAACGCGTAGATACATATATATTACCACCACCACCACTATATTTTCCTCCTTCAAGTCCTTGTTTACCCTTGGCCTTTTGTCCTACAATATGCTGTAATAGAAATGAATAACCTCACTAACCTACAGAACTAACCTACAGTCTTTCACTATTGCAATTGCAACGCGTTTTGGCCTTGGCCCTTTGGCACCCCAACGCGTTGTGGCCCTGGTGTTTTGGCCCTAGTGTTTTTGGTCCAGTAGTAGTAAGTAGTACAAGTAGCTGAGTAGTACTATATTATTAATACTTCTACACCTACAGAATACCCTAAATACCTACTAAGTAGGCAAATACCGTATTTGAAAAAATGCTTGGAAAAACTCCGCATGTTAGTGAATACCGTATTCTAGCTGAATACCGCCCGCATTTATAGCGTATGTATAAGGTATTGAAATATGCCCTGGGGGCGGGATGGTATATAGTACCTAGGTACTAGTATACTAGTATACAGGTCCATCTCCAGGGCTGCAGAGATCGGACTTGACAGCGAAGGCGGAATATTACTACTAGTAGTACTAGTCTGATGCTGACATTAATTATTTACTACTACCACCACTACCACTACTACTACTACTACTACTCCGAGTATTCCTAGGTTGGCTGATCCTGTTGATCCCGGACTATACCCCGATGCATCGGCTAATGCAGTGAAACTGCCGTGGCTAATCATTGCGGGGTAATTTGGTGAAGAGTATTATTACTATTAGTATGAGATCCACTGGGAGCTAACATTTTGGTTTTGATTTAGATACGAATACTACTCTTGGTACATTACTAGTACTATCCTCCAGACACTTGAACTACTCTCTACCATGCCTACAAAGCCCACCTTCGACTCTCTCCCCCTTCACCCCGATGGCCCCCGAGGCAACGCATGGGGTCTCTTTGGAGACAAGGACCAGATGGGTATGTTGAACCTGCTCACCTCGGAAAATACCGCGGCCGCAGCCAAGGAGATTGTCGAAGGGGTGCGCGTTTCTACCGATTGGCCGCTCAATAGTATGGCCACGCCGTGCTTCGGGCGGGCGGCATTTCAGCATACCATCAAGAACAAGGCCCCTCGCCCAGTAAATGATGATATCCTGGTCTTGAACACACAGAGTAGCTCTCAATGGGATGGCTTTCGGCACTTTGGGGCTAAGGATGGATCCTTTTACAATGGATGCTCTCAGCACGATATCGAGAGCTCGACTCGGAATGGAATCCACGGTAGGTGGCCCCTGGAGCTTTGGCCCCGAGGAAAAACTGACATAGCTGACACGAAATAAACATTTGATAGTCTGGGCGGACAACGGCGGTATTGTCGGACGCGGAGTGTTGCTCGACTATGTGACATGGGCCGAGGCGAAGGGAAAGCCCGTCAACTGCTTCGAGGCCCAGTCAATCCCACTTGATGATCTGCTGGAGGTGGCTGATAGTCAGAAGACAACCTTTCGCCCCGGTGACATCTTGTTCATCCGGACCGGCTGGACCCGTGCGTACGAGAAACTCACCCAGGCGGAGTGCGAGCAACTCGCCAACTACGCGGCACCTCCAGTGATCGGGGTCAAGTCATCAGAGGCCATTCTTCGCTGGATCTGGGAGACTGGGTTCGCCGCCGTTGCCGGTGACCAGCCTGCATTCGAGGCGTACCCATGTCAGAATTCCGACTTCTTCCTGCATGAGTGGCTGCTGGCGGGCTGGGGAGTACCAATCGGCGAGCTCTTCGACTTGGAGCGACTCAGTCGGGAATGTCGTCAGCGTGGAAGATATACCTTTTTCTTCAGCAGTGTTCCATTAAAGGTGAGATGAGAATTCGACAATGCTGCAACTGCTGCAACTGCTGGGATTTCCATTATCATTGACTTGTGCTAACCAGATCAACAGGTCCCTGGGGAGTGGCGAGTCCTCCGAACGGGGTAGCTATTTTCTGAGTGGCATCAATCAACCATTTCAATAATGTCCATGTATACAGCCTAGAGTACCCTGAGAGTACCCTAGAGTATATGTAGTTGATATCTTGTAGTCCCACACCCTTGGGGCACTTGGGGCATCCCCGCGGAGTTCCATCGGACCGAAGATAAGAAAGATAAGAAAGTGTGGGGGAGCCTCTCTTCCTCTCTCCCTCTCTCCCTCGGACCACCTTCACACCTTCACACCTTCACACCTTCACCCCTCTTCCCCCTGACTATGATATGTCCTGGAAATGGTCCATGGAAAAGTCTCCAAAAGGGACCGTCAGGTTCATCGGTCGATGGTAGCGTATGCGCGCCTCCTGCAATGAATGGGTGAACTAGCGCTGATCTCATGCATGGCTAGATGCAATCGATGTCGCAATCGCAAAACTCGATGCGCCGGTAGCCCACCTCTTCCCTGCGCTGCATGCCTTGATGTCGGTCAGCCGTGTATCTACTCAGAGGCCGAGAAACGTGTCTCCATCACTGAGAGGTGAATTCCCTGTTAATCCCCTCTAGGAACTATCGCAAAAACACTACCCGCTGATACTCATACTCCCAGTTACTTTCGTCAATTGCAATCGCAGGTTCGCACACCCCATACCCCCAATGGCTCGAATACGTATTCCTCGAAGACCCCGGACATCTCCAATACACCCGAAGAGCTCCAGGTTGGCTCTCCCCCAGTCGACCGACCCCGTCGAGCGGGCCATCCACCGCTACCCGAGGCTCGGAAAGTGAGATGATGCCGTTGGAGCGAGATGACTGGTGGTACAAGGGGACAGACAACCTGTTCCTGAATCGATCTGGAGAACATCGTATGCACGACACCCAGGTCCCCATCCTGGGAGTCGGTCCCTTGCTGACATGACGCTCTATCTCAGACTTTGTGGGCGCATCATCGACCACCCATTTGGCTAAGCGTTTGAACCCGACATCATCAAACCTAGCTTGGGATGTGCGCCCGCTTTATGATGATCCGTCATCGCTAAGACGACCGGTCGCGGGCGCTCTGCCCCAACTCCCACCCTTTGACTTTGCGAAGCGCCTCTTCTGGGTACAATATGCCTATATCGGAACCATCTTCTCCCTCATCCATCCGAAAGAATTCGAAGAACGTCTTGATTTTGTATACCACCAGCCACCTGACTTCTCCCACCGGGAAACATGCCTCGTCTACTGCCAATCCCTTCTGGTTATTGCATTCGGCTTGATGTATTCGGTGAACCAGTGGTCTGGCGATGATGGACCACCAGGATTCAAGTATTTCAAACATGCTTTGCGACTTTTGCCCGACATATACGAAGAGGGCTCGATCTTTTTCGTCGAGGTGCTGTGCTATGTAGCATATTATATGCAGAACCTCAACCGGAGAGACGCCGCTTTTCTCTATGTATGTCAGATGCAATACTTGTTTCATCACGAGAGAGGCAAGCTGAACTTATATATCTAGATCGGACTCGCTCTCCGCATGGCTATCTCACTGGGCCTTCACCAAGAAGTATCCGACCAAGACATTACCCCGACAGACCGCAATCGCCGACGGCGAGCTTGGTGGTCGGTTTATAGTTTGGACCGGTAGGGTGTCCCGAACACTCCAGCGAAAGTCCTTAATTGATTAAATCAACAGAATCCTGTCGGTCAAATCCGGAAACCCCATCACCATTCACGACGAGGATATTGGTATCACTTGGCCGGCTGCACTGGTAAGTCGGGTCATATAACCAGCCCAATGGCAGCTCTAATCGCTTTTTCATAGGATGGATCAACCTCAGACCCCTGGCCGGGCATTGTCTTAACTCACTATACACAGCTCTCTCGAATCTTGGGACGAATCGGTGAAGGTAGGCATTAGAATAATTGTATACTTTTCTCATGGCCCTCGGACTAAAATTTGGTTCCACAGAGATTTATCGAAAGAAACCTCGCTCCGGGTCGAATCTCATCATGTCTGTTCAGAGTATCACAAATGACCTCTCCGGCTGGCTGCGACAAGTGCCCGATCGCCTTCGCATTGACTTTACTACCCTCGATAGTCCCATCAACCGAGAATCGGTTTCTATAAACTTACATTTCTATTCATGCGTGAACATGACCGCGCGCCCCCTGGTGTTCTATGTCATCCAGCGAAGGCTAGATGCTGGGATGATGGGTGCTTCCGCTGAAGACTGGAAAGAAGGTTTGGCTCCGAACACAGTCGCGGTCATCGATAGTTGCATCACCGCTGCCCGTGCCACCACAATGATCATGGATGCAGCCGCCAAGCAAAACTTAATCGGTAAGTGGCGAGGCTTTCTGTTTGAGCTACATGTCCGCGTATTGACTTTTTCATCTGGCAGCTACGTATGGCTATTTAGATGGCGAGTACATCTTCTCTGCGGCATTATTGCTCGTCATGGTGAATGCAGCATTCCCGCACAATGAGACCAGTGCGCGATCGATGGAGACTGCTCTTACTCTGCTACGAAGTATGGCCGACCGTGGCAACGCCTACTTGGGTTCACGCCATTCCCTTCTTCTGGAACTACGGGCTTCGATCGGACCCAAACCCGCCGGAAACGATCTAGATGGTCCAGGTGCTACGCTCGTCATCCCACCGAGTCCCAACGGTGAACATGCGACCGGTACTACGACGCTGGCAGATCCTGAGCCTCATCCCACAGTACCGACGGAGGATTGGCAGTCGGACCTACCATCCTTCCAGGATATTTCTTTCCAGTTTGATCTGAATGATGACCCGGCACTGTGGGAGGGAGCGTTGAATCAGATCGATATTGACATGGATACCGACTGGATCGAAAACACTCTGAAGCGTTTATAATGTAGTAGTACTAGTATCTATTTTATGTACAAAATATTAGCATATCTGCACTCGGCTCAATTCACTCATATTTAGCTACCAGTGGCTATATACTACTACATTATCCTCGCGCCATCACAAGGACTCGGATACTAGTCATACCTCCAGGGCTAGTAGTGCCCATGGAGAGTCCCGTAATGCCTATCCCAGCCTGAAGATACCTAGGTATATATTATCAATCCTCGAGCCTCGGGTCAACAACAGTGGCTCGGCTACTCCCACGCTTCGGTGATTCTGCAATTTGAACAGATTTACCTCAATATCTTTCAAATCGCGAGTATACTATTATCTATTCTATTCATTTGTAAACTCTCTCTACTCTCTTTTCTCTACCTACTACTACCTAGTAATACTACGAGTACTAAATCTCCCCTCGTCGATCTCGGCCCGGCACTCCCGATATAAGTCACGTGTCGGCCCGATATCTCTTCACGATGGTGAAATCCGGGGGATTCCAGAGTAATCAAAAGTGTATAATACAGAGGGGTATTATCTGGCAGTTCCGATCTCCTCATTTTCACTTTCTTTCATTTCATACACACTTTCTATTTTATCCCATTTCACAGCCCTCACTTACGATGGCTGACTCTGGGAAGATTACCATCTCGATCGACCGCGGGGGCACCTTCACTGATGTTCACGCCATTGTTCCTGGTCGTTCTGACATTATCTTGAAACTCCTCTCAGTTGACCCCGCTCACTATCAAGATGCTCCCACAGAGGGTATCCGCCAAATTCTGGAGCTCGCTACTGGTGAGTCACATCCTCGTGGCCAGCCACTAAAGCTCGACCGGATTGGGTGTCTTCGCATGGGCACAACAGTAGCCACCAATGCATTGCTAGAGCGCAAAGGTGCGCGATCAGTGCTCTTCACTACCAAGGGATTTCGTGATCTACTCAAAATTGGTGATCAGTCTCGTCCGGCGATCTTTGACTTGACTATGGCACGCCCGGGCGTGCTTCCCGAGGAGGTCGTTGAAGTTAATGAGCGGGTGGTCCCTTGCCATCCTGCCGCAGATATTGACTGCTTCTCAGAGGCTCGTGTGGTCGAGGGCATCACTGGCGAGAAATTCCGCGTGGTGCAGGAAATGGATCTTGACCATGTGCGGTCAGAATTACAACGTCTTAAGGCGGCCGGCTACCAATCTCTCTCCGTGGCCCTAGTTCACTCGTTCGCCTACCCTGAACATGAACGTCAAATTGGCGAGATCGCACAGCAAATGGGATTCTCTGTCACGCTATCTTCAAAACTGCAGCCTATGATCAAGATTGTACCTCGCGGCATGTCAGCTGCAGCCGACGCCTATCTCACGCCTGTCATCAAGACTTACATCGATTCAATATCCTCCAGTTTTGAGGGTGGCCTCGAGAAACAAGAGCAATGTCGCTTTGAATTTATGCAATCAGATGGTGGATTAGTCGATTTCCGCAAATTTAGTGGTCTGAAGGCCATTCTATCCGGCCCCGCTGCTGGAGTCGTTGGTTTCGCTGCCACGAGCTGGGATTCTGTTGAGAAAACTCCAGTTATTGGTTTTGATATGGGCGGCACTTCCACCGATGTTTCTCGTTTTGATGGACACCTAGAGCATGTCTTTGGCTCCAAGGTTGCTGGAATTCTGATTCAATCACCCCAGCTCGATATCAATACCGTCGCTGCAGGTGGTGGGTCGATTCTCTCCTGGCGCAATGGCCTCTTTTATGTCGGTCCCGAATCCGCCAGTGCTCATCCTGGACCAGCTTGCTACCGCAAAGGAGGCCCATTGACAGTGACGGATGCCAATCTGTTCTTGGGCCGGCTCCTCCCGAGTATTTCCCTCACATCTTTGGACCTAACGAGGATCAGCCGCTTGACTTTGAAGTCACAGCACAAAAGTTCCACGATCTGACGCAAAAGATCAATGTCGAACGTCGCCAGCGTTTCCAGTCAGAGTACACACCAGAGGATGTCGCGCTCGGTTTCCTCAAGGTCGCTGACGAGTCAATGGCCCGACCGATCCGCAACCTCACTGAAGCCCGTGGCTTTGAAACTGCCTCTCACCATTTGGCCTGCTTTGGTGGAGCGGGAGGTCAGCACGCCTGCTCGGTGGCTGATTCTTTGGGTATTTCTCGCATAATCGTTCATAAATATTCTTCGATCCTGTCGGCATATGGCTTGGCTTTGGCCGAGGTAGTAAAAGAATCCCAGGAGCCGGTCTCAACTGACTACCTCTCCTCGCATACTACTCTCCTCCAGCGCTTTGACGGCATGGCATCGGAAGCAACAAAGGATATGCTATCGCAAGGCTTCCCCTCTAACCAGGTCCGCCACGAACAATATTTGAACATGCGCTATGAAGGCTCCGACACTAGCTTGATGATTTTGCGCCCCGAAGAATCAACCGACTTCATGAGCGAATTTCGGGAACGCCACCGCCGAGAATTCAATTTCAACTCTGAGAGACCGGTTCTCGTCGATGATATCCGTGTGCGAACGATTGCTTCGACCCAAGTCCGCACAGAGCGCAGCCCTCTACTGCAGATGAAGGAGACCGACATCCATGACGTGAAAACTGCTCCTGCTAATACGACTACTGCTTACTTTGATGGCTACTCCGAGCGTATCAAAACGCCGGTGTATCTTTTGGATCAACTCGAGAAGGGCTCCCGCATTTCTGGTCCTGCAGTCATCATCGACAAGACCCAGACCATTGTTGTCGCCCCCAACGCAGTTGCGCAACTCCTCGAAACCTGCATTGTCATTGACTTGCAGGACAAGGTGAAAGCTTCAACCCCGGAAACCCAGGTGACATCGGAGGTCGACCCCATCCGCCTCAGCATCTTTGGCCATAGATTCATGTCCATTGCGGAGCAGATGGGTCGGACTTTGCAAAAGACGTCCGTTTCCACAAATATCAAAGAGCGCCTGGACTTTTCATGTGCTCTCTTCTCGCCCGATGGTGGACTAGTTGCCAATGCCCCTCATGTCCCGGTTCATCTGGGATCCATGCAGTTCGCAGTTCGCTACCAGCATGAGAAATGGCTGGGAAACCTGAAAGATGGTGATGTGCTTGTGGCCAACCATCCTACATGTGGTGGAACTCACTTGCCTGATATCACTGTAAGTTGCTGTGTCATAAATATTCTATTACTATTATTTTCTTTGTTACTAATCTTCATCACAGGTTATCACCCCCGTCTTTGACAGACCTGGTGGAACTGAAATTATGTTCTACGTTGCTTCCCGTGGTCACCATGCCGACATTGGCGGAATCCTCCCGGGCTCTATGCCTCCCAAATCCACTGAGCTTTGGCAGGAGGGAGCTGCCATTGAAGGCGACAAAATTGTCAGCAACGGTGTCCTGGACGAGGCACGTCTTATTGAATTGTTGGTTACCAAGCCTGCACAATACCCCGGATGTTCAGGCGCGCGTTGTATTAGCGACAATCTGTCCGATCTGAAGGCCCAGATCGCCGCCAACACCCGCGGCATCAATCTTATCCAAACATTGTTTGCTGAATACGGAGTGGAAACTGTCCAAAAGTACATGTATGCCATCCAGGCAACCGCCGAGACAGCCGTGCGCAATCTCCTCAAGGGTCTTTACCATAAGTTTGGCGGACAGCCCTTGGAAGCGGTGGATTATATGGATGATGGCACGCCCATTCGCCTGAAGGTTACCATCGATGGGACCAATGGCTCAGCCATCTTCGACTTCGATGGCACTGGCCCTGAAGTGTATGGTAGCTGGAATGCTCCGATTGCCATCACCCACTCGGCAATCATTTACTGCTTGCGTTGTATGATCAACGCAGATGTCCCACTGAACCAAGGATGTCTGGCCCCTATCAACATCCAAGTTCCCTCACCAAGTATTCTATCGCCCACCAGGACCGCCGCCGTGGTCGGTGGCAATGTGGTGACCTCGCAACGCATCACAGACGTGGTCTTCAAGGCCTTCCAAGCCTGCGCTGCTTCCCAGGGTTGCTGCAACAATCTTACTTTTGGGACAGACGCCAAGATCGACCCTTCTAGCGGCGAAGTGATCAAACCAGGATTCGGATACTACGAGACCATCGCAGGTGGAAGCGGTGCAGGGCCAACCTGGAAGGGCGAATCAGGCATCCACGTCCACATGACAAACACGAGAATCACCAACCAGAGATTCTCGAGAAGCGCTATCCAACCTTACTCCGCCAGTTCACTCTGCGCGAGGGATCCGGAGGCAAAGGCAAGAACCCCGGTGGCGAGGGTGTGATTCGTGAAATCGAGTTCCTTTCACCAATTCAGTGCTCGATTCTTTCTGAAAGACGTGTGCACCGTCCTTATGGGCTCGAGGGTGGTGGCGATGCGCAGACCGGTCTGAACCAGTGGATAACGAAAGACGAAGAGACAGGCGAGGAACGGCGAATTAACATCGGCGGTAAGAATACCGTTGCTATGAAGACACATGATAGGATTGTCATTATGACTGCCGGTGGTGGTGGATGGGGAGCCGTTGAGGCTGCTGCATAAAGTACGTTCAAGTAGTAGTCAACTATAGCATGGGATATTTGGACATAGACGATACATATCACGAAATTTATACAATGATAGATCTTCTTTCAAAGCACCCTGGACACGTTTCGACAAGGGAATTTATTGATAATCCGAAAAATGGTATTGTAGGAAAAGACACCTGTCTATGCAAAGGGGGCTTTCTATTGTTCGTAAAAGAAGATGAAACGGACATGTCGAGATGGAAAGGGCGTTGTCGTGAATCGTAGACGCCAGTAGACCTGGCCACCGGCGCAAATGCGAAAGATGCATGAAAAGGTTTAAGCAAGAAATCACGAGCCAGAGATTGTGAACAAATGGTGTTTGCTAGGTTATGACACCTCTATCACAATGCGACCTTCCAACTGCGGGGAGATACCAGACGTCCAAGGGGGCGTGAATTCGCCCTCCCCATCAGTCATATTGAGGTAGTTGGGCTGGAGGCCAGCGTGTCGCATCCACTTGCGTACCACCCGCCGAGCCAACTGCAATCGATAGTCTTCGTCGGCTGAAGATCGTGCGGGTTGGGTAACATAGTTAATTCGTGAGCGGGGTGAGGTTAGAATATCGGGATCATCGTCCGAGTCCGAGTCCATCTCGTCGGTATTGGTTCCACTGTCATTGGTACTGGCAGTGAGAGATACAGCATCAAGGTCAGCCTCCTCGGGGAAGCGTCCATAGTAATGAGTGGATCGAGAAGTTCGTTTCAGGGCTGGTCGCGAGTCAAAACGATGCACTGGTGCCTTTTCCGAGACCGGTGACACCGCTGCAGAGGGTGGCTTCAACCAGCCCTCGCCGTGCAAATTGCGATGCACAGAGCCCCAGTGTCTATGCAGACTGGCACTCCAGCGTCCCCATTTACCGAGAACCTTCAAGCTCATAAAGTATTGGCGTAGAATGGTGCTGATCAAAACGCCGTTCTCTTCACATACGAGTTCCTCGACCTCGCCTCCCTCGGATTTGACCAACAAAGACGAGAAACCGTCCTTGCCCCGGCCCATATATCCGCGTGTTGCTAGGACATAGTTCTTCTGGAGGTCGATGGGTTTTCCACCGATGCGAGCAAATGTGATTCGTGATCCACTGGGCGCATCGGGTTTGAATCCGAACGAGATGTTGGACACTTGGGTGAACCGGCCTTCGAGTGCCGGCAGCTGGCTAACACCATTTTCCAATGCGTCAAGCACTGCCTGACCTCTCGCACGCAACAGGACAACGGGATCTTCAAAAGGGAAGCAGTTCAGCAGGTCTTTCAATCGAAGAATGCCCGGTGGATAGATTTGGTCACCGCGGATGGTCCCGCCTGCCATCATAGCACAATCCGCTGCATAGTAGAACCGCATCAAGTCACAGACGAAGTTTCCCAAGTTCGATTCGCGTTGTCGCACCGTCGAGAAGCGGCCGTCTAGAGGGGTCACCGTATACCCCACGGGCTTTTCCAACTTGGCCCTGAGGCTGGAAGTGAGTCGCTCGACAAGCGCGACCGTCGATGCTTCCTCCGGGAGCGAACGAGTGACATCTCGTCGGGTAATGGTGAAGTCCCAGCCCGAAGCTCCATCTGATTTGCGGAATGCTTCGATGTAGCTTAGCTGTTTGAAGTCGGTCCCTGAGCGGAGAATATGGGTTCCATTGACCACAGAGTGGGCGTAGTAGTGATCATGGCCACCTAAGATGATATCGACCAATCCTGCCGGTAAATTGTTTGCTAATTTATTATCATTCGGTTCGCGTTGATGGGAGACGACGACAACCAGCTCTGCTCCTTGCTCTCGAAGCTGTGGCGCCAATATCTTGGCGGTTTCAGATGCGGATTTGTAAATCAGATCGGGAGGAAGGGAGTTGATTGTCCCGAGCCTAGTCGCGGCGTTAGCTCCTGCGAAAATTGTGTCTGCGAGGCAGTGGCACGGTGCCTGACCATTCCCTTTCACCGAGTCCAATCACACCAACCTTGATCCCATTCGATGAGGTCAACATGCATGTTTTGCGGCAATTGGCGATGGGCACATCGTCTCCCAGTGCAGGGTCAAGGACATTGGCCAGTAACCAAGGGAAATGGCATTGGCCGGCCAAGTGTCGAAACTGTGCGACGCCAAAATCCAAATCGTGATTCTAATTGGGTTAGCCAATCCACAAATGTACAGTAAATCTGTAGGACTCTCATCCCACCACCGCCCGATATCCAATCGAAACGATTGCGTTACTCACACCAACACAAGCCACGTCCGTGCCCACTTTATTCAGAAATGGCACCATATGCTTCCCTTTTGTGACAGTACTTTCGAGGCTAGGGTTGAAGGCATCGCCGGAGAAAAAGGTGAGGGCATCGGGCTGGCCGGCAAAGCGCGGGTCGGAGCGGTAGAAGTTGACGAGAGATTGGAAGCGCGGGGTACCACCAATGGGTTCTGCCGATCCAGCCCTGAGGGAGAGGGTTGAAAGAGTAAGCAATCATTCACATGGAGAATATGAATTTGGAGTTCGAGCGATCGGGGTTTGGGGATTGGGGATTGGGGATCGGCGAGAGGTTGGGCCATTCATACTCAACGTGATACACATCATTGTAGTGGAGCAGGCGCAGATCCGGAATACGGGTACATTGCGAGTCGTACGTGACGGAGATACCGTCGCTTTCGAGGGGGGACATGGAAGTACAATGGGAGAGAGAAAAAAAAGAAATTGAGAAGTGGGCGAAGGGGGGAGGAGGAAAGGCAGGGGAGGAGAGGTGTTTACGAGGGATGAAAGGAAGATGAAAGAAGAAAGAAGGAAGAAGGCGGGGCAAATCCGGGGAAGCCACGCCAAGACTTGGCCAGTTGGCGGAGATATCAAAGATATCAGCAAGGGTCCCATGATTGAGGTAGTACCATGGAATGGGAGAGAAAAGTTGACAAAGAAAGATCCAAGATGAATGGGAATGGGAATGAAAATGAAAATGTAAATGCAAGTGCAGCTACAACTGCAAATGTAGATTGAATGTGCTAATGCCCCGCGCCATGCAATGAGGTATCCTAAACAAATGAAAGAAAAGAGAAAAGAGAAGAGAGAAGAAAAAAAGGGAAAGGAAAAGGAAAAATCCCTGTACGGCCATGAAACAGCCCTCATGATCATAGCTTCTGCTCAGCGACTGTCCATCGCCGTCGCGCAGACGCCTCCCGGTCCTCCAAGGAGGCCGCGCTGCCCAAAGACCGCGTTGGGAGCTGGTTCGTTTGGGAAGTTGCTTGGTCCAGCCTGACCGGTCAGCTGGAACAGGAGCAGGGGTAGCAATAGGGGCAGCAACAGGAACAGGAACAAGAACATCCGGAGTGGCTGAGTCTTGACTAGTGGGTCGGGGGTCGTTAAAATTAGGCACAAGGTCATCCGCATCATCATTACCCTCCCCCTCATTTCCAGTAGGCGAGGTGATGGAACTCCAGAGACCAGATGGTCCTCGCCTGGGACTCGATGTTCGTGGAGCCATCAACCAAGTGCGAGGTTGTGATCCCACGGCAGTTGTGGCCGAGACTGATGTTGAGGTCGTGTTTGTAGTTGTAGTCGTCACCATCGAGGTCGAATGAGGTCGAATGGCGAGCGGGCCCGGCATCATGGAAGGACGAGAGCCGAGGCGATTGCGATAGGTGGGGACTGAAGGCGCCGACCGCGCCGGCGGGGCCGAGGGAGACAACAAGGAGGTGAGCTTAGAGGGGTTCACCCCCGCGCGCAGATGGTCCGTCGACGCCACCAGTTGAAGTGCATATTCCTGGGCCACTGAAGGACCCTCGTGACGACTGGGAGGGTTGGCCAGTCGGTCCGAGTTGGGCGTGCTGCTCTTGAGCCGGTCTTGTCGTACCGCCATGGTCAGAGAAGCCGTGTTGATATCGAGCAAGGCCGAATGACCGGCAATTGAGCTAATCAAGGCATTGCAATCAGCCCCATGGGTGATGATGATCAGCACTGTCTGGGCATTTCGATTCTTGCGTGTAAAGCCATGAGAAGTTGCCCGAGATAGCTCCATGGGGGAATTTTTGGGTTGTCGGTACCAGTCGACCATCTGTCGAAATCCGTTACGCACTCGATCATGCATGCTGCTCCATTCCTCGCCGTAATCGCCACCGGTACCCCAGAACGGCGCCCGCATGCTGTCCCACATATAATCAACCTTTGTGCAAGCGTCCCGTGCATGGGCCACGTATCCAGCTGGAATTGGATCCGAGGGAGAAACGGCGTAGCTCGGCGTCGGCGGCACATAGGCAGAATCCGCAATAGCTGGTAGATCCGTGTACAACCGGCCTAACCTTTTCGATACGCCGCTGGGCTTGGTAGGATTCTGCAGACTATCGCTATTGGCCCTCTGTCGCGGCCCCGATGACCCTAAAATGGCCGAGGATCCTAGTGGTTGTAGGCGGTGCTCATCATTCTCGTTGGGGGATGGTGGATCGGACTGGCTACCCCAGCCACCTGGGAAGTGGCCCGACAAGGCTCTGGTTCCCTCTCTCGGTGTGAAGATAATATCACCACGACGAAGTAATTCTGCTTTCGCTAAAGCCACCATTCGGTCCGAGGCTGGAGGCGGGGTGATTTGATCGAAGTAGTCGGGTGACAGCCATTCGCCTAAAAAGGCATCGACGCGGAGTAAGGTCCGAGGGTCGGAAGCGGTAGTTTCGATCATCGGCAGAGGTGCGGCACTAAGATCATCTTCTGCCTCGGAACCCGATCGAAACTGATTAATACCTGCACCGACCGCTATTGAAGTCTGGAGACACCGTAGGAATGGGGAGGTATGGATAACGACATTGTATCGATCGTAGAGGTCTGATTCTGATTCCGCGGAAGAGGGTTGGAGTTGCGCCGGGAGGTCTGGCACTGGGGGTTGACCCGTTTGGTTTTCTGGACCGGTTCCTGTGTATTCAGAGGCTTGCAAGAGACTCGCGATGCGAACACCGAGGGCTCGAGCCTGGAGCCATCCGCCGTAAGAGAGAGGAGGATCGTAGGGAGTTGGAGAGGTTAAATGCCAATCCTTATCTGCGGCATCGAGGCGCGCTCCATGTCTAGGAAGAGACCAGTTCAGCGATTTGGAAATTCTTGAATAGTTGTAGTCTTCCCACATACCTGGCAATAAAGACAATGGGCGGCGATTCAGCTGTCGACTGATGTGAAGGAGGTGGGGGTGGAGTTAGACAGAGAGGAGACAGCTTTGGGAAAGCCGGCTCGCCCATCTTGAGAGATCGATCTCAGGTCAAGGGCAAGGACCTCGAGTAGTAATGAATTAGAAGGACATGCCCGGCACAATGTAGCAAAAGGGCCGGAACAAAGGGATCAAGTCGAAGCAAAAGCAGAAGCCAAAGCCAAAGTTGGAGACGCGCAAAAGCAAAAAAAAGGGAAGCGGCCGCGCATGTGATGCTGCTTAAGTAAGCCTGCCCTAACTTGGTTTGTTATCAATCAATGAATTAATAATAATGAATCCCTAGTACTCTAGGGATTTAGGTCTCCCCAATAAATAGGATTTTTGATTTCTGGATGATACTATCATTTTCAATCAAAGAATTCGGTCACATGGTGGGCATTCCCCACTTGACTGGACAGCAGAACTTTCATGCTACAATGACGTGGGGCTATTTCACGGGCTAAGACCGAGTAGTGCGAGTAGGACGAGTAGTACTATATACATACTAGTGGGTATTTAATATCTAGTAGTTACTGGTTATTAGTATTTCAAGTTGGTTACTAGTCTTTTGAACCAGCAGGGCAGGAGGCCCCGAGACAGGCGACACGCATATCATCATGACTACTTCAAGTTATAGTTAGTTAGTAACTACTAGTACACAGTGACCTGAAGTAACGACGAGTAATTACTAGTATGGGTAATGCCTGAGAACCCCACCACTTTGCAACATATTACTAGTACTTGACTACGAGTAATGCAACTCCGAAATGGTTCCGACATAGGCCCTTATTTGAGTGACACCACATAATCTCGCTGGATCCGTTTCCGCGAATCTTTCCATTCGCGTAGCCACTTAGAAACAAGCACCCCTTTACATAGTACCAAACGAACCAACCATCCTAGCCTTGGAATATCTGACTAAAATATGTTGCCCGATCCCAATTCTAAATGTCGGCTCCACAGCCGCCAGTTTTGTCAAGGACAAGGGCCTCTCTAATAGCACTCTTATGTGCACCTACATGACCATGGATTGTAGAACTCTGTTAAACCTACTTAACTCCACCCGGGACAAAGGTTTCGGGGATGACTTGTCCTTCATTTCTATCAAACTGTCTGAAGTAGTAGAAAGAATTGCGATTACGAGAATTGCTAAAACGATTGTCCGAGCATAAATGCATTGAATGTAAACCCTCGTCATCAAGAAACCCCCAGTTTCCTCCTCTCCGCTTATTTCTTCAGAACCCTCCACTTCGGATAATAGCACTTCACTGCTTAGTTGGGGACGCAGCATCTATCGTCGTCTGTCCAAGGCCAGTGGGACTCGGAGCAACCGCTATCCCAAAACACGCTATGCGTGTTCGCTGGACAGTCACTTTCACCACCGGCGTAGCAGCTGCCACCTTGGGACTGACAGGAGACCGCATAGCCTTGAGTGGCCAGGCTAGGAGCATTATTAGCATTGGCATTCAAGATCATGATATTTTGAGGGGAGGTCTACCCGAAGACGGCTAAAACAACTGGAATAAAGGCCTTCATGATGGAATTTGCTGTGGTGAAGATTGATGAAACTTCAAAAAAAGAATCCTTGGAAAAAGTTGGTTGTTTGTGAAGATGCTAAATTGGAATTTGTAATGCTGTAGCTGGATAGCTCCCAGAACTGGGCTGAGCAATGCCTTTATATAATATTGTGAAGAGGAAATCAACCTATCCGGACTATGTAGCATGTAGAGATTCGTATCTTAAAATAGTGACTTCCGGGCGCGAACAGCTGCATTTCGAGGGAGGCGCCCTCGTATTAAGAAGATCAGAGCTTCAGCAATATCTGGTTGCTCCCAAATCGCCAATCATATAGCGCATGGCGTGTCGATCATTGCGGCTGCAAGATCTTCAATCAAATCATGAAGCCACCCCTTGGTTCATCAGCTGATGGGATTGCATGTACTCCGTAATTAGTCGCATTCCAACTCGTATCTGGATGCCTAGTCATGCCCTGGCATACGGATCACAGTCGGAAATATGGATTGATGGAGGCAACAACCAATGCAATTTCCCACGAGGCTGCGCGATCCTTAGATTGTTTTGCCCAATCAGATGGTATATATCAGAATCTATCATGCCAAGCTTAATACGAAGTCCAATACAATTGGGTTTTTTGCAGTCGCATTTCCCCGTAACCGATTCAAGAAAGTCTCTGTGAATCTGCAGCGCAACCTCATTGCAGATGCGAAGAAGCAAGGCTTGTAGGATGATGTTAAATACGAGGTACCACTAGGGCTTAGGGAATTATCCCCTAACTGTACCTTTTGGACTAATTAAACATTTCTGTCTCTATGGTGTTAGTCTGTATGCTACTGTTTGAGAGACTAGTAAGGAATTCCATGATTTAAAAACCTTCATACCCTATATAAACTCGGTTCGAAAGGATTTAGGCTCCGTAAAATCAATCGGTGCCTGGCTTATTAGTGAGAACATAGCTATTGATTGGACTGGAAGAAGAGGACAGCTAGGTACGGCAGCGAGTCTGAACAAGGCTTAGAATCGAGGCGTCGTTCTACTAGCAAATGATATAAAGGTAGCCTCAAGACGTAGAAATTGATATATCTATTAATAGAAAGGCAACAGGTATCATGAAACCTAGACTCGAAGTTCATCCTTAGTTCGCCTTAAAAATGGTATCTTTAACTATAACGGGGTGCAGTCTCGCCCAACCATAACGGATGAATACGAGGAATGAATACGAGGATCGATCGCTGTTGCATGCATGAACATATGCCGATCATTGATTCAGCTTCGTATAGAATGCCGATCCCAGAATCCATATGGTAATGAAATTTAAATTCACTGTTGGCGGGAAGCTCTCAGACTCATCGGGAATTTGCATGCATGCTCGTCCAAGTTATTTTTATTATGATAACCCAACTCCTCAGAAAAGTTTAGATATACCCACATTTTATGGGAACAACCCAAAGAGTTTTGTTGTCACCTGCGGCTCTGAAATGTGACTCGTGGATCTCTATTTAGAGTAGACGATAACGTCAATATCCCATAGCAAGCCATGGGGCTGATACGAGGATGTCAACGCGAACATGGACACGCTCGAAGGGAGCCGGCACTAGGAGGTGAAGACGATACGTATAAGGAAGTAGACTATCAACTGGCGACCATTAGAGGTCGTGCAGGCGGAAGAGTTACGACCTTATGAAGGAACAATTACAGGAGGAACCAGGGCGTGACTGAGGTTATGTCTACAGTGGCGGGGATGGGGAGAATGAGGGGAATGCGGAGGTGGTAGTGGCTGCAGGCGCTGCGAGAGCTGGCAGTAGCCGATTACATTCATTGTGGGAGTTTCATTACCGTCATTGTGGGAGTTATTACTTGTTTTCTATGGCAATACGCCGTATCTCCTTTGTCTTTTGTTACCATAGGCGTGGCGTTAGGATGGTTCTGGTTCCCGATGGAGGGAACGCCTACATAGCCACGGTGCTCACTAGCTAGGCTGCATTAGGTTAATAGAATCTTGAATTGAATTGAATTGAATTGAATTGAATTGAAGCCATGGGGCTGCCTTCACCTATGGAAGGCTATGTTTTGAATATGGTTAGTGCTCACTTTTTTCTATAGTTCAAGTCATCTTGCCTTGTCATTTCGGTATTGAAAGGCTTCTGCATTTGTGAAAAAGGCAAAGCGCCAGGACCGACCTCACTTTGCCATGCAAAACCGGTCCTGTATAGCCAACTGTGTATGATTTTATCTATTCAAAGCCCTTTGAAAAATGAGTTTGAGTTTGACTAGTTATAAGTCTTCCTATCATTAGATAGTCCACATAATTGTGGATCTTGTCAATCTACAATCATTTCTCTTTGTCGGACCTATTCAAGCCCTTCGCCAACGGTTTCACTTTGCCTACAATATCTGTGGTGGATTGCGCACCCGTGGTAATAATATACTACTACTTCCTTTAGTTAGTGTTAGAATCAATAAATCGTTTGCGGGTGTTTACTCGGTGTGATCCAAAGCCGATGTAACGAGAAATAATATATGCCTGTCAAAGAAATTCAACGGAGATCGAATTTTTCTTTCAATAAACCCTCTTCCATCCCCGGAAAGATAAAAGCCTCAAAATATTATTCAAAGGGCTCTTTGATACTCTAGAACCAATCAGCCAAAATATGTAATTCTTTCTTTCAGCTTAATACTATTACTGTTAACTGAAGGTTTTCCTTATATAAGTTGTTTGCTAGAGGCGGCTACCAGAAGTTTTACACATCGAGGTCTTACAGTAACCTAGAAATTATCACTATTTAGGCTTCCATCTACCATTATATTTGACTTGATTGCAGAGCAAGGTGTTCATATAGTTATATTCAGTGGAAACATGGCTGACCACCACGCCAGTAATGGATCTGCAAAAAAAGGCAAGGAAAGCAACAAAAGCAGGGAAGGGAAAGAACGCAAAAGAGGTGAAGGACGCAAAAGAGGGAAAGAAGGCAAAAGATACAAAGTAGAATCTACTTTGCGAGGCCTGATAAGAAAAAGAAAAACAGATGCGCCTGAAGAATACGAGATACGCAAACTCAGAAAGCCTGATGAAGAGACCCCACCATTTAAACCCCAAAATTCGAGCCCAGGGATTGTGATTAGAAGGCGTGAAAATGCACCTCATGATTGGGATCCCAACGACACAGATATACATGAGGAGTAAGATACTACCATCCTTATATCTATTCGAGTCTACATCACTGACCACCCTAAACCAGTGATATCGAAGCCATGGTTCAAAGATGTAACGATCGGATACGAGATGGAATCATGCCCCAGTGGTGGGAAGAGAAGTTAGAACAATATGAAAAGCAGCAGAAAGCTCTGCAGGATTTGATGCTTAGTGAGACTGTGGGGCTTAGTCTCGAGGTAGTTATACGTCTGAAGAGACTGGAGACGGTGAAAAATAGTCTGCTTCAAACCGATGACAAGTACAACGCAATTCCGAACATCGATGCCATCATGAACGATTACCGCATGGGTGGCTATGTGTGGGAATATGGCAAAGTTACATATTGGTCGAATGGCACGTTCCTTCGTGGCCCAAAGAAATTTGATGTCGACGAATTTCTCTTGTTGAATTCAGAGCATGATGGTCCAAATGGGTTCTGGGCAGAAGTGGTTAGAATCCCATATAATTTATTTTTCTAACCAATGTAGACCTGAGAGCCATATGCTAATTAATTGTACTAGCATGATACTCCCGGGGCCTTTTCTATATCGCCAGCTATAGGTCATACGATTCGGCAGGCAAATGACCCGGCTTACCCCGGATTCTGTTCAGTATGTTCCGCTTTCTGAGTATTTCCCCAATTTCTTTCATTCTTTAGTTCCTTGAGATTTTGAGAGCTCATGATTTGATATAGTACATTTTGCAATTCAAACGCCCAGGATCTGTCGGTATTCCAAGTACAGCCAGAGGAATCAATCTATCTGTCATTGACGATACTGGATCTGCAGTAATAGTGATATACGAGGACGACTTGGCCCTGATATCTCGAAACGAGCGGGGGGTTATACCAATGTTGTACCAGACAGTAATTCGGGGAATAGGCAACGCGCCTGTTCGAAGCTATGGCGTCATATTAGAAGTCGCATATGTCATTCCACCAAACACCGTAGCAACTGAGTTTGCTAGATGGCCCGTATGGGTCTTGGAAGGCCCGCGTGCTGGGAAAGAAAGAATCGGGGGGGGCCATACTTACGGCGCATGTTTTACGTTGGATCAGCGCCTCAGAATCCGTATCGGCTGGGTATCGCAAGTAATGCTGGCAAATTAGCTGAAATTTTGCCAAACCGAGATCAAGCCGATACAACAGCCGACGAGTTTGAAATGCCAATTGTTAATCCAGATGCGTTGCTGCCTGAATGGGCAATGAATCGAGACATTCTATACATAGCAACTCCTGCTCTTCCTGGACCTCTGCAAGCACCACTACCAGGAGGCAGAGGTCCATTTCCTGGAGGAGGAGGAGGAGGAGGAGGAGGAGGAGGGGCTTGAGGAGTTAAAAATTAACTCGGACTTTTACACCTATATTTTCGCATTTCTGCTCTTCATAAATTGCTTGACACGTTATAGTTATGCTATTTTTTCAATTGTTGTTTGTAAATTAATTCGATGATTCCAATGGCCTGTTAACTATACTGGGATATCTCCTTTTTAAAAACAAGTTATTAAAACCATTCATCATAAGCAAGTTTTATCTGCTGTGTCGAAGGATGTGGTAAATTTGCCTTCTTCATAGCTGACGACATTCGCGAACTTTTTCCTCCAACTCACTATCGAGCACAGGCCTCCTTCGTCAGTCTGATCACCTCCAGGGCTTGCGAAGAATGTGTTCGTGTCAATTGGAATTATTACCTCGTCATCTTCTCACCTATTGCATGGGATATATAGTTTACAATATACTTTCCAGGGTCCTGCTATTTCCGCGATTTTGTTACGTCATCAGGGACTGACTACCAGGTTACTTTTTCCCACAATGGTCTAAATGAATGCCCTTGCCCTAGAAACAGTACAGATGTATGTAAGTCATGCAGGAAGAATCAAGATATCTAACTCCAGGGCTACCATGGGGCTCTCAGCATGGCCACGTGATCGAATAAGCTGAGATTCATGATGATGTCTACTACTAGTAGTACTAGTATGTGTTTGATGCTCATCAGGAGCTACTAGTAACTATAGCTTAGGGCGGGAAATCTTGCATTTCCCCTTCTTGGTACCATTCTCGGTGGGGGTACACGAGAATAGACTCAAAATCATACAAATAAATTCTTATATTAATTTGGAATGATTCGGTACTTTTCCAATCCACTCTTTACTAGTAGGTGACTTAGTACTCCTTGCTACCCATACAGGTCAAGAGGTCTCAGCGACTGCCAGTGGAATGTATGTATGTCACCGAGTATGTAGTGGTGACTAGCACCCCACATTCCACTGACATCACCAAGGTCTCAATAGGCACTAGAAACTCATGCGAACTGGATGTATCCTAGCTGGCAAACTTAGCCTCTACATCTAGGGACTACGAAAAGTTCCATTGGTGCTTCCCTAACTATGTACACATGATAATTGCTCCTCGCTGTGACACGTAGGTGTGCAATAGATGATGCAATGTGGATATGTCTCGTCTGACAGGAGATGGAGATATAAAAGGGTGTTCAAAGTACCTAGTATAGGCTCATACTAGCATTCATCAAATACTATCAACTGCCATCAACACAACCCGAGAGTATCCTTCAGAGTATCTTTCTCTATTTTCGACAATCCACAAGAATAAGCCTCGACGACCCAATAGAAATACAAGATGCACTTTCACATGATTTGTGCTATTTTTGCGGCCACGGCACTTGCCGTACCTCATGGAGGGAACCAAGAGGTAAGACCAAAACGTCTCCCGAATGCCAGGGCAGGATTAACATGATCTCACAGAACCACCATGCAGTAACTAAATCCCCTGAGAGCTCCCATATTCATACTTTCTCTCAGATTATTCTAACTAGTATCATTCAGAACATGGAGCAATCCTCTAGCTCGTCCATGTCCATGTCATCCATGACAATGCCAATGAAGCGATCGACCCCGACGGCCGATGCCACTCCAACCTCCTCTGCCTCCATGCAGTTTGCAAAATCTACCGATAAGCCAATGAATGCTCAGAACTCAATGATTATGATGATGTGAGTAATTAAAAACTTTCTTACTGATTAATAATGACATGATAAGGTTTTAATGTTTAGCCCATGACCGAAAGATGATCGAGGCAGTGTTGAGAAATGGATGATTATCACTTCTTAGCTACCCACCATCTTGTACTTTATGAACCTATCTGTGTCTTATTTGTCTTTAATGCTATGATTTTCTTGCAGCCTCGAGAACGTAACACTAATGCTGACCTCGGGAAAATTTGTGTGGTCATTCTCTTCTGAGGTTAGCGAGGTCTACTGATTAATTTCAAGGTTGTGTTTGTGTTCTTGATAGATTTCAATATGATAAATTCCACTGGTAGTTGATGATTCTATTTACTATACAATTTTTCTATTTTTGCAAATTTGAGGTCATACCAGAGCCACGCGACCAATCCCAAAAGCACGAGAGACGTCTTCAGACTTCTTCATGATGTTCTGTCTGGCCGGATTTGGCTGAATCGACAGCTGAAACTGCTGAAAGATGCTCTTTTGTAACTCGCGTGTGGGGAATACCACGATGTCCGGGTTGATTACAGCCACTAAAAGTGTGGTTAGTGGGAGTCTGATATACGGGTTGTTCGAAACATACAAGATCATATCCATTTGCTCGATGGTCAACCCCTTGGTCTCCGGGAGCAGGAAGAACGCCCAAATGGTTGCGATGATGAGAATACTGGCAAAAAAGAACCATGTTCCATATCCAAAGGCTTTGAAAATATATGGTAGGCACTTGCTGATGATGAACTGAGTGAGCCACTGGACAAGAGCGGCCCAGGTACCAGAGAAGTTTCGTAGTGCTCCAGGGAAGATTTCGGCCGAAACAATCCATGGAATACCATTCAGGCCAAACGACCAGAATACAGCATATATCATAATCATTGCCGTTGCTGCTTGTCCACCACGGGTCGTGGAGTCTGACAGGGCATCTCCGGCTTTGATGGCTGCCGCAGGATTGGCAACCTTCACGTATGCACCAATATACCATAAGCAGAGAGAGCAAGCCACAGAGGAGACTATTACCGGCCGCCGCCGACCAATACTGTCAATCAGGAAGATATAGAAAATGAGCGATGCTACCGCTTTCACCAATCCGTAGATTCCAGTGTAGAGCGATGTATCCTTGATTCCAATGGACGTGAACAGAGTAGGGGAGTAGTAATTGATCGCTGCATGACAATTAGCAACCGTTCAACGTTTTGAATGAGCTATACATACCTGCGGCACCAGCAAAGTTTTGCAGAGCAAAGGAACAGAAAACGAGGAAGACGCGGTTCCGCATGCCTCGTCGAGAAAACTCGTCCATTGCGCCCCGGAAGAACGCCCAAGGCCCAGTCCCGTACTTGCTAGCCACACTTGCCTCTTCATTCAAACGATTCTGAATGAGACGGACTTCTTGTTGGAGATACTCGTGCTCGATCGGAAGCTTGCGCAATGTTTCCAGTGCTTGATGCGCCTCGGCATGGCGTTCTTTGCGCATGAGCCAAAGTGGGGACTCGTGAAGAAAAAAGCCACCAACGAGAAGAATACAGCCTGGAATAAGCTGTACAGCCATGGGAACTCTCCAGCTGGTAGAGCTCGTGGCCGACATGTTTTGTGTGATGCCATAATTAATCCAAAATCCGATCAGGGAGCCGATCTGATAGGCGCATTCGAAGAATCCTGTCAAAATACCGCGGATCGAGGGAATGGACAATTCGGCGATGTAGCTAGGCACTGCTGCAGTGATTGCACCGCATCCGATTCCAGTCAAAACGCGGCCAGCATCTAGAAGGTAGATATGTCATCAGTATCCTATGCATGTACCAATCAGTGGGGGGAGGGAACTGACAAATCAGCCCGAGTTGATGAGTAGCAGCGGTCATCAGCACTGCTCCGATGATAAAAATGAAAACATTGATCTGCAGAGTCCATTTTCGACCTAGTCGTTCCGTGACTACATGGTGTTAGTGATCTGATATCACGAGTATTTCGATGTCCTGACGACTTGGGAGATGAGACTGACAGAAAAAGCAAAAGATAGCCCCAAAGAAAGCTCCCGCTTGGAAGACAGAGGTGATGTTACTTGAGATTGCGCTGCTGTTCGCGGCTGTAATGCCGAAGTCCGTAAGGAAACTCTCGCGCGAGATGGTAGTGCCAACAAATGCCGAATCGTAACCAAAGCTGATTGATTAATAGCTTCGTGTCAACGGAGAGAACACCGAGAAATTCACCAGGAACAGGCGCTTACAGCAAAGAACCGGTGGCAATGACCATGGCCTCAATGTACAAGCGCCAATTGTACACTTCCTTCGGGGTGGGCCGATCTTCCACAGCTCGGAAGACCATCGTTCGTCACCGCTATACTCGTACTGCTTGGGAGGAAAATTCAAAGACCGATCAATTGCCGAACAGATGGAAAAATAGGTTACCGAGTGGCACCACGAGCGATAATAGATATTTTAAGGTGTCTCTTGCAGTGATCTTCTCGGCCGTGTCGGGGAACCGCACCTTAAAGACCCCCAGGACAGTGTGTCTGGGTATCGCGTGGGCAGCTGGCGTGACTCTGGGGCCCCGCCCCCCAGAGTCAGATCGTCGGTTTTTCGCCCGGTAAAGTACAAAGCCGAATCATGCTTGGAGTTTAGAGGGTTTTCCCACCAATCATGGGGCACCGACAAGATGACCGAGACCAGCAAGTGGCCGATCGGCTTGAATCCCGAACGGGCGATAGCCGATGGGGGGATGAAGCCGAGAAAACATCGGGAACAAAAAGAACAAAGATCGGGACTCGGGTTCCTATGTCCAGCCATCATGCACTGGCGGATAATAGGAATTGAAGATCGGGACTTGAAATACGATGATCATGATTATATTAGAATATCATAAAATGAAACCCCGCTTCCCTAATCCCAGCTCTGATCTTATACAGTCCATCATCTTAAATCACCTACTAGCAACCATGACAAGTACTACTACGACAAAGAAACCATCCACCAATCTGGCCCTATGTGTCACCACAGATGACTTTGAGGCTCCTGCAAAGGAGGTTCTTTCTGAGAAATCATGGGTCTATGTCTCCAGTAGTGCGTCCTCGGGTCTGTCATTGAAGGCGAATCTGGATGATTGGTCACGGATCAATTTCCGCCCACGCATTATGCGAAGTGTGAGCTCAATAAACACAAATCGGGCGATTCTGGGGCAGACAAGTCAATTGCCCTTCTTCGTCTCCGCAATGGGCACCTTGGGAAACGCACATCCCGGTGCAGAGCCACTACTTGCCCGGGGCTCTACGCGCAAAGGATTACATATGGTGGTGAGCACAGCAACAAGCAAACCACTGGAGGAAATCATGGATGCGCACCAAGAGGAGCAGAATATTCTGAAAAACCAAAGCCCTTCCAAGTTGGCATTTCAACTATACGTCCCTGTCGATCGGTCCAAGGCTCTGTCTTTGATTCGACGTGTCAAAGCTGCGGGATACCAGAGTTTATGGATCACCGTAGACACATCCGTTCTGGGAAAGCGTACTGCGGACCGATATCTGCAAGCTCAAGAGGCCTTGGATCAAGGTGCGAAAGAACGGGAGACTGCGGCAGAGAATGAGTTCAGCCCGGCTTTCGGAGGACGACCAGTGCCGGGCTATCTCGACCCAGGACTAAGCTGGGAGGATCTGGCGTGGATCAAGCAGGAATGGAGCGGTCCAATTGTTTTGAAGGGAATCCAGACAGTCGAGGATGTCAAAATTGCTGTGGAATACGGTGTCCAGGGAGTGCTGCTGAGCAATCATGGTGGACGCCAGATTCACTCGGCCCCGAGCGCTTTGATGACGCTATTGGAAATCCGAACTTACTACCCCGAAGCTCTGGACAAGTTGGAAGTCTTCCTAGACGGCGGGCTTCGAGATGGAGCAGATGTGCTCAAGGCTTTGTGCTTGGGAGCGACGGCCGTCGGTGTTGGAAGGCCGTACTTTTATGCGATGGCGGCATACGGAATGGAAGGAATTGAGAAATGCACAGATGGTAAGATATGCCCTTGGATATGATATGAATTAGTCAATGAGGCTAACAGGATTTGCAGTCCTCGCTGAGGAAGTTGAAATCACCATGAAGATGCTGGGAGTTTCATCGCTCGACCAGCTTCGGCCAGAGATGGTCAACACAACTCGACTGCTGAACGATATGTGGCGGCCAGAGATCGTGCGACCAAGGCTCTGATCGGAGCTAAGAAGACTAGATATAATTCTTATTCCATATGTTAGAGAGCAGGGCTCTGGTAGCTTGACTGTTTTGAAAGTTTAGGAGCTAGACGATAGATGTCGATCATCAATTAATACGCCCAAGAAAAGCTATTTATTGTACATGAAAATGAGTTATAGGTATCATTAAAAAGAAAACATTCACACTTGCCAAATCCATCGAAACCACGCCGAAAAGGTTCGTTTCGAGCTTATTGGGCTCCCACCGGCCGCGCCCCAGCCAAGTTGACCACTCGACCACCTCCTCCCAGCGCAGCAGCAGCGCCTAATCTGGTCGGTTCCCGGATCCGCACCCATCCAGGAACGTGAGGATCTTCCTTCTCGCGCGTAGAGATGGTATGCCAAACATTAGGGAATCCAGTCGGAAGGGCACCGCGTACACGAGCACCGGGAATGGCAAATCGGGGATTCCGGTGGGTAAGATAGCCACGCATGAGTCCTTGGGTCAATAATGACGCAAGGATAGACTCAATCTCCCGCATGAGCAGGGACGATTGATCTTCTTCATCCCCGTAGCCCGAATCGGCATATGGATCAAATTCACAGCCTTCGTAATCCGTCTCGGGATTACCGTCGATCAGATTCCCAGGAGTGTTATCTTGCCAGTTGCCTCCCTCATCGAAGTACCCATCTGATGCTAGATAATCGCCGTACTTTTCAAGGATTTCATGGTCGGTGTCCGGGGCCGTCACGGCATCCGGATCAGCAAGGCCGGAGTATTCTGGGTCTGTCGTGTGCCGAATGGTCTGGGAACCATACTCGTAGGAGTCTGCTCCGGTATGGCCGTTGCTGTTCCCATTTACGGTTTGTATGTTGTGTTGTTGTTGCAGCCAGCGGGTGGCATCGAGCAATTTTTGAAGATATAGGAATGGCGGGGGACCACGCTGCGCCTGCGCTTGCGGATCCCCAAGATATCCCCCATGTATGAATACCTTGCGGCAAAAGGAGCGCCATACGAGAATTTCGCATCTGTTGCGCAGTGTGAGCAGGAGACCTTTGCGCGCGAACCACCGAGCACTCGGAGATTTGACTGCTAAGTGCTCGCGAAACGCCAAATAGTCCCCACGAATAATCAAGCGGCACAATGGGTCAAAGTTTTCCGCCAGGCCCCGAGCTTCCGGTCGTTGTAGAAGTTGTCGCGCTGGAAACCGTCCCATGATGATGTTGCACGGAATCAGATATGTGAGGATCAAGTTTCGCTGGCTAAGTGCTTCACGATGGCATTGGTCGTAGGCAGACTGTAAGGCGATTTGTGCGGGGTAGAAGAGGTTGTTGGAGAAAAGATAACGGCCGAGGTAGTAGAGATATGTGACACGCTGCGAGGCGGGAAAGTGAGCCAGTGGGGGGAGATTGGGCACTGATACTGGAAAACATCTGCTCAGCATTGCGCAGTTTTCCACACTGTATTCTTGTTAGTTGCAGGAGCTATGATGTGAGTATAAAGACAGAGATATACCTGGAAAAGTAGCTTCAGGCACAAGTTTGCCATCAAATATATCCCCTTCCTCTTGCCCTCAGGCTTCGCCTGCGGGCCTGGCGTGCCGCTGCGGTCGGTCAGACATTTGATGAAAGCCTCGCGCACCACATTGGCCGATTTTTCCACTAGAGTAACTTTCTCAACGCTTTCCTGATCATTCCCACCTTCCATCCGGAGAATATGGGCGATCAATTCGGGGCGCCGGTCCAATCCCATGGCTAATTTTGCCAATACCTTAGACAGGTACAAGACGGTGGGGAGAACCACAACTCCCATTTGACTATCACCAAGGGCGAGAACACATTGACTATATTCGGAGGGGAGGCAGCAGTATCAGCGATGGAGTTCACGGGTTCATAGGATCATAGAATCATTCGGTTGTCCAGGATCTCTCACTTTAAGAGCGTCTTCAGTAGGTTGTAGGTCTCGAGTAGGTTTTCGACATTCACATCACGCATGAAGGTGAAGTAAAGTCGCATAAATGTGGGAAAAGCCGACCATGACGAACCACCCTTGGTCTTCGGGACCAAGACTTCGCAGCGCTGCTGAAGCACGGTGTCGCTCTGGGAGCCAGGTGGGTATCGCTGGCGCAACTCTGTAATCATCTGCTGATAGATGTCTGAAAGGGGCGGCTCAATCTGAAGGAAGTCTTGTAGTTTGGCTCCATCACGTTTCTGAATCAGATCGGCCACGCTGCCGAGGAATTGGTCGAGAATGGGAGTGGCAGCCATGGTCGCGCAGAACCGCGGGGGAGGAAGAGAGGATGGAGGAGGGAGGTTGAGCGATTTCCAAATAATCAGTTCAAACGTGAAGTGCAGTTCATTTCGAGACGATCAGATGAGGTCAGTACATCTGATGTCACGGTGATATGAGACCGCGATGTCTGTGAAGTTGGGAGAGTCGCGACTCTCCGAAGGTGAAGGTGGAAGGCGGAAGGAAGGTTGTGCCCGGCAGAATACTATCTAGGCCATTCACCGCCCGAAGTATACAGATATTCAAGCGGTAAGCTTGAACTTGAACATAATTCCAAGGTATATTCTGGGAGATATACTAGTATACCTTGGCTTACTAGATAAACTAGATCAATAAATGTAATATATGGAAGAGCAGGAGCTACTTGGTCTGTAGTATGACGGTGCCAGTATAGAAGTCTACTTGTACTAGTAGTACTTCCTGCAGCTGTCAGATCAACAAATGCATGCAGCATGACATACATTGCCAACAGTGGATAATTGATGGTAATTGATAGTACTAATTGTAGTAACTACTGTAACATACTAGTATGATCTTAGTATATGTCTCATAGTCTATCGTATCAGCCCCATATCCCATATCCCATGCCATCCAGGATCCATGCATGGATGACATCATGGCATCAACCACAATCACATGTAATCAAACTGCAAAAATCCCAAACGTCTTAACTTGTTCCTTATTGCTTGCTCCACTGGTCACGTCACGCCATTTGGTCAAAAATCCTGGGAATACAAAAGTACAAGAACGAGGACTGTCTTCTCTTTCTTCTTTCTTCTTTCTCTTTTCTATCTTTCTCCTTCAAACCCCAATGGCGACGCAATCCTCCATCCCCGCCATTATTCGGCACCCATTCGTCGAGACCTTTACATGGTTCTATCTCATTCTCCAGGCAGTTCTGAGATACATTTTCTCTCCCGTTCCCCCTCCTCTAACGACAGGCGATAAAAAGGATGTACCCAAAAGGAAGGTCGCTGTGATTGGCGCCGGTGTGACAGGAATCTCTTCGGCGGCCCATTGTGTTGGTCATGGCCTTGATGTGCAGATCTTTGAGTCTAGACCTCAAGACCAGGGTCTAGGTGGAATCTGGAGTGTATGTTCCCCTTTCTACCGGATGGGACTGTACTAGCCGCAGAATATTAATTCGAAACAGAGAGTCAATTCCACCTCCGCACTTCAGGTTCACAGTCTGATGTACCGATTCCATCCCTCCGTCCACTACGACAGTGCCTACCCAAGTCAGAAGCAGATCAAAGAGCAGATTGTTCAACTCTGGAAGCGCTATGATCTCGAGAGGCGCACCGTGTTCGACACTCGTGTCACCTCCGTCAAAAAGACTAAGGATGGCCAGTGGATAATCAACAACAACGAAGAAGAGTACGGTCGCTTTGATGGAGTTCTCACTGCCATTGGTGTCTGCGGGGATCCAAAGATGCCAACCCTCCCCGACCAAGATAGATTCAAGGGCCAGATCTTTCACTCCTCCAAACTCGATGGGAAAGATGCCAAGGGCAAGAAGATTGTCATTGTTGGCAGCGGTGCCAGTGCCATTGAAGCTCTCGAGTTTGCCGTCAAGTCAGGCGCAAGTGAAATTGATGTTCTGTCCCGATCAGAGAAATGGATTATTCCTCGAAACATATTGGTGCAATCCTTGTTAGCATTCAACATCTTCGGACAGGAGACATCGCTTTCCTGGATTCCCGAGTGGCTCCTACGAAAGTTCTTCTACCGGGACCTACAAGACATTGCCCCCACCGACGATGGAATCTTCACACAGACCCCGATGGCTAATTCAGAGCTCTTCAACCAGATCCGAGAGGGCAAAGCGCGCTGGCTACGTGGTGATATTGTCTCTCTGGAGGAAGAGGGGATCCTTTTCAACCACCGTGCGAAGGGGGTTCCCAAAGGAGGACCTGGAAAAGAAGCTCTGGTTGAAGCTGACATTATCGTCATGGCTACTGGATTTAAGAGACCTTCTCTGACTTTCCTGCCTGATGAAGTCTTCGAAGAACCCTACGGTCCACCCAACTGGTATCTGCAAGTCTTCCCGCCGAAGTACCCATACGTCTGTGCCAATAACAGCACCTATGTCAATGCCATTGGCACTGTTGGAAACATGCACATTGGAATATACACTCGATTCCTGATCATGTTCTTGACTGATCCCCTGACGCGCCCTACGGAAGGACGGATGAAAACCTGGATCGATTTCACCCGATTCTTGAAGCGACTGGCACCGACGAATGCATTTGACTTCTTTACCTATTCAGAGCTGATCTATTGGTACTTCTTCGTTCTTCTCGTCAATCCGTTCCGGTGGAAGTGGGCGCTGTTTGTTTTCTTTGGCCTCGGTCGCTCGTTGCCCTTGATGGTGGTCGATCAAGAGAATTCGTTCCGCCAGGAGCTGCTCAAGCAACGGAAGCTCAATTAATGGCAGCAAATGAACATGACAACATGATGAAGAATTTACTTTGAGCGTGAACAAGGAATGTTATGTGCTTGCTAGTTAGGAAGCTCAGGATCAAAAATAGCATTGTGTGACAAGTGAAACTTTCAAATAACTAAGAACTGAGTGGATATCGTAAGACTAGTAAATAGTAACAATGTACCTCAACAAATAACTAACCCAATCGCCCCCCAACCCCCTCCCCCAAATTATTGGTTTTTGATCTCCGGAATCTTGTTCTGAATACTATAGGCCAGATTTCCTCCGTGCGCAAGCCGACTGGGCAAGTAACCCTTCTCCTCCAGCCAGAGCATCGGCCACAAAATTGTCACACCCAGCAGGCAGAAGAATGTTGCAATCAGATGCCAGGTAAATACTATCCAGTTGCCCACATGCGGAACCACAAATTTGACAAACTCCGAAGTCTGGTAGAGATCTTCTTGCTTAGCGATGTAGTACAATGTGCGATCGCCATTTGTCGGGGCATTGGTCGTCGAGGTATCCGTTGTGAGATCCAGAACGGTTGTCAATGTCACGGGTGCGACATGGAATGGAACGATCCAGATGGTGAAGATTTGAGACATGTGAATGTAGAGCTTGAGGTGTTTCTCATCGAAAGCTGGAGGACGGTCAGCGCTTGTTGCCCTTTCAATGAAGGAGAGAAGGAAGCAGGTAAAACTAGAGACAGCTATGCAAGATAAGTCATCTCGCAGAGCAAAATCACGAACCGATTGAATGAATCTCCATCTCAATTCGAGGGGACATGATCTTGTACCATTGAAAGATCTTCAACACCCACCACCTGCTCCCCTCGAAACTGGGAACACGACAAAATGGATGCACGAACGAGGCATTCTGAGTGAAATATCGCTGAAGAGCTTTCTCTTGTAGAGAAGGGGTTGATTGGGTTAGAAGACGGATGACCACCGGGATCTCTTCCACTATTCACCCAAGTTCGATCAGCCAGATGAGCCTAGAGCTCTATTCAGGAGGGGCAAACTGACCTGGGTTCTCCATGATGTGATGCCAGTGTTGATTCTAAGAGGTGAAAGGGTGTAGTTGTAGTTGTGTTGTTGGAAAGTCGAGAAGATCAAGTTGGCAGGTCCAATGACATCATCCTAGTATTCCTTTGGCATGTGAAAGCGTCAAGCTTCAAAAGTTCCATTGTGAAGGTGAATGTGAATGTGAATGTGAATGGATAAAAGTACTAATACATGTGTAGTATTAACTAACTATTCTATACTGCAGACTCAAGTTCCAAGGTTATTCTAATCAATGCAGTAGGGACTAATTGTATAAAGTGGTCAACACCGAGTTGATTATTTCCAATCTTGCGAGAAAGCAGTGTGTAAATACTAGGTAGGATGGACCGGTCGCATGGAATTGGTAAAGATCCATGTTATACAGTGTATTTGTATTGGTATTCGGTGCAATAAAATAGAGAACTGAAATAGTATCAGTGTGAAAATGGATTTTGGAATGCCATGCCAACTCCGTCGATGAATGATCCTAGACTCGAAATCCGGTCCCAAAAATGAACAAGAAATATAGTAATCATAATGTCGCAACTTGAATATCGCCATATCACATAATCTACCGCTTCCAGGTGTCAATCTTCTTGCGGCGCTTGTCGAACATATCACCCATTCCAGCACCGTCGCTGCGCTCGTTCGCCTTTCTCTTACGACTCTTATCCAGCACAGCACCGCCATTCTTCGATCGCCGGGTAAGACGTTCGATACGGTCGGCACCCTCCGTAAGTCCCCTCCATTCATCTCCACCAAAGGTAGAATCCTTGTGGCCGCCGCGTCGCTTCGCCAGATCCTTCTTGGTCTCCTTGGGCAGTCGGACAAAGTTGGACTCTTCGTATGTGGTTCGCTCGTTCTCACGCTCGCGGTCCCGCTTGGACTTGGTCTGGCGACCACCATCGATAATCGTACTTCCGATACTGGGTTCAGCCATAGGGGCGGACGACATCTCGGCGCTGACGAATTCGTCGATAACATTGGACCTCTTAGGTCGGCGGTCTTCACGCTCACGGCGTTCGGTCTCTGTTTTGGGGAGTGCGGTGGGCATGATCCTCGGTGGCCGATAGATACCGTCGTTGGGGGCGTCCTGTGCGTCCTGGGCAGCCCTGGTGGGCTTGGTCTGGTTTTGTAGGGCCTCAGCCTTGGCTTTGGCGAATGCACCAATGTTGGGGCGGAATGCCATCTCGTCCAAATCTTCCTCGTCCTCCGAGTCATCCTCGCTACTATCGCTTCCACTCTCGTCCTCCGAGCCCTCACCGTCCGAGCCCTTGGCCTTCTTAGCCTGCTTCGGCTTGTTTGACTTGACAGGGCGATCTGTGCGCTCCGCATCCTCTGCTGCCTTGATCACCTTATCCACCTGGTACTTCAGTCGTCCCTCTTAGTGGGCGAACACCGCGATCCAAAAACACACGGAGTTCGACGAGCTTTTTCACTGCATCATCACTGAGGGAGTTGTCGGCAGCATCCGAGCTCTGTTTGGAAGGGCTTTGTCGCAATTGATGAATGATCAGGAAAACGAGGTTGTGGAGGTAGGAGAGAGAAGAATCTCGCTTTTGGCGTCGAGGAGGGAGATGCCATCCTGCGGAGGTTCAATCGAAACATCGGAGGGCGCATCCTTGTGGGAGACGGGTAGAGATGAGCCAGCGGTAGTTAAGCAAGAGTTGAGATTCTCAAGAAGAGCGGATAGATTCCGAGCACGGGCTGGCGCAGTCTCTGTGGAAGCCATAGTGGGTGTGGGTGTTCTGCTGGAGAGCGACAAACAGAGAACCGAGTAACTTTTCTTCAGGTCTGAGTCTTCTTTGGCATTCGGAGATGGAAAATTATTTCTATCTCCGCTGACATAATCAATTGCCGGCACGAGAATCGCCCGCGGTACCCACCGCCTTTCCACTCTCTCCGCCTTCCTGAAAGGGGGCTCTCGGGACACCAGCTCTGCTTATCACCACGTGACTACTCTGTCGTTATCTCATCACGTGCCATCAGCCACTCGTCATAGGCAGTCGCATCTTCAAATGAACTACTCTGTTCTTCTTGAACTACACCACTCTCACTCTCACTCTCAACCTCAACCTCAACTCTCACTCACTCTCGCCCACCCACACCCATACTCTCATGCGGGATATTACTACCATTTCAATTGGAATGTTATGATCGCGTTGCATGCTTAACGACTAATCTCACAATTTTATAATCAGGGAAAGGGAACAAACACATGAGGCTGAACTGAACTCCCCCCTTCCCCCCCCCATCATGCGTTTCTCCGACCAAATTCCCCTCCTCGCATCAGCTCTTCTCGCGATACCCTCTCTATCATCCGCCTTTTATCTTCCCGGTGTTGCTCCCACATCCTATGATAAGGATCAATCCGTACCGGTCTTTGTCAACAGCTTGACTCCCGGACTATCGCGCGATGACCAGCTTCATTCCGTGTTCTCATTCGAATATTATCACACAGCATTCCATTTCTGTCGCCCTCAAGATGGCTATAAGGATGTGAGAGAATCGCTTGGAAGCATTCTCTTCGGAGACCGCATCTATACCTCTCCGCTCGAGGTCCATATGGCCAAAAATGAGACATGTCAGGCGATGTGCGAGCAAGTGACCTTCGAGGACCGCGATGCCAAATTTACCAACCGTCGTATTGCTCAGGGATACAACATCAATTGGCTCATTGACGGACTGCCAGCGGCCCAGCTGAACCTGGATGCCAACACGGGTACGGAATTCTACAACCCGGGATTCGCCCTGGGAAGTTTAGATGAAAATGGGGTCGCTTTGCTCAACAACCACTTCGACATTATCATCGATTACCACCGTGTCGGGTTCGGCGGCAAGGACAAATACCGCATCGTCGGAGTGCTCGTCCAGCCCGATAGCCGCAAGGATGCCCGTGCCGGGACTGCCGAAGGGGAGGGCGCAAACTGTGGCACTCGTGGGGAGCCCTTGACTCTCAGCGAGGATGGAGATACTACCGTCACTTGGACCTACAGCGTGATCTGGAGAGAATCGGGAACGGCCTGGGCCACCCGCTGGGACAAGTACCTGCATGTCTACGACCCGAAGATTCACTGGTTCTCGCTGATCAACTCTGCCGTCTTTGTCGTCTTCCTTGTTGGAATGGTGAGCATGATTCTGGTTCGTGCTCTCAAGAAGGATATTGCGCGCTACAATCGACTCGAGTACAGCCTGGACGATCTTGATGGCACCTCGGCCGCGGTCGAGGACGGTATCCAGGAAGATTCCGGATGGAAGTTGGTCCATGGCGATGTATTCCGTTGTCCCAAGTCTCCTCTGCTGTTGAGTGTGCTTTTGGGCAATGGCGCTCAGCTCTTCATGATGACTGGTGTGACTGTTGGTAAGTGACTGAACTGCTCATTATAATTACTACCGCTGCTTAAATATCTTTGCGCCTCTGGCTAACGCTAACTCTTCTGCAGTCTTCGCACTCTTGGGTCTTCTTTCCCCTGCCAACCGCGGTTTCCTTGCAACTGCCATTCTCTTGATCTCCGCCGTCTTCGGGGCAATTGGTGGATATGTTTCATCGCGTGTGTACAAGGCCTTTGGCGGCGAGGCATGGAAGCGCAACATTGTCATGACTCCGCTGTTGATTCCGGGATTCATCTTCGGCGTGTTCTTCCTCCTGAATCTGTTTGTCTGGGCTAAGGGCTCTAGTGGAGCTGTTCCCTTTGGCACGATGCTTGCGCTGCTTTTGATTTGGTTCGTCATCAGTGTCCCACTGAGTGTGGTTGGTAGTTGGATCGGATTCCGTCAAGCCGTATGTTTCATCCTATCTTCCTATCCTTTTTCTGTTTCTCTCGCGAATGCTCATACTGATCTTTCTCTCCTTATCTAGCCCCTTGAAGGCCCGACCAAAACCAACCAAATCCCCCGTCAGGTGCCACTGATGTCGGGAAGCCTCCGCACGATTCCCTCTATTTTCCTGACGGGCATTCTTCCTTTCGGGGCCATCTTTGTTGAGTTGTATTTCATCATGACTTCGCTCTGGACGAACAAGATTTACTACATGTTTGGGTTCCTGTTCCTGTGTTACGGGCTGATGATCATCACCTCGGCGGCCACGACAATCCTGTTGGTGTACTTCCTGCTCTGCGCCGAGAACTACCGGTGGCACTGGCGCGCGTTTGCGGGAGCTGGTATGACGGGTGGATATGTTTTCCTCAACGCGCTCATCTTCTGGGCGACACGGGTGAGCTTTGGTGGGCTCACGGGTGCGGTGCTCTATGTGGGCTACTCGGCGCTGATTGGATTCGTCGTTTTCATTCTCACCGGTTTGTCTTTCTTTTCTCCTCTGGTCCTGGACTCATGCTAATTCTCTTTCTTTCACCTTTGCTTTAGGCTCGATTGGATTCTTTGCTAGCTGGGCCTTCATCCACCGTATTTACGGATCGATCAAGGTGGATTAGTGGTGAAACTGGGTTGTGGTGCATCATCCAGGGGTCTGGATGCGTACCAGTACTTGATTGTTTTCCGATCATTGGAGGAGTGTCTTGATAGCATGTTCATAGTAAGGATCTCCTAAAGGTTATCTTCAAGGTTATCTTCAAGTTATACTAGATGTAATGAGTAGAGTATACTTAGTATACCCTGCCGGACTGTAGTGTACCGCCAAGCCCGGCACCCCCGATGTTCTGGACTTCCCCTTCCCTCGCCACTTTCCCTTCTCTCCACTTCCACGTCCACTTCCACTCCGCTTCTCCCCTTGCAGCTCTCCTTATTTTGCCCTACTCCGACTTCTTCGTCGAATTGCTCCTGTGACACTCGTCTACCTCCCCTCCCTCGATCGCGTGCTTCGATCCCTTGCCCGCCCCCGCCACAACTCAGCCACACATTCCCCCCGATTCCATTTCTACCCCGCGCGTCAACTTAGTTTCCCTCCGGACCCGAACACGAAAAAAAAGTTACAAGGGGGAAACAAAAATCCCGAGGTCTCCGATCCCCTCGCTGACTTACATGCGCTACCAACTGTCTTGATCAGTTTTAGTGACGGGTGTTTGATCATGGGCAAGTCGTAAGTACTGCGACCCCCCCCCCCTCCCCTCCTCATCTCCGACGCGCCGGAACGGCGGAACAATCGAACAATCTGGAACAATGCACGATGGATGATTTGTTCTGCTGAGCGTTGTTGGAACCTCCCACTGGACTTGGTGGTTGTCAGTCGGGAGCAGATATTCTTCCAACTCCTTCGTCTATCGTCTATACTATGAATACATGACAGATGGCAGTGCTAATACTCTCCAATCTCCCAGGCAATCGAAGCTCTCGCCCACCCAGCTGGACGAGTTGCAAAAAGCAACCCATTTCGACAAGAAGGAGTTGCAGCAATGGTATAAAGGTAGGTGGTCACCACTATCCCTCGCCCTCGCTCGCGCTCTCTCTCTCTCTACTCCGACTAACGCCACTGCGTCATCATCATCAGGTTTCCTCAAGGACTGCCCTTCTGGCACATTGACCAAGGAGGAGTTCCAGAAGATCTATCGACAATTCTTCCCGTTTGGAGATCCGTCGTCCTTTGCCAATTACGTGTTCCGGGTCTTCGACTCGGACAACAGTGGAATGATTGATTTCAAGGAGTTCATCTGCGCCCTGTCGGTGACGTCGCGGGGCAAGATGGAGGACAAGCTGGACTGGGCCTTTCAACTGTATGATATTGACGGGGATGGCAAGATCACTTACGACGAGATGCTGGCCATTGTCGAGGCGATCTACAAGATGGTGTGTCTATGGGTCTTCATATATATATTCGCACAACATGCTAACAATATACTCTTCTAGGTCGGCTCGATGGTCAAGCTGCCCGAGGACGAGGATACCCCTGAGAAACGGGTGCGCAAGATCTTCCGAATGATGGACAAGGACGAGAATGGCAGTCTGGACATTGAAGAATTCAAGGAAGGGAGTAAACGGGACGAGACTATTGTCAGCGCACTGTCGCTGTATGATGGGTTGGTATAGGAGGCAGCGAACTGGGAGTGTCTGGCGCAATTGTAATGAATTCGGTCTTTGCTATGCATATTATTCATTATTCATATTATTAAGTTATCTATTGAAGAGTATATTGTATCTACTGTATCTACTGTATACTACTACTGGGGTCTCGTAAATGACCAGGTGACCCCCACTCAACTCTTCCCAACTTCACTCTTCACTCTTCTTCTCTCTCTCTTCTCTCTTTCACTCCCTCGCCTCAATTTAATACTCAATGCCTTGACCCAGTATGGTCCCAGCGCCTCGCCGCTGTTTGCGATGTGCCTCTTCTTCTCCTTCTCCCCAGGTAGGCCTCTCCTTTCTTCTTCTTCTTCTTCTACTACTACTACTAGTGCCTTGCTCTTCCTGTATCCCACTATCCCCGCCACCCTAGTCATCTCTGCAGAGCCTCATCAGGTGGACCCTTCTGTCTACTCAACTCAACTCAACTCTACTCTTCTCTACTCTGACCTGACCTGACCCCAGTGTGATGGGAATTCCCCTTGTTCGCAATGCCATGACGCCCAATTACCGTGTCGATTCCCGCGGTCGCAACCATCCAAAGCTCAGTCTCAGCACCAGCACCAGCAAACCTCACCCTTACCAGTCCGATCACGCTCCACTCATTCCGCATCGACCTCGAGTAGCAGTTCGGAATCTCTCGTCACACGTACCGGTCGTTCAGATGCGCGCTATCTCGCCGTCCTTCCCCTGGACGACAGGGTGGCGCCCTCGCTAGTCGCGAAAACCGTCTCCGCGCAACAAACCCAGGTTTATACCAACTTTGTGATGGCCGCATTCCCCTGCTATTTCAAGGCCACGGAAACGAGAGTCCCCATCAATTGGGTCGAATATGTGGGTGGGAGGTGCACCATCAAAAGCTCCCCCTTTTGACTGGGCCATCCGCAGTTTGACCACCATCTATACGGGCAGTCTCTACAAGGATCCCCGGTATCTGGACGCCAGTCGCGAGTGCTACCACCGTTCCCTCCGCGGTCTCTCCAACCTCTTGAATCAGGTGGAGACCGCCAAATCGGACGAGGCGCTCTCCGCCGCCATTGCCCTGACCGTCTTTGAGATGCACGCATGCACCACCCCAGATGGGTGGATCCACCATGCTGCCGGTATACAGGCGATGATGCGACTTCGTGGGCCCCAGGCGCACTTACAAGGATTCGGGTGTGCGCTGTACATCGCGATACGAAACACTCTGGTGACCGCAGCGCTGGTCACCGGCGAGCCATGCTTCTTAGAGGACCCCGAATGGCAGGAACTCAACAAAATGATCGCCGCCGAAAACGCCAAACAGCCCGATTCCTCTGTCTACACAGATATCACAGAACGGGCCTTTCGGCAGGTGGTCAAATTGCCGGGGTTCGTGAAGCGCATGCGAGATCTACAGGATCTCCCCCAGAAACGAGAGCAGCCAGCCCTTCTCCGAGATATTCTCGCCACGCGCGCAGCCTTGCGAGGGATTCATACCGAGTTCAGCATGTCGGTTTCTACCCTACGAGCGGGCCGGGAGCCTGAGGCCGACTTCATCGGACCCCTTCCCCATCTATTCTTTGACGGATTCTCCACCCTATCTGTTCAAGGCATCCGCTCAGCTATACTAATGTCAAATTACCTTATTATCCTCCTTGACCCATCTCAGCGGAGTTCGGCCGAGGCCGAGAACCGCTTGGTTTCGGATCGAATGGGCTCTGGCTCTGGCTCTGGCTCTGGCTCTGGCTCTGACAGCAGTCGTGGGACCTGCCCAGGCTTCAAGAACAACTCGCCTCCTCTGACGCCCCCGGGCTCCCCAGGCTCCACGGACCGATCACGACTGATGATCGAGTCACAAGTCACTCCAGAAACGCGTCAGTCCCCGACTACCGACTGGATGGATCGAATCGCGACCACTATGGGGTTGGCGGGAGTCCGGGTTAGTTTAGTCGATGATGGCTAGACGATTCATGGCATTCTCGATAGAGCTGTTTGCTTCCTTTCTCAAATATGTCCGTTCAACCGCTTTGTTAATATGGGAAGATATCCGGGTGGTATGACTAGTAACACCCAAAATATAATTGATAACATTTGTACCATAACACGAGATTCCACTAGTAGTAGTAAATCTAACTTCCTTTCAAGCGCTGCAGGTTGATTAATTTGAATGTTTGTTCCTGTTATGAACAAAGAGATCTCAATGTGAAAGGACAACCATCAAAGGGGTCTTTCAAAGAAGGAACACTCCTTTTTACAACCAAATAATATGTCTTACAACAACTTTCAGCAAGCCATTTTCTTATTTCCCTCACCTTCGACACATTAGAGATGGCTGACACAAAACCTCAACCACTCTGTCGCCGTCTTGTCGCAGCAGGATTATGGCGATACCCTTCGCTATGGAGCAACACAGAACTGAAGAGACTCGGGTGTCAGTTTCAAAATGTCGATCCAGACTATGTGGACTACAACAAAGATCATAACTGGGTGGGTAACGTACCTTGTTCTCGACTGGCCACGGCAAGACGGCCCAGTCTGACGGAGATGTTCGCCATCCACCCCCATCATTCCACACGATTAGAATGTCTGACGGATATCCTCGCCTGGAGTCCTTCATGGGAAAAGGGTCCCTATTCAAATTTGCGGTACAGATCCCATTCGATGAGAGATTCATCACCCCATTTGGGAAACACCTTCGAAGAACTAACTCTACTCACAGCGAAGGGCGTCCTTTCTTCTTTCAAAAAGTCAAGATCCGTCGAGACTTGGCTGATATCCCGGTGGATTACAAGATATTCAGTGATCGCAAGCACATCAAAGCACACCTAGCAGAGGATCCACCCCGGGCTATAGGCTATCTAAACTACGACGAGCTGAGGAAATTTCGAGGTCATCAATATCAATCGCGCCGCCTTCGCTCGGGAGAGAAAGTCTTGGGTGAAGATTCTGGTCCATATACACCGCTGAGCTGGAGGAAAGATCCATTTCTCCTCTTCATATTATTGGGAATCGCTCAAACTCTCCGCCTCAAGTACAAAGGTGCATCGTCCAATAAGACTCTTACAGTATGTCGAGTCCTACATCTTTCTCTAAAGTCCCCAGTGGCATGGGTTTGGAATATTTCTCACTGATGCAATTTAGCCACGTTTACTAGTACACAACTGGCTCAATGATCCAAACCACATATATCTCTATGAGGCAATATTGGATACAGCTCTCATCGACGCCTTAATACATCCGGGCAAAACCATTACGGCATTCAAACGATTCAATATAGTTTGGAAACGAATATCCCTCAGGCCATATGAATCTTTCTCTCGTCGACTTCAGGGTATTCCTTTTAAGTGGCTCAATGGGAGCTCGCCTTTTGGACACGATAGAGGGGGATATCCCACAACCTCTGGTTCCGAAGCCTACAGAAACTCCCATCGAGAGTACTCGAAAACAAATTGAACCAGGCACGCCCCAACCGCGCACTATCCAAGCAAAACCAAAGAGGAAACTCATCGAAGATGCCGAAACTTCTGGCAATGACGAGAGTTGGAAAGGGAAACGCAGACGACGTCGAGGTACCGTGCAAAGACCCGTCCCTTACCAAACGAGATTCAAAGCGAAATTCCAAAACGGGACATCTGCTGTGGACAGCGAAGCTAGTAGCGAGGATGCACCAGAAATCAAAGACCTTGTCTCAGCACGCACACGGTCAAGCATGTCCAAATCTCAACCCAATTCCACGAAGGATAAAAAGAGATCCAAGAAGAAGACAAAGAAGTAATAACTTGACAAAAGCACCAATCAACAACTTCATTCCTTCAATATCATATCACTCCTTAGCTCCCATATCAAGAAGAAACTCCACTCTCTCGGGTCTAATACTCCGAGTAAGCGTCAACAGCGACTGTCCACTACGTTCACAAACATTAACATCAGCCCCCCCTCGCCAGAAGCAAAGCAACCCCCTCCATATTTCCATAGAATACCGCCTTAAACAATGCTGTACGGTCACGAGACCCTTGGAGATTAACCTTCGCGCCCCGATCCAGCAACAGCTCAATCATGGACAGATCATCCGGCGGGGCCATCAAAATAGCGAGTTCCAACGGCGTCGGGGAACGACTCAAATTAACATCTGCGCCATGGTCAATGAGGAGTCGGGCCGCGGGTCCATGGTGTCGACTCAGAGCAAGCCTGAGAGGAGAATAATTTCTCCATCGGGGATTGGGGATATCGACTACGGCGCCTAAGTTAAGCATATCCTGTACACAATCTTCATAGCCCCAGAATGCGTAAAATGATATGGCGAGGCCGCCAGTAGTCTTGATGTTGTTCTTGAACAGTTCGAGGTGTAGCATTCGATAAAGGAATTTGTTGGTTTGGAGGAGGTGAGCGAGGTCTAGTGCTTCTAGTTTGCTGGTGATGAGGAGGATTATTTCCTGTGGGAGGGATAGGAATTGCATTGGGTTCAAGTTTGTGTAGTAAAATGCAAATATATGAAGGGATTAAAGGATGGACTATTGGAAAGTGAAGCTTGTTATACCAATTACTAGCGGCAGTCTATCACGAGGCGTACTCCAGGGCTGCTAGTAGAATCAGGCAGCAACAGGCCAATAGTAAACTGACAGTGTTCAAGCTCTGATCTACAGTACAGGTGGCCTGAAGGCTTATCCATACCAAGTACTACTTAAATATACCATTCTGAATACTTATGGCCCTTGGTGTCTAAAATGGCATTCAATGACTTCAAGTGTTAAGCATGGGAATCAACTGGTAAACAACGAAATGTGGAACTGTCGCAGTATATAGTAAACATAACACCATCGTCTCGACGCAGTCGAACTGATCGTACCAAGCCATCTTCATCGTAGGCTACATACCAATTTCGCTGCATTCTATCTGAATTTGATGTACAAAGGGTATCGCGAAGATCCAGATCCATGAATCTCCAGTCCCCGACAGGCAAGCAGGGCGCGGTCTAATGTACTGAAATAGGATAAAAAAAAGGAAACGAAGAAAAGAGCAACGTCAGCAAGGACGAGGGGAATGAACCAGGCTCGCCTGTCCCGGGCAAAGCAAAGAAACGAAAACAAAATAGATGAGACTCGTGGGACGGCGTTAGGTGAGAGCAGAGTAGAGCAAGATCAGGTCAGCCAAAGGCCAGCGACAGAAGGACAAATTGAAAGATATCCGGGGTGAACGGGATGCAGTCATCGAGTTTCAAGAGTAGCATCGCGAAGGACGAGCACTCTTCCGAGGGCGTGATTAGACCATCACGATCACTTGCGGTCCTGACCGAAGAACCAGCTCGTGCGCTTGCCAGTCGTCTCCTGCGACTGAACACCCGCGACGTTCGCATTGGGCGGCGGCCCATCTGAGCCGCCGCCCCCGCGCAACGGCTTTGCAATGCGAGACCCTCCAAAGCTGAAACTCCCACTGCCGTCCATTGTGGGCAGACCGCGGGTGGAACCTTGCTTGGCAGCCTCCAGGCGCTCTTTCACGGCGGTAAGCTGAGCCTCAAATCTGTGAATAGAGTAAGTATTTGAGACCAAATTATCATAAGAGTTTTGCTGGAAAGAAACATACCGGTGGTTGGCTTGGGTCAACTTCTCTTGGCTCTCCTGGAGCAAGCTCTCGAGGCTGGCAATACGCTCGTTTCGTGCAATCAACTTGCGCTCTGCAATGGCGACCTCCTTCTTCAAGCTGCTATTCTGCTCAACCAATTGCCGTTGAACGTGAGTGAGCTGTTCAAGGTTGCGCTCAAGGAATGCCATTTTCTTCTGTTGGGCGCGGTTGTTCGATGAGCGAAGTACGTTGTTATATTGTTCCCGTGCATCATCCAGCGAGATTTCGAGCTCGACGACTCGCTCGCAACGATTTTGCAAGTCCCGCATCAGTGACTTCTTCATAGCATCAAACTCGGAAATCTGCTGCTGAAGTGTCTTGCTAGCAGTGCCATTGGTTGAGGTGCGTGATTCAGTGTCAACGAGGTTCTGTCGCAGCTTGTTCATTTCCTCGTCCTTGCGGGTAATTTCAGCTCGGAGTTCGTCGACAGCGGCGGCTTCGGTATCTTTCCGGCTGATGAAGGACTTCTCAAGTCTTTCGCGGATCTCTTCCACATCTCCATCGCCGAGGTTACGAGACAGAAGATCCTCGTATTCCTTCTGGACGTCCTCCAGCTTCTGCTCTAGCTCCGTTCGGCGACTGTCCTGCAGATCGCCAAACTCACCTCGATCGTTCATCGTCAGCTCTGCCTGGCGAATGAATCCCTGGGTCTCTAGCAAGCTAGTTCGAAGCTCGAGAACGTCGTCAGGTGCAATAGTCTCACCGGCTGCGCTGACCTCGTGCAAGGCGTCCACGCGCGAAATCAGGCCCTGCAGCTTACGCTCGTTCGTCGAGAAAACATCATCACCCAAATCGAAGCCAGCCATCATCTTCGCCATCTTCTCTGCCTTCTTCTTCTCCTTTTCATCCATCGCGGCAGTGGTTTCCTTCGCCTTCATACGGACGTCGAGTAGCTGCTGCTTGACCTCATCAAGCTCACCGGTCAACTCGGAGTTGGCCTCTCTCAGGCCATCCATGGTGATGGCAGCCTCCTTGCCCTCGTAGGACACCTTCTCAAGCTGCATGCGTAGTTCATTGACCTCGGTAGTCAGGCGATCATTGTCCTTTCCAGATCGTCCGGCACCCTCCCTGATTGACTTCAGCTCCTCTCGAGCTTCACGGAGACTGCGTTCAACATTCACGATATGTGTTTCCCTCTCGGCGATTTGATCTTGGAATTCATTTTCACGGCGAAGGAATTCCTCCCGCTCGTCCTTCTCCAGCACCAGGCTGGGCGTGCTGGAGCGGTCTCCAAGTCGGGAATCGGGCCGTGGAGTTTCCGCGCGAGCAGTTTCTTGAAGACGAGATGGCGTTCCGGGTCGAGGGGCACGAGCCTCCGCTCTGGTCGCGCTGACGATCTCGTTGCCGCGTGCAGGGGTCCATTGATCTTCGGGGACGTTGTCACCATTGCGCCACGTTGAGACCTCATTTTCCAGGGCCGAGATATAGGTTTCGAAATTGGTGACTTGAGTCTGGGCTTTCCGCAGGAGGAGTTTCATTTCGGCCGGGCTCAGCTCAGCGTTGACCTTCGCCTTGTTCTTAATTGCCTTGGCGCGTGAACCGAATCGCAGGGTGGATACGGTTTCGGCATCGTTGTAGCTGCTGGGCGAACAATTGATGATTAGCGTCGTTCGAGAGTTACCTCCGAGCGACTCCTGCAGAATTCGAGTGAGCTTGGAGTCACGGTACGGAATGTGTGTCGATTTGCCATCCGTGAGCGCATTGATGACCATTCCCAGGGCGCTCAAACTTTTGTTAATCTTTTTGGCTTCCTCCAGAGTTTGGCCGCTAGCTCCTGTCTTTCCAACCTTCTCACTACCAGCCAAATCGACCAGGAACAGCTGACCACTCTTGGCAGACCCAGTTTCAACGTTCTTCTGACTGACAGTGATGACGAAGATGGAGTGCGAACGAGAAGACTCTTGATTCATGTTGGTCGCGGCCACGGCTCGCGAATTTCCACCACGGCGCATCACCTCGTAGACCTCCTGCACACTCGACACGTATACCTCCAGCAATCCCTTGACGTAGACTCCGCGGTTCTTTTCCTCGTGGACGGGAAGATTGTCGTTTTGTGGCACGAGAAGATCACGAATCCGCTCCATGTAAATTTCCATATAACTGACCCGCACGGTATATTCAATGTTGCTCGGACTCGTCAAGATGCTGGCGAAGACTTGCTCGACAATTCGGGGGATAACACCCTTTCCCACATCGTCGTCAATGTCGGATCCCATCATCGTATACGACTTTCCCGCACCGGTCTGACCATATGCAAACACCGTTCCATTGTAACCGTTCAATATATCGTCAACCGTAGGTCGGACCGAGAAGTCGAAAATGTCTCTTTGAGCCGAGTCCATGGGGAACACCCGATCAAAGGTGAAGTCACCCGAACCCTCTTGGGACTAGACCGTAACCCGTGTCAGTGTTTCAAGATATCGAGAGGGTCAGAAAGCTCTCCATTGACTCACCGTGATCATGCATGATTCCTCGCCTTCGAAATGAACGATCGGTTGACCTCCGGAGGCTAACTCGACCTTGTTTTGAGGTCGAAATCGGGCGATGACTAGACGCGTTGGGGGGGTTAGCCTTCTTCGCTCCACCGCATCTTCCACATTGTGCGTACCCTTAATGGTGTTGGACCCCGCAGACCTGAGAGATCGAGTCAGAGACATTTCATTCCGACGTGTTGCTGTGGGAGCCAACTCACGCCATATTTACGGTTCAGTGACGATCACCTCTCTCGCGAACAAATCCCAAAAAAAATACAACCCCAAGGAGGGGCAGACAAATCCCGGGGGGGGGGTCGAGAAGTAGAGGAATAGGGGTGTTCTGTATGGGTGTGTGACCTCCACGAGAAATGCACCCACAAAGCACAGCCAGTAGGAAACAGGGTAGAAAAAGAAAAGAAAAAGAAAAAAGAAGTAAACAAAGGGCCCTGGTGAAGAGGGAGGGGGGGGGAGGAAGAGGAAGAAGAAGGTCGAAGTGGATTTCCAATGTTGACGGGTCGCCCGTTTGGGAGTTTCTCTTGGCCGACCGCTTCCTCCGCTTCCTCCTGTGTCTGCAGGGAATCTGCAGAGTACATCCTCAACTTTAATCCCTGGCTACATTTATATTTACATTTATTTTTAATTTTATTTCTATTTCTATTTTTATATTTCTATTTTATGTTTACATTTGTATTTACATGTACATGTACATGACAAGGTTGCCAATCAATCGTCAAATGTCCGTTCAAAGGCTAATGCAAATAAGCTATGGGGGGTAAAATAAGGTAAATCACAGAAACCAGAAAGGGACACCACATTAGAAGAACCATAATGCACATGAAAAAAGTCATCCAGGACAGAAATGAAATGAAATGAAATCATAAGAGAAGAGAATGTAAACCAGGCGCCCAAACCCCACGCTGTGCAGATCAAATGGCCGATTCCGGTGCCAACTCTTTCCTTCCACCCCAGCGTGCTTGTCCAAAGCAGCAAACAAGGCGAAGAGAAAGACAAACTGAGCTCCAGGTCACGCCTTGATAGTTTTTCTAATCCTCCCAGCTCTTCTCTACGGTCTCGCGGACGCGTTTGATGTATTCCTTGCGATTATCCTTGTACAGGTTCGATGCTTCGACGTTCGCCGGTGAGGAGGTGTTGGGATCATTGAGTAGACTGAAATCGAAGAAGAAACGAGTCAGTATGATTAAGGGAGAGGAAGGGAAAGGAAGGGAGAGAGAAAGATAACTCGATGGGCACAAAGAGTAAGCTTGTAAGCTAAACCGTACCTTTGAATACTCGTCAAAATGGCCGCCACATCGTAGGTGGGGCTCCATCGGTTCTGAAGAATGTCGAGACAGAGCTCACCGGTTCCGTAGACATTGGGATGAAACATCTGACTGATAAATTTGACGCCAGGGGGCTTGTTGGGGTATTGTTCCTCAAAGTTCATCACGAGGCGAAAGGTTCCATCCTCAAAGGGTGTATCGGCCGGACCAATGATAACGGCATTCCTATGGATGCGTTAGAAAAAGGAACACCAGGTTGAAAGATACCTTCACATACCATGTCATCACATTATCGGCAACGGGAGAGGCAGAGACACCAGCGGGAGGATCGGTTTGCATACGCTAAAGTCACAAAAGCCAATGGATTAGCGGGAGGGGCAAAATGACCGATAACGGGGAACCTTGGGGCACTAAAAAGGGCGAGGGGTCTCCGGAGAAATGAGAAACTCAATCCCTTCTAACGCAGCTGCTTATCGAACGTAAAAACAGTATCTGCAATGAGGTGGGTGGCCAATCTCGCGATTTCCCCGTAGACTGCCCCGGGCAGTATATGACATCGACATACCTTGAAGTCTCGCATGAGACGGCGGCGGGCAGAGGTCGACATGATGATAAATCTGTGAGCGGGAGGAGCTGGTAATAATCAATGAGAAAGTTCTGCCGCAATTTCAGGAGCAGGAGATCTAGGTGTGACGGTCGAGCACGCCAGATGAAGCATGAGAAGAGAGAGAGAACGTTCAATCAATTGAAGAGGGGCCCGGCCCGATGTTAGTCATCATTTGTTGCCTGAGTTAGTAGGCATCAAGATTGACGATTATGTCATATCATGTGATCTCCAGCGAGCCCGCCAGCCGAGGTATACGCGGAATGCCGCCTACCCGCCAACCGCAGTTAACCGCCCTACAATTGTTCAGCGTGCACCTTCTTCTCTTCTTTCTCTTCCTCCTCCTACTCCGTTGTTCCTCCTCTTGCTCCCTCTCCAGGATATCATCCATACAGTCATATCTCTCATCACAACCATGATCACCGCCCCGAGGCTGTCAACCCGCTCCGTGCGGGCTGCTCTCCCCGCATTCCGAGGCCAGAGACAGTTTAGCTCCGCACGCCCGTCGCTGAAGGAGATTCAAGAAGCGTATATTCTCAGTGCTGCCCGTACACCAACTGCCAAGGTATGGAAAACCTGTGCGACCATATAACGAATTAAGATTGCTCACCCTTCATACTACTTAGTTCAATGGCTCCTTTGCCTCGGTTTCGGCTCCCCAACTCGGTGCGGTCGCCATCAAGTCGGCTCTCAGCAAAAGCAACGTCCCCGTCGAGAAGATTACCGATGTGTACATGGGAAATGTTTTGCAAGGGTCGGTTGGTCAAGCTCCCGCTCGTCAAGCTTCTATCTTTGCCGGCCTGCCTTCCACCGTCGAGTCGATGACAGTCAACAAGGTGTGCGCCTCCGGTCTGAAGGCAGTTGCATTGGCCGCCCAGAACATTCAACTCGGTCTGGCCGAGGCACAAGTTGCTGGTGGTATGGAGAACATGACTCGCGTACCTTACTACATGCCTCGATCAAGCCAGCTGCCCCCCTTTGGCGAGATCAAGCTCGAGGACGGTTTGATCAAGGATGGGCTCTGGGATGTGTACAACCAGTTCCACATGGGAATCTGCGCGGAGCAAACCGCTAAGAAGTATGATGTTTCACGAGAGGATCAAGATCAATACGCTATTCGTTCCTATGAGCGAGCCCAGGCAGCCTGGAAGGAGAACAAGTTCGCCGACGAGATTGCCCCCGTCACTGTCAAGGGAAAGAAGGGTGACACCGTCATTGAAAAGGACGAGGGCTTTGAGAACTTGCGTGCCGACAAGCTGACTAGCCTGAAGCCTGCTTTCCTGCGCGATGGTACGGGTACCGTGACTGCTGGTAATGCCTCGACCATGAACGATGGCGCATCGGCGCTCGTCCTCGCCAACAAGGAGATTGCTCGGGAATTTGGCGCTGGTGGTCGGGTTCTGGCTCGCATTGTGTCGACCGCTGATGCGGCTATCGACCCTGTTGACTTCCCTGTGGCCCCAGCCAAGGCCGTCCCTATCGCTCTGGAGCGAGCCGGTATCACCAAGGACCAAGTCGCCGTGTGGGAGTTCAACGAGGCTTTCGCAGCTGTTATCAAGGCCAACGAGAAGGTAAACCATCCAGCTGTTTACGAAGATTCCATTTTCCATTTTTCGCGACTTATTGCTAACGTATTCTTTTTTTCGTTTTAGATTCTTGGTCTCCAGGATGCCAAGGTGAACATGCTTGGCGGTGCTATCTCCCTGGGTCATGCGCTAGGAAGCTCCGGCTCCCGTATTCTTGTCACCCTGCTTCACCAATTGCAGCCTGGTGAGTACGGCGTGGCGGCCATCTGCAACGGTGGTGGTGCGGCGAGTGCCATGGTCGTACAAAAGCTAGATCGCGTGGACTAAGTGATCCTATGTGGTCTACAATGTTAATGATACCCTCCATACCCTCTCTTGCCTCCTTCCAACTCCCCACACATCAAATTTAAATTCAAGTTGCAAATTGGGGAATTGAAGTCAATTTTATCCAAGTTGCCAGTGGTCTGTATATATATATAGGAGAGTTCAAGTTGTACCAATGCATATTTGCATATCCCGAATCAACTTGAATGGAAACCCTTGGAATTTAATTATTCCTTCAATACTAGTAGTAGCCCTGGAGTACTCCAGCAGTCTTTCACGTAAGTAGTACTAGTCGTAGCAACCTCTAATCAACTTGAAATACCCGTGGACTTCAAGTTTGAGAATCTTTTGATCGTCGATCACTGGCAGGAATGGCGCTAGTCCCGATCGGGGCAGCCCCAAGCATGGCGGGCCCAGCCAGCACCAAACATTCCAAGGTTCAACTTGAAGTTCCCACCTTTCTTACTCTTCAAGTTGATCAATTACTCTTGAAAATGCTACGCATTTAGTGAGCCTTCAACAAAATGCTTAATCCTATAGAACTACAGCTTCTTCCTTCCTGCTTCGGAGCTCTCTCCTGGTCGCCCGACGGTGAGCTTGCCGTGGCCGCAGGCGAGCATATCCAGATTTTAGTGCGTGCAATACACCCCTTCGCGAGTCTATCCAGGCCTATCCTAATGTTTAAGACAGACACCCAAAACTGGCGGCTTAAAATCAAACACGCCGGGCAAAGATGCCTGGGACATCACGCGGATTCGCGTCAACACGTTCACTAATGCCGAATGGGCACCTATCCCCCCTCAAAATCGGGATGATTTCTCTCTTGGTGCTGAGCAGTCAACAAGTACTGTCATTGGCCTAGCATGGTCTCCGGCGGGACTGGCTCGATTCCGCCGCAGTGTATTGGCTGTTCTGGGGTCAAACTTGATCCTGTCGCTGTGGGAGCCCATCGGGCCTAGGGCGATATGGACAAGAGTCGCGATTGTCAATCATACGCTACATCCTGACCCCTCGGCTCCCTCGACACTGACCGGTGAACTACTTCGCAAGGCAAATATTCGATCCTTCCATTGGTGCGAACCTCTGAAAACTCCAGTACCACCCGAAGATTCTGACCAGGCGTCGGAACCTGAGAGTCGATGGGGTGTTCAGTTGATGTCTGTTACAAATGATGCCAACGAGGTCGTTCTGCTACAAATTAAGCGGAATGCCAACTCCACATCATCTACCCGGTCCTATCATACCGAAAAGTTGACTTCTTATCAGCTGCTCGGGGAGAAGAACACACCCAAGCTTTGTTCTGGGTCAATTCTCCAGAAAACCCTTCAACTGAAATCACGAATTCTGTCAATCTCGACTGGACCATGGGGCCCTTTGCATGCAACGAAGAAGAATGGCGTCCATTCGACCTCGGCAATTATTGCAGCTGTGTATGGCAAGCAGCTATACCTCCTCAAGACGACCATCACCTTGCGTAGGTCGGATAACGGTACTAATACTACTGCGGAATACCAAGTTACGGCTGAGCTGGCAGACCATTCCTTGGCAGATTCATCATCAAAGTGGGCGTACTGTCAGATTGAAGGCCCAATAAAATGGATTCACACAGTGCGTCATTGATCTTTTTTTGATCTTTTGTTTCATTATGTTTCTTTTCTACTGGTTCTCAAAACATGTGCTGACTTTGACTACAGAACCAATCCCCAAAGATAAATTTGGTAGTTGGCACCTCCACCGGATTCCTTACTATCTCTATGTCCCGAGCTGCTTATCAAGGCACCGGAAAGGGCAAAGACCGATTTGAATTCTGGCCAACTTCTACATCATCATTTCCTATTGAGGACGGTGAGCCTCGAAATGACTGGGAACTTATCGCAGGTAGGTGATGGGAATCTTTCTATGCAGGGGTTGAAAATAAAACTGACCAGTGTCAGCCATGGCGACGCTGACCAACGAGCAAAATGATTCATGCGTGCTCCACCTGGGTACCTCGGCCGCACTAGGGGCTGCCATTGACTTGGAGACACCGATTTCAGTGGAAACAGAATCCGATAATAGTCTAGGCCTGCCGCAGTGGAGCAAGGTAATCAAGAACGTTCGTGAACAATATGATTTGGACCACGATTTGCAAGGATACGCCATGAATCGACTTTGGGGTTTAGCCTCCTACCGTGGTGTCGCTGCAGTTCTTGTTACTCGCCACCCGACAAATATGATTCAATACAAAGTCGCATCCGACGAGAGGGCCGTTGTTGGTTTTGCCTTCGAGGGTACCGAGGAAGCCCCAGATCTCGAGTCACTCTTCTCGCCTGTTTCCGACCTCAGTGAACGATCCGAAGGAAGTGGAAGAAAGAAGCCTGTCACTTTCTTGCTTTCGCGATGCGACAAAGATGATGAAATCAACACCGAGGATCAAAGACTCATCTACGCAGCAGCATGCTGTAGCATCGTGGATGAAAGCCTTGCGTCGACTCGCCCTCAAGCTCAAAGGGCCTTGAAACGTTTAGCAGTGAAGACAGGCGCCGATTTGAGCGAGGAAATATCGAAATGTACGAATGGTGCCTCCACGATATCGAGCAAATCGCCAGACCAGCTCTCCCAAGCAGGGGGTCACTTATTTGAGAAGTGCGATATTTGCGACGCAGGTATTCCTTGGGCCTCAGTCACGGAGGCCCAATGCGAAAGTGGCCATCTTTTTGGTATGTGAAGTATCACGCCATAGAAATACTTGGTACCGATCTGACATTTGATATAGTACGCTGTGGACTCACCTCCCTGGCCATTCAAGAGCCTGGCATTTCGAAATATTGCTCTACTTGCCAGACAGAGTTTCTGGATGAAGAATTGATTGTTCGCCTGCGTGATGAAGCGCTAAGTCCAGTCTTCATGAATGTCGCCAGGGCTTTCGATACTTGTCCCTCCTGCAACTCCAAATTCAAGTGCAGCAATCTTACTTAATACCCAACATGTCTACGACAAAGCTAATTGGGATTGTACTTGGGAGACTGGAAGCCACGATTTTGGATACAAATGGTCCGGATTTGTTCTTAAGACCACAATTTGATGATTTAGTTAGTGAATTGTGATCGAGTAGCTTTGCTACGTCAACCCAAAAAGCGCCCCAGCGATGGGATCCCACTCGTCGTCCCATCTGCGGGAACTCTCCTTCTGAGCACCTGCCCGAAGACTCGCCAGTTTCTGATCATCGTCAAACAACTCCACCAACCGGTCTAAGAGTTCCGTCGCACTGCCAAATCCCATCCCGTTCACACCCTCGGTCACCAACTCCGGCCATGCCTCGAATCGACTCCAGCCGACCACTGGCAAGCCCGCACCGAACATGTCTACAACTTTCATTGGGAGATCAACCCCGCTACTGCTAGTGTGCAGACTCACTCCCAGAGATGCCGATGCGAGCAGACGGGCATAGTCGGATACCGTCAACCATGCCGTGCGGATGGTGACTTTTTTAAGCTTGCCGGCAGTTTCCAGAGCGGCAATCTTCTTCAAATACATCTCCTTCTGCGGACCCTTACCCGTGATGATAGCCAGAATATGCGGCAGGCGTGGCTGGGCTACGGCCTGTTCCGAATACTGGAGCAGGGCATCGATAAGGACCGAGAAATCTTCATCCGGGGTCCAAGAAGTCGAGCTGACCAGGACTCGAAGTGATCCCGATTCTAACAAGGGACGCACGTCTTTTGTCTCCGGTAGAGTCGCCAGGAACTCGTTGCGGGCTTTGGGGTCAGTGATGGGCTGAAAGTGACTGGCAGGACGATCATGGAGCGGCAGGATGGGAGCCTGAAGCTGGAAGTCCTTCTTGAGGACGGATCGCATGGCATCGGTCACGCATAGGTGGGCCGAAGCCATCTTGCAGAACGTCTTCTCATACCAAATCGACAACTTGACAAGGGGGTGTGTTGGGCCGAGCTTCAATGCTAGGATGGAATATCCGAAATTATGCCAGTCGATGACCAAGCGCGTTTGTCGTAGGAAACAAGTTATCGAGGAGACTGCTAGCGTGGGAATCGAAGGCGGGTTCTACTTGACCATCAGCAAATGTCCAGATCATAGGATAGATACTTAGATAGGATCGACGAAATGGTTGTCAAACGACATACCTGGACTAGAAGCCATCTTGTTGGCGGGGAAGTATATGCTAGGCACTTCCATAGACATGCGACCTGGAAGAGCACCTTCAGTGGCCCGTAGATGACAAACAAGAGTTTATTACTTGTTTGAAGGTATGCGGGGTGGGGACGGATAGGAATAATGGAGATGTCGGGGTGTGATTCAATATCAGGGTGAGGATCGGATTCTAAAAAAATGAGGTTCAAATGTTAGCTATACTGCGCTGCCCTCGTGTTACTTGGGGTATGTAGCCCAGCCAACTCACCCTTATAACCAATGATCACGACGCGTCCCCGTTTCTGGCAATACTCAGCGCATGATATTGCATGCGCGGGCTCCGTCCTATATCACCCAAGACAAGAATTTGCACACTCCGTTTCTCCTTCGGGTCGGAGGTTGGCTTGTATTGGGATGGGAGAAGCAGAATGGCCACGGTCAGGGCGGTTGAGAGGCAGAATGCGATGGTGATGAGGGATTCAATCATGGTGGTGGTGGTAGATGGTGCAAGAGGCTGGACCTCGTTGCAATTATCGATCACAATAGCATTGTACGGTAGTCGGAAGTGTAGTGTAAATGTAATGTGTACAATGTGTACAATATGGGATGCCCGCGGAGGTCGACTTATCGATAATAGCACGTGATTTAAGGCATATACGATAAGATAAGAGTCCCGCGATAAGATACCTGGTCACGTGGCTCCCCCAAGGTTCCCGCGCGATTGGCCGCCCCCAGCGGTTCGAGCTTCCTCCGTCAAGCCCAGCTTCGATACTGCTCGGCATTGCGCTGCGCTAGTTTTGTTTCACATTCATATTCACATTTATTCGGTCTCCATCGATTGCGCGCAATGCTGTCTGTTTTTACTGTCCTTATTCCCGCACTCTGAGCTTAGCAGGCTCCCCCCATAACCGTCCATCTCCTATTCCGCTTGCGACACCCACTCAACCCCCCCCCCCCTTCTCCAGACAATGTCGACGGGGGCACCGCCCCTGAGTGCGGATATCGCACCGGTCAATGGAAATACACATGCACACGGTCACAGTCGTGGCCGTGGGCATACTCGATCTCGCTATGCCCAACCCCCGCCGGCCCCTCTCTCGCTGGACCTCTCCAATGCTCCCCAACCGCCACCGGACATGACCGACTCTGTCAATGGCAATGGCTCATACGGACACGCCTCCCAGCCATCCTGGTCTCAGCATAACCACAATGACTCCCATTCTCACGGTCACAGCCATTCCCACTCCCACTCCCACCCCCATTCGCTTGCGCACCACGGCCATACCCACAGCGTGTCCTCAATTCACCATGACGCGCCACACGCTCATGATATGAACCTACAAGCTACTTCTGTGAATTCAGAGACTAGCTCCAATCAAGTGTGCGTGGATATACAGAAATCTCGTGCTGAAGTGACGACTGACACCTCCCAGGCATGAAGTGCTAGCCGGCGCCCTAATTGCATTGCCTTGGATAGCACTGTCCTGGTACCCAAGGAAATGCGCGCAGCAGAACGCAGGCGATCTAGATGCCTCTGAAACAACACACAAAAGCTCCGTCGGAACCGTCGAACAGGTCGGACAAAAGGCCTGCATCTTGACCGCAGTTACGCTTCTTCTCTTCGGATTCCTTCAATTGATACGCTTGAACAGGTATGCCGATGGCTCTAAGGGCCTCTCTTCCATGAAATTCCCGACACCCAGTGCTCAGAGTGGTCAAGCTGCTTTCCTGCAGATATGCTCGGTTGGACTACCCATATATGCAGCACTGAAAGTAGGAGGATTCCTAGTTGCCTTCGCACTTCTTCTTGCGACGGCTACCGGGATGCCTAAGCTAGTCGCTTCGGATCCTCGCATTGCTGTACAGGAAAGATACAACCGGAAAATTTTCACGATTTCGCTTTTGGGAACGGCTACTGTGTTAAGCTATCTAGGCCTGAACAAAACGTGGGATGCGTGGCCATTGACTGGGTATCTTGCTTTGGTACTCTCAGTATTCGCCATCTCCCCTCCTTTCCCTGCTCTTCGCCGTCAAGGACCCATTCCAGAGCCAGGCCTCGTTGCTGAGTCACTTTCAAAGGACAAAGCCTCGGGTCTCAGCCAATCTACTGTCATTGTTACGACCGATGCTCCTCTCGCTCTGGTATCGGGAGGTTTCCTCCTTGTTCTAGCCATGATTGCCTCCGGAGGCTTACCTTTTGGTTTGGCGGACTCGATCTATGTTCTGGCCCCGGCCGGGCTCCTTGCAACCGCACTGGTATTTTCATCCCCCGCTGGTATCCGATCATCTAGCAAGGTTGGTCTTGCAGTGGCTACTGGATCCGCGGCCCTTCTTTCCTCTCCACATATCCATGATGATATTATGATGGTCTATGTTGCGCGCTGTATTCTAGCTGCCCTTTCCTTCTTTGCCTCCAGGATGGACGATAAGCATTTGCGCCTGGATGCGCATTCACACAGCCATACACACCATCACCACAATCACTCCCACGGCCCTACAGAGGCGGGCGCAGTGACAAAGTGGCTTCTGCATCGCAGCGAGCCCTATCCACTGCTCTATAGCATTCTGAAGGAGAAGGACTCCCGTAGTATCTTCTACTTCATGTGGTGAGCGCTATTCCGATCGATCCTCGGTGTATACTCAACTAACGAATCACAGCCTGAACTTCACCTTCATGCTTGTCCAATTATCCTACGGATTCCTGACCGGCTCCCTTGGACTGCTCAGCGACAGTATTCATATGTTTTTCGACTGCCTTGCCCTGGTTGTAGGACTATGCGCAGCTGTGATGAGCAAATGGCCTCCGAATGCCCGATTCCCCTACGGCTATGGTAAAGTTGATACTTTGTCCGGGTTCGCCAACGGAATTTTTCTCATGTAAGGCGACACTGAACTAAGCCAGTATCAAATGCTAACCTTGAACAGGATCATCAGCGTGGAAATAATCTACGAAGCGGTGGAGCGGCTGTCATCGGGAAGCGAAATGCACCGCATCGGCGAACTTCTCGCAGTCAGCTTCGCTGGATTACTTGTGAACCTGGTCGGCATTTTTAGCTTCGAGCACGGCCACCACCATCACGGACACGACCACGGCCACGATCACTCCCACGGTAACGAAAATATGCACGGTATCTTCCTGCACATTCTCGCCGATACCCTCGGTTCCGTGGCCGTGGTTATCTCGACCATTCTGGTGCACTACTCTGGCTGGTCCGGGTACGACCCGCTCGCATCGTGCTTTATTGCCATCTTGATCTTTGCCTCGGCGGTTCCTCTCGTCACCAGTACCGCCAAAAGCTTACTGCTGACTCTGCCCGCGGACACGGAGTATAATGTTCGTGAAACACTGGCCGGGGTGAGTACCCTGCGTGGGGTGGTTAGCTACACAGTACCGAAATTTTGGCTCGACGATACCGGGTCGTCGTCCGACGGACACTCCCACGAACATGACCATTCCGGAGGATGTGACCATGGCCACGAACATGGGCATCAGCACAATCACAGTCACAGCCAAAGCCACGGTCACAGCCACAATCACAGCCACGCCCACGATCATGACGATCATGCCCACGCCCACGATCACGATCACGACCACGACCACGCGCATGAACATAAGAAACTGAAGGTTTTCGGTGTAATCCACGTGATAGCATCCCGAGGCTCCGACCTTGAAGATGTCCGCCAACGAACGGAGAGCTACCTTCGAGAGCAAAGCATGGATATTGTCGTTCAAGTGGAGCGCGATGGGGATAGCCGGTGCTGGTGTGGTGGTGGGAGCAAGTCCCCCTAGGACATACATACATACAATTCACTACAATATTATTTATCATGATCATGTAGGCCGGAGTGGCCATGTATAATTTGAAGGTTTCCCGCTGTTGAGTGTTTGTATATACCCAATTAACAAATTAGCGGTTGCAAAACAGAGCAAAGTTCATTGAATCAAATATTCTTGTGAAGATTTACGAATATGTTCTAATCGTGATTTGTATCGAGGTTTAAGATCGTTTGTTATAGTATTCCATCCGGGGTATCAGCGCTAAATTCAAGATTCGTCAACTCAGAACGGGACATGTCAAGTTAGGATGACATTATGGTATCCTGGAGCTTAGATATAGTTTAGTTTATCAAGCAGCATACGTCCATACCAAATACAATAGGGCGGCGAGTGCTAGAAACTCTTGCAGTGACGCGGGCTGCGGATTTCTCATGCCCAACCGCAGTGGAATGCATCTGCCTAATTTGCATCGCAGGATCGGGCCTATCCCTTTTGGTTGCCTGCCAAGGTGTTTTGGGCCTTGAAATCTCTGGATGTCCGCCGGTATCCTTTTTAGTAGCCGCGGCCATGCCGCGCTTCGCTTCTTGGTCATCTATATGGCCTAGTATTCGAATTCTCAGTCATCACTTCGTATCGGACCTTCATAAGCCCATTTTGTGTCGAGGCCAAATTAATGAACCCGCCCAGCGAGCATCAACGGGATATAGAACACGAAGTAGCTCCGAGACCAATGCCTTCCCCGAATTACGAGCCCACCATCGTTGACCGTCCAGTTCGCCGAGCAGGACGCCCCAATGCATAAGGATCAGTAAGGCCAGCGGTTGTCGTCGCCGCACATTATCCACAAACTCCTTGTCCACGGCAGCTAACCATGCAAGCACGTTGGCCGGGTCCTGGGAATTGCCGAATAAAGTAAAACAATGGCGCAGGTGCGTGATAACGTCCTTATTGATGCGATATTGGTCTGTATCGATGCTGGCCAGTGTTTCATCGTTCAGCGTCATCAGGCGATTCAGCGCGACGGCCGTTTCAGAGTCCAGCTCTGTCGGTCCGGAATCCCAAAGCTCCTTTTGGCGGGAAAATAGGCTTAGTTTTATCCACGACCGGCCGATTTGCATGATCTTTCGCACGCCTTGGAGAAGTTCAAATACCGTCACGATATTCTCAGTCATATTAGAACGTTCATCCCGCGAGCCGGTAAGCCACGGAAGAGCAATGCCAATGACGGTGGTAATGATAGACTGCGCCAGCACAGCCTCACAGTTCTGCGGGGTGAGATTGTCGATCGCGATACGGAAGGGACCAAAGGTGAGATTATGGTACTGGAGGGCAGTGTCGATATACGCCAAGGAAGTCGGCGACTCGACGATGGTGGCGAGGTGCAGTGAAGCTACGGCCAAGATTCCATTCATCAGAAAGTCGTATCGCAGCGCGAGTCGCGGAATCGTGATCTGCCACACCTCAAACTCCAAGGGGCCCGTGCAGAGGGTGCGAAATGTATCGGTGGAGAATTGATGCATGAGTTCTAGGTCGCGCACGGGGGAAATGGTAGACGGGGTTGAAGCGGCTGGACTGATGGGTGCAGCGGGACGGGGGGTTCCTGAGTCGCGAGTTGAGATTGAAGTATTTGGTCGGGGTGGCGCATCGCCATGACCATGGCCATGGTCATGGCCATCGCGGGGTGGTGCTCTTAGATAGGAGCATTGGAGTTCTCTGGAGGTACAATTGGAACAAGGGGGACCTTTCTCGTCGCACTGCAGGGGTTAGAGATGTGGGGTAACCGGGGTGATATGTGTACGAGTGATATTCGGAGAGAGAGCGAATGAGTACTTACCTTGACACGCCGCCGCTTACACTGGTCACAACCATTGCGCGACTTGGTATGCGTGCGACGAGGAGCCATGAGTCTGGGTTAGCCGGAATCAACTCGACATCGACCGGGGAGCTCGACCGGGGGGAGCTCGACAGTGGGAGTGTATATAAATCGAAAGTCGCAAGTTGGAAAGTCGAAAGAGGAAGTTCGCGACGTTGGAAGGTTGGAAGTCAGGTGATCGCGATATCGACAGGAAGGAAAGTGCTGCGCATCGCGCCTGCCGTTTTGAGGCATTGCACTGACTCGGGGGATTGCGCCTTCCTCAAGAACCAGAATGGCTGACTAACTCTTAACTCCGACTTCACCCAACTTCACCCAACTTCTTCACCTCTTCACATCCTCATATCATCATACTTCACACAGCCTCACACCTTCTCTTCTGCCTGGGATCGTTCCAAGTTTAATATTCCCAGATGCAAGGCTGACTGATCTATTCCAGACCAGCATGCCATGTGTCTGCATTTCCCCGATTCGTCCATCTCCAATCTCCGATCTCCAGGGTGGATCGGGATCATCGCGGAGTCTGGAAGCGAGGGTGGGCACGAGAACGAGAACGAGTGCGATGGAATCAAATGGGACCGACAGCCAATGGTAATTCTCCGTCAGTCACGGTTGAACCGTTAATACTGGCGGCTCCACTTATTGGCGGCATGGCGCGTTTTCCTTGTTAGCAATTACCCATGCTCTGCTCCACGTCAGACGGCCCCAAGGCCGAAGGGTGTAAAGTCCAACAAACATGTAAAGACTTTTTCTTGTCAGCATCGTATTCCGTGAGCGAGAACGAGGCCAAGCCAAGTTGGTTATTACCCTCTGACCACCAGGCGACTTCAGTTCCCTTGGGACTTCTCTTTATCACCTCCCTCCTCGCCCACTGCCAACTGCCACAACGATAACCAACATTCGCCATGCCTAGCTACGCGGATTGCTTCGAAGTCGGTCCCCTCTGCCCCGTCCAGGCCACCACCTACGGCTACTATCCCAACTTCGGCGGCAATGTCTTCTTCGCCGTCTTCTTCGGCGTCCTGGGAATCTCCCAACTCGGTCTCGGTATTTACTTTCGAACATGGACATTCATGACTGCCCTCGGCATCGGTGCGTTGATGGAAATGGCGGGCTATATCGGACGAGTCTTGATGAACGACAACCCATGGAGTGCCCCCGCCTTTAAATTACAAATCGTCTGTTTGGTACTGGCCCCGACTTTCGTGGCTGCCGGTATCTACTTAACGCTCAAGCATATTGTCCTCGCCCTGGGCCCGGAGCACTCCAAGCTGAAGCCGCGACTCTTTACCTGGATCTTTATCGGATGCGATGTCGGTTCGCTGCTTTTGCAGGCTGCAGGTGGTGGTGTTGCCGCAGCTGCAGGCAAAACCGACCAGGCCATGCTAAAGGCCGGAGACGACATTATCATTGCTGGTATCGCGTTCCAGGTTGCGACCATGGCCGTGTGCGGCTTTGTTGCGCTGCACTTCTTCTGGACCGTCAGTCGACACGGCAATGGATTAGAGGGCGAGAAGGATCTCGAAACGACAACCAGTGTACCTCGCACTCGGATGCAACTCATCCTCGGTGCTGAGATCTTCGCTTACTTCACCGTCATAATCCGGTGTATCTATCGGTATGCAGCCACGTCTCCCCCTCTCACCCTTTCTCTTTGCGCATCTCCGTATCTCCGTACTAATTACAAGAATCCAGTATCCCCGAGATGGCCGGTGGCTGGGGTAACCCCCTCATGCAAAAGGAGAGCGAGTTCCTTGTTTTGGACGGAATGTAAGTTGTATTCAGTTCCTCTTCTAATATCCTTTCTAACCATTTCCAGGATGATCGCCTTGGCCTGCTTGTCTTTCACTCTATTCCACCCCGGCTTCTTCCTTCCTTCAATGCGCACTGGCTACAAGAACCGTGCCTGATGGCTTTCATCTCTTTCTCGCCATCAACCCTTTCTTTTGTTTATTTTCGAAACCTACTATGATCTTCGCTTGATCGTAATGCCTTGCATATAATAGAGTTTAACCAAAGCATGAGCAAAACATTATTTTCTTCTAGCGCAGAATAGATATGCAATGAATACCACTGTGAACAACAGCAGCTCCCATCGTCCATGGATTATGTTACCATACCTCTCATACTCATGCTACTACTATTACTATTACTACTACACTGACTCTTCGCATGGCCACTAATCCCCATCCATGGATCTCCGCTACATGGAAGAGCTGGAAGAGAAAGTTCCCAAAGCGAGTCCATAGTGGAAAACTCCAATCCTATCGCGAATACTAGGGGCAACCGAAGTCAGCGGCCCTAAATGCTAGTTCCTTCCATCATATAAAACACTCCAATACCGCTCGCTCTATCATGCAATGGGAGCACCACAAGATCACGAGATCCGGCACACGGACGAAGAAAGGAGAAGGGGAGATAAAAAAATAACGAAAGAAGCAAAAGCAAAAGCAGTCGAAAATTGAAAATCGAAAATGTCCATCCAGATGCACCATAAAGACCAAGATGAAAAAAGAGAAAAAAGAAAAGAGACCACAGAAAATGTAAAGGTCAAAACCAGTGGAACGTGAAGCATAAAGGATAGAATTAGAAATAGAAGTAAAAGGAAAGTAGAAACCAGTCTACTCCCTTCTATCTCTACTCCTCACCCTGACTCTCACGCACACACCTGCGCACTCTTTTCTTAAATTCCGCCGGGTCCTCCCTCCACAACCGGGCCGCCTCCACATTGGCCGGGCTCTCATCGTTCGGGCTGGATAGCATCGAGATCACGGATAGGAGGATAGTCTCGGGAGTTTGTACGGGCGACCAGCGCTCCGCTGCAGACTCGTATCCATATTTGTCCTCCTCAGGTGGGTGTAGGATTGAGATGCAGACTTCGCCGTTGGGGTAGACTAGTACGTTGCGGGAAGTGTTAGCGGGGGTAAAAGAGGAGAACATATGGGATGAAAGAGAAAGGCTGAAGAAAGAAGCCGGTGTCTTGGAGGTGCTATGTCGTGCTTCAGGGAAGTCGGTCGATCACTTACTGTTCGGGTGGAAGACGGAGGATTCGAACTTCATTTTCGGCGGCATATGCGGGTATTCTTGCGGGAAGGAGAGGCGAGCGCGGAAGAAACCACCTTTCAAAATGCTGGTTAGCTGATTATGACAAGGCAAGAGTGAGAGATTATATCCCCGGCCAGTGAAAAGCAGAACAGGGCAGTGTATAATCAGATATTATAGATCAACCGATCAATCCCCCGGTACGAGCTACCGCGGAGGGGCATGATGGTCCATAGTTAGGGGAGTTTGCCGCCAATCCTTTCCTGTATACATACCTCCGTATAGTTTGACGTCGTCGGAGATCATGAGCATCACCTCCCACTCGAAAACATTGCTATCGACCAGACCAACGCTGATCCCCGGGATGTCCTTATCGGACTGCATTTGTTGCAGCTGCCGGGAGAGCATACGGCCAGCGGGTGAAGTCGCCATCGGGGGAGAATTGGAGGGGCGAAGAGGGAGGGAGGAGGTTTTAGTAGGAGCAGTCCGAGTCCAAGCAGCAAAGTCGGAGTAAATCAAGTGAGGAGCTGAGAGGAGTGAGGCGCGATGAAGGTGAGGGGTGAAAATCGATCGTAGGCGGTGAACGGTGGGGGGCGGGGGTTGGTCCACGATAAACCGATAGGTGGAGGCATCGAAGGTACCTTTAGGATAGAAGATATAGATATAAGTTATAAGAGGGTTGATTGTGGATGTGCTATTCAGAAATAACTTGAAAGAAACCAATCACCAAGGAAATACTGTGGTAAATGCGGGCTAGCCCCATACAAAGAGTGTGATATAATAATGCATCAAAATAAAGGACTGATGTAGCCTCCCCAACTTTCTTCCGGTCGTTCGATCCTTCCGACAGTTTCCATTGAGTGAACAGTTTTAATACTAATAACAGTTCCCCTGCGTTCGTGATGTTTACATAGAGCCATCGGCAGGCACCATCGACACGCCCCGGGGTCCCAGTCCCAACATAATGCCAGCAATGGCGGAAGCACCCACGAATATCAGGGCGATTTCGATCATCGCGGTCTTGACCACCACCTTGACGAACCGAACACGGGCATTCCAGTCAAAGGTAGTCCATGCATCCATGAGGCCGATCTTGCCACTGCCACCTACGATCTCGGGTTGGACCTTGCCGCCGAAGGAGCGGTCAAAGGGCACAATGGACTCATCCTCCTCGGGCAGCATGGAAGCGGCAACACGAATGAAGATAACACGAGCGGGAACAGAAATTGCCAGAGAGAGAATTGCCGGGAGGACGCCGATGCTGAGGAAGCGGACGAAATTCCTGCGGGCATTCAGTTCCGGGTGGTCGGGGGTCCTGGGCAACCTCGGTCCAGCCAGCCATCTGGGCCACGACCATGGGCATGAAGAAGATTACATATGTCAGTAGCGTCTCAAGAGCCACGGCTGGGGCAATGCGAATCCATTTGCGCCAACTGGGGATGCGCTGGTAGAAGCGCTTGGGCGAGGGCTCAGAGATGACGATGTGAACCCAGGCCATCAGCCAGGTAGAAAGGAGCATGGAGATGATGAATTGGGAGATGAAATGGCCGAGAAAGGAGTCGATTGGGGTAGTAATCAAAGAGAGGAAGACATCGACGAAGATGAAAGCCAGGTAGATGGACAGACCCCGGAAGCGCGACCAGAAGCCAGCACGGGCGCGGAGGTGCTTGGTGGTGGATCGCAGGCCACTGGTAATGGGCTGAAGGCGAGCCGAGTCGGCCAGTTCGGGCTCATTTGGATCCAAGGGCTTGGTGGGGTCCTGGTGGTCGATGCGGACGTAGATGTCGGGGTTGGAGTCCTCGACGGCGGCAAGTGTGGCAACCACTCCGCCGTAAGTGTACTCGACCTGTTTGGGTGAGTTGGTGGGCTTCGAAGGAACAGAGGGGAAGAAAACGAAAAACCAAACTTACAGACATAAGAGCCAGGCCCATAATCAGACCCAGAGTGAGAACCAAGAAAATCAGCCATGGGGAGAATTCGACTTTCATAGCGGGGCCATCTTTGAAGGTCGCGACGAACTCGGCGCTGCGGCGGACAAAATGACCGCTGACAGGCATGGTGAGGGATGTGAAAGTGAGTGAGTGGGAATCGGATGAAGGGGAAGAAAAGAAGGGATGAAAAGAGAAGAAAAAGATGAAAGGAAGAGAGGGAGAGTGAGAGGGAGAAGAGGGGATTCTTTTGAGGCTGAGGCGCAGGCAGGCGCGCAGGCTAACCCCGTTGGGCTGTTGTTGCCTCGACTGGCGTTAACATTAACTAGTACGGAGTAGCTACAGAGTAGATAGTATAGTATATAATATAGTATATAGTAGTATATATACTATATATTACTAGTATTACTACTAGTATTATATTCTTATTCCACTGCTAGTAACAATAGAATCAGTATACTATTAGGTATACCAGGTATACCTACTATAATTAGAACCCCCCCTACCCATCGGCGTTAACCTGCCCCGATGGCCGCCCCGATAGCTGCCCCAAACCGCCCCCAACCGCCCCAACTTCGTGCTAACTTAGTGCTAACTTAGTGCTAACTTAGTGCCAGCTTATTGCCCCAATGACCAGCTTGGTTGCTCGCAAGATGATGCCTTTGGGATCCCAAGGCCCGGCCAGGGTCCAATCGTCCTCCGCTTGAGCCTCAAAAACTGAAGCTAGCCAGCGAGACCCACAATCAACTCCCGAGCACATCCGAGCGTAGTAGGAAATACGTACTCGTATTTACTTGTACATTTTACCCCCTCTTAACCAGATGAGGTTAGACTAGCCTTGCCTCTGGCATTCAATTCAGATCTGCCGTCCCGATATATACTGTATTACTACTCGTAGTCGCACCAATATAGTACTAGTATATACTATGCATTGCATCATCTAGACCTGCCCAGGCCTAAGATTAATCTTATCTGATGGGTCCTTTGGGGTTATCTACCATGGTTTATGCCAGTACTAGTACTAGTATGATAAACGAAGCCTAAACATAGTGACTACTAGTAGCCTACTAACTGATATATCTATTTCTACAGCCTCACAATGCCAATGCGATGCGCAAGTTCGTGGTAAATTCGATGCTAACTCAAGGAACCCATTCTATGCAAGATCCCAGGGACGAAACACATCCAGGGATATCTCTAAACCAAGGAAAGCACACAAAGAAAGATCCGATCCATCGAGGCCAATCGGCCCACAACTCGTCGCGAGCATCCGATCCGTAGACGGACGATTGAATCAACGCTGCAAAAGAAAAGACCGAAATAAACAAACAAAAAGGTTTATATGTACACAAAGCGACACCACAATTCATCTAGTCGAAGAACTTGTTCATCGCCTTGTGGGCGAGTTCGACACCGAGGCTGAGAAGAGGAGAAAATGAGGTTAGTTCATGTACATAGTGATGATGGAAATTGCGAAAAGAGATGGATGCTCACAAGGTAGCCGCGTTAGCGGGCACAGCACGAGCCAGGGCCGGTCCGAATCCAGGGAAGAAAGCCTTGTAACCACCGCTAGCATAAACCGAGCGGATGGTTCCACCGATGGTGGGCTTGCCCGGGGCACTCTGCAGACGGGACTTGATGGTGTCGACGGGGAAGACAGGAATCCACATAGCGATACCAGCAGCACCACCAGCAGCGACGACAGCGGGGAGAGACAGTTCGCCAGTGAGGTTTCCATCCGCATCCTTGGGGGTCAGGCTGCGCTTGATATACTCGTACGCAGCGAAGTAAGCGGCCGAACCAGGTCCATCACGGGCCAGGGTCATAGCACTACCCCGGAAGACACTGCGCATACCGCCCTCCTTGTATAGTTGGCGCACGACATCCATTCCGCCGGAGTACTTGGGCTTCTCACCGGGTGCCAGGGTCTTTTGACCCTGGATCTGAAGAAGGACCTTGACGCGCTCGAAGGGCGCGGTGATGAGGGTCATGGGGATGGCGGAGAAGAAACCAGCGGCGGAGATCTGGGCGATGGAGTATTGCGGGGTGTTGTTCACCACTGGCACGGTGGAGAGCTTGTTCACCAAGGTCTTTCCCACGTCATAGCCCTGTGATAGAAGGTTAGATTTTCTTTCTTCTTTTCTTTGGATTATCACATGAAAATGTATGGAGGGGTCCAATTTTTTTTTTCTGGAGAGGGGAAGTAAGTCATACCCAGAAGCTCACGGCAACTGTGTTGAAGAAATATGTCAGTTGATATTCTCTAGGAGAGCATTCATTCATGCCATTGAGGTCAGGGCGGGCTTAGACTCACACATCGGAGTCACACCCACAAGCGGGGCAGACACGCCGGCGTACATTCCCTGATGCGCTGGTCAATTCGGATTCTCTCTATAGCAATCACTCGACAAGACATACCCGAACAAGACCCTCGCGGGCAACGGTCTTCCGCACAACGTCCATGGCACCCTGGTAGACACCCTTCTCGGCGGTCTGCAGGCGGACCTTGACCAGGTCGAAGGGGTGTCCCACGACGACGGCGCAGAGACCACCAGCCGCGCCGGCGCCCAGAGAGCGCAGCTGCTGAATGGTCTGGTTCACAGCCTTCTTCTCAACAGCCTTAATTTCATCCTTGATCTCCTGGGTTGAGGCGGTGGAGGTCGACATTTTGTGATCGGGGGTGTTGGTGTGGTGGTGGTGGTTGGCGGTAAGCGGGGAAGCTCGGAGCTTGGGAATCCGGGGGAGAAGAGGGAGAAGAGGGAGAAGAGGGAGAAGAGGGAGATGATGGGGGATTAGGGAAGAGAGGAGAGGAGGAAAAATAGTAAAAGACGGAGGATAGAAGAGGAGAATTGCCCAAGGCACCTGAAGGTAGACAAGGGCAGATCGGAGTAAATGGCAAGCGGACCGAAGCCGAATGGAATTGACGGGCGATTTTGTGCCTCGGCTCGGTCTTCTCTTTACACTTCACTACACTGCACTCACACACTCATACTCACGGCTCTGGATTCACTCTTAGTAACCTCCTTTTCCACTCTGTCTTCCATTCTTTTTTAATGTGCATTCTACTAAATCTGGAGTGTCTTGCAGCATCCCCAATACCACCAGCACCGCCAACCACCGACCCCCCCTTCCCATCGGAGGCGGCCGATCGGGTGAACGGGAAACTCAACCCAAAACTGCCACTTTTCCGACGGGACAAAGGATGGCTGTATATGCATGTCAGATGCATCTACCGAGTACTTGAATCTATACTGTGCTAACATACATAGCATAGCAGAACTACTGGTAGATATACTCTGTACTCTGTACTCTACTCAAAGAAGGTGCGGGCATATACAAATCACATGCAACCAGGCACGTGCCGGTGGAGCATGACTTCATTAGATCATTCGATCGACATTAATACAGAGTCCTTATCCTTATACTTGTCCATATATCCTTGCTTCTGAGTACCTGCTACTACTAGTAGGCATTCAAGTATCCATTCATTTCAAAATTACAACTTCGCTGATCTCCGCCAGCCCCTTACAGGACCAGCAGGGCAGCCAGACCCATAGCGCCGACAGCCCCAGTGCCGACGGTGGCCATGGGGTGAGCAGCACCAGTGCTGGTAGAGGGAGCACTGCCAGAGCTGGAGCTGGAGCCGGAACCAGAGCCAGACTCGCTGCTGGAGCCGCTGCCAGAGCCAGAGCCAGTCTCGGTCGAGCTGGAGCCAGAGCCGGTGGTGGTCATGGTCATCATAGTGGAGTTGGTGCCAGTGGCATCAGAGCCAGTAGCGGTGGCCTGAGGCGAATAGTTAGCAAGGTGAATACAAATAGTTGATCATCAAGGAACCTACAGTAGAGCTACCGCTGCCACTGCCGCTGCCGTTGGAGCCAGTCATGCTGTCGGTGCTGGTGCCGGTAGCAGTGCTGTCACTGCCAGTGGCAGTAGCGGTGGTCATTCCAGAGCCGGATCCTGAGCCAGTGCCGGTGGCAGTGCCAGTGCTGTCACTCTCGCTGCCAGTCTTGGAAGAGTCGGAGCCAGAGCCAGAGCCAGAGCCGGTGCTAGTGCTCGAACCAGAGCCAGAGCCAGAGCCAGAGCCAGAGCCAGAACCAGAGCCGCCTAGGAATAATAAGGTCAGCAACATGTTGATATCAAAGTCCAGCAGAGAAACATACTAGGGCACTTCTCCAGAGCCATCTTCAACACCTTCTCGGCGTCGTCACTGGGGCAGGCCTCCTTGGTGCAATCACGGATACCAAAGGAGTAGTCTTCGCTCTTGCACAGGCAGGCCATGTCACCGGCCTTGCAGTTCAGCTCGGAAGCCTTGTCGTTCATGTTGTTCACACACATGGTCTATTCGCGACTCGGGTTAATATCTGCAGTCCCACTATAGTAAACATGCACAGGATCCACTTACAGCGCATTCCGAGGCAGAGACATCGGCGGCCGAGACCATACCGATAGCGGCCAGAAGGGCCAGAGCAACGGGGGAGAAAGACTTCATCTTGATGGTGATGATGTGAAGGTAGAATAAGGGATAATGTGAGATGGGATAGAGGGGGGATGGAAGTTGCAGGTGGAAGGCAGAGAGAGGGGGAGACCAGTCACTTGCAGGTTCGGCGCAGGGTCTTTTATAGAAAAGAAAATATGGTTCAAATCAGAGCTGAGAACCAAACATTCCCTTTGAGGTAATTGAGCAACGCTAGCAGCGTCTAATGTACCGAGCACCCACGCTCGCGTCTCCACGACCGAGCATGGTCGGCCGTGCGAGTGCGAGTGCGAGTTGCCCGGCACGATGCATCGTGTTGTTGTTTGCTTTTGCTTTTCTCCTTTGCCTCCTGCGGTGTGCTGCAGAATCCTGCATCCTGCGTTCTGCTTGCATTCGAGTGCTACCTGGCCAACGTGGCTGGTCATGCAAGGCGATTCGATTTGGCCACGGTCCTGCAATGGTTCCTGGCCGGCTTCATGAAGTCATCGGGTTACAGGGGTAGGCAGGAATTGGCCCTGTGGCTGGTCGGGTACTCCGTACCACCGGATGAAATGAATCGAATTCTCAGATCTTCAATCTCGATTGGGGACTGATCGTCCGGGATTCTCAATGCTAACCCCGACGTCGATCCCTATAGGCTCGTCTGATTTGCCCAGGGTCCCTGTAGGGCACTAAAGGGGCTGGATAAGCCACTATCGAAAGCTGTGAGATCAGATTGAATTTGATGACGGAGTCAATTTGAAATAAAAGTGGATTTAGGCCAATCATTGACGAAATCCTGGCCTTGTGGAGATGAGGGTCGTCTTTTTGAGTTTAATGTTTCCTCGGCAAACCGGGGGAAGCTCGCAACCTCTACTCAAAGGGAGGCAAGCTATCGTTGGGAGTATGGGTCGAGAGATCAAAGTGTATTCTTGGTCCACCCAGGCTGCAACGTACGATACTCGTAGATATGGGCTAGGATGATGGGATCCTCCGTACGAATACTTCCTACAGGCAGAGTCTTTATCTATTACTAAGGATACCTGGGAGAGCAAGGTACAGTAATGAAGTCCAACTTGAAATCAGACAATCCCATCGGGCACAAATTGCACTAAAACTGAAACCGAAAGCCGAAAGAAATCCTTCACTCTAATCTCCGCGATTCTGTACTCCGCCAAAGAGAAAAAATAAAATAAAACCAAGGCAGTGGCGCCGATCAGCAGCGCCAACTCTGGCTAGTCAATGGATACGTCGTCCGATCGCCACTATTGATCCCTCGTCACCGCTAGTGTGGCTGATTTGTGGCTGGAACTGCGCTGGCTTGATCGTATGATTCCGCTTACTCTGAGTCTAGCAAGGCTCTCCCTCTGTCTTTTGTGTGGATGATGAGGCACGGACGCGACACAGTTCTGTTGCTGGACACCACACATTGGAGCTCCTTGGATTTTTTGATTATACTGGTATTCTCCTCACACCGGTGGAACTTTGTAGAGAAAGTCTCGCAGTCAGGCTAAGTCGATGTTGAAGTAAAGTTGAATTTGATATTGCGCCATTCGTAGCTCACCATGCATCACTCCGATCCTCCTCCACCTCCTCTTTTCAGCTTCTTCCATGACGGATACGAGTACAAGATTGACAAAAATGCCTGGAGATCATGTTTGTCCCTCTTGCTTCAAGACATATCAGCGCCGTAGGTGAACGCGACCGGTGTTTCATTATCCAAACTGACCAGACAGACGATCTCCTTCAACGTCACAGACGACGTTGTCTCCGACCGAAGAAATCGACGCGTCGTAAGGCATGCGACGCTTGTGTACAAGCAAAAACCAAATGCACCTATGCCCACCCATGCGCGCGATGTGTCGACCGGGGAGTTTCCTGTGTTTATGCCTCTGGCTCTGCTTCTGCCGACGCGCAGCCAGGCCCAAGCAACGACAACGCCTTTTCGCCGTTATCCACCCCTAGCTTCACCCCCATCCAACCTCCGGTCCTGCAGTTCCCCACGCAAGGGGTAACCGACTTTGTCGCGACCGATGGCCCTGGCCCTGGCCCAGTAGTTACACTGCCCTTAGATTTCCCCGAAACAAGCTTGTCGAACCTGGATCTGAATCTGAATCTGAATGGGAATGGGAATCCCCCCGTTGTGCAACCCACACTGAGAGACCTGATTCGCATTGTGGAACAATATCCAAAGTGTCTCCTTCGAGATGATTACATTTCGCCATTCCTCCATCGCAGCCTCTACGAGCAAGATGTACCGGACATGACGACGCTTGCGCGGACATCAATGGCGGTCTGCTGTGGTAGTGCGATGGAGACAGCAGACGGCGCACGCTTTGCTCAGCAAGCGATGGAGGTCGAGCGCCAAAGACTAATCCAAACTTATCCCACGTACACGTGTATGCAACAGTGGGATGCTTTGCATGCCATGCTTGTCTACGCGATTCTCGAGCTGCGGGCGTCAAATAGTCGCTCGGGAGAAGAGTGGAAGCAGCGGTCATATTCCAAGGGCTTAAAGGCGCCATTCCTGGCCAAGATGGCTCGAACTTTGATTCGCTCGCATATGCATGATCTAAATACCGATCTCATGTCGGTCGCAATGCCGATGATGTCGCAGAAATTAGAGCACTGGGCTGTCGCGGAGACCACGCGACGCACGATCTTCCTGGCTAATATCGTTCATTTCCTTGGTCATTGTGATCCAGAGACTGAATCCCCTTCTCTATACTATGAGCCACTTGATGATGAAATGATCCTGAATATGCCACTCCCATCCAGCCACGTCTTGTGGACGGCGCGCTCGGAGATGGACTGGGAACTGACTATGGATTACTGCGAGCAGAACGCTTTGACTATGACAGATATCTCATCTTCCTTCAATGTCGGCCCAGGCTGTCTTAATATTAAGCAGGTTCTTGAAAGCTATCCACGGGACTATTTGCAGACACTGCTCATCTCGAATATTGGAGTTGGTGGCTCAGATGAACTACGGAATTTGATCATTCTATGTGCTTTGCAGCAATTTGGCTGAGGCGAAAGTAGCCTCTACTCCGGAAATTCGGCATCTTGATCGTGTCGGTGTGTACTATATTTATAAGCCGACCAGACAACTCCGATCCGATTAATCAGTCGTTGTTGTTTTTGTCGTTGCAACTCCGGCGGAGTTGGATGGTCGCGACCACCAAACTCCGCCATCAGCAATTGGGGGGGCATGATACTATCTCCTCTATGGCTCAACTTGCCAGTGAATATAAATAATACATCTCCAGGTCCACATGACACACATTCCAAATTCATGACAGTCAATATTCACAGTTTCGTCTCCTTGATCTCTATCTATATCATGGTTGCTCGGCTAGCTGCAATGATGAGCGCCCCCAATTTCCACCTGCATCACCTACCTAATCTACTCTGCCCCATCTTGGGACACCGTGAAATCGCTGGTCCCGATGCTGGCATCCACGATACACAGCCCTTGGAAGAGGCATGGGGCCTACGATCCGGAATCTACACACCCAAACAACTAGTGGAGAGCTTCGCGCCTCTCCTCGACACGGTTATATTCCACCTTGGTGATGATCCAAGAGGAACTAAACCAGCTCGGACTCAGTTGCTGGATAACATCGCGGCCAATTTGGCTACTAATACCCGAGAGGCCACCCTCCGGCTTACTGAACCCCTCGACATATCACGACGAGAGATGAATGCCCAAGCTACTCGAATCGGCAAGACTCTGGTACGATGGGCTCGAGATCAAGAATCCAGCAGCAAAAGACCCGTCGATGTTGACCTCCAGCTCCGTAGCTCCTGCGAGGGCCACCTTCTCACTCCATCCAACGTGGATCTAATGTTCGGCGACCGCAGCCAACCGCATCTAATGCAGCTCTTCAACGAGTATATGCATCAGATGGTCCTGCTCCGTGATGCACTCTTGCCATTCCAGAATTACCAGGATGTCCTCATTCCCATCAACCGCAAAGCGAGAGGCCTCCGCCATCTTGAACCCGCACGAAGTCAATTCCTGGCAGACATGTTGACCAGACACACTACACAGCGCAACGTTGTGACATTTGCCAAGGCCCTTCTCGCGCCGGAACTCGTTCGTTCGAAGAGTGTTGGGTATGGATTTCAGTATGCACAGGAATTGTCCTGCCCGCATTCCTGGCCGGGTGGCCGACCCCGTTGCACCTGCTGCAGTATGTTCCTGTCAGAGTGGATGAAGCGGCGATGGATGCGGTATTTGACTATCAGTTCGACGATTACTACTCGGCCCCACGAGCTGAGATCCCCCCCTGGCATTGAGAAGGTGGTCTCTGAACCAGCCAGCTTCTCTGAGAAAAACATCCAGATTCAAGATAGTTCCTCGATTTGTCTCGTTGGCAGCTCACAAGTTGACCAACTTTGTCGATTAGAGATGCGATTCGAGTTGGGGGATGGGAAGCGTGTCGCTGTTGACGTGGGCCAAATCTCTCGCGGTCATCGGTACTCATACATGACCGAGGATGCCGAGTCTTCGGTCAATGGGACAAACATTGGCAGTGCTGTTCCAAAAACTCGCCGTTCTATTGTTGTTCATAATGCAGTGAGCGTTCTGGAGATGCCCGATTCTAGTCTCTTGACTGCAAAGAAAAATAGCGTCCATGTCATACCGACCGAGAGCCCCCTGATAGCCTTTGCAATACTCGGCAAGTTATACCCTGGAAACGTTGTGCTTTTGCCGAGCAACCGAGGAATCAGCCTCACGGATAAGGCTGGCAAAGGGTTCGAGTCAAAGTTTGTTATATGGGGTGGTGCACAGCCGGGTGGGCTGAAAGGGGTGTTTTAGATAGCAAGGTTACTGTAAATTGAGAGTTACAAGTTGTAATTCAATTATTGGTATTAAAAAACTCTAGTAACCACTTGATTGGGACCTTTGAGACGATTTCACGCACATTCTTCTTTTCTTTGTCAGGGATGAAGTGGTGCCCAGGCGGCTGATTTTTGTGCGACCCTCATTACTATTCAGGGGATGGAGCAATACTACCTCGTATAAGCAGTCAGATTTTGTTTCAGCTCATTTTAAGGCTTCAATCCAGATCTTTATTTTACGCGACGTGCTAAGTTCCAAGGTTCCAAGGTTGGAACAGCGTTGTACTACTACTAGTACTAGAACTGCCAAAAAAAACCAAAGATCTTGAAACTATTGATATCGGCAATCTCCGTACACTAAGTAGTACTACTAGTAACTAGTTATATATTGAAGTTCAATTGGTTCGTCTCACCTGCAGGGCTAAGAGTCAAAATTAAATAGACTGTCAATCAACACATAGTTACACTGGTACAGTACAAGATTGAATTTCAACGACCTCCACAAATAAGGCACCCGAATTACCATCCCCGCGGGCGCAGATGCCGTGGCGCCCGAACCACTCGAGCCATCCACGCCGTTACGAGTTCTAGTAGTCATGACAGGCAGCAGGATTAGTCAACCAATTGACAGCTCCAATTGAACCTTAACTTTCTTAAGCTTTAATGTCTTTCAACTGTTCACTTCCAGGGCTGACATCTACAACCGTGGGACGCGTATGCTAGTAGTACTTGGCACGCATTTCTCCAAAGTTGCGAAGAGAAACAACTTGAAGACGGTATTAGATTAGGTACCAGCATAACAGCAGTCACGGTCCAGCACTGGTGCAACATCAAAGTAACGCAACGGTAAATTTCTGTCAAAATTTACCCGTTGATGCCGATCATCCATCACCGACCAACCGTTCAAGTTTAACTGCATGAGCAACACGGACTTGGATCCGACTTCAAAATTTTGAAGATTGACATGCTTGTCTCGGAGATATCGCAAGTCGAGTATATACGGAGTGTAGACAAGTTCGCTCCAAGCCGAACCAGCTGATCGCCATTTTTTCAATGGTATCGGGAATATTACTGGCGCGATCGCAATCCCACTACTACACACTGCGTATTGAACTCGTATCGGAATCAGAATCGAATAAGGATACCGAGTCTATAATTGGTCAAGTGGTTCTCCATAAAAATTCTACCTACATACATAGTACTGTCTACTGTAGAATAGAAAGGCTTAACCTCGGTGAAACATTTTCTTGCAGGCTAGTTGGCCGGTGGGTCCCCGGTTCGATCGGACCGGGTGAAGAGAGAAAAAATTATTCATTTTGACTCGCCCTCTACTCTCCCCCTTCTTAAGAGGCCTCATTGGGCAAAAAGTTGACCGACGCAGGGGTCGAACCTGCAATCTCTTGATTCGTAGTCAAGCGCCTTGCCATTGGGCCAGCCGGCCTGAAGGATGAGGTCTTTAATCCACGATATGGCTTATAGCAGACTGACCAGTTCCAAAAGGGATATCGTATTTAACCGCTACCCGTATGGTATGTGCGTAAGGAGTAATGCAGGGTTGATCGATCAATACATGTCTTGTATTTTGGATAAGTAGTCACACATACTTAAGTCTATAGCTAAGAATATACAATATGGACACAAGGAAATTATGCTTATCATGCACGCTGACACCGTAAGGGGCCTCACAAGGCCCAGAGGGAAAAAAGAAACCGAATGAAAAGAAAATGTTGCCATCCTGCGCCGCGCCTGAAAATGAATCATGAAGAAGAGATAACCCTATACACCGGGTTGTGTAATATGAATCTCTGGAACCATGAGCTGGGCCTTCTCGGAAAGAATGCCCTCCTCAAGGCAGGCTGGGATGGAGCGGGAGGATGATTGGCGATTGGAACGCTTCTTGCAAAGGCCCAGGCGAACAGAGACGGACATAATGATGTGGCCGACGCAGAAACCGACCAGGCAAGCGACCAGGCCGGCTCCGACTCCCAGCATGGCAGGCAGAATGACGGGGCGCACGAGACGCATGAAAGAGTCGGTTTGGTGATGATTGTGGGGACGACTGTGTCCACGGTGGCCACGTCCCCGGAGGGGAGATATAGGTGGATGGTGACCAGTAAGGAGAGAAGATATACCCAACTTGGCTTTGAGATTCACTTTCAGTTTCAGGTTTGGATAGTACGGGTGTGGATTCGGGCGCCTTTTCAGAAGTCAACTTGGCGGCTTCTTGAGCATGAGTTGGCTTGGCTTTAGGCTTTGTAAGTTGGTCGGGGCGGACAATTCCGGCTTGTTTTTTTGGTTGAAGAGGGTGTTGACTTGAGATTGCCAGAACTTCATCTGCCATGGTCTCGGCCTGCGAGAGCCACGGGGGGAGTCTAGTCGAATGCGAGTGATACGATAAGTACCATCGGGGTGATCAAGCAGATCGAGAGATACCAAGTGTGGAGTGACCGGGCGGCCTTCCTGGTCGAGCAGTTCGATGCGAATGCGAAGAATCTCATTTTTTGAGCCATTGTCACCGGCGGGAATGAGACGGGCTTTGACTGAATAGGAAACCTTGATATCCTCTTGCTCAATGGGAATATCGCGATGGGTTTCATATAAAGGCGCATGTAGCTGCATTGACATGACTGGTGGGAAGACCTGGTCATTGTTGGCATAAAGCGAGCCATTTTGAATGGCCCATTTGATGGACTGTATGATGGTTAATTTTGCTGGCCATTGGAGAGAATCAAAAGTTGGTAGTTGAGGTTATTTCCTGGTACTTACCATATAGGTTTCGACTGGATTTTCTGGCTCCAGCGTAGGGAGATAAGGCAGATGGAGTTCGTGAGAAGAGGCACAAGGGATCACCGATGCGATCGCACCAGCGATGCAGAGGGGTGACCAGTGAAATTTCATGATGGAGAGATAGGCGGGAAGGGGAGGATGGTAGAGAGTGAGGGGGGGGGGGGAAAGAAAAGAAGGGTCCAACAGAAGATGAGGAGAAGTAGATAAATAGAGCCAACGAGAGAGGCGTGAGTAACAAAAGAGGGGGCCAAAGTATGCAGCAGTTATTATGTAGATGGGTCCTCGTATGTCGTAGGTTGGCCCTGGGTCCAAGAAGCGGGGGAGGAACTTGAAATGGAAATACAATTTGGGGCCAATTGTACAAGGCTTAAACTGAAATGAAATAAGAGGGAAAGCAACCGAGTGGAACTACCCAAGCGAGATGGTGCAGCCTTTTTAATCTGGGACTTTCGTGATGAACTCTCGGATGGTGAAATATGGATGCCTGTCACCACATTTTGGCGAGACATGGGACGGCCTGGTTTGAGTTAGTCTGGGCCCATTTGGGTATGGGACAATAAGGTTCTGCGGCGTACTACTCTCTATCAGTATTTCGGTCTTTCACTGGTTATTTTGGGCTGTTTTAGAGTGACGGGCAAGCTTTTCCTTGCGACGATGCACGGCCAATGATTGGGGGTTTCGCCCCCAATTGGATGGGCGACGAAAGGGTCCAACAACTGCGAAGCTTGGCGGAGTCAAGATTATTTTTGGATTGGAACTGGCACTGTCACTAGCACGCTAAGCTAATTCTGTCCGAGTTCCGCCTTATCCTCTCTCATTTTTCTTGCGATCGACACGGCGTTGCTGGGGAGTGGAGGCAACTAGCCCACTCATTGCAACCGAGGGCCACAAGGCTAGTCTTTTCTCTCTCTTTTCTTTTCTTCAATTGAGATGGATTAGATTGGTTGATGTCTCATTCTTGATTAGTTACTCCGTAGCAGACTTTTAGTTGCTTTTTGGTTATTTTTGCCTCTTCCTTTTTTACCCCTGAGCCGAACGGGGCGCAGTCCCAACCTGATGCATGCCGAGCTTTTTAATGCATGCCGAGGGTTGTACTCGTAGCTTTTTTTTACTCCGTACGGAGTAGCTCTCTCTGTCCCTCTCTCTCTATAGACAGCTACAGCCGCGGGATCTCCGAGACATCGTATCTCGATGGGAGCTTGCAGCCGACGCCTTGGCTGTTGGGAGATCGGGAACTAAAGCTACTCCGAACATACTAAGCAGAGTTTTGCAGTTAGTGTTTGCAGCTTGGATTATTATGGGCTATCCTTGGTCCCTACTACTACTAGCTACGAGTATATCTAATGCAAGTTTCTTACGGAGTACTTCATAACCTGTACCGACCCAATTCGACAGCCGCCCCCTTCCCCAACCCCAGCCCCGGCCCCGACCCCGGCCCTGGTCCCTAAATCCACCATATGAAGGCCCGGCAGCTCAGGTTTCTTCTTACCGCGTGACCAAATTCATCGAACAAGAACTCCCCCACATGGACATACTAGCCGCTGCCTACTACTAAATCGACATATCTTGCCGTGATATAGTCTGTAAGTTCCGGTATAGTGCAATACCGACCTCGTATTAACTTCCCGCCCTTTTCCAAGCCACACACCCTTTCTTTTTCCCACAGCCTTACGATTGACCCGGCTATCACTTCTTTCCGACTTCTCAATTGGATGAGTGAAGTGTTGGGCCATGCTCATCTGGCAGCCAGCATGTTGTATTACAAATACCGAATTTCACTGTACAAAGTACGAGGGGTCCAACTTGAATTGTAGAATGGTCTGTCCATGCAGAAAGTTGTTCCTATGTCTTATCATCACTGGCAGCTTCGCCCTATGTACATATATGTACAATGTGTATGGGGTATGTATCGCCAAATCCACGGACACCATTGTTCAGAGCTATTGGTAATATGGGGCAGTCTGCCAGAACCGACAGCGAGGGTTATTAGTCGTATCGCGCATGGTGGCGATGGTGTCATTTCCAATGTTCATGAGTTGCCCGCGGGCCCCATAGCGCGGGAAGGTTGGAGTGAGCGATGATCTCGGGCTTCCTCCATGGGTGAAACTGACAAACCAATCCTGCATCGCGTGAGCGACCGTCACGTTGGTGACTGACACTCCCAGATTTGACGTCACCGTGCTGGTGCCATTGTTGAAGAAAGTATATAGGACATCCTGACCATGCAGCCCTGGCGGAATGCCAAACTCGTAGGCATATGCCTGGTTCTGGTATGCACGATTGAGATAGTCGGTATTGCACTCGAACCCGGAATCTGACAGGACAAGCGCAGCACGAGCGAGTGGATTGGTGTAACCCCATTTGCCATCGTACTGGGCAGGATAAAGGACATCAGTAATATATCGAGTCACATTAGTCTTAATTGTCGGGAATAGATCTTTCAGTATATTTGGAAGGAAGTTGCTCTTCGTCCCGTTGGGATTCACAAATGCGAGGCCCTCATTGGTATTATGACCGACCATGATACTCAGATTGCGATCGAAGTCACCAGACAGCAGAAGTTGTCCTGGTAAGGCAGGTGCAAATGTGCCATCCACGACTGGCCCGTATATAAAACTGCCATAGAAGGCCTTGGTGGCAATCTGATACGCGTTTCCAGCGATCAGAGCCGCCGACGGTAGGCGGCGGGCCTCTTCGACCGAACTAACATTCAAGACTTCGAGAAACTGCTGCAAAGTTTGCTCTTGCTGCTCGGGAGAGGGGATGGGGTTCCACCCTGGGCTTTGAATGATTGCTTGTTGAAACGGAGCAGATCCGTTTTTGCCGCCATAGGCTGTGATCTGGTGCATAATAGATCCTGCTCCTGCTGATTCACCCATAACTGTGACTCGAGATGGATCGCCTCCAAAAAGATGAATGTTCTTTTGTATCCATTTGAGGGCGAGGCGTTGGTCGTGAAGGGCGGCATTGGCAGTGCCGTCAGCTGTGAGGCTGCTCCCAGCCAGCCAGCCGAATGCGCCCAACTAAACAAAGTATAAGATAATAGAATGACCAAAAGATATGGCAGGGCAATCTATACTTACTCGATAATTCATTGCCACATATACAATCTCCTCCCCGAGAGCCTCGCTTCGATCGATTAGCCCTTCGGGATTATATAGAGTCTTGTCACCCTCCGCAAAGCCACCGCCGTAGATCCAAACCATCACGGGGGCAAGTTTTTTCTTTGCGACAAAGTCTACTTTCCTTTGCTGAGCACGTTGAAAGATCTTCTGTGGAACAATCACATCCAAGAATAGACAGTCCTCGGTTGTCCGGGGATCCAGCTTATCCGGGATATACGGATAGGTGGAGATGTCGGTTGACAGATTGAACTTGGTGCCAGCAAGAAGACTCAAAAGGAAACCGGGTTCAATCTCTTCTTCCCAGATCGGCAGTGCCTGAGGACAAACTCGGCCAGTCGAGCCATCTTGAATGCGCGACCGGTTGGGCTTAGGCCACTCGGGGGCTCGAAAGCGCAGGTCACCTACCGGAGGTGCTGCGTAGCGGATATTGCTGAAATTATACAGCCCATGGGTGCTCTGTTTGAAAGATTAGCTGGAGATTCTTCTTGTACGAGTACCATCAGAAGAAAGCTGGCCCACATTCAATGCGTTTGCTCTGTGCAGTTCATATCCCAGATCTACGACTGGTAAAGCTGCGCAGCAAAGGGACACCAGGGCTAGCAGTAGAATGGCGATCATATCGATAGCAGGAGAAAACGAAAACTTCAACTCAAGTCAACCCAACTCAACTCAACCCAACTCGACTCGACTCAGCACCGACTATTTGAACTCTCAATTAATCGGGACATCAGGACCCATTCGCTGCGGTGGAGGTGCACCCCGGGCCGTCCGAGGGACCCAGCGAAATCCAATTTATGCAGCAGAAGTGGAGCTTAGAACATCTGGTCGAGAGTTTAATTTGAGTAGGTTGCAGGGTGGTGGGAATCAGCGGTCAATGAGAATGCCGGGGAGTTCCTGGAGGTGGTCTCAAAGTGCGATTTGGTGCAGCATTTCTCGTCGTTCGTTTCCATCGCCGCATCCGATGACGTCAACCAATCCGGCGATCTTCAGAATCTTTGCTTCCAACTCTGTCATGATAGTGTCGATTTACTTTGAAGTTGCATTAAATTGACTCCTCTCTTTATGTGATCCGAATGAACTGATTTTTTGGGGAGTTTATTGGTCATAATGCTGTTGATACGACAATTTTTCGGGCGGGAAAGCGACCGCATCAGAAGAAGCAATTATAAAAAGAAAATACTACTGTAGTAGTTCTTGTATGAATCAAGAAACCGGGTGTCAATCAAGGCACATGCCTTCAAATTCAGGTTCGAAAGCTACAGCAGCCCTCAATGCCCCTCAATCTACATCACCTAGATCTTGGTTAGGTTGGGATAACTTGAATATTGTACATACGATTAGGAGCCCGCCATGCAGACGCTAAGCAAGGGGAAAACCTTCTCCACAATCATTAGTTAACGCACGTCCAAGGAGACCTCAGAGATAATGCGTAATTATACAGCAAGAATCAGCTCAAAGCCCCAAGAAATGATGGCCAAAATGCAGGTGAGTTTCTGACTTTTTTTTTCTTTCAATTTCAAGACGAGGTCTACAGTACACCCACGCGAATGCTTCGCCCATTTTACCCCTTCAACGATCATCCACCTCACGGATCTTGTATTCGAACATCTCGTTCGAAGGCACATCATCACCATTCTGCAACTTAGCTGCAGTCTCTCCTCCAGCCGCAGGCACACGATACTCGAATCGCTTCCCAGGTGCGGGAAGAGTCCCATCAGCCAGTGGATACGGGAAAGGAAGATACTCAGGCAGCAGGCCTAACTGTACGAGCACCGTCGCTTGATCCCAGGCAATGTGCTCGTGGTACAGTCGGTCCCCTCGGATGTTCACTACAGAGGTAAAAGGAATGCGTAGATGCTTGCCGGTCGGCGGGATACCCGGAATTCTAGATGTTGAGCAAACGTGAGATTCCAAGTCCGTAGCGGTAGAAGAAAATGCAAAAGGCTAAAAAGAAGATCGGCACTCACAACCAGTCAACTTGTTTCACATGAGTGAAGCTGAAAATAAATTCGTCGACCACGCGATCTATACCGACGGTTCGGCTAACCAGATCAAGACCCGTGTCGTCGGGGTTATTAAAAATAAAATGATGAAGGTAGAAATGGCTTAACCGAGCCCGACCGATACCACCTGTCAGCTGTGATACCCACACATATCTTCATTAGCTGGGGCCATCCCTTGCATTTAACGAGTCTGGGGCAAGGGGGCTTTACCGTGGGGACATGGTTCACGTAGGGCTCCTGCACCATCGTCGCCATGGTCTTCTCAACAGACCTCTCGCCAAATTCAAAGTAAGTGTGCTCATCCCAGATCCTTTCGAGGTCAAAATTTGGCCCCCCCAAGATGTTTCTTGAGGAACGTGAGGCTGCGGGTATGGGAGACTCCGGCTGTTGCATATTGAAAGTCGGGATGGCCCGGGATCACGAACCCTGGGGATAAGGCATCGGCGTAATGATATTGTGTCTGTAAGTCACTCTGTGGAAGTTTGTCGGAACCTGACGCGTGGACAAGACGTGGTGTATCGGTAACATTCCAGGAATCGAAGGAAAGCAGTGCAACAACCTTCATGGTCTCGTTATTGGCCAGCATATCACGCAAGATGGCCTCGAACTGAGATACGTAGTCGGTCTTGGATCCGAAGACTGAATAGAAGGTTAGCGATTGTGTATGATAGTACAGGCTTTCTCCCAGATTTACCTATCAACCCGAACTGCTCCTGAGTACACTCCGATAGAGCTGTCAGCCCATCCTGAGCTTCTTGTATCAGATGTGGCAGAGCTGACTTGTCCCCACTCAGATCGACATCAAGAGTGATTTGTGCTACCGCAAAGCTTTCTTCGGCCCATTTTTGGAGGGGTTCAGGGTCCAGGCTGGTATTTTGTTGCTGGTATCCCGCATAAGATGCTGGCCGAAGTAGAATAAGTCCTGGTCCCTGCCCACAGCGAGATAGTGGAGGCTGCAAAACAATTTTGCCAGTGTTACCCAGTTGAACAGGTTTGGCAGAGGGTAATCCAGCTGTGACATCCATTGTGATAGCAAAATACTAGTGAAAATACCAGCGACTTCGAGTTCAAGTTCAAGTTCCCCGTTGTTCCCGAGGTTCAAGTTAATTGACACCTCTCCACTTTTCGAGAGAGGAACTGGTGGACCACTCGCACTGACCTGATCTGTTGGATGTTGTTTTATTTCGTGTTTGTATTTTGAAATATATCTTTGCTTCTATATTTATTTCTTCTTTCTGCATTAATTAGAATCAAATCAAATAAAGTAAAACATTAAATCAAATAAACAAAACATTTGTGACATGCGATACTCTGCACGTGATCATGAATGCAAGTGGCTCCGCTTTGTTTGCTTCACTTCGCATCTTCACAACTTCACAACTTCACTTCAGTCCAGCTAGTGGCACCCCGCAGGAGCTTCCTCTAGCCCTCACAATGAACAACGTCGTTCAGTCCTCTCTGACCGACGTCGAATCTAAACTCAATTCGCTTTTGACCACCCTCACCCACTCCCCCGCCGCCGCCGGAGCTCCAGCAGCGGCCATCGCCCTACTCAACGCCGACGACACATTAACCTCCACTATTGAAACCCTCCGACGACACCAAGAGAATTATGCAAAGATCCTAAACCTACGAAACGAGGCAGAACAATTGGAAACTCGCGTCAGGGCTATTGTCGGTGATCTTGAAAGATTCGATAGAGAAATCCGCACTGCATGCGACGACGAAAGTGACTCGGACTCGGACTCGGACTCACAAAACAACAGCACTCGGGGCTCCAAACCCCTGTCGCGAAAAGAAATCGATTACCGTTTACTGCTGGACTTTGCGCGCCGCATTAGCAAATATAACCATGAAGCCGCGGCCGATGCTGCGAATGGCGCTGCAGGGAAGGGCCAAACTACACGCCAACAGCTTCCAGACAAGGACGTGCAAATGTCAGGGATAAATGGAGATTCTACCGCAGAGGATGGGAAGGAACCCGTGTCTTCGGTGACCAAAAACGCAACTCAGTGGCTGGACGACTCGGCAAACGTTACCCGTGAGGTGTATATGATGCCCTATCCAATGGAGGATCGTATTCGGATGGGATTGATGGGACAAGTTCAGCTGGCAGCTGGCCAGGACCCAGACAAAGAGGTAGAGCGATTAATCCGAGAGGCAGAGGGGCTCGGAGTGGCAGAAGCCCCTGCGCCGGCCCCAACAACGGATACGAGACAAGACGAGGCCGCGAAAGCTGCAGCCCAGGCTGGCTCTGTTGCTGCTAGTGCTCCACGCCCGCCACCGGCTGCTGCACCTGCGCCTGCACCTGCGCCCAAACCTAAACCCAAAGGTCTTTTGGACCTCGACCTCTACGACCCTGACGATGACGATGACTGAGCATTTTAAAGCGGTTTTGCTGTGCCATTTCTCTTTATGATACCACTTTCAGAGCCTAGCTCGCTACTTTAAATCGCGAAATACAAACAAACAATGTTGGAACTTTCTGATTCGATTGTTGCTCGGCATGCTCTCTAATTTGAAATCCGAAACTCGAAAACCGACTCTCGACACCTACATCTTGTGCACAGAAGACTTGGCTGTCCACCCCTGAACTTCTTGCCATAGAAGTAGAATGGAATCGCAAAGAGACACCATAGTGTACACAGAGACATGTTCAGCATGATCGGCTTTACAAATCCAGATTCCTCAACCCAGGGGGTGATGAATTTGCTAAACCCGTATCCCCAGACATTCTTGTTCACAGTGATGGACACGAAGATCGAGCCTGCCACGGGCTTGTAGCTGTCCACAGCGTATGTGCTAGCGATCGCCGGCAGTGCTGCAACTTGGATACCTGCTGCGGTATAACCAATAATCACAATTGCCTGTGACGGTTAGCCTTCAGATCAATTGCCACGACTGTGACGCCCCGGGAATTACTTACCCGCCAATCCCATTTGTACTGATAACCAAAAGCAACAACGAAATTGCCGATGATCATTATCACAACATAAACAGCCATGGCTGGCAGACGCATCTCCGGCTCTCGAATACCCTTGTTCTTTCGAGTGGCTTTCATGGATATCCAATCCGAGAAGGGGCCATTAGTTGCAAGTCCAATGAAAGCGCCAATCAGAATGGCAAAATTGAAGAACCCAATAGTCTGACTGTTGAAGTTATACGGAGGCTCAGCGAACGCTTGGCTCTGCGTGAGATTCAGTGTCAAAAAGCAACTAGCAGACCAGGAAACGACAAAAGCAGCCAATTCAACAATGGGGAAAGCCAACAGCTTCCACGGGATCAAGAAGCTGGTCAGAACGGTCTTCATGTTATTACCATCAAGTTGCCACAACTTGAACTGTTTCTTTGAAGGAGACCCGCGGTGTAGATAAGGATCACGCTCAGCGGCACCTTCAACCTCAATATTTTCCTTCTGATGTACCACACCTGGCTTTTCTGGCTCAGAAGATACCCTCTGCGCTGCATTTTGAGTATCCCGTGTCTCATCAAGACGAGAGCGTTGCCATTTAGTTTCGGGGAAGAGGAATATCTGCAGTAGGAGGACGATGCCGAGGATTCCGACATTTAGCCAGAAGAAGCTGCGCCATCCGATGTGCTCTGCCATTGGGCCTGCGACGATAGGGCCGACCTATGCCTAGCATCAATTTGATGTTCTTCTCAAATGGGAAAGGGAAAGGGTGCGTACCATGAGCGAGCCAAAGTATGCAGTAAAATATAGGGTATTATAGGCACCCCGCTCGTGAAGGAACATTATATCCGTGATAATCTCGGGTTGGGAAGTCTGTTCGATATGGCACGCGTTAGACACGAAAGACCCATAGAGAGAGGGAAGGAGGGAGAGGGAGAGAGCTACGGAAAAATACATACCTCTGCAGGTCCAGCACCAAACCCATTCAGCACACAAGCGCCCATGTAACTCCCATATGTATTTGCCTTTGCACGCCATATATTGCTAACGAGGCAAATGAGGGTCGAGAAGATCAGGACAGGTCGTCGACCGTAAGAGGTTTGTATGGGAATCCTGTATCACTCAGCGGTAAGCTTAGTTTTGCAAGATTTATGCTGGACAAGACACACCAGAAGAAATTGCTAAACCCCAAAATAAGGATACAGATGCCAGTAAACTGTACCACGCCAGCGAGATCGGAATTGAATGTCTCCATGAGTTGCGGGAACATAGGTGCTAATGCTAGCGGCCCAAACCCCTGGCTGAAAGAGGTGGCCGTAGAAATAGCCATCGCGCTCATTTTCCAGAATCGACTCCAGTTCTAGGAGGTATACTTCGTTAGAGCTGATTACACACGGACGCGAACATATTAAATTGGCCTACCAAAGGATCATGAGGATCTTGTGATGGCTGTGGCACCAGCACTCGATCGGATTTCGCTGAAGACTTGACAAAGTGATGTGTGCCCACATCGGCCATGATCTCCGTGCCCGGATAGATGGTTGTGCCCAACTCATCCTCGATTCTGAGACAAAATCATTAGCAAGGCATGGGATATCGGGGGAGCTAGGAGCTCATACTGATGGAGAGTCTAAGCCGTACAAATGATCAGCCTGAGCTTCATCGAGATAACACCATAATTGCGAAAGAGTAGTTCAAGTACTCACACCCTCATCATAGTTCATCTCCATAGTGGATTGATCTGCGCAACTAGACGCTATTCACTCAAAGGTTTGTTGGTTTCAAAAAGGAATATTTTGCCAAGCAAGTAAAGGTCCTGAGTAATATTCTCGAGCAGCACCGCCCTGGCTGGGATCACATCAGTTTATGTTTCAAAACGACCAAGAGTCGACCGATCCCTGCTTGGTGCGGAATTGACCCGGGAGTGTCAATTTGACATCTACCGATGACTCGAGGACCGTGCTGAGGTAAAGGAGGAAGCTTTCGTGCCCACGCAGTGGCACTCCAAAGTGGCGCAAACCAACCACTCAACAGCTCTGATACGGAGCATTTGATACTGCGGTTTCTTGGTAGGGAATAGTGGACTTCTCCACCCCCAGATTCTTCAAAATCCCCGCACTTTTTTTCCTACACAACGATATCTTCACCTCGGTCGCTTTGTACCTCGCCTGCCCAGGCGTTGCTACAAAGTTGCTACTCGGCAATACCCCGCGGTAATTTGCCGTTCTCGGCAGTGATGAGGAGCATTTGACCATGCGCTCTATGATTGCTGTATCGGTGATTCCATGGTAGAGGCGGACTTGCGACACTAGTGATAATTTAGGCATAGTGAGACCAGCTTCATGGAGCTAGTTAGAGGTTCCCTGTTTCTGATTTATTCACCCAGTAACTAAATGATATAGAAACTGTGAAGGTACCACTTTTTTCTCTTACTTCCAATGACCATTGGCCCTCACTGTCAATAACATAGCGGAGCAAGCAATGGCTTACAATCCTGTGGGACATCGACCCGTTGAAGAAAATGGGCCATGTACTCCATAGAATCAATAGAAACACTCGAGCGGGTTCTTCCCTTCAATAATTGACGGGAGACGATAACTACAATCCCATAGAAGGTCGCGATAGTCCCATGAGGTGGAGACCTGACTTTTGAGTCAAAAGGGGCTGTTCTCCACGGAGATATTCCGCCTCCTTTCTCCGCAACGCCCCGATTCCGTACAATCTAATCAATACTATGTCTTTGAGAGCTTACTATTTACTTACTATTTATATTCTGACCTGAATTAGGAATTATCTGTCCAGGTGGTCCACATTGCGATTCTCGACATGGTCAATCCATGTTGCGGAGCGCGATATGGTGTTCTAGGGTGATTGGACAGCCCACTTACATCTAAATCTAAATGATGCTGACGAGGATCCAGAACCTTGGAAGTAGAGCCATTTATCTATATTTTTGAAAATACGAGTACTGTACTGCCTTCAAGTTCCGATTATGAGTCCCATCAAAGAGCTGGGGAATGCGAGGCTAGCGTCATCACTGCCTCTGAGTCTGTCAGTTGGTATGAAGTGGCTACTAACTGTACGGCCAAACTCATCTTTCATTTAAAAGCCTGTCTCTTGGCATGAACTCGAGCACCCAAAGATATTAGCATTATCGTCGATCTGACTGCAGCAAATGTACCCGCCAGGGAATTCAAGCCGAGGGATTTCTCCATTGTTGCTAGCATGGCCGCTAGTGGCGTTCTGCGAGGAATCCAAATGGCTGGCCGTCTCGGACCCTAATAAACCCGGGTTCGTCTTGGACTAGGTACATGATGCTTGTAGGATACAAGCTGCAGGGCCAAAATGTCAGCCGCACCTCGCAATGGCACGCTCACAGATTTCTTCACCTGTCATCCTTGGAGTCAAGGCTCACGATGGAGCCAGAGCCATCGGACAACAAGAGTGCTATTGAATTCCCAGGGCTTCCCGGACAAGGCAGCACCGAGTTCCAATATGCGATTTCCTGTGAGTTCTGCTTCAAGACAACCACAGCGTCGGTTCCTGATAGCTGAACCCCACAGCGTCGCGGCGTCCCGACCCAAATCGTCACACACCCGCCACCCTCCAGTCCCAGAACCAGCAAAGAGAAAAGCAAGAGAGCACTAGGCGTCATGCTCCTTATGTCTCATTTGGCGACCGCGGGATAACAGCGAGTGCCGGTGTGTATGGCCAGCTACTGCGCATTTGTCGCCCCATCCAGGACAGGCAGGGGGGCCAGCTCCACTCGGGTCTGATCGGACTGGGACCAGGCGAAGAACCAGAGGCATGGTATGTCTATTGGCGCGCATCGCAGTTTCTGGAGAGCTCGCAGATTTCCGCGAACGGAATTGGTTTACGAATTTTGAACACTCTATCCTCGGAGCCACCAACACTTGAATTTCTGGGAGACCGCTGGCCGATAATATCGTATAGAACCAACGAAGGGGTCTCTATCACTGTCAGGCTATGGTGCCAAAACAACTTGGTTGTGCAGCAGATGCAGGTGACAAATACCTTGAATACAAAAGAGCCCCTTAAGCTGGAGCTCAACGCAGACTTCAGTCTACAAGACCTTGACTATCAAAGAAAAAGGGAAAGATTACATGTGCGTCAAGCCAGTGGACCTCATGGATTCGGAGTCGTTACATTGGAAGAGAGTCCCGATTATCCCGTCAGCCAAGACCGAGTCTGCGTGCTTTTGGGTCTGTTTAAGGATGGAAAGCCACAGCAAACAATATTTAATGAGAATGAGGAAGATCTAAATACCAAACCCTCATCTTTGATCCTGAAACATGAATTCGAGGGACCGGACATTGTGGACTTCACCGTGGCTATAAAAATTGAAAAGACCAGCTTCAGTGCTCCATGGCAATCATATTTAATCCCACCAGAGGATCTCATATTCGATGCTCAGATTGACGACGCCGAAGACCAAAATGCCTCTGTGTCGAATGAGGCGGTGTTGAGTTGGCATCTCCGCCGTAACCTTGAACACATTCTATCCGTGTGCAGTATCCCAGTGGATTCACACATATTCAAAAGCCAAACCACCCCAGGCCTCACGGAAACAGAAAATCAAGATCTCCCGACAAAGACGACGAGGAAACAGGGTGTTGATGGGAATGAGGTATCTTTTACTCATACAGATGAAGCTGAAGATGAAACGAGAGCATCCCACCGGCCCGATGATCAAACTACAAGCACCAGATGGCAAAGAGGATGTTCTTCATCGAAGTACTCCATCTCAAGACAGAATTGGACCGGTGGCCCTCACATGTGGTGACTTTGGTGATCATCGAATCAGTGTGTCAGGAAGCTAGTAAGATTAACGCTCGCTCGCCTCTTCTTTAAAGTTATCTGTCTCAAAGTCTAACGTTCGAAAATAGTTTTGCATTTGTGTTCATGTTGGAGATGTATCCAAGACTACCCAAGGCACCAAAGCTACGAAAACGAATCTATTCGATATGCAAAGGACACCTCGAATGGGTCTCGAAATTGGGTCTTGAGGAAGCTTGTTGTTCTAATATTGGAATCCATGGCAGAAAGATGGACGACGAATCCGGTGATACTGAACTTCCACCAGATAACCCCACCAATATGCCTGGCCACATCATCAAAGCAACACAATATGTCAGAACATTTCCCGATATTGAGGACCTGCTCTTTGTATGCAGTTGGCTTGGTGGCTTTACCTCAAAATGGTTCCGAAAGCTGGCCAAGGACAAGAACCCGCTCACGCCGACATGGCAACACTTGGATGACTCGGAAATTCCAGTATATCGCCTGAGCGACCATGTCTGGATATGGAAGGCTTTTAAAGGAATCGAAGAGCTGATCAAACATGTCGAAAATACACAGAGCAAAATGCCCCACGAGACTTTAAAAGAGTTCCTTCGCATCACTAGTCATCTTCCACATCGAGGAGCGCGGAAGTCCAGTGATGATTTCATTCTTGATTTCACAGCCGAGGAGATTCGACGACAAAATCTCCGTCGCTTTACAATAGAGAATGATATCCTCAAAAAGCGCATGCTTAGTGTTACCCGAAATGCTCGCGAAACCCGTTTCTTACTGCATTCCAGAGACACTGTTTTGTACTACGGCCTTGATTGGGGATTCTTCACCGGCGAAGATGTAGTATGGAAGCAGTTTATCGAAGCACAGACACAGCATGATGAGGCGAGCAATGACGAATCTCAATGGGATAACCCACTTCGCTATGGGCTAGCAATCGAAATGGCTAAAGAAGGGAATCGCCTTGAGCGTACCTTTGCACCAGTTGAGATGTTCGACCATGCTCAAGATATTATATTAAAATCCTCATCCGAAAACGGTCTTTTCCCGGGACAGCTGGACGATTTCAGCAAAGAGCCTGCACTCTTCGATCGGGAGCTCTTCCGCGATTTCTATTTTCACGTCGGCTTTGAGCTTCCGTATATCCTTCTTCGAACCATAGAAGAGCCAGGGCAACAAACCACTGAAACACCTGGACAGAGGAGACCTCGATTAGAAACTCCACAGTCACCAGTTCAGAGGGCAAGAGAGCTGTCGCCAATGCCTGAGCCCGTAGTAGGAACTGTACCTGGATACATCAATACACAAGACGGCAGAGCATTCGCGATCCAACGCACCTTGAAGCGACAAAACCCATACGGAAGGCTAGTTGATTTGAGCAACATAGTTGAGGTGCCCGAAGAATGGATTTATCGCCAACAGGACTTCCTTACGTTCGTCCCACCAACAGATCAACTGAAGCTCGATCTGGTTCAAAGCGAGGCTCCTAGTGATATGAATAAAGCCATGGGAAAGTACCTATTTAGCAATGCAGTTGACCCGAAAGACGCGACCTTTCCACCTCACGGCGATTGCTATGTGTCTATCAACGATGTACGCAAGGACCGAAAACAGAGAAAATGGTCTGTCAAAGAGAAATCTGCCACCTATCCACTTTTAACATACAAAGATCTTTGGTTCAGGCTTCAGAAAAGGCGAAACGCTGCATACAGTAAGAAGAGGCTAATTTACTTAGAATCTCCGGACTACATTGTCGCTTCTTTATGCTACGTTGCATCCCCAGAGTCCGAAAGGGGTCATATTGCGCAATTCTTTGATCGACATGCGAAGGTTCACGCAAATTGGCTCTATGATGACACCGCGGCAGTTTTCAATAGCTGGATAACAGAGGTTCACTTTCGATTCTTTCAGGTCTTCTCGCCCAACGACGGCGAAATTCCTTCGCAAGAACCGACGCCTGTTCGGCAAATTAAGTCTCAGACATGTGGTATATCTGGTGATCATGCATACCTCGTTGATGCTGTCATCAGTTTTCGCATATCTGGCGATTTCTTTGATCGTTACTGGACTTGCTATGTTGCTCAGCATTTTGCAAACCCCAAAGACCTTGAATCCCCTCTCACGAATGATGTACTTGACAAAACCACGCATTGGCAACAAAGAAAGGTGTTGGAGCTTATGTTGATGAATTGCATTCTGGAGAAAGTATACACGAGTACCAGTTTGATTCTTCGACGAATTGAACAAGGGCCACGGCAGAAAACATCGGATGCGGGAGAAAAATACTTCTCTAAGGATAGTTTCGAGGATCGAAAGCCCGGAGAACTTCGAGAGTGTTTTCAACTCCTTGTTATCTTGAAGAATAATATCACCAGCCTACAGGGTCTCATTGAGCAATGGAACAATAGGGAAAGCTCACAAGGACGTGAGCGACCACGCTGGACACGTAGCGATGAGCAAAAATATCGAAAGTCAATCAAGCAAAAAACTGCTCAATTTGAAGATCACAATCGGGAAATCAAAGCGGCTGCAGCGCGGATCGAATTTCTCATTGCACTAGTGACAAATGCCCAGGATGCGATCAGGGCTAAAAAGTCACTTCGCGAAGCGGAAAACATCACACTTTTTACATACGTGACTGTCTTCTTCTTGCCCGTTGGCTTAGCCGTGAGTGTGTTCGGCATGAACGGGATACCTGATCGTACCACAATCGTCTCGATGCTCGTCACAGCAGCAGTGGCGCTGCTAATCACAATTGGTGTGCTGTGGTGTGTTCTCAGCCACCTGATTCCCTTCGGCTTCCGCAGTCCGTGGTCACTATTTAAGACTAGAAATAGTCGACAGAGGCCGGTGGAGGTTGATAACGAGGGGTTGCAGGAAGAAAATACCAGCCAAAGGATTCGCCGACGGCTATCTCATGCGTACAATAAGTCTTCAAAACCAATAAAGTACGACCGTGATCTGGAAAGCCAGACAGAACTGACCCGGGAGGAGAGATTGAGTACTTTGGACGAAAGATCTTTCAAATAGCATATGTGTTTTTTTTTCGCATTTTTCCAATGTTTTTTTCAAAGCGATATGTGACACTTATTATGATGGCGGCATTTAATTAAAAGTGAAACAAGTATAGTCTGGATTTTGATGCATGTCCGTCTATCGGAGTATACTTCTGAAAGGAGAAAGAATACTTTCATCGATTCCAGGACGCTTCCAACTTTGTGACAGCGTATTCCGTAGCCCAGCCAAGATCGGCCTCAACTCCCCGGAGCAGATTGAGAATTATTTGATGCTCGTCGGCACCCTCGAGACACTGTCCAAGAGCCAACAGTACTGGAACCATGTGAACTCGTACATCACCCTGTGGGTGTCCCAACGCAATGCCGCAAGCTTCACGGGTACGATATTCTACTTCTTTGGTGACCTCTCGATAGCCCTGCAAACGATCAAATGCAGTGCTTGGGGCACTAACAACGTCTGCAGGCTGATTGATCAGCAGGGCAATTCGACCGAAATGGTAATGCTGCATAGTGGCAGCACAGGTAGAAAGACTATAGAAGACCTCGGGGAAGGGCAGCCTGATATTTTCCGATGGGTGTGAGAAGTCTCTGGGGTGATCGATTCGCACACACGGACGAAAAGTCTCGGGCACGCGCTCGAACCAAGTTTGAAACTCAAAGGAAAGATCAAGCCAAGTATTTGCGCTCCGATCAGCACTTCCTGCGGATTCCTGGTTTCCGATCGGTCTATTAGCTGGCGATCCAGTCCACTGTGCAATCTGCGACTGCTTTGATTCTGCTAGAAAGTTGATGACTTTGCAGACCAGCCAGCAGAGGCTGTTCGCTGCCTGGTCTTCTTGGGAGAGATTGATTGAGCCATATAGGCTGATCTGGAACTTCTCGCTTTCGTCAATAGAAATTCCCGCAGCTCGCCACACAGAGAGATTTGCCGGGTCAAAATGAGTCGGACATCGAGTGAAATAAGAGCCAAGGTAGTCTTGACGAGCAAAGTTCCAAAAACAAGCACGAATGCCGTGGGTGAAGACTGTCAAGTTCAATTGATCTGTGTTCATTAGAATTTCGAAGACACCCCGAATACCAGTTAGGTGCCTAAGGGAAATATCAGCCTCGAACTCCCGGAAAGTACTGAACTCAGGACACTGACGTGGGCCATTGATCACCATCTGCATCAAGCAGCTTATAAAATATCAACAAAACTGCTGTTGCCAGCATATCCTCGGTCTTCCGAAGAAAGTTGCTGTTGGAGGGATCTTGTGCGCCTCCTTGCGAAACGGACACTTTTAGCCATCGGCTGACCATCTCGATGGGCGATTCCAAGACCGTTGAACTGTGTGCGCTGTATCCAAAAGAAGAGGAGTTATTCATGTCTGAAGCCGCCATATAATAGTAGTTAGCGGCTTTAAGGAACCAGTCAGTCTCGGCTGCATTCGGATACATCTCAGTCGTAGCCGAGCTGGTGAACATGCCCCCTCCAGCTGTCAGTTTATTTCCTTTCACGCGGCCCAGTTGTTTCGCAGCCAATGCGGAAATGGCGTACTTCAGAGAGGGGGAGTTGATGGCTCTTATTGGCACGTAGACGGAGAAAAACTTTCTTGAATCGGAGAGGTCCAACCAAGGGGCGATTATCTCTGCGAAATGACGGGATAGGAATGCGAGTTCATGCTCCGAGCCCGTCATTAAGTCTGAGAAGATGTCTTGGAATTCTTCCTTCTCGCTCCGCTGCGACACACTTTCTGATGACAAATATCTTTCATGTTGTGATTGACCAACAGAGGCCTTATTGTATGCGCATTCAGAAGCCGGAGTGCGCCCCGTTGAAGCATTTGGCGATATCGAGTCCACAATTGGACTTTGAGAAGCGCCACTGGGGGTGGATTGATTGATCCGAGAAGCTGGGAAAGCACTTGTATCATTAAGAATTTGGAATTGACCCTGTAAAGCTCCAATTTCGGGGTGAAGCGAGGGCCCGGTTTGAGCCGTTTGGGCGATCTGGCCTGGAATCACCCTGGCTTTGTCTCTCTGAGAACTCAAGTCCGGCTGGATCATCTCTGTGTCCGGAGGACCTCCCAATGGATCAGCATGAGGATCCAATGGGACATTTACGTGTTGAGTTTGACTTTTGTGGCCTTCAGAGCTCTGGCACGGTTGTCAGTTTTCTCGTTCGTGCAGATCGAAGATATATGACCCACTTCGCCGGAATTCGCGTGAATTTCTTGATAAGGAGCATAGCGGCGGCGTACTGATGCTCCTTGGTCGATGAACTTTCGAGTTTGAACATAGCCGGGGCATTTCACGCCAGCGGCTTCACACCTTTCACAATGCGGGCGAGTTTCATCACACTGGTGAGGTTAGGGAAGTCCACAGTTCAGCGTAGGCTAGAAGTGAGCAAGCACCAACCTTCAGATGCCTTTTTTTGCATCGCTCGCAAGCTTTATTGGAGGGGACTCCGGGCATTATTGTATTTGACAGGAGTTTCGGGTGTTGAGGTCATACGATCCACAACAGATCCTCTTCTTCAGGGCATGTCAATTCGGCAGATCACATGTATCAGATGTATCACATTCCGTAGATGATCAAGGATAATTCAATGAGTATTCAAGTTCAAGGAGGTACCCAGTCCAGGCGAAGTTGAAGTGTAGTGAAGAAGGGAAGAAGTGATGAAGAGGAAGGTGATTATGTCATTCGGCCCGATCTCGGCCAACCCTCGGCATAAAAATAGCATAAACATAGTTAAATGCCGAGTGTAAGACTCTACTCTCTCCCAACTCTGTCACATATACCGCTGATGGGAAATGAGAAAGAAAGAGTAAAGTCCATTAGGGGAACAGTATTATCTCTGTGATAATGAGTATCCATTATCTTATACATCATACTAGAATACTACTAACTAGTACCTTAGTATGCGGAAAAGCTTGTGCTGTAGATAAGAGTCCAATATTCTACCTTAAGGGTCTGGGGGCCCGTCAGGTTATCCGCGACTTGAAGGATAGCAAGAATCAATTAACTATTTTTCTATTGTTTTATAGGCATAGCTAGTAGTTTTTGGATTCTAGACAGTGTTTGTTGTCCAGTGCCACTGTTTGTTGTTCTCCCCTTCCCGCCAACCACAATCACCCTCTCCCACCTCCCACCTATTTCTCCCTACTCAACAACTGACCATTTCAATTCCGACGTCGCGCAAAGAGGTTACATGAGGGCCCAGCACTTCCCAGAATTTCCCCACTTTCATTTCGCGGGGCCTCATTCCCCGCAGCTCGGACATACTGGGGGAGAGCTACAATTCGCCCAACTCGCCAGGGATCGGCACCTCGTCCAGGAACCCGCCGAGTGACCCCTTCTGCGATGAGCTCGCCCTGTCTCTTTTGGGCAGCTCTATCGCTCATCCTGCGGCCGATACCGCTTTTTTCACTCGTCATGGCACGGAGAAAATTAAAATGCACGACGCACGTTGCAGGACGCGGTGTCGGTCACGGCTGCCCGCGCAGAGAGGTCACACGCGATGGGGCTGGGCGATGCACTCGATGTTACCTTCGCTCTTGCAATATGTGGACTGTTTGCTACGAAGCACCCTGAGTTCTCAATTTGAGGGGAAATTGCCGAGATTTGTCCTCAAAGACAGTATGCGCGTTGCCGATCCACTCGCGAGGAATGCTAGTAAATAAGAGACCTTCGATCCTACATGCACCACGCGCTCAGTCTGGAATCTCGGTCTTTTTTTTCTCTCTCACGAATCGACTTTGCGCTCTTGCAGCACATCCTTTTCCCTGCGGTTCGTCATGGGCCCACGACTGCTTCCCCGTGTCGAGGCATTCGGTGCCATCGCCGCGGTTTTGTATGGCTCCGTTGCTCTGAATACACAGGTGACATTGGCGGACAACTTCGACCCTCTGGACTATGTCGATCCTTTGATCGGGACAGCCAATGGAGGTATGCTTCAATAGGTGCCGATCTGCTTCCATTGATATTTCAGCTAATGCCTGATTCAGGCCATGTTTTCCCCGGCGCAACATTACCCTTTGGTTAGTCGCTCGAATAGACATAATTGGAGAGCATGCTGCTCACAGAACGATAGGCATGGCCAAGGCTGTGGCCGATACAATCGGCGAGAATCAGGCGGGCTTCGCCTTTGATACGACTGTCGTTTCTGGATTCTCACACATGCATGATTCGGGCACTGGTGGTGTATGCTTCCTTCCTCCCCCGTGAAAGACTCATTACATTGACAATATAAGTCACCTTCTATGGGAAACTTTCCCATATTTGCCCAGCCAGCGTGTCCGAACGATGATCTCAACCAATGCAAATGGCAACTCAACGATAGAGCCTCGACATGGAAGAGAGACTCGCCAAAGGCTCGCCCCGGATACTTTGGCATATCCCTCGACAACGGTGTTCATGCCGAAATGACAACAACCAATCGCTCGGCACTATATCGCTTCACCTTCGATGAGACTTCGGCTGACGCGTTGAGCCCTGTGATCTTGGTTGACTTGATCGATCTGCCACAGTCAAGAACCAATGGTACCGCCGATGTGAACAAATCAACTGGCCGACTGACCGGCAATGGCACATTCAATCCCAGCTTTGGAATCGGAAGCTATGATCTTCATTTCTGTGTCGATTTCAAGGGTGCTGAACTTCGTGATACCGGCGTCTGGAATAAGAATCGCGCAAATTTCAGCCGCGAGACCGTTACTCTCGCAGCTGATGGAACCAACACACCAGCAACACTCTCCGCTGGTACATTTGCCCGATTTCATGCACCCAAGAACAATACTATACTCGCTCGTGTCGGTGTGAGCTTCATCAGCGTTAACCAAGCATGCGTAAATGCAGAGCGAGAGCAGCCTGACTTCGACTTTGAAGGATCAGTCTCTGCCGCTGAGGCTGCTTGGAGAAAGAAATTGGACGTTATTTCCGTTGATGCGGAGGGAGTTTCCGACGATTTGCAAAAGGTCTTTTGGAGCGGAGCCTACCGCGCCATGATCAGCCCCCAGGATTATACTGGCGAAAACCCCCTGTGGAAGAGTGATGAGCCGTATTACGACAGTTATTACTGGTAAGAGATTTATCACGTAGATTGGTTGATCCAACCCCCCAGCTAACCTAAGATCATCCAGCATTTGGGACTCATATCGCAGTATCCACCCTCTGTTGACTTTGGTCGATCCTCTTTCACAGTCCCTAATGCTGCGAAGTCTGATTGATATCTACCGCAACGAAGGTTATCTACCTGACTGCCGCATGTCACTCTGCAAGGGGTTCACCCAGGGCGGCTCTAATGCCGATGTTGTGGTGGCTGACGCTTACCTGAAAAAGATTCCAGGTATCGATTGGGATACTGCCTATGAGGCTGTGGTCAAGGATGCGGAGATCGAGCCGGCCAACTGGAATGTCGAAGGCCGCGGTGGCCTGCACAGCTGGAAGAGCCTCGGATACATCCCGACCGACGATTATGATCCTGACGGTGTTGGAACACACACTCGGAGTATCTCTCGCACGGTCGAGTACGCATACAATGATTTCTGCATTGCTGAGATGGCACACGGCATGGGCCACAAGGAAGATTATGAGAAGTACCTTGGACGCTCCGGAAACTGGGTGAACATGTACAAAGCAGACCAAAAGTCTAGTATCCAGGGCGCTGACACCAACTTTACCGGCTTCCTGCAACCTCGCTACACAAACGGGACATGGGGATACCAGGATCCAATCTTTTGCAGCCCCCTGCTCAACTTCACGTCCTGCTATCTCAACCCTGACGGCCACGAGACGTATGAGGGAAGTGCTTGGCTCTATACTTTGTAGGTGACATCTTTGCACCATCGACGCGAGAAAAGGAAGTATATCGCTAACTATTTTCTTTTTCTTCGCAGCTATGCACCTCATGACATGGGATCCCTTGTTCAGACTCTTGGTGGTGCTGAGGAATTCGCGAAGCGCCTGACTTATTTCCATGAGTCTGGCCTTCTCTATGTAGGTGATGAGCAGGCATTCCTACCGGTCTACCAGTTCCATTATGCTGGAAGGCCCGGTCTGTCTGCCAAGTACAACCACTTCTATATTCCCTCACAATTTAACACCACTGTCGCTGGTATTGCGGGTAACGACGATAGTGGAGCGATGGGATCATATGTGGTCCTGAGCATGATGGGTCTCTGGCCAGTCCCTGGCCAGGATGTCTATCTGATTACGCCCCCGTACTTCAAGGAAGTGAGCATTCGCAACGGCATCACAGGCAAACTAGCGACCATTCGCAATGTCAACTTTGACCCCAGCTACCAGTCCATTTATATTCAGAGCGCCAAGCTGAATGGCAAGGAATGGACTAAGAATTGGGTTACGCACGACTTCTGGACCGAAGGAGGAGTCCTAGAGCTAACTCTGGGATCCGAAGAGAGTGACTGGGGCACTAAGATGGAGGATCTTCCCCCCTAGTATCAGCAACTATCATGCTTGAGCTTCACCTCCATCCGAGCGAAGTTCAATGGGTTATGCTGGTCGATAAGCAATGTTTATAGGGTGAGACCTTGTTCGATAGCTATACATGAATATTATTTAATATCCGCAATTTACTTCCTGGTAGTTTCCAGTATTTCCAGTACTTTGATATTCTTCTTCTGTCAAGTTCAAGTTCCAAGGTTATCTCTTGTTTCCATCGACCCTCCAAGTTGGACTACCTAGTTAAATACTACTAGTAGGCATCAACCACTCTTCCTTCTTCCTTTTTCACCTTCACTTTCACTTCCACTCACCCCACCGACTTCTTGTTCCCCAGTGAGTTATCTTCATCATCTTTTATTTTCGTTTATCTGTAGCCTCTTCGTCCTCAAGGCAGACCCTTTCCTTATGTCCTTCCAAAGGGTGTTCTGCCTAGAAAATGAGGTGTCGATCGGAGATCCTCCGGCAACCCCCAGCAACGACGTGAGTATCACTCCACAACCCCCACTGATCGTGAACCAGGATATGAGGGGGGATGTGGATACACAGGATACTGTAATGTCCTCGCCAGAACCAGCTAGTCTCACTCGGCGGACTGGATCGTATGATCCCGACCGCCGCGCAATCCCGGAGTTGTCGTGTAAAGAGTGTCGTCGAAGGAAATCAAAGGTGAGATGCATCACCCTCATCTCTCACATCATGACATACACTGACTCTCATTCCATCAAGTGTGACCGTGAAACTCCCAAGTGCACGCTGTGCATGAGAAAAAAACCGTACGTGCGAATACGGAGCTAAGAGTCGCCCTCTGACCCGTCGCTACGTGACGGAGTTGGAGAATGCACTTCTCAATCTTCAGCAACACCTGCCAGTTCCTGGTGATTCAAACATTTATTTAGATCTCAGTCTCTCTGAGTCGTGTGAGGAATCCAGACAACGCAGTCGCTCCATCGACATGTCCCACTCTCCCCTTCACGCAAGGACAGCGACCAACCAACCACGTCATCTCCATAGCCCGCAGATTGCTGGCCCTGTCAGCATGACACGAGCTCCACTGGAATCTGAAGTGAGAGAAGGTGCTATAAAGAGATCGATCGGTCAAAGCAACGTGCCTCTTGAATCCTCCCCTTTGTCCGGCAACTGGGAATGGGATGAACGAGCTGGCCGGGCAAACAGCAACAGATTCGTCGATGGTATGGCCAGTTTGACAAGTGATCCAAATGGCAGCGGTTATCTTGGTACGAAAATTCCACTTTGGCTGCTTGATTTTCTACTGATTGATGACTAGGTGTTGCGTCTGGCGCTGCATTACTGCGGGTTACTGACCCAAATCCCAACGGATCAGAAGATCAGATCGCATCAGGTCAGATTATCGAACCGTCAAACATGCCAACCCTAAGAATTCCTTATTCATCCGACTCTCTCGGTGAGCTGGATCCATTTGTCAAACAATACTTCAATCTCTTTCACAAATCCTACCCTATCATTCACGAGGCCACTTTTCGAGCTCAGTTTATGCATGTACTTCCGCGACCAAAGGCAAAGGCATGGGAGGTACTCCTGTTTGTAGTGGCTGCCGTGGGTGCTTTCACTGCATCGACGCAACCTTCACAGGAAGACGTGGGTCTTTTCGAGGCAGCGAAGGCACGCATGTCGTTTGACATGCTAGAGACTGGCAGCATTCATCTCGTGCAAGCTTTGACTCTCATCTCGAACTACATGCAAAAGCGGAACAAACCAAACTCAGGCTATCACTACATGGGTCTAGCTAGGCGTACTGCAATGGCCATCGGTCTTCACAAGGAGATACAATCGCCGACAATGAATCTTTTCGAAAGGGAAATGCGGCGCCGAATCTGGCACTGTCTCTACATATTTGACGTCGGTGCTATCATCACTTTTTCACGACCACTCGACTTCCCTTCCAATGGTGTTGATGCGGAACTGCCAATGGATGTACACGATACGGTGAGGCCCCTCTGATTACTTAACTATCATAGCCTTGTACTAACCCTTTGCTCTTGATAAAAGGCCATCACACTGGGAACAAGACAAACACCACATTTTGCCACAGAGACGACGATATATACACACATGAGAGCCCAGGTAGCATTTCATATGGCAACAAGTGAGATATACTCGAAGATGATTTCCACGTCTTTTCCGTCTGCATCAGAGCTGATAGAAGCGGATGACCGATTAATTTCACATTGGCTATCATCCCTACCTCCTTATTTCCAAGAAGACGCCACTCAAGATGTGACGTTCAGGCTCTGCCATTCTATATTGCGATGGCGATATCGAAACTTCCGAACTCTCATGTATCGCCCAATTCTTATCCGACGTGTGATGTCACGGCGTGGTCAAATTGCTACCAATGGTGAAGAACCCAATTACCATGAGGACATTGCCATCGAGAGGTGCCTGCAGGCAGCACGTGAGTCTGTGCAGCTGATCTCGGCCTACTGGTTAAATGAGCATAAGAACACGATGGCTTGTTGGTACGGGCTGTACTTTCTGTTTCAGGCCGTACTTATTCCCATCTACTGCTTACGCAATGATCCGCAATGTGCAGCTGCCGATGAATGGCGTGAGCAGATTACTCAAGCCATGCGAACAATTGAGTCAATGTCTCATATTATTGAATCGGCCTCTCTCTTCCTGGAGAAAATTCGTTCAGTTTGTGGCCAATATCTGAATTACTCACTTGATGGATGGGGGGGTTCCGACTGAGGAGTCTCCACACACACAGATTGCTAACCTCTACCCACTGATGTGGCCAAATCTTGATATCGCACACATGGATGGCTTCGATACATCTCTGTAAGTGATTGATCACGTACATATCACGCTGAATCCAGGCACCAACTAACCTATCCTACAGCCAAGCCTCAACAATCACCGATTTTATGAACCAAATTCCAGGGTTTGAATGATATATGGCCATAGGAAGAGACCTGCCATGTCACCTGCTTAGTTAAAAGCATACAGACCTCGGGCCTCTGTATCTGTGAATAGAGCTCCAAACTCATGATAATCTACGCTCAGGAAATTGAGATGCCGTTCTCTCCTTATTTTTGGACTGATTCATTGAATATATCTACTTCTAAGGTAGTGTATACCCCCCGTCGATCACGATATTAGAACCCGTCATATATGATGAGGCGTCGGATGCGCAAAAGACGTATGCCTGTGTTTTGTTTAGTAGAAACCCTTGAGATATCTGTTTCTGATATACTGACTCCTTTGAGCTCGTATGTCTGCGCCATGCGATTAGCAGGGATCATACTGAGCCATTTCTCACGCCACTCAAGGGGGTGGATATCGAGTATATCGGTTGCGATGAAACCTGGTGAAATGCAATTCACGCGAGCAAAGTCCACCCACTCAACAGCGAGACATTTGGCAAGCTGAACAACACCGGCCTTGGAAGCGTTATACTAAGCAACGTGTTAGTGAGACATTCTCGGGATCAGATTCCTTAGGAATAACTCACGGCAGCTTGTTTCTGAGGAACATTGACTAGCGTTGCGCTCACGCTTGCTGTAAAAACAACATTTCCAAACCCTTGCTCTTTGAAAACACGAGCAGCTGCCTGTGCCGAGTAGAAGGCACCGTCAAGATTCACCTTCATAATGTCACTCCATTGGTCGGCGGTATAATCCTCAGCCGCGACACAAGATGCAATGCCAGAGTTGGCAATCATGATATCGACCTTACCAAAGTCCTTCACAACCTTTTGCACAGCGGCCTCGATATTGGCTTGGATAGTCACATCGGACTGATAGGCAGCTACTTTGACATTGTTGGTTGATGCGATCTCGGCAGCGGTCGCGTCGGCCGTCTTGGATGAATTATAGATTATAGCCACCTGGACCCAGTATTTTAGTTATCAGAGACCGGGGTGACGATAAAGGAGGTTGTTTTCAAGTTTCCAACATAACATACATTTGCGCCAGCCTCGGCCAGACCGCGAGAAACTTCGAGACCTATTCCCCTGGCACCACCAGTGACGATGGCTACTTTACCGGAGAGGTCGAACGCCTTGGAGACGTGTTGGTTTGCAGGTTGGGCGAGTACCATTTTGTTGACTTGCAGTTAATTATTCAAATGAGACAAAATCAAACAAGTTAATTTAAACCTTGAAGCTGCGTAAGTTTGACTCGATGGTCGATTATCTCATTACTGCAGCGGACATCACTCACCCTTCCCCGCCGGACAGCGCACTCCGCCACGGACGTAGATGTCCGCCCCTGCATGTACTCCATTACCGGTTTTTGGTTCGATTTCAAGGCTCCACTTTGATAGCAGGGTAATCGATGTTGCTGATCATGCTGGAGATGGGCTGATCGCGGTGACAGCCTCTTCCGGGGCTGGGTTGCCGAGGCAGTATCCCGGACTTTAATTAACGTGGGGTCTAACTATGGCTTACGTTCGATTCCCGGGATTCTTTCGACTATTCTTATTCTTATTCACTAACGGATAAAGTATGATGAGGAGACATCCACTAGGTCAAATTCAAACGAGGTTTGAGATTATATTGTTCAAGTCTAGTTATTTGTCGCAAGTGATACTATTCAGAGAACTCGAAACTGTGAAATTAAATATGGCAAATAGCTAACTCATCAGTTAAGCACAAGTTAGTCCTAGTAAAAGTGAACTCGAGCTATGCGACGTGCTCTGCATGCTCTGTACTAGACTTTCCCTTCTCATCGAAGTCATTGTGTTTATAAAAAATTGAACTGCTCATCGCAGCAGATGGCCCATCGAAAACCTCCGCGATCTCTTCCAGAGAATGACCTTTTGTTTCGGGAAAAAGAACCATGTCACGATTAGCACGACAACGTCAAAGCAACAGTAGAAGATATAATAGTGCCAACCAATCTTATCCAACGCAATTGGATTGACGAAAGCGAGTACAATCAAGGAGCTGTAGACACTCATCAGCTCCACAGTCAGCCCCTTACTGCGGATGGAATATGGAAATATCTCGGTCGGGTACCCCAACAACAGTGGTGTGTAGGCAATATCGTAGTGGAAGTAGAAAATAAAGACGAAAGCGATCACCGTCTTGCCCAGAGCACCGGCGTTTGTAATATCAAATACGGCCGAGCATGCGGTCCAGATGATAAAGGAGACTAGCATGCCCACTGCAGACCATAAGAATAAGGTTCGGCGTCCGAGTCGATCGACCAAAAGAGCTGCACTACCAGCGATAATAAAGTTAAACACTTGAAGAAGACCATTTATGAGAGTCTGTGTGTCCGAGTCTTTAATGCCGACAGTATCTAGCACAAGCGTGAGATAGTAGGATACAACCGCAACACCCTGAATTATGTTAGCGTCTCCATTGGAAACATGCTTCATGAGCTATAGCCTATAATAAACTTACATTCCACTGGGCAAAGACGCCGATGCAAATAGCAATCAATGTACGCTTGCGATTTCCAGGAGTTTTGACAAGTGTCGACCACTTGGTTTCAGAAGCTCGGCTCTCCATCTCAATTGTACGTGCGATCTCGCTCATTTCGAATTGGACAAGAGGATGCGATGTATCCCCAGCAGTATGAAATCGTGCCAAAAGATCCTCAGCTTCCTTTTTTCTGCCCTTTGCAATGAGCCATCTGAATATATGAGTCAGTTGAGGTAGCGTAGCCATCATTTCTCTAAATGGGTAATGAATACCTTGGAGACTCAGGTACAAAAGACCAGAATATGATTTGGACGACAGGAAACCCAGCCTGGATAATTGAAGGCACTCTCCAACTCCAGTCTGACCCACTCATATGCTTTTGTGTACCATATGAGGCCCATGAAGCCAATATAGCTCCCAGGTAGTAAAAGGTCCAGAACGCGCTTGTATATTTTCCTCGATGAGTTGGGTAAGCCAGCTCTGTGATGAGCATGGGTGATGGCTGTGTGACCAGCATAGAACCAACTCCCACCAGCACACGAGAAAACACGAACATAGCATACTGTACCGAAGCAGCTTGGATAATCGAGGCAACGACGATCACGATTGCACCGGACAGTAGGGTCCAGCGCCGTCCGATTTTATCTGACAGAATGCCAACTAAAGGTAATGAAATGACACTCCCGATGGACTGCGCAGCGTTGACAATACCGAGTATTGAGCCATTTGGGTTACCGAAGTAGCCCTTCCACTCATTAATTGATTGCAATCCGTTCATTAACGACCCTAGTGTAATTCGACTTTGTCAGTATTCCGTACAACACACAGAAAGAAATGTCAAAATCTCACCATCATATCCAGCGACCGCAGACGAAAGAAGAGGAACGAGTAGGATCAGATTGAGTTGCAAGAGATGTGGGACACGAAACCAGGGGCGATCATGCTGAGGCAAGACAGAGGCCAAGGCCTCGCCGACAATATCCTGATCTCTCATCGTTGTCCGAAGTTGTAAAATGATGTGAGAAATCTCATCGGAGATGCACGTCCATGACCCGGCGGCTCAGGAGTAATATATCCAGCGCGAGTAAACCTAATATTCTAACAAAGAATGGCAAGAAGTGACGGGATGGCATCGCATGTTTCTTGGACCCACTTGGACCCCACGCTTCTCCCCGTGGGGTTGCTCCATGACAGTTTCTGGTTTGCGGAGGAGGAAACGGAGATCCACTTCCGTCGACGGAGAGGGCTGTCCGAGACTTTGGGGCGATATCACCGATTAACAAGAAATGCCATGGTATGAAGAGTGCACCTTGAGACCAAAGAGCGGCCTTGCAGGTGGAATCGGCTCGTGAGTGGGAAGCTAGCAACACAATGCGGATACCAAGGTCCTTGCCTTAAATATGAGGTCGCAGGCCCTTCAATTGATCTTTGAACAAAAGGCAAGCGCTCAACTCGTCGCATATCTCTCCCCTCACACTCGAGGAACACATAAAATGGGCTCTCAAAGTATTCGTCGTCCAAACCCAGTGCTGCCGGATAGTATTTTCCAAATGTTTCGACTGGATAAAAAGGTCGTCATCATCACTGGTGGTGCCGGTGGGATTGGATACCAGGTCGCTCGTGGCCTAGCAGAGGCCGGGGCCAACATAGCTCTCTGGTACCACGGTTCTTCTCATGCCGATAGGTTGGCCTCGGAGTTGGAGAAGGACTTCGGAATAAAAGCGAAGGCGTATAAGTGTTCAGTGCAGAACTTTGAAAATGTTTGAAGTCCTTGCGCTCGAAAAGAAATGCTGAAACTAACGTGTGATTGAGTAGGTTCAATCTGCAACCAACGCTGTGGTGCGCGACTTCGGCCGACTCGATATTATGATCGCAAATGCTGGGATTCCTTCAAAGGCAGGGGCATTGGATGATAAGTTAGAAGATTGGCAACGGGTGGTAGATGTTGATTTTTCCGGCGCATACTATTGTGCTCGTGTTTCTGGAGAGATCTTTCGTAGACAGGGACATGGGAATCTTATTTTCACTGCCTCCATGTCTGGTCATGCAGCGAACGTTCCTCAACAGCAGGTAAACCAGATCGCATCCCTGATATAGTCCACGAAGAAGCTCTGACAACTTTTTAGGCCTGTTACAATGCTTGCAAGGCGGGTATCATCCACCTGGCGAAATCATTGGCCGTAGAGTGGGCCGCTTTCGCCCGTGTCAATTCCGTCAGTCCTGGCTACATCGACACACCTATCAGCAAAGATTGCCCCTTTGAGATGAAGGAGGAATGGTACACTCTTACTCCATTGAAGCGGGATGCTGATCCTCGTGAGCTCAAGGGGGTATATCTGTACCTCTCCAGTGATGCGAGCACCTACACAACTGGTTGCGATATAATTGTAGACGGCGGATATACGTGTCGTTAGATCACCTAGAGCAATATCAACCTTGGAAGGCATTATTCAATCCCACCTAGATGCGTGACGAATTTTGAATTGAACGTGTATTGAAGACTTTTCCTTGCCTAGTGGGTCTTTTCTAAAATCTATGTATGCCTTATTTCCCCGAGGATTGCTATCTCTACATGAGCCGGAACTTTTTCGCCTTCTCGGAAGACCCGATATCATAGCTCAGCGTTATCAACTACTTCCCATCGCCGTTTCAGGGTTTGGTATGGCTTTCTCATCGGCCATGCATGCAGCTCTTTTGTCCGATTTATGATTCCAAGTAAAGCATTGCGCTCCTCCGGATCAGTGAAGTACTCTCCATAGAGTGTAACTGCAATTACTGCGTTGACCAATGCAGGCTGAATTCGAAGATGACCTAAGGCGATGCCGCAAAGGTTCAAAACAATGGACCGTACTTGAGCCTCGGCTTTGCGATGTGTCGCTCGGCTTGCTTTTCTAAATGGAATTAGTATATAATAATATGATAAGAGCTCCTTCTGACTTACTCCAGGTATGGACTCTCTGCGATCAGAATCATCTGCGCTAATCGAAAGTGCTGAATGGCAGTTACTTGAACATCAAAGCTGTACCATACGGTCGGAAATATTTTTCCTTTTGCACGATCTGGGCCGAGTTCAAGAATTGGCTCAATCTCACCCATGCAATCATTAGCGAGCTGTTGCTCTCGAAGCTTGAGTTGTGCTTTTGAAGACAGGTTAGTGAGAATCAATTTCTATACGGAATGGAACATTCTCACTCCATTCCCGGGATTCTTTTGTCCCCAACGCCAAGTGGCAACCTCGCCCGCGAACATTATAATGCTGTTGGCTATGGACGTGTTCCGCCAACGATTTGTATCGAATCTCATGTGTGGGATACTCTCTCTCGAAAATGCATAATAGATCTCTTGTCTAATGACAATCCAGTATGCAGCGGTTGCTAAAGAGTTTTCCAAAGGTGACTCAATCATCGAGTCAATGATAGTTTGCGTGATGGCCAAGAAGCTGACACGTCTGTCATCATAATAATCTGTATCTATCTCATTTTCATCCATTTCTTCGTCCATCTCCTCATATTGTCGTAAAATCACAGTGGCGGCCATGATGTTCTCTTGCTGCACTGGATCTCGAATCTCAGGGAATTGAACAAGATCCGGAATGCATTTGAGCATATACTCTAATGCGCTTGATTTCTTCAAGCGAGGTAGCAGCTGTCCACGATATAGTATTCCTTTGGAAGTCGAATATTTGGGTAGTCGGCAGAGACGCCGCGAGGAAACCGCGCAAATAGCGTTTTTAAGAGTTGGGCAATGCCGTGCACGCTGAGGAACTATTAGTTGAAATTGCCTCAGCTCATCACAATGGTCGAACTGGATTTTGTCAGCCTTGGGAATCTTCGGTGGACATAAAGGCTTCATACCCATGGAGACAACTCTTCAATGAAGTATCGCATTAGACATGACTCTTGGACACTTTCAGATGAGGTGGTGGCCAGATCAGTGGTTGAAGATGGAGATAAAGAATAATCAACATCCGTCTCAGTTTCCCAGTATTGTAAGCTAGTGTATGTTCCGGGGTCCGTGTACTGGCGATCGCTTCCACTAGGAGGTAAACGTGCGTTCTGGGGGCTTCTGGACCATGATGCCGGAGATGACAAGGTCAAGGATGAGTGATGTTGATGAGAATTTCCACTTTGCCTATTCTCTGAATGAATGTTGTGGTATTCATCTACCTGCACTTCATTGGATTCAGCCGACGCCTCTCTTGGAGCGACTCGAATAGGGGCCGAGGGGCTCTCTTGAAAGTGCTCCACTGAGACAGATGCAGTCGGGGAAGTATTATCTGCTAGCTCCTCATGTGAAAATGCCGCAGTGTCTGAATTGATCTGCCGGTCTAAAGAGCTCAACGCCTGCTTCGGCGGACGCCATGTCTTTGGCTTGCTGTTGACCCATATTTGGCCCTGGGTAAAGCTCGTGTCAAAATTGGCGGTCGATCCATGTCGGAAGACGGCCTTCTTCTGTACAGGCTTGCAAGTTAGGCCCTTTGCTTCGCATCGATTACAAACTGGGAGACGCTTATCACATCTCTGGTGGCGGGCTGCAAGTCACGGATTAGTCATGACTACCCTGCACGAATCGCAGGCTCTAGGATCCTTACCTCTGCAGTTTGAGCAAGGCGCTTTGGCCAATGGAGTATCCGACATATCACTCACTCGACTCTGCTTGCAGAGATATTCACGGCGAGGTGGTAACATGCTCCCCTGGAATTTGACATGGCCAACACTTACCCCGCTGGGGCATAAACGCGGGGAATCTTTCCCCGCGGGGGAAATCTCCCAATGAGGTTAGCCTCGCCGCATACAGTCCGAACATAAATAACTTGAATGGACGTAAACATGAACATAATGCTGGGAAACTTGAATTGCACTTTCTACGATCTATAAAGGGAGATTTAACTGCGTCGGATAAGATAGTATCCTAGGATATCTTCTGGAGGGGTATCTGTCCTCTTATGTTCCCTCGGTTGGGGTGGAATCGCACAGCGTGAAGGCATCGTAGCTCCTTGCCTCTTTGGGTAAGTTTAGCAAACAGACAAGAGGATAGCTGCGTGTCTCAACAAAAGTATGAACGGCGGGTTTTAAAGACAGGAAACATGCCATTTTCACTATTCCTCTGATTGGAATGTGTAAGCATGATTTTATTGGGATTGGTTTGTAATGGTAAATGGCGTGGTTTCGTGCAGAGAATTGCTTGGAAGTGATTATTTTTCCAAAGACGATCTTCAAGACCGACCACGTAAAAGCGAAGGCAGGACCGGGCGACTGATCAGCCCAAGAATCTAGACCAGCCAATAATATGACGATTCGTGGTGGGTCCCGGACACTCGCATTTACGCGCGCCCACCAAGCTGCAAATCAACATCGCAAAATAGTTACAAGTATTGCCAGTCGCCCTTTCATTTTCGAGATACAGGTGCGTCTGCACCTGAAGGATTCTCAGAATTCCAACTGAGCTTGAAGCTAATTCAGTCCGACTATCCCCAAACTCCTCTGTATATTCAATATGGCCAGGAATCCGCACTGCGACAAAAGCATCTTGAAGAACAAGACTAGAAATGTCTCTCAAATATGCATGGTCTTCGGTTGACCGGGCGCATACACAAGCCACTCGCTGCGCCATGGTTGGTCAGCGTGGCAGTTCGCGTCTGTATATCGAGATATCAGATACCAAAAATTCAGTTCTGGCCTTTTTGGAGGCGTCTCGACAATAATAGATTCTATACGCGAAGATTCCGGGACCAGATCTTCAGGCATGAGACCCTGCATCTCAATCTCAAGGGTGCGTTGCAATACAAGGACCATCGGGGAGATTGAAGAAACTCCATCTTGAAATTGCCATTTGCGCAGTAGTTCCAGTGCTTGTTGCCGGACTAGCCAGTCCCGACATTTGAAAACACAGAAGAACAGAGCAGGGACGATCCCAATGTTGACTGGGAAAGTGGGCTTTGAGCCTTGGCCGGTATATGCTAATAAGATCTCTCCTAAATGGACCACCTTTTTGAAGTGGAGTAATAGGCTGTCGTACTTCATTTCCAGTGGCTGAACACGCGTATTCGTTGCGATCAATATGGAAAGAACCTCACTCCACAGCTCAAGAATGGTCAATGCGTCTACATCTCTTTGGCCCATCAGATCCTTATGAACAGCGAGAGTCGCACTGAGCTGGGCGCTCCATCCTTGCAATTTGGTCATGACTGCAAATGGCTCCAGATCGAGATCTGGGTCGGATGATATCACTCGAAAACCACGAGAGTCATTCTGCATAACCATTCGGGCTAGTGTTGCTAAGAAATCATATGACTTCTGGAGATTGTCGTTATTAATTGGCGGTTCGTGGGGGACAAGCCATGGGGATTCTAGATCTTCCTTATCTGGGCTTTTGCTGGCGAATGTCGTATAAACCAGTTGGGTCGCTGCAAAGGTTTGTTTTAAAGCTCTACTAAGTGAAGTCGAGTAGGGGTTCTCGAGTAAATACTGCTTTAAAAGGTTTTTGCCAGCTCGGAGATGTCGACCAGCAGTTTCGGGTTCCTCCTGAAAAAGGACCACACACACCAGAACCACACAAGTCACCAAAGCAGTCTCCACTTTGGCACGACCCATCTGGTTATCGGCCAGGTTCTTTTGGAGATAATTGATTGCCCTATTGCATTGCCGAAGAGAAAATCTTCGATCAAGAGGCCCTGAATTCGTACCGATGCGCAGCTGTGTGAATTGCCAGTTGAGAGCTCCCATGCCGATGGCGGCGTGACGGACTGCAGGTTGAGTCTCGCTGGCCTGATGCACTAGCCTTTCCCAAAACTCGTCATAAAAGTAAGATGAGCACTGCAAGGATGTGACTTTTTGAAAATAAGTCAGATACCACCGTTCCTCAGACGTCAAGTCCACCAGTCCTCCAGGGACGAGTGGGGAAAATGGAACAGGAGACCCTTTGACTTGCAAGAGACTCATCGGGTGAGAATCATCGTGAAAGACAGGAACAATGCGTGAGACTCGAGTTCGACGGTCAGGGGTTTCCCGATATTCGCATTGGCGACCAGTGCTAGTGCACATCGAACAGAATGGACGTCCTTCGTCGCATTTTTTGTGTCTGCTCTTACACACCACACAGCCCGACCGCACCTTCGGTCGACTAGCGCGATATCTCCTCTGTTTCTCGCAGCTCTGTGTCGCTATCCTTTTTGATTCTAGAAACATTTTGAGGCTCGGCCAACGAGGGCCAGGATTGTGGAAAGACGGTGGAGGAGTTCCCACTGTTGGCCCCCACTCGCCTTAATCTGCCTTGGTTGGCGCCCATCCAATCATCACGTCTTGTTTGCTGTTGGCCCAATTCAGTCAGCATCGCGAGGCTCTTTTGTCATTTCAAATCTCATTTCTAAGCAATAAATAATTTACGAGATGCTTCATTCGCTATTCTATGAAACACCTACTTAAAACTCATATCACCCTCTTCAACCGTGCAGGCCTCCCCAGCCAAGAACATGTCTACCGCTCAGAAACGAACTGCAATCCGCATTGTGAGTTCTGGAATCGCGGAAATTCAGTCGAATGTCACTTTCCCCGCTCTCGCTCAGACTATATTATCGCCGAAACCAAAGCCTTTGCACTGAACGCGGCCGATAATCATCAGATCGACGTACTAGGCGGTTCAGGCTCAATTGTTGGCTGTGACTGGTCTGGAGTGGTTCTAGAAGTCGGAGAAAATGTGACAGAATTCAAACCCGGAGACTACGTATACGGGCTATGCCACGGTGGTACATAGGACATAGGTGCCCGATCCCATCTTCAATCAATTGCATGCTGAGTCGGAAGCTTCCCACAGGCAATTCCGTCGAGCCCGAAGATGGCGCATTTGCGGATATCGTTACATCCAAAGAAAGTCTCACCATGCACAAGCCAGACTTTCTTAGCTTCCAAGAGGCTGCTTCTTTGGGGGTTGGTCTCGCAACCATTGGACAGGCACTCTACTGGGTCCTGAATTTGCCTCTACCATCTCCAGAAATCCCAGTCAACTCTGGGCCAACACTACTGGTGTATGGAGGCAGCTCCCTCACGGGCACAATTGCTATTCAATTAGCCAAGCTGTAAGTATAGCAATGCCTCCTTCGAATCATTTCCTATGTCTAACTGTTTCTCCGATGCACGGAGCTTTAGTTCTGGATGCCGCGTGTTTACAACTTGTTCCGCTCATAATAAAGAGCTTGTTAAGTCCCGTGGTTCTGATGAATGGTTCGACTATAGTCTACCAGACTGCTATGAAAGGGTCAATGATATCGGGGCATCGATCACCTATCTATTGGATTGCATTGGTAGCGAAGAGTCGAGCATATTCTGCAGCAAGGTACTTGCTCCGACCGGTGGACATTACCACAGTATAAAAGCACCCTTGCCAAAAGCCTTCAAGGCATCGCGGCCGGAGACAACCGCGATCGCAACTACAGCTTTCGCCTACTCTATGACGGGTGAGCGGTTTGAGTTCCCAGGTATGGAATTTGCTGCCGACGTGGCTCAGGGTCAATTCGCCAAAAAGTGGCGCGACATCGCTGAGGATTTAGTTGCAAGGCGCAAGATCCAGCCACATCCCGTTGTCACACGAAGGGGAGGTTTGCACGGAGTTATTAACGGATTGAATGAGATCAGGAGCCGGGCTCCACGAGGACATAAAATTGTTTATTCGAGAGATCCATAGCCAAGAGTCGGTATAACGGGTTCATACTAACTCGTTTCTCGAGCTTCCAATACTATATCTCTTTCCCTTCCATCTCAATATCTTGCACAGATCGTCACTACCCCAAATCAAGATACCTGGACCTGGAGAATCTAAGTGACTAACTTGTTGCACTATTCCATCACATGCTGCGGGGTGGCAGTCCGGCGACGGAGTGGGGGCTCCGTCGTGCGGGGATTGAAATACAACTGTGGCAGCCTGAGACAGTCATTTTTATACCTATAGTACCCTTCAAAGTTGTGTGTCACAAGGTTTAACTAAAAGCAAATCTTGATCTGCCCAGGTGCCACAAATTAATTTTATTTGCAAGAGAAGAACATGAATAGTCGGGAGAAAAACAGGTCCTTCGTTCTTCGAGCCGTCCAAGATGTCGTCCTTGAGGATCGCGAAATTCCGGCTTTGAAGGATCCTTGGGATGTCCGTGTTCACGTTGCACAGACGGGTATTTGTGGGAGCGACGTCCACTACTGGCAACGAGGACGCATCGGAGGTGGGCCAGATTCAATAGCGAAGCCACTCAGCACTGACCGAAACTTATTACTCTCTGTTCTCTAGATTTCATTCTCAAATCACCTATTGTCCTCGGTCACGAGAGCTCTGGTACAGTTGTCGAAGTTGGATCTGCTGTGAAAAACCTCAAGGTCGGCGACCGAGTAGCAATTGAACCCGGTGTGCCATGCAGACAGTATGTTTAGCCCCAGGCGCAGCAATTTGAACAGCTCCCATTAACATGGCTAACACTATTTCAGCTGCAATTACTGTCGGAGTGGATCTTATAATCTGTGTCCGGATACCGTATTCGCTGCCACACCACCGCATGACGGCACGCTCTCTAAGTACTACATTACTCAAGCAGACTATTGCTATCCTCTCCCAGAGCATATGAACTTGGAAGAAGGAGCTTTGGTAGAGCCTGTCGCAGTTGCTGTCCAGATCACGAAAGTTGGCAATGTACGCCCAAATCAGACAGTTGTGGTTTTTGGATGTGGACCTATAGGGCTGCTTTGTCAAGCTGTGAGCAAGGCATACTCCGCGAAGAAGGTTATTGGTGTGGATATAAGCCGGTCCCGGGCGGATTTTGCACGCACATTCGGCGCAGACGACATATTTGTTCCTCCTGTCAGACCTACCGATACCGATGAGACAGCTTGGAGTGAAGAGGTTGCCCGCATCATCAAGGAGAGGTTTTGTCTGGGTGAAGGTCCTGACGTGGTGCTGGAGGCGACTGGAGCACAGGCCTGTATTCAAACGGGAATACATTTGACAAAGAAGGGTGGAACTTATGTTCAAGCTGGTATGGGTCGTGAGGTAAGTCTTAAGCAATTTTCTGCAATGGAAGTAAGGAATTGACCGAGAATCAGAATGTGGTGTTTCCAATTACGACTGCCTGCATTCGTGACTTACATATTCGAGGCTCAATTCGGTACACAGTCGGATGCTATCCAACTGCTGTAGATCTCATCTCAAGTGGAAAAATCGATGTAAAGCGACTGATCACAGACCGCTTCAAATTTGAAAAGGCAGAAGAAGCTTTCGACCTTGTTCGACAAGGAAAAGAAAGTGTGATCAAAGTGATCATCGAGGGGGTTTGTTCCTAGGTCATAACCTCTTTTTGGCTTATTATATGCCTTATATGCTACTCTTGAACAAAACAATGAATGAGCACCTACAAATGAAAACAAACACAGCCATTCTTAGCTCTATCCAAAATTATCATGCGGTCACGTGCAAAGTGCGGGACCCCACGGGGTAACCCCGACATCACCTCGCGTCCTCCACTCCCTGCTCCTCGTACCCCGATTATTCCATCCCGTCTTCCATGATGAGTTTCACTAGAAAGAGAGTACCTCTTGCCTGCAGCTTTTGTCGCAGTCGGTAAGCTTCTGAAGTTGTATTCATCTCTTCTCGAATTAACGCAAGAATAGCAAACGGCGATGCGACGCTCAAAAGCCTTCATGTTCACATTGCGTAGAAATGGAAATAGAATGCCACTATGTCGATGCTCCTTCACAGAGGTTTGTCTAACTTTCTTTTTGACTTTATGGATCTCTATCTCACAGCAACAAGGATTGACACCACTGGTGGCACGAGAGAAATCATGGGCAAATTGCACGATATCGAGACAATGCTGAAAGATCAAACAAGCTTGATCTCAAATTTTCCAAAGGGAAATGAATTCTCTCCTTCGGAAGTTCTCATGGAATCGCCACTGCACAATACAACTGGGGCCATCGCAGAAATTTCATCAAATACTTTTACGTCACCCTCTCTGGGATTTGCAGATATTCAACAGAATTCGGATATGCACACTCCGCCCTTGTCGATTCCGCCCGAACATAAAACGTCGTCGAGCTATCTTTTGAGTCTTCCACAAGTTAAGTCACTTGTTGGAGACTATCCGCCAGATTTATTTTTCCGTTTGGAATCTTCCGAGCAACTACCTTTTGAGACAGAATGGAGTAACCCACCAGCCCCACAGCAGCCATGGCGGATTGATGAGAATTATGCCGCAGAATTGGTCAATTTTTTTTTTCTCGTCTGCACACCAACATCACCCATTACTAGATGAAAGCGAGTTTCGTGGAATCTACAGCCGCTTTATCAAGAGGGGTCCGGATTCTAGCATTGAGTCCGCCTTATGCATGGTCGTATTGGCAATTGGAGAAGCCGCCATGACAGGAGCGGATATTCCCTCTCTGAAAACATCGCCACCTGGCATTCGATTTATAAGACATGCTATGCCTACTCTCCTTTATCAATCATCTTGGTCATTCTCATTCAATTTATCATTACCACAGGCACTCGTTCTGTCCAGCATATATTACGCGTATATTGTTCGCCCACTTCGAAGTTGGAGAATGGTGTATTCTGCTGCAACAATCATCCAACTTCAACTTTCTAGGTATGAGGCCTTGTTATCTTCAAGGAATATAATTCTAAACTCCACCCAGACACGCTTCATATCAGAGAACGCCTCGGGAAAGAGAATCTATAATCCGACTTTTCTGGTCCTGTTTTTTGGTCGAATGTGACCGAATCGCTGAACTTGAACTACCACGAAGTGGACTGCAGCAGTTAACCGACACCGTTAGCCTCCCAGCTTGCACGGATCTCGGTATAGTTCAATCAACCAGCTTCCTAGCTGAAATTTCAGTACGAAAACTATTGAATCGTATTCACAACCTGCTTTATCAAAGCGGTAAAAGCCCTTCAGCTTTTTCATCCACTACGCTGACCGTGCGCAATGACCTTTCTCCTGTCGATAATTTGGCTCTACAATCATTTTGCGATGAACTGCACTCTCAGCTTGAGCTTTGGCATTCGTCCATACCCGAGGCCGCGCGCCCAAATCTCGAGCCTGAGTCTATAGCAATAACCTCTAGTGATCGCCAGGCCATACTACGAATCAGATACTTTGCAGCTCGTCATATTCTATACCGACCCTTTCTTTTACAGGTAATCAGCAATCCTGGAAGCTTACCTTCAGGTGAAACTATCGACAAGGCTCGTATCTGCATTGAAAGTTGCCGAAGCTATATTCACAGCACGACCCCGGTATTAGCCGGTCCAAGCCAGTACACATGGACCTTTTCAATATCGTACGTAACTTCTGGCTCAGAAATACCATTACCGTCTCACAATATATAGATCACTGGGTGCCATTGTTGTTCTAACATTAGCCTCTATGAGTCCAATTCTTCAAGGCTTTGTTGCCGATATCGCAGAGTTGCAGGAACAGGCTCTGGGAAATATTCGACCATGGGCATTTTCGAGTTTGGAGGCGGTGATCAACATCCTGGATGAGCTGCAAAGGAAGCACAAGCTGCTATCGCGTATGCAAAGTAGTGTCGCATAGCGCTGTCTTCCGTTTCGCTTAATCAAATGCGCCAGCTGTGAGACTACTAGCATCGTCATTTTCTTGACGAAAAATATTGTGTAAAATCTATAACTTAATTTTCCTACTCCTACTAGGCGTATTTGAGCTCTAGTCCAGCTCAAGTTATCAAGGTAATTGAGAAGATGCAGGCCACTGAGGCTCGATCCAAAAAGCTTTATCCATCCAGCCTTTGCTTCACACTTACTTCGAACTAAATTCACGGTTGTACAACATACTGTATTGTATCACATTATGCATCTTCATACAGAAACTATCAGGATCACTTGAATCTGTGTTTTGAACATTGTTTCCCTCGATCCATTCAGACCTGTTCATGATGGGTAGTTGTCGAAATCGAAAAACCATCTTTTCCGTTCTCAACTTCTCCCGCAATCCTCTGCCTCTCTGCCTCGGCAAACTCCTCTGGTCTCTCCCGCTGTGTGAGCTGGCGATTTCCACATACTATTAACGACGGATTCCGAATGAAGATTTCGTCCATATCCTCCAGTGTACGGCGCGATGTTTCTGGATAAAATAGAAAGACAGTAGGGAAAAAGGCCCAGGAGATAACAGCAAAAACTTTTTTATTAGCATTTTGGCAACGAGAGGGGATTTTTGAACTTACTTAGGTAGAAGCGCCAGTGTAGGTTCTTAACCCCGACACTTGTAAATTGGGTCACAATAAAGCCGCAAATCCAATTTGTCCCTGTGGCTGCTGCTGCACCCCTAGTGCGCCAGCCAAGTGAGTTGACCTCTGAGTTGTACACCCATGGAACTTTCGCAAAGCTTGTGCCATAGATGAAATAATATAAAAAGAACATAGCGGTTGTGACTTTACCCATCTATTATTTTCTCAGCGTTGATAGGACGGGATAACAAAGATCTTTAGACATACCAGCTGTTTCTTCAGGGGGTTACTCTCCCCAGCTTTCAAACACATGGCGGCAATGAAGTAGCAGGAGCCCATGCCAACCGACCCGTATAGCATTAATCTGGAGGACATCAGTCAACATTATTTTCAAAACACATTTACCATCTTCAAAACTGACTTTCTTCGACCAAAAAGATCAATAACAATTAGGCAGCAAAATGCAGCGCAGAGATATGTCGTTCCATTAATGGCTGTCAACAGACGGCTCTCTTCTTCTCCAAGCCCCACACTCTGTACCAATAATGTCGGCAGATAGTAGCCGAGTGCATTCACACCGCTGAATTGCTGCATGAATTGTGTACCACATGATAGAATTAATCGCCGTAAATTCTTCATTTTGTCCCGACCGGTAAGTATGTCCATAAAAGGTGCTTGCTCTCTTCTTTCCATCTCCAATGCGGACTGTATTGACAGAAACTGTGCTTTGACATCTATGTCGTCAATGGACTTTGTCGGACCCTCAAGACGTGCAAGTGTTTGAAGAGCCTCTTCATGCCTATCCTTTAGCAGGAGCCATCTAGGGGACTCGGGAACAAAGAGCATAGTTAATGAGACTATCACAGGGAAGATGAGCTGAAATCCCAAAGGGAATCTCCACTGTAGAGCTTCGCCCTGGAAGTAAAGACCAAAGTTCATCCAATTGGCAAGGCAGAATGCAGCAGTGTTTGACAAGGAGCCTACAACAACCAGCTTTCCCCGTACATGAGGCTTGGAGCACTCAGCCTGGTAGACGGGGCAGGTTGATGATGTCAACCCCATGCCGAATCCGTTGATTATGCGTCCAACAATCATTTGACTCAAGCTCCAAGATACAACTTGAAGAATGGCCCCAATGGTGTTGCAAGTCAGACCAATAAGGATCACTTTTTTCCGACCGAGTCGATCTCCTAGGGCAAATGCGAATATGGCACCGAAGAACGCACCCAACTGCGGGGATTTGTCAAAATAGGAGTAACCGCCGGCTTGAAAAGAAGCTTACCGAGAAGCAACTTGAAGTTATTCCAGATATATTCGAATCGTTCGTTTCAGGAAAGTGCTTTTTGAAATCTGTCCAATTTTAGACTCTGGCTGAACGAAGCATATAAACCTTAGAGATATCTCTCACCTGCAGAAATGAGAACTCCGGAAAAGACCCCTTGGTCATACCCAAACCAGGCCATGGAGCTTTGCTTGTTATTATTCATCTCCGATAAAGATTCAGCTTGTTAACTCACCAAGCATTTACGACGGTAATGGCTGTGATGAGCCACGTTCCACGCAGAACTTCTGACAGGTTAAGCAGACCCATGTTTGCTTCCGGTTTGCTGTGGTAATTGGGACGTTTGTCAAAGAGAGGCTAGCTCATTCCCGGTGATAATGTTGAAGCGAGTTCAGCTGCTCAGTCCCCTGGATTGTCTCGAGTACTTGGGGCTACTGATAATATGCCTCTTAATTCGGACGATTTAGAAGTTCATTCACAATTGACAAAAGAGCTTGGGAAAGTGGAAATTCTGGATGACGCGATACTTTTTCGGTGGCTTCCAGGAGAAAATGCCAGGAATCGCGTTTCAATCGTGCGCAACGACCGCTTTTTATGGTCCGGATCTTGGAGCTCAAGGTCGAATGATCAGGTGAAGGTTGTCTAGCAGCAATCTGGGGACAACGGCTAGTTCTCCGCTTGTGGAGACAAGAATTGAGAGAAATCCGGGGGGTCACCCCATATGTGCATCTTCCCCACACGGGGATAGGCGGCAACGATCCCCGCCAGGCAGTCGCTTGGCGCGTGTAGACGGCTCGGTCTGAAATTATAATCTTTGAATCGAAGGTCTCGCACATTTTCAAAGACGGGTTCTATCAACCAATAGAGCAGCATGTCGAGATTCGTTTTGGTCACGGGCGCAACAGGCTTCATCGGCGCCCATATTGTCGATGCTCTGCTCTCACGCGGAATTCGAGTCCGAGGAGCAACAAGGTCGCACCAAAAGGCTGATCTTATGATAAAGGCCCGCCCGCAATTTTCGCACTTGCTTGAATTCGTTCAGATTGGTGATTTCGAAACTCGAAGCCCCGAGGGCTTGGTGGCTGCGGTTGAAGGGGTGGATGGAATAATTCATACTGCCAGTGTAAGCTGACAATCCCTTACTACTATTCTCAGTGATTTTCTCATTTGAATGAACATCTGACCCAAACGGTATATATAGCCATTTACCTATGATACAACCAACAACGAGCGAGAGCTCATTATTCCTGCAATCAATGGCGCCATTGCAATTCTAGAGGCTGCGAGAACAAACCCTCAAATTCAACGCATCGTCATAACTTCTTCCTTCGCTTCCGTACTCGATATCAATCGCAAAGGTCCATATTTTACTTATACCGGTGCAGATTGGAATCCTCTCACGTATGAAGAGTCCATTGACCCCACAACGAGTGCAGTTGTTGCCTATAGAGGCTCCAAAAAGTATGCAGAACTGGAAGCGTGGAAGTACATCCAGGAACATAGCCCTGGTTTCGAAATTGTCGCTCTGTGTCCTCCAATGACATTTGGTCCCGTGGTACACCCCGTCGACCGCGTAAGCAAGCTAAATGAATCCAACGCGATGCTATGGAAGATCGCAAGTGGTGTCAACCCTCTTCCTGTTTCTCGGGTGCCATTTTGGATCGATGTCCGTGACCTGGCAACAGCTCATGTGGAAGCCCTCATTTCCATCAATGCAGGTGGGAAGAGATATATCCCAGCCTCTCCTGAAAGATTTTCTTATGGGATTGCTGCACGGATAATATCAGATGCGTTGCCAGACCTAAAGGATCGGGTAACCCAGGAGGATCAAGTTATTGACGAAAGCTGTGGGGTGGATGGAGAAACCGCTTCTAGAGATCTTGGTTTCACATATCATGCTTTTGAGGATACCGTGAGGGACTTGATAAACCAAGCCATCCTTCTCAACAAGTCCTAGTCTTATAATTGGCCATAAGATAACTACTTGAAATTTGATTTTTTTTTCTTTTATGTATGTGTGTCTCTTTAATAAAGTTTAGATCTAAATAAAGCTCTCGGATGGTACCTTAGAAGATATCTAAGCTTGTTTTAAGCTACAGCTCACCACCAGTAGGTTGATCAATGATTTTCAATCCAACATCACTTGCCCAGAAGCTTCCTCTTGGGTAGGTGTACTTTTTCCAAGGCCTCATCGGTATAACCCGTCGAATACCCTGGGTCAAGGGGCGTAACATAGTGCGCATTTTCGATCTTTGAAGGATGACGCAAGCTTTCCCGGTGACTGTCCGCAAATTCCAGCATGGATTTTCGCCCACTAATTGCAACATAATCAATGGTACTCAAATGAGAGGTCAGTTCTGTTAGTCCCATTGCCCCATTATGAGGAACACATGGGACATTGAACTTCAGTGCCATAATCATAACAGCCTATATTTCATCGAGTTAATATTAATTTTTCTGAAGACAACTCCTTCGAAGAAGTACCAGGTTTTCCACAACATACCAAACACTCATTGACACTACCAAGTCGCACTGCATCAATTTGACAAACATCTGTGGCTTCTGCTTGAAGAAGCTGCTTGAATGTAACGCGGTTTTGGGCCGCTTCGCCTGTTGCCACGCCAACTCCGTAAGGTTTCAGAGCCTTTCTGATTGTGGCATGACCAAGTACATCATCGGGGTTTGTAGGTTCCTCGATAAAGACGGGTTTGAATTCGACCAGGTGCTTCATATACTCGATGGCCTCCGGCACACTCCAAACTTGATTCGCATCAATCATAATTTGGTAACCTTTATCGTATCCTAGCACATCTCTGACAGCTGAGAGTCTTTCTCTGTCCGATTCAATGTTGGTCCCGACCTTGAACTTGAAAGTGTCATATCCAGCTTCAATGGTTTCTTTCAACACTTTCCGCATTTTGTCGCCCGAGAATGCTAGCCAGCCAGCGGATGTAGTATAAGCGGGAACAGCCGTGTTCTCCAATGCCTCCTGCAAGCGAGAACCCTTGTCTTTTTGTGTCCGCTTTAAAAGCTCAATGCTTTCTTCCGGCGTAATCACGTCAGTGATATATCGGAAGTCGATACAATTCACAACTTGTTCCGGTTTCATATCACAAACGATTTTCCATACGGGTTTGGCAAGGATTTTCCCCAAAGATCCCAAACAGCATTCAACACACCTGCCACAGCAAGATGAGTAATACTCTTTTCGGGCCCAACCCATCGGTATTGCGAATCAGATACCATATATCTCCATGTTTTACCCATATTGCGGGTCAAAACGTGCATGGACTTCCCAACAACTCTTTTCGCGAAAATTTCAAGTGTCGTACAAATCAATTCACTTCCTCTTCCATTGCTAAACGCCTAGAGATAACAAGGATATAAGAATGAATTCTGTGGAAAGAGGTTTGCTTCAGCTTACAATCCCTTCTCCTATCAGGTCATCCTGGTTGGTCTTCAATCGGATGTATGGGTGGGACCCATTTGTTCCCACATGCATAGCATCTGAGCCGACACCATCTAGGCTTGTTGGAAATCTCAAATCAATGACTTCGAAACCTGTGATCGTAACATCATTTTCGGTGAGTATAGCAGTTGAACCCATTTTGAGAAGAACTTGAATGAGATGTGGAAAGAGACTCGGAGCAAAACCAAGGAGGCAGAGCTATTTACATCCGGAACAACCCCGCTACATAAAACATTTCTGTGATAAATGCTGCCCCCACGGTCAGCAGATCCGTTCTGGGGAAATCCCCACGGTGGGCGTCTTGTTAATTTGACCCCGCCTGGAGAAGGGAAAGTGGAGCTGCCGACTCCCCCCGCAGTAAAACGATGAAGATGTGGATGTGGAAGAAGTACAAGAGTCTTGAATCATGTAAAACCACGATTAGTCATCCCTGATTTCGACCTCACCCAAAACCCATTCCATTTGAGGGTAACACCACCAACCAGCCATCCTTCTCCTTCCCGAATTATTCCGATGGCTGATATTGTGTGTCGAAGCGGAAACGGACTAATACCCATTGCCCCAGCTTCGACTGCAAATGGTGCCCGGGGCTTAGGTTATGGAAATGCTTCTCTGACACCAATGCCGCAGGCTTGTCAGACTTGCGCTAAACGCAAAGTCAAATGCGACAAGGTGGCGCCCATTTGCTCCAGATGCCGCAAGGGCGGGTTTGAGTGCATTTACCAGACAATAACCCAGCCGCGATCACGCAAAAGAAAAGTCACTGATGAGGCGCTGGAAAAGCTCGCTCGATATGAGCGCATACTTCAAGAGAATGGACTATTGGATGCTGAGACCCCAGCCTCTACTGGACACACGCCCTCCGAATCAGCTCAACCTGTCCATCCTAGCCACCAGCTAAGAGCCTCAAGAACGGGTAAACTCCTGACTGTTCGAGGCAAATCGCGATACGTCGATAGTCACACCTGGTACACTCTCCCAGATGATGAGATCCACAACATCTCTGACGAGGACGAAGAAGATGAAGTGACTCTCATGTCGAGAATTTCCACCTCATACTCAGACCCATTGATCGGTACGCTCCTTGGAGGCCCGGGACATCAAACTCTCACCCAATATCACCCAACCCATGCAAATGCTATGGTCATGTGGAAAAGATATGGTGAGAACGTGGAGCCCATCTGCAAAGTCCTACACATTCCGTCAACAACTCATATGGTGGACCTGGCGTCGCAACACCCTGAAACAGCCTCAAAAACCGAGGAATGTCTCTTATTTGCGATCTACTATGTCGCAGTATTTTCTATGTCAGAGGAAGCCTGTGCAAATTATCTTAAATCGAAGCGCAGTGCAATCATGCAGCAGTACCACCATGCTGCAAGACAAGCCCTTGTGAACGCGTCTTTCTTACGAACAACTGAATTCTCGGTCCTCCAAGCTTTTTTTCTTTTCTTACTGCCCGCCCGCCACTCATATGACCCGCATACCTACTGGATCTTGACCGGTATCGCATCCCGCATAGGACAACGAATTGGACTTCACCAGGACGGAGATAAACTCGGGCTACCTCCTTTCGAGGTTGAAATGCGACGACGACTTTTCTGTCAAGTATTCCCGCTCGACTTTAGAGCAGGCCAATCTGTTGGTACCGAGTTTATGGGCTTGCCCGTTTCCTGGGATACTCAGCCTCCCCTTAATATCAATGATGACCAAATTTGGCCTGGGATGATCAAACCTCCAACCGAGCAAAAAGGCGCCACAGATATGATTTTTTGTTTGTCGCGCGCATATCTGGGTAAGAATCTGAGTCGGGCGGGAAATCCAATCAACGGCGCTGCGCCCTGGGGATTTTCAGACTATAATGAGGCGGAAAGACTTATTAGCGCCGCAGAAAACGAGGTGGAGGAGAAGTTTATACGATACTGCGATGTTATTGATCCACTGCATTTCCTCACGATTGGACTTGCTCGGTCGGGGCTGACTGCTATGAGGCTCAGGGTCCGACTACCTCGGATCAGGGAGCCGAGCGCAACGGACGAAGAGAGAAAGGAGGCGTTTCATCTGGCACAGAAAACTTTGGGTATCGATGCAGCTGTCCATGCTCACAGCGGCATCAGCAGATTTCAATGGCACATCCGACCTTTCTTTTTGTGGGGTACACGAGAGGCATTCATCTTTATTCTAACAGTTTTATCAAAAAGCCGCGACTTGCTTACTATTCAAGAGACGGAAACTGCCTGGAACAGCGTCGCGGAGCTGTACAAAAACCATGGAGAGCTTTTTGACGGCAGAGAAGCTTTGTATGTGGGACTTCGAAGGTTGACCCTCAAGGGCTGGGACTCCTCTCAGTCAGATAATGTCGCTGCAGAGCCAGCATTCATTCGGACTCTTCGCCATCTACAAGATAAAAAGGGGACACGGCACAATCAATTCCAGAGTGAGACGGCAGAGACTTCACCAATGGAAGCCGATATTATGGGCTTCACAATGAGCACCGATTTTGAATTTGATGTTGATGACTGGGTTTCCTGGGACAAAATCATCCAAAATCATCAAATTCAAGGTTGAATACCTCGATGTGATTGGTTTAGATCTCGGGTACTTTATGCCCGAGCTAATGTCCGACACCGAGGGATTGGCCAATCAGCGATCTTACCTCCTCGGGTGAACTTGTCCGCCAGTCAGTATATAATCTGTTTGAATGCATAGGGCATAGGATCATATTCTCCGGGCCTAACACTACTATCATGTCCAATTTGAAAATTCTCGTCGTCGGGGCATCTGTTGCCGGACCAACAGCAGCTTACTGGTTTGCGAAGATTGGCGCGAAAGTCACAGTTATCGAACGATTTCCACAATTGCGAACCGGTGGTCAGAATGTCGACATTCGCACAGCTGGTGTATCGGTAATGCGAAAAATACCTGGAATGGAAGACGCTGTGCGGGCCAGCCTTGTGCCGGTTGGGGGTATCAGCCTTGTGCGCGAAGATGGTCAACCATATGGAACCATTAAGCCTTCTGGGGACTCTAAACAACAGTCGCTAGTCTCTGAATATGAGGTCCTCCGGGGTGACCTCTCGCGGATCATCTTCGACTTGACCAAGGATCACTCAAATGTCAAATATGTCTTCGGCGAGCAAGTTGCATCGATCCACCAAAAGCAAGAGGATGGGCCGGCAAGAGTCGAGTTCATGAACGGGCTTCCGGCTTCGGAATTTGATCTTGTCGTCGCTTGTGACGGCGCTACATCAAGAACTCGTGCTATAGGTCTTGGCTGCGATGTCAAAGACCATATCACACCGATGAACTCCTGGGTCGTATATTTCACCACCCAGGAAGATCTTCTGAGCGGAAGTCAAATTGCCCAAGCACATAGTGCCCCTGGTGGACGATTTTTCGCCATCGGACCTGACACAACTGGCATCAATCGTGCCGCGATGATGGGCATCAATCCTAAAAATGGACCCGACGCCGTCCAAGCCTTCCGTGAAGCCAACAAACTCGGCCCCGAGGCATTAAAGAAGTATGTGGCGCAGTATTTCAAAGGAGCTGGCTGGAAATCTGAAGAAATCATCCGGAACATGATAGTAAGCGACGACTTATACGGCAGCGAGATGGTTCAAGTCAAACTCCCGACATTACACAGCAGAAGATTCGTCATGGTTGGTGACGCTGGATATGCCTCTGGTCCTACTGGCACGGGAACCAGTCTTGCCCTCGCAGGCGCTTATGTTCTGGCTGGAGAAACAGGCAAACATCCCCACGATGTGGCAGCCGGGTTGAAAGGTTATGCACAGCAGATGCGACCACTGATTGATGAGATGCAAAAGGTCCCACTTTTAGTGCCTGCAATCATGGGGCCTCAAAGTGCCTGGGGAATTTGGCTCCGGAACAATATATTCGCTTTCATCTGCTGGAGTAATCTGCCAACGTTGATGCACAAGCTCTTTGGCGGCGCCTCTGCCCACGCTGATGATTTCAATCTGCCTGAGTACAAATGGGCCGCTTGATCATGGGAATTGTTTTCACTATGAATTGTCTTTGTACTTTACTCCCACCAATATCCTCATTGTTCGAGGGGGAAAACCCTGTTTAAAATTTCAACTTGTATTGGTACTCCCCTGACTTTCAAAGGACTACTTAATTTTCCACTATCTGGTGACAGTTGATGCTCTGTCGTTGCCGTAGTATCTCCCCTGCCACCGCCAAAAAAGATATCAAGTTGAAGGCCCGAAGTGGGACCTCGCCCAATCACTCAATGTTAACACTGATGGAATTTTTACCCCCAAAAGGCGAATCATACTTCGGATTTGGAACAAGTTAGTGTTGATTTTTCAGATGGTTGTGTTTATTTGACTTACCCAATAGGCCATTCGGGCAGGCTGGTGCCACAGCACGTAGTAGTAATCATGTGTTATAATCCCCACTGGCAGCATACATATTAGATAGAGACCGGAGTAACGGAGCTCTAAGCATATTTTATCATCATCTGGGCAGCCATTATACCTTGAATTCAAATGAAATTCCGAAGTTTTGCATAAAGTTGAGTTGAAGCTCAAATATCATCATGAACAGCGACTCAAACAAACAGTATTGATAATCCTAGTGGTAAGAAAGATATTGACACGGCCGCTCAACACCAACATATTTCACATGTGAGACGAAAGCAAGTCATCCACCTCAACGAAAGATAATATTACAGAAAAATCGCGCTCAAACAGACTCAAATTCGCAGTCGCATTCAGATTCATGAAGGAGATTCGTTGCTCGTGGCAGCCCGTCGACCCCATCCGCTAAAGAACCCTCCACCACCAGCACCAACATTGCTCGAGGTTCCAGGTGTCTTGATCGGTTCGGTAGGAGCCTTTGTCATACTTGCTCGAGAGGGCGAACGGCCGATGAATGAATGCCGATTCTCGAGGTTGGCGGCAGGATTAGAATGAGGTGCGCTGATCATCTTTCGCAGAGCATCCATCTTGCCTTTGACTTCTTCCAGTTCTTGTTTGGCAACCGCTTCTGCAGTTTTGGCATTGACAAGTTCCAGTAGGAGAGTTTCTTCGGCAGCAGGTTTGTGATTCTCCGTTGCCAATACACTTTGGAGACCCAGACTGCTGGAGCGCTTGTTGAACGTTGTTGGGCTCTTCTGCGAGTTGGTGCGCACCAATCTCAATTGTCGGAGACCGTTTGGTGACGCAGTTTCGTTAGATTCGGTCGGAGAGGTAGTCGTCTCGGGAGGTGTTGATGATTCTGCATTAAATGTCTTGAGACTCGGTGTCTTGTGAGATCGAAGCTCCTGGTTCATTCGCTCCAATCGCTGCCGATCGCGGTAGCCATCCTGGATCCGACCGCGAGCTTCACGAAGCTGATCTTTCAATGATGAATTCTCCTGCTCAAAGTCGTCCATTCGTCGCGTGAGATCCAAGCAACGACTGGCTTCTACCTCATGCATCTCCTTCCATCGGGTCATGTCATCATGTAGCTGGTGCTTCGTTTGGGTGATCGACGTTTGTTTCGGCTCGTCGGATGAGAAGCGGGCTTGGGCTTTGGAGACCAGCTCTTCGGGTTGATTCTCATTGGGCAGTTCTCGGAGGTGGCGGAGCATTTCTTTGGACAAAGCGTTATCCTCCTCTCGGTCCTCTCTTTCTTGTTGCAAATCGCGTGTTAGATCAGCATGCTGACGTTGAAGATCGCTCAGGGCCATCAGAAGATCTTCGATCTGGGTGTGGAGGTCGCGATCCTTGTGCTGAGCAGACATGTTGGATTTGACGCGTGTTTTATCCGTGCCTACCGTAGTAGTTGACAATTCCGTCGGGGCAGTGCTTGCGTCGGACGTTGTTTCGACCGAATTCAGCGTGGAAGTCATGCTTTGTTTCGAGGTGGATCGACGGATTGTGCTCACAGGCCGCGAAGGGCTCGAATTAGGGTTGAGAGATTTCATCGAGGTATGAGAACCGGAGCCGGCCCAGAGGCGGCCCAAGAAACGAGATGCCGTGGCCTGCATTTGAGGGAAAGAGATGCCAGTTGGAACACCCTGGGATTGGTTATAACTGGCTTCCAAGGCCTGGAGGCTTTCCTTTGTGACCAGTGAAGTTAGAGAAACAAAGTCATTGACCAGGTCATCTGCATTGAACGCGTATCTAAAGAAGAAGATTTGTTAGTACGCGAGCGTAGACGCGTCGAGAAGGAGAAGGAGGAGAAGAAGAACTCTACTCACGTATCCCAGAGACTGCGCGACAGAAGAAGTTGCATGACGTCTTCGAATTCGCTGCACGCCAAGATTCTCTTCTCGTTGCGCTGCATGAGGGAAAGAGCAACCCGCATCAAAGTCTCGCAGGCTCCTTCCAGGAAAATAACATCGTAAATACGAAGAAGCATGGGCAATGGACAGGCGACAGCGAAGAATGAGAGGAACCATTGGAGAGACATAGACTGGCTCGACATTTAATGACTCCAAGTGATCAAATAGAGCTGGACGGTGTCGTGCCAGGAGGTTCTGGAATTGATACACATGGAGATGCAGACCCGAAAGATCAGGTAAATAGCACATTCGAAGGTTGTAATGGTCCATCAATCTGGAAAGTAGTAAGCATTGTCATCAGCATAGCATCTAAGCTGGAGGGAATCATTGCAATCTTACCGGACAAGCACACAGAAAGCCTCCGCATCCGACATGTGCATGAGCAAGGGTCCGACAACAAAACCAAGGCCTTGACAATAACCAATCTTGGCATCATAAAGACTGAAGCATCTCAGTACTCGGGCCAACATTTGCTGGCCTTCACCATTGGGGTCCCGGAACATTTCAACATTTGGAAAGCTGCGGCCAATATCCTTTCCAATCAGCCCATCGTAGGGGCTACTTTCACCCGAAAGTCGCTGAAACTCATCGATCAAGGTAGGATCACGGGCTCCAGCCAAACTGGGCCACACAACCCCTCGGAGTGGCGGCGGGACACCCCCCTGTATCTTATTCGAGGTCAAAGTCGGCAATCGCTGCGCAGTTTGTGGGTAGTCTGCCACCAGTGCCGCCCAGAATTCCAACTCCGTCATCGGCGGTGGGGACAGCTGCGAGTATCGCAATTCTGATCGCGCTGGGTCATTTATCAACCGTTTGATCTGAATGAGCGACTGCGAGCGGGATTGCCGCTGGTGTCGGGGCGATTGGGGGACATTGTTGGACAGGCCGGATTTAGGGTTCGTGGCCAGAGCATTGTTTTCTTGTTCGAGACGAGCGAGTAATAGAGCCGTTGACTGTGAAAAGAAGGGGGGGAAGAATGTCAGCGACCGTTCAAACAAAACCTCAAGTTCTCCTTGTCACCTACATCATCTGAACCTTCTCCTCGTGGTTCTTTCTCTTCGGTCTTCTCTAGATTTGCCCAGTCCACCTCATTGTCGGTCTCCTCGACATGGACATGGTCCTGATCTCTCGTTGCCGTTGGGGTCGAGGGCTCGGAGACAGGGACTGGGGTTATCTTTGCGGCATCCTGCAGGGCCATCGGACCGAACGACTCGCCTTGGTGAGTGGTGTTCACCGGGGTTGAAGGAATATCCAGGTTGCACCACTCTGGTTGAGTGTGTTCGGAGCTCGATTGGTTATCAGAGAGGGCGACAGTAACCATGGAATCGTGGTTGGGAGCATGCGGCGCCGGGGAGGGGAGTTCGGAACTCTCCATAATGCGACACACGGGGGGATGGGAGAGGGGAGTAAAAGGATCGTCGACACGGGTCGATTAGACTCGGTAGGAAGATGATAGGACGATTGAGGGGATATGCAAGGCCAGCTTCATTTCTGTGGGGGAGTTTTAGGATTAGCTCAGGTACGGGCAGTGCAGCAGCACAACAAGATCCGGGGCAAGTTGGAGGCAAGTTTTGGATGAAGCATACCTTGAGGTGATCCAGCACCATATAGTTGAGGAAGAAGGCGAAGGAAAAGGGAGGACAGTCAAGACAATTCAGGACAGTCCACAGTCAGGAGAGAAACGGTGGATGGGACTATTTTGACTAGCCCCCCCCCCTTTCCCTTGACTAGCTTCCCCCTCCTGCAGTCTCGCCCCTCGTCGATCTCATACACCGACTGTTTGGCTAAAATTATGGAGCAGAGTACATATGTACGGAGTATGTGCGAGTACTCTACTGTCTTGGCTATTCCTCAATTCTAGTATTCTACACAATATGAACCTGACCAGGTCCTCCCCGGTCACAGTTCCTGCCTTCACCTTCACCACTCTTATCTATGTACTCGACACGGCCAGACACGATGTTTCAAGTATGAATCCATTATTCCAGCCCAATTTGTAATTGCAGCATGTCATTCATGACCTGCAGGTACCAACCTTAGAAGTATATGTACGGAGTATTCCGTACAGCCTCCAATATTGAACCATATTGGTTCAATATTGGAGGTGTGCCCAGGCTGCTGGGGTAATCATATTACGTTACGTGTGGTTTTGTCATTTATTCTGTATCTTATTGGTCTTAAATATACTTCCCGGTTTTTCATTGGTGGGGCTCTAATGTTCGGTATGAAACTGTGTGACACCCCCCCTAACCACCCTGTTTCATCTTGTTCAAGAAAAGGGGGGGAGTGTGTGCTGGAGATTTGGAGGCTGGCACGGAGTATAGAGAATATCAGACAGGGAACTCCGGAGTTCCTATCAATGCATTCGTTCAGTCATGAACCGCGCTGGACGGCGTATCCAGTTTTCTGAGGGGCCGCTGTCAATGCCCTTTCCCACCTGGGGATTCAAGTTTCTTGGTGGATCTGCACTGGCCCAGCCGTCAGGGTGATTATCCTCCGAGCTAGTGGAGATTTGGACTCGAGAACAGCTTCTAGAAGACCGTGGCACTAGTATGCCCTAATCAAAGGCCTCCAGGGCTGGAAGGAGGATTGCAATTCATATACTCTGTGTCCAATACTGAACATAAAATGCATTCTCTGGTGTCTATTCCATGGTTACTTTGTCATACTTGGTGCCCAGTTGAGTACAGACCTCGGGAGTAATTTCCGAAAACCATGCAAGGGTGAGGCTGGAATACAGTGCGCCTGGGCAGTACTCTCACACACTCACTCACTGGCAATTCTTGCCAGCCCCGCCTATGTACTACAAGTACACATAAAAGTGCAAGCCTAAGCCCAGCACATCAGAGAAAAGTGAGTGGGTGACGTAGCAGATGTCGAAGATAAATAAGGATCCAATAATTGGTGTATGCTCAGGTGTATTGATGGCAGCCCTGGAGTGTGACTAACGACTACTCTTATCACTAGGGAACTGCTATAAATATATAAAGTATTGTAGTTGTACCTGGGTGCTAGGTAGATAGTAGGTCTTGGCCACTATATAGTGCACAGGTCACTCTTAAGTTATTTACTATATATTAGAGGACAGTTATATACGTATGTTAGTATATATATCTGTTAGTACCTGTTAGCCTCAGTTGTATCTCTTAATATCACCTTTGGCTGGTCTTCTCCAAGATGACGCGCCTTTGTTTGTTTGTTTACTCGTACAGCGGGGCGAAAGCGGTGAACGAGGGAAGATTGATGATCCGACCCTCCGAGTGGCCACAACACTCACCGCCCGACTGAGCAGGCGCGTTTCATCGGGGGGCGCCAAACGGAAAATAGCAACAGAACCAGAACGACTACACATTCCTCCCATCTTCTCCCCTTTACCCCCTCCTGACAGAGCATGTTGGGCTTTGGTCAATCTGTCGCGTAACTTTACACCTTTACCGACCTGATTGCCCCCGTCATTCGTTTCTCTACCGGTCTGATCCCGATTCCGTCGGCTTTTCAGCTCCCGGCCCTCCCATCATCACCATGGACGACTCGGTCATGGATGACGATATCTTTGATGTCGAGAGCGATGCTGCCAGCTCCGATTTTGTCCCTGAGCCTGCGCCTGTATGCATATTCCCCTTGCGCGTCGAACCAATCCCTCGTGTACTAACACTCTGCAATACAGAAGCCCAAGGCGAAAGCAGCTCCCAAGAAGGCCGTCGCCAAACCGGCGGCGAAGAAGCAAACTACCCTAACTGCGACCAAGGCCAAGGCCGCCCCGAAGAAGAAGGCCAAGGTCGACAGTGAAGATGAAGTTTCTGACGTGCAAATGTCCGACGACGACTCGCTCTCCCATACCCCTCCCAAGGCGAAAAAGCCCGCTGCCACCAAGCGTGCCGGCTCCAAGCCTCTCGCAGACGTGGAGAATGAGTCTCATGGAGATGGGGCTCCCGATCCCCCAACAGGTAACAATGGTGATAAATACCAAAAGGTGAGTTACACACACAACATTGAAACCAGAAGAGCTTGACTGGAGTGTTGTTACTAACCTTGATCCGGTCTTAGTTGACACAACTCGAACACATCATCAAACGTCCCGACACATACATTGGCTCCATTGAGGCTACCCAACAACAAATGTGGGTCTTCAACTCGGAGACCGAGTCCATGGAATTTCGCAATGTGACCTTCGTCCCCGGCCTGTACAAGATCTTCGACGAGATCGTTGTCAACGCCGCCGATAACAAGCACAATGACAAAAGCATGAACGAAATCCGCGTCACCATTGACCGCGAAAAGGGCGAAATCAGTGTCTGGAACAACGGACGTGGTATTCCCATCGAGATTCACTCCAAGGAGAAGATCTTCGTACCGGAACTGATTTTCGGAAACTTGCTCACATCCTCAAACTACGATGATACCCAGAAAAAAGTGACTGGTGGTCGAAACGGTTACGGTGCCAAGCTTTGTAACGTCTTCTCTACCGAGTTCACCTTGGAAACCCAAGACTCAAACCAGAAGAAGAAGTACAAACAAACCTGGACAGATAACATGAGCAAGATGGGCAAGGCAAAGATCACCGATGTCAGCAAGGGTGATGACTACACAATGGTCACCTTCAAGCCAGATTTTGCCAAGTTCGGCATGGAAGGCATTGACGATGATTTCGAGGCGCTCGTGAAGCGCCGTGTCTATGATTTGGCTGGTACGGCGGGTGTCACTGTCAAGCTGAACAAAATACGTGTTCCCATTCGCAACTTTAAGTCATACATGCAGATGTACACCAAAGCCATTCGCCGTGAGCGCGGAGACGACGGTCCGGCTCCCAAGGATGAAATTCTCACCTGTAACCCCGATCCTCGATGGGAGATTGGTTTCTCCGTTTCGGATGGCGCTTTCCAACAAGTATCATTCGTCAATTCCATTGCTACTACCTCCGGTGGAACTCACGTCAATTACATCGCTGATCAAATCTGTAACCGACTGGCTGATCAGGTGAAGAAGAAGAACAAGACCGGTGCCACGTTGAAGGCGGCCCAAATCCGTAACCATATCTTCATTTTCGTCAATGCTTCGATCGTCAACCCGGCCTTTACCTCCCAGACAAAGGAGCAATTGACCACAAAGGCAAGCCAATTCGGTAGCAAGTGTATTCTGGAAGAAGATTTTTACAAGAAAATTTTGAAGACTGAGGTGATGACCAACATCCTGCATTTCGCTGCTCAAAAGGCGGATCAAATCTTGAAGAAAAGCGATGGCGGCCGTCGTACCCGCATGAACAACCCCAAGCTCGTGGAAGCCAACAAGGCAGGCACTCGAGACGGTCACCACTGTACCTTGATTCTGACTGAGGGTGATTCCGCCAAAGGTTTGGCTATGGCTGGTCGTGCTGTTGTCGGTCCCGATCTTTTCGGCGTCTTCCCACTTCGTGGAAAGCTGCTTAATGTTCGCGATGCGTCGTTTGACCAGATCTCCAAGAACGCCGAGATCCAGAACATTAAGAACTTCATTGGCTTGCAGCACAAAAAAGAATACACAGAGACCAAGGGTCTTCGATACGGCCACCTCATGATCATGACGGATCAGGATCACGACGGTAGTCACATTAAGGGGTTACTCATCAACTTCCTCCAAGCACAATTCCCCAGTCTTCTCAAGATCCCCGAGTTCCTGATCGAGTTCATCACCCCCATCATCAAGGTGTGGAAAGGAGATCCAAAGAACCCCACAAAATCACGATCGTTCTTCACCATGCCCGAGTATGAGGATTGGCTTGAAACCCACAGGGGAGAACGTGGTTGGGACCACAAGTACTACAAGGGTCTAGGAACCAGCTCGACAACGGACGCCCAGATCTACTTCCGCGATCTTGATCGCCATCTCAAGGAGTTCCACACCATGCAGGACAACGAGGCTGAGCTCATTGAGCTCGCTTTCTCGAAGAAGAAGGCCGACGAACGTAAGGAGTGGCTACGCCAGTTCAAGCCGGGCACATACCTGGATCACTCGGCGTCTAAGATCTCATACACTGATTTCATCAACAAGGAACTCATTCTGTTCAGTATGGCAGATAACCAGCGTTCCATTCCATCGGTCGTCGATGGTCTCAAGCCCGGTCAACGCAAGGTCCTTTATGCTTGTTTCCGCCGTAATCTGAAGAAGGATATGAAGGTCGTTGAGCTGGCTGGTCTTGTTTCAGGAATGACAGCCTATCAACACGGTGAAACCTCCCTTCAACAAACCATTGTCGGTCTGGCGCAGACCTTCGTTGGCTCCAACAATATCAACTGCCTTGAACCTAGCGGTAACTTCGGTAGTCGACTTCAGGGAGGTAGCGACTGTGCCAGTGCTCGTTACATTTACACTCGTCTCTCGCCCTTTGCCCGCAAAGTGTTCCATACTGCCGACGAGCCGCTACTGAAATACAACGAAGACGATGGCAAGAAAATCGAGCCCGAGGTCTACATGCCCGTGGTACCGATGCTTTTGATCAATGGTACCGATGGTATTGGAACCGGTTGGAGTTCATCCATTCCCAACTACAACCCCGAGGATGTGGTGAGCAACTTGCGACGCTTGATGGATGGCGAGCCAACCCAGCCGATGCAGCCTTGGTTCCGTGGCTTCACGGGTGAGGTCGTGGATATGGGCGGCGATCGATGGAAATTCAGTGGTATCATCAAGGAAACTGGCGATAAAGAAGTTGAAATTACCGAGTTGCCCATCCGCACCTGGACTCAGGACTTTAAGGACAAACTCGAAGATATCATTAAGGCTGACAAGGTGCCTTCCTTCATCAAGGACTACAAGGATTACAACACCCACGACAAGGTTCACTTTGTGATTCAACTAGACGAAAAGAACTTGAAGTCCGCCTTGTCCGATGGCTTAGAAGACAAGTTCAAGCTCACCAAGAGCATCGCCACCAGCAATATGGTCGCCTTTGACCCCGAGGGTCGTATCACCAAGTACGCCAGCGTGGATGATATTCTTAAGGAGTTCTACCATCTTCGCCTCAAGTTCTATGAGCGCCGCAAGCAGCACCAGCTGAGCGAGCTTCAAAAAGATCTTGAGAAGTTGAGTAATCAGGCTCGCTTTGTTCAGATGATCATCGACGGAAAGCTGGTCATTTCCAAGAAGAAGAAGTCCGCCCTAGTCAACGAGTTAAAGGAGAAGGGCTTCAAGGCATTCGCCAAGGTGGCGGATGCTGTCAAGATGGGCGAAGACGAAGCCGTTGTTGAAGAGGGCGAAGAAGACGCCGACGCCGACGTTGAAGTCTTGTCAAGCTCTTACGATTACCTGCTCGGCATGGCTCTATGGTCTTTGACCCAGGAACGTGTTGAGAAGCTTCGTCGTCAGATTGGCGACAAGGAAACCGAAATCGATGCTTTGATCAAGCTTTCCAAGGAGGACATCTGGAGACATGATCTCGATGAGTTCATCAACGAATGGCGCTTCCAACTCGAAGATGAAGATCGTCGTATCCGCAAAGTCCGCAACATGGATCGCCGTGCCTCTTCCAAGCTTATGACGGGCTCGGGCCGTGCTCCAGCCTCCCGCAAGCGCAAGGCTGCGGCGACTGGTGATGACCCTGATGATGAGGACTTCGCTGCCCCTAAATCCAAGAAGGCAGCTGCAGCTAAAAAAGCTAAGCCGACCAACAGTCTCGCTAACTTCCTCAATTCCAAGCCAGAAGACAAACCAACACCATCGGGAGATGGGGCCGCTGATTCCGACGACGATTTTGAAATGGAAGTAATGCCCAAGAAGAGTCGCGCTGCTGCGAAGCCCAAGCCAAAACCCAAGGAAGAGGAAAACGGCGACGACTTGATGGATATCGATGAAGCTCCTTCTCGCGCATCAGCCCAACCAAAGGCCGAGCCGGATATTTTCGATATCGACAGTGAGCCTGAGGCCAAACCTGCGCCAAAGCCCAAGCCTGCGGCTAAGCGGGCACCCAAGGCCAAGGCTGAGCCTGATCCTTTCGAGATCGACAGTAACAGCGAGGCCGAAGCTGAGCCTGAAGCTGAGCCTGCCCCAAAGCCCAAGCCCGCGGCCAAACGCGCAGCAGCCAAACCAAAGGCAAAGCAGCCTGTCGACGACGGATCGGATGACGATTTCCTCGAAATCGCCAAGAGCGAAGCTGCAAAGCCTGCTGCTGGAAGTCGCTCTCGCAAGCCAGTCAAATATTCTGCCCCCAGTGACTTGGAGAGTGATGGGGAAGACATGCTTGGAGACGTTAGCCAGATGGTCAAGGGAATCGGTGGTGCTGACTCGGAGCCCCGCCAACTCTTCTCAGAGCGTTCTCGTGCCGGAAGCAGTGCAAGTCTGAAGGCTAGTGGTGCCATGTCCCCATCGAAGTCGCCCTCCAAGGTCAGCGAATTCGATCCAGACGAGACGGATTACACCAAGCTCATTCCTTCGAAGTCTCCTCGACGCTCGCTGCAGATCAAGCCTAAGGATTTCTCCAGAATTGAAGACGATGAGGAGGAGGAAGAAGAAGAGCCGGTCAAGCCTGCTCCCAGGGCCAAGGCTGCCCCCAAGGCTAAGGCCGCTCCCAAGGCTGCAGCTGCAAAGACCGCTCCAAAGGCGGTCCCAGCCCGTGGCCGTGCAAAGAAGGTTGACGCCCCTGTGGCCTTGTCGCCAGCGGCCAAGGCTTACGCTTCGAAACAGGCCAAGAACACGAAGAAGGTGACGGATGATTACTCAGAAGATGACATCGACGCCATGGCCAACGACATCTTGGATTCGCCTGCCGGCAAAGCGAATGATGACTCTGAAGATGACGAGCCGGTCGCCCCTAGACGAGGCGCCGCCGCCCGACCTGCCCGTCGTGGTGCAGCGCAGGCCAAGAAGAGTTATGTCATTGAGGACGACGAGAGTGAAGAGGAGTCGGAAGATGACTTCGACGATGATGAGAGCGATTAAGCAAGTAATTGTTGTTGTGTGTTGGAGTGATTTTTCCTTGAGACCGATTCTGATCTTTACCCATTATTTTCTTAGCTCTTTTACCTTTCCTTCATACATGTCTTTTTTAGTTGATGATAGGCAGAGCCGGCGTTTATCAAGATGCGTTTACAATACTATTCTGCATATTTGAACCAGATCGAAATACATAAGAGAAAAATTATACGTATGATACCTCGACGCTCTAGTAGTACTAGGGATAGAATGCCCGCTGTCTGCTGCTGCACGCTATCGTCGTAACTTGATCCTTGTACTGAAACCAAAGTCCATTCACCGAGGTAAGCTATGAAGCGAGAATTACACGATCCCCTTCACTATGAACATAGAAAAACGCCAGAATCCACCCATATCACCCCCAAACGCCAAACCAGTCTAGAGCCACCGTCCATTCCATGCAAAAAACTCCAGCAAATTTAAACAACCCCCAGGCATGCTGGACACACGTCCTCGCCCTCGTCCTCGTGTTGATACACATGGTCCGGCCAGGTGCTCTACACAGATGCACGGCGTCTTTTCCGCCCGCCATCACCCTGGTCCAAAACACGCCTAAGACGACACATATCAGAAGAAGACCCATCAGGCATCGCCACATCCCCGTCCTCGTCCTCGTCCTCATCACCGCCCGTGGCCTCCTGCATATGCAAATGAATCAAAGCATGCGCAGCCTTGACCTCCTGTGCGAAATGCTTCGAAACAGGCGGGGAATGGATGGTCCTCGCTTTGGCATTTGCAGAGCGCGGGGGGGGATCTCTTGGGTTTCTCTGTGTCCGAGACAGCACCGCTTCCAATCGAGGAGGGTGATTCGAGCTCGCGCCAGTCTTCATCCTGCTCGTCATCGACGGAGTCGATTTCAACCGAGTCACTCGTACCATCTGTATCGGAATCGTCGTATTTTCCCGCCGCCGAGGACTTCTCAATCATACGGTTGATTCTCTTATTGACCGGAGAGAATTTCGGGGCTTGGGGAGAATATCGTTCCTGGCTCGCTGACGAAACCGCCATATCAAGCTCGCTATCAGCATAGCTATGACCCTGGAGGCTCTTTAGGTCTGAACCTAAACTCGAACTCGCCGCACGCGAAAGAAAGGCCTCTGTCGGAGAAATATGTGAAGAAGCATGTGATCGAGGGACATTAACAGGCGTGAAGCAGTTAGGGCCCGGACCCGGACCCGGACTCGAAGGGGACATGCAGTATGGTTCAGATGACGAGCCGTGCGTACTTGCAATACTATCAGCATAATTACGCCGAGGTAATTTGTACGCGCGAGATCTGTCTTCGTCCAGGAGGGCTGGCGGGCAGATGGGCATTTCAGCTCTCCATACTGGAGAAGCAGAAGAGGCCGAGGAGGAAGCACAAGTACTCGTGCTCTCTGTGCCAGCCAGGGCGTCTCCGGAAATTTCAAGAGAGCGGTAATAGTGCGCTGTTCTGGTGGCGCGTTCTATCACGCTCTGATCTAAGACCATGTTGCCGAAGTTTTCGTGTCCTTTTTCTAGACACATGCTTGGAAATTCCGTGCCGAACATTGGGGTTAGGGCATAGCGGATGGGATAGCAGAATCTGGCTGCTAGTGCTCGGGCGGCCTCGAAGGGCATCCAATATCCTGTAATACGGGTTAACCTGGTGCCGTACAGTGTCTGGGAAAGGGATTTAAGTACCTTGGGCTGCGATTGCTCCTCCAGTGATGCTGTGGCAGATGTCGCGTAGTCCGGGATTCTGAGCAAGAGCTTTGGCTGGGGTTGTCTAGAGCCGAGCTGTTAAAGACTGACAGTTTTATACTACTAATTATCCCCTTCATGCAGAAAATAGAAGAACATACCTTTGTATAACCTAGTGCTTTAAATAGGTGGGTGATTCGAACGAGTCCGATGTTATAATCCCACATCATAATCCAGCTCTCTCCTGAGTCCCCGTATCGGAATGTGTACTGATACACTGAGTGCAGACACTTGATTAGCATAGAAAATCAACGGCTAAATTGAGAAATACGTACCCTCAAATTTACTGCGACCCGTCTTCTCTTCGAAGGACTTTTTCTCGCTTCTATAAGGAATAGTTCGAGGATATTTTCCAATATTCGCATCCGGCTCCATGGGAAATAGTTCCAATCGTCGATGCTCCTCAGCAATTGGATCGGGACGGTCTTCACAGGGAGGATAGCGAATCTCGCCTTGTGGGTCATTTGGCTTAAAAATGGGAGCATCTTTGGGGATTTTGTATTTCACTGGGATCTTGTGGCGCCCCGGATGTAGACTTCTTGCCATGCTTATGTTAGGGAAGGTGTATCGAGCACCAAATCCAGGAGGGGTATGCACGGGAAATTTGGGGGCCGGATTCAAGAGAGACTTGATCGATGCCATTGATGAAGAAGAGATTCAAGCGAGGGTGAGAAGGGTAGAGAAAAGAAAAGATTCGGGGAAGGAGGGACTCAAAGTTGAATCAATTCAGAGTCAGATGGAAGAGAAGGGAAATAGAGGGGGAGGAGGATGAATGTAAATGGCAAATGACAAATGATGTAGAACAAAAGGCGTTTTCCAGAAGGCCTACGAAAGACACACTGGATGCCTCCGCAAGGCACAGCCCCGGTTTGATATCGCCTCCTTCGCCTTTGTCTCCAGGTTTGTCCCGTATCTTTAACGAGGGTGATTACAGTCCTTGTTTGACCTTGTGAGCAAATTATTGTCTCTGTATTGATCCAGATTTTTGATGAAACGAGACACGCGATGCGTTGTCGAGAAGATGAGAGAGCAAGAAAAGCAGGGAAGGGGCAAATGCCGCCTAGCGGTGTATAGTACACTCGGGAGTAGCGTATCTGGAATGCCTTTTCGTCCTTGGGCGATCACCTCACCGATATCTTGAGAGCATCACGAGGGCTATTCAAGTCGGACAGGTTCACTGGGAGTGGATATGTTTGTCTCTCCTCGTCGGCTTGGGGGTCTACTCCCCCTCCATCGAAGATCTTCGACTCTGGACTGACCGCTATGCTGTGTACATGCTGTCATCGATCTCCACCATTGATGCACCTGGATGAGAGGGGTGGGCATGAGTGAGTGCTCTAGAATGAAACCCGTGTCTCCAAGCTTCGAGGCCTCGCTGGTTTCACTACCGCAGATGTGGGTACCCAAGACCTGGAAGCCCAAAGCACGAAGTGCCCATGGGACCTTGTCTGGTACCATGTGGATATCCTGCACTACTGCTCTTTGGAACAGAAGGAGCATCATACTTTTCCACCGCCTAATTCTCACCTCTATGTATTTATATGCATGCAAACAGACCGTTGCGGTAGTCTGCACATGATATAAGCAAAAGAGAGTGGCCATAACAAACCCTAGTCCTAACCGCTCTTCTAGCTGCTTGTCTACAATGGCGCCAACCTCTCCCGGACCCGTTTTTCTTTTTGTGTTTGGGAATACAACCGGTATGATAGAACCTTGATCGAGCCTCTGTCCCATCAGATCATCTTTATCGACGCGAGACACTACTGGAGAACCAAAATTCTACTACAGCCGGAGAATTTACTAGGGGGGAAACCTCGTAACCAATCAGTGGATTGGCCGCCGCATGGTGGCTCGATGAGACGGACATCAAAGAGGTCTGAGACCTCGGCAAGCTGCAGGGAAACTTATTCCTTGTATGACGGACAGTTGCAGGCTCCGCTGGCGAATCCCTCTACGGCCGGGAAGTTGTCTTGGACAAAGTAATGCTGCAAGTAGAAGATAAACTTCTGACCGGATCCAAAGGGAAGGGAGGTGAGGACGCTTACACTTACAGCGCTGGGACCTTTGTTAAAGAGTTGACTCATGCGGATCACATCGTCCTCTCACAGATACATGCCTCAAAGGCCCCTTTCATTTCCATGAGCCGCAGCTGTAGCCGTGTCTAGGAAGTTGCGTCTCAGCTCTCGCGTTGTCTCGGTAGCAAGCCATAATCATGATCGCACCCGACGAGACCGCTCTTTCAGTCTATGTTTAGGCCGCATCGTAAAAAGGTGGATCGGTTCAGAGCCTCAAGGAGGAAATTCCAAAGAAATTTCCATGCATGCTTCTCTGCAGAAATCCGACACGTTGGTGGCTGTTGGAAAAATCAACTTTTTTTCCCTGTTGACCGTTCCTAGTCCGGGCATTAGTTGGTGTCATATCCCAGTATGCCACATTGACTTTCCCTCCGGTCCGTTCTTCAAAGCTTCCCCATTGTACCCACTTTCATCATGCGGGCTGGATAAGTTCCGAGCAGGTACAGGGGCATACCTTTCGACTAATAAGCATGGGGCAGATCCGCATTCGGGAGTACAGCATCAACGGTACAGGCGTCGACCGTTGGGATACATCACAATCTAATGATCAAGTCGAGGCTACATGACCGAATCAGGAAATTTCAGAAAAAAGAACTTACAATAATACGATACTTATTACGACCAGCAAAACGGTCTTGTCTTGGGGGGGGTATATACGCAAGAGTCAGCCAGAAGCCCAACCGTACGAGTCTGAGACTAAGGAAAGTCTAGAAGAAAAGGCTGCGATTTTAATGTCTAAGACAGCCAGTTGATCAACCATGATACTATTGGTCTCTCAAAGAGCGGTATGTTTGATACTACGTGCTCCTCGATGTGAGGCTTGACTGTTTCTCGGGGTTCTGGAAAAGGGGGATGAAGGGAGGCTGTCGGTTTCAACTGGCTGTAAATCCTTAGGTTCGAGCTCTTCCAGCATTCATTTAACTCTGTTATTCTGACAGAATTTTCGAAATATTCAAAGGGAGAGGTTGTATATCGGAATTTTCTTTTCTGGGGCCCTGTAGGCACCGCATGTCCACTTGTTTCGAATCGTCAATTGACTAGTCCTGCATAAGCAAACGAAACAACACCGGTCTCGATTTCCATTTACCCTCGAGACTCGACGTCGAATAGCTAACATCATAGTTACTGCTGAACTTCAATACATAGCTTCATCTCGTCGACATTCTGAATTTGAGACTATTCTCTCGGTGCCCACCCATACACGCAACATCCGCCTCAACATCCCGACAACATTGGGCAGACTACCGTCAAACCTAGACTCACTAGAGAAGATACCTGTACGACTAAGCTCAGACCGAGATCCGGGGAAGATAAAATACATCCAATTTACCACAATGTCACGGTGCAAAGACCTCCGCGCCCATAGCCACGCTGAAGAAGAAATGTATAGTAGTATGGAAGAAACAAGTGCGCTACAGTCAGCCCAAATCAAGATGCGGAGAGTTGGGGCCTGGATGGCTAGGGCTAGTCGTCCAAGATGAAACGCAACGGCCCTCGTACGGGCGGGGCTTGTTACGCATGCAGGAGAGCGAGGCATTACCAACTTGTGCGCGAGCGAGGCCCATCTACTCTGCCCTGCACGGCCCGTAATGAACAATGGCAATCTTGTTACGGTCGAGTCGAAGCTCCTGCAGATAAGATCTAGGTAGCTTCCGTCAGCCTTCTAGATCAGCTGCGCTGCATGGCAAGAGTCGTACGTAGGAGAGATGGATTCCCGATGGGGGGCTCGAGGACCGGAAGACTGCAGAAACGGCCCGGGAGTTGGAACTATGATGGGGGGAGTGAAGAAACGTCAAATTCATGAGATTATTTTAGGACAATTGCATTAAAACAATATGGACCCGAGAAGAATAAACAAATGCGGTGATGAAGGTGAAGGTAAAGGTAAAGTAAAGAAGGGGGTAGGTAGAAGGCAGAATGGACAAGCAAGAGAAGAATGTGTAGGTGATGTGAATAAAAGAATCGCAAGAGACATGAAAATTATTTCATCACCCGAGCGTTCCACATAGTGTTCGTCATCGGTGCTAGGATCGCGGATCGAAGGGCCCAATATACAGTCCAAAATGTGACCAGACAAATGATATGGAGAGCCCCGCAAACAATCCCGCGAGCCGTAAAACAGAATTCGCTGAGAGATGATACGGTATATGCCGTTCGTGTTCTCATCGAATCATCGACAGATAATCGTGGGCAATCGTCAAAGCCCTAGCGTCTTACAAGACACCCGGATCGCCAAGGGGCAACTTTAAACCGCCAGAAGAGGCTCGCGCTCCTCCTCCTTCTCAACCGACTCAACGGGATGAGAAATAGGCTCGGAAACGGGCTCAACCTTGGGAGCTTCCGGGAAGTCCTCAGTCTTGATGATGGGCTCGGGGTTGGCATCGCCCTTGACAATCGGAGAGACGAGCTTGGTCTTGGTTGCCTCGGGAGAGGCAGAGCGACGGCCAATGTACTCCTGGGCCTTGGAGCTGTAGTCACCAACATATTGCTTCATCAGACCGGTAGCGTGGGAGGTGTGCTCGCCAGCCAGGTCCTTCAGCTGGTTGGTCTGGGAGCTGATGATGGCCTGGAGGTTTGCGATCTGCTCATCGATGATCTCACGGTTGCTGATGTACACAAGAGGGCCGAAGTAGGCGGTGGTTACGGAGATCACGGCGAGTCCCCAGATCGGAACGAAGCGGATCAGCCAGTAGCCAGTGAAGGTAGCGGTGAAAGCCTACAGCTTGTTAGAACACTTCCTTTTTGTCTGTCCAGAGGGAAAGTTTGGCATTGACATACAGCAATGGTGTGAACGACATTCTCGGCGAACAGAATACGCTGGAACTCAATCAGGAAGAAGTCGAAGAGCTGGGAGATGTCCTCGAGCACGGCCTCGTGGGTTTCCTTGGGGATGGTATAGTAGCGACGGGGGCGGAATGAGCTGGCGATGCCCTGCTTAAGGATCACAAGGCCAGCGACTTCGACGGCGGCAGTCACTGGGGTACTTTGTTAGCGGACGGCTCAAGGTTCCCCGTGGGATCACACCACCCGGTCACGCGACCAACTCACATCCCAACGACATGTACAGAAACTTGAAGGCCCAGCGGAGGAGGGGCAGGTAACGAGCGGCGAAGATGAATCCGATGACACTGGCGTAAGACACAGCGGTCGCGCGGGGTTGCTCCCACTATATGCAAGAGGAGGTTAGAAGCGAGCCAGGCGCAATCCCCCCCACGGGACCACAACACAAGGTAGATTCGGGTCCAGACTCACGCTCAAAAGGCTGTACAGCAGGGAGTGGTAGTCTGCGCAAGGGTCAGTTACATGTCTGATGGTTTTTATTCGGTTGCCCTCTCTGTGGGGGGGGTGTTGTGGGAGCTTGGCCGGAACGTACGGGTCAAAGGCTGGCCATTTTCGGTAGTGGTGGAGGGGGGTGACACGCGAGTTCTTGAGGTCGCGAAGCTCTCCGCTGGTCTTGGAGGCTTCGGACTTGACGCTATCGACAACGGGGCCTAGAACAAAAGCACGTCAGACAACTGTAACGCGCTAAGAAAAGCCCCCCTTTCTCATGGGGTCATTACCCTTGGTGACAGTATCACGAATGCCTGAAGCGGAGAAAATCCAGGGTTAGTGGGATTTGAACGTTCTGAATGGAGATCGACGGGAAGCGAGAGGGAAGGAGATTGAATAATACTGCAGGAAACAGGAGTGGTTAGCATGAATCTGCAGGCGAGTCGGGAGGAGTCGGCTGTTGTGAGTTCGGCGTACCTTACTACCCGTGTTGGGGTAGCTCACATCACCAGAATCGGCCATGGTGTTGGGAAATGTGATGAATCTGAATCTGAATCTGAATCTGAAAGGGGAGAAGAGAAGAGAAGAGGGAGGTGAATATGAGGGTGAAGTGGAGGTAGGAGGCGGAGTGTGGGAGGGAAGAAAAAGAAAGCAGGGAAAGATAAGGAAACGAAAAAGGGTTTGTGATGTCAACCGCATGTGCAAATCCACTGGGGGCAAGTGCGGTCCGCCAAGCCTGGTTAGGCCTGGTTAGGCCTGGCCTGGGTAGCTCCTGCCGAACTGCACTTGCTACCATAGTTGCTACTACTAGTAGTACTACTAGTAATGATGTCAGCACTGGTGATGCACACATATCAGATCAGGTTAACACTTAAGGATACGTAACCCTAGGATGCTCATAGAATACATGATATTGCATAAATCAGTTCTCCCTGCCTACTTTGGACAGATCAATTCCCTTTTTTCTGCTTCCATTTCCTCCTCCCGCTCACTAGTCTTCCTTCACCATTTGCCGGATTCTCTGCACTCCCGGCTGCTTCTCCCATCCCGGGTGGATCGCAAGGACCGCTTGGAGCTGTTGGTTGGCAATCGCCATGTTGCCATCGGTGCGTGCACAATGTGTCTCGACAAACTGCTCGTGAATTCCAGGCATCGAAATTGCCGCCTGGAAGAACATTCGATCTTTGGATCCGTGAAGCAAGGTCGAAATAGTGCTGTCCAGCTGTCTCTCTTTTTCCTTCTTTCGGATCACACCTTCCAGATATGCACGGTCTTGCTCGAAGTTCTGCCCTTCCTGGACCCAGTCATTTTTCCATCCCGGTATGTCTGCCATAAACCACGGATGATGAATTACAGAGGGTAGTGGTCCGAGATAGAGCCAATCCCAGTCAATCACCCTAAGTCCAAATTGTCAGCTGATATACAGAGCAGGGAGGGAGGGAGAGGCACTCTAGTAAATGCCAAAGGTTGAGCTTACCCTGAGAGACGAATGTCTAGATCCACCAGGATGTTATGAACGTTCAGATCCCCGTGAGCAATACCGATGCTGCTGTACTCATCCACCGCAACAGAATAGGAGGGGATCATGGATCTCATGACAAGATATTCCAAGGCATCTCCCCAGCGTGATTCTCCGGAAAGGGTCCGGTTGAGCTGTCGGTCAATCGCCTGCGTCAGCCATTTCGAGTAGGGCACCACCGGGGCTGGGTACGGTGAGGCTGGAGCTGGGGTCGACCATAGCAGCAGAAGAAACTCGGCAAGATCCTCAAGGAAATATTGACGGGTCTTGATCGGGATCTGAAGGTCCCATCTGCTCAACGGCTCACCATCCATCCAATCCATGAACCAGACGGGGTGCTTTGTGCCGTGAACGGTGGGGGCTCGAATGTGAGGATGATGTCGTTTGATATGCTGCAGTGTCTTCACGGCTCGTAGTTCAGCGGGCCAGTCATGGGCATCTCGGCAGATTCGAAGGGCCCATTCAGTTGAATCAGCAAACTCGAGTTTGAAGACGTCGTGGGTTCCGCCTCGGAGAGGGGAATCGTAATCGTTGGGCAGTCGACATTTCATACCAGAGTGAAGACGAGAGGCTTCTGCTAAAAGACCGGGTAAGTTTGGCATTTTGCCTGTTGGGTCCAAAGGACCTGACATGAGATGGAAATGCTGAAGTGAAGTGGTAGTGGTAGATGAAGAAGAGGTGAAAGGGGCGAAAACAAGAGGGAAGAGGGAAGTGAGGCACAGTGAAGGTGAGGTGGATGGCTAAATGGGAAGGACATTGGACTGTTGAACTTATCCTCATTCTCAGGGAAGGAACGACCCTGCACACTGAAAATGGACATGCCATCCCACTCAGTAGAACAGGAAGGACATGTAGATACTAGTAGTAGTATTCATAGATACTACTAGTAGTCTGGGGGGTTACCCTGTACTATAAAGAATGATCTTGTTTTGGTCTAATTATCAGTATATTAATATCTGATAACTAACTAGAACTGGATGTTACTACTAGTAGCTACTACTAGTATACAGATGGCACTCTATACTTATAGGTGGATCCCACGTGACTGCGCGTTACCGAGTTGGGATCTCTGTTTACCACTCCCACTCCCACTCCATCTCCATCTCCATTCTCGACACCTCAACACCTCAACACCGCCGCCCTTTGACTGCTGCTCTCACTCATGATTTTCCAATAATTGATCCCCCTGTGCGGAAGCTCTTTCATCGTTTTTTTTTGGGCGCCCCTTTGCCCCCGACTCTCCTTGACTACCGAGTCCCCACTACGCGTTTGTTTACATCATGGCTGCTGCTGGCGCGAGGGCGCAAAAGCCCGTTGGTTCCGCTGCCTGGATCGCCACGGAGAAGGAAAATGTGGCGGAGATGGTCGAGCAAGAACTGGAGGAAGTGGAATACCCCGTCCGTCATGAGATGGACTGGCTCAATGAGCACATGACCGAGATCTTCTCCAAGGGCCAAGCGTGAGTCGCGACCGGTCGCTCACCCGCCAATTTTGACCTGGTGCTAATAGGTGATCCAGAAACTTTACCGATGTATTCAAAACCCCCGGTAAAATGCGAGGGAAAACTCCTCGCACGGCTCGCAAGCGAAATGTGGAAGATGATCGAGTCGTAAGTTCTGCGCGCCGGCCTGTGTGGGATGGGATTGCCTCCAGCCGGAGTGAAAAGCTAACCATGAAACAGCCACTGAGTGAGATTTTCTCCTCCTCCCACAAGCAAGTGGAAAACAAGGCTGTAAGCCCGAGTCCATTTATTCATCGTGTCATATCGAAAACCGCTGCGCCCGCGGCAGTTGCCCCTCCCCGCCTCAAGGAAGCCGAGGTGCCATCGCAGCCCCAATATCCAGATCTCAGCCAGAACTTGAACTCCTTCCAAAAATATAACACCGACTCCGGCTACCATGGAATGGAGGATGAAGAGGTCGACGACGACGATGATGATGAAATGGTGTTGCCCGATACACAGCCAGAACCAGAGACCGCCACACAACCATTCGAAGTGGATGAACCAGCGAGATCGAACTCCCGACCTGAGCTTTCAGCCAGTCAACGAACAACAGAAGACTCTTTCGTCTCAGCTCAAGAGAACGTCCGCGCTCGAGGAGAGACTATCGAACCAATGAATCTGGATCCTACACCGACGCAGGAGCGAACCGCCCGGCCCGTGAACGCAGCGCACAAGGAATCTGGGTCCGAAATCGATACAACTCCAAAGGTTGCACCTCAATCTAAGATCAAACATCAGACGGAAGCATCGACCTCCCGGCAAGCCCGGCAAGAAAAGCCCATGGCCCAGGAAAAGCCCAAGGAGCAAGACCAGGAAGACGTGATTTCCAGCGTTAAAAACAATAACCCTATGGCTTCTCATCAACCAAAGGAGCAAGAGGAGTCTCAACCCCAAGATGACGAGATGGAAATCGAAGATACGACAAAGGATGATACCATTCTAGACGACAACTTTGATGACATTGGATCGCCCTCCGATGGCTCTACACCAGACAGACTGCCTGTCCGCAAGAGTAGCTTGAGCTTTGCCTCTCTGCCGGCCAGAGAGCCTCTTACCAAGAAGAGTATGGGCGGTGCAAGGATTTCGCGTACCAGTCACATTGATCTCGCAAAATTGAGCCATAAGAGAAACTCCAATTTCCTTGGAGTCCATTCAAGTGGTCATAGATCGGGACAACCATCCTCGGAAGACAATGTGAGCGATGCCGCCATGGACATTGACAATGAGAAGAAACCGGAAGACGATGTCGATATGGACCAGGCTAGCAAATTACACAACAAAAAGTCGACCCAAAGCCTACATGATAGGATCAGCATGCTCGGGAAGCCCCAAACACGCCCCAACAAGTCTATCCCGTCGGCAGCGGGTCTGTCTGCTGGTCAAATCGCCTATCCAGAGCTCCCGGCTGCCAAAACTGGACCCAAACTGGACTCTTCAAATGAGAAGACTAGGAAGACGCCCGTCCCGAAAACAGATACTGCTGGCGACGACGATTGGATCAAGGCTCTGGATTCGCCGCAACGACCGAATCTCACCAAGAGCAAAACCACAGATGTCATGGAGCATCTCCTGGAGCCTGAGAAACCCCAATCTTCTTCTCAGAAGATTAACCCAGCACTCAAGCAGAAGCCCTCTGAAGAACCCGAACGGCCCAAATCATCCGCTTCCATCTTTTCTTCTCCTCGCCCACGGGGTCATCAGCAGAGCGCGTCTACTTCTATTTTGGGATCTACGACTCCCGTTGGATCCCCTCGACGTTTCGAGGGTCCGCTAAGTGCTTCCAAGATAAGATTGCAGTCGATCATGAAGTCTGCCAAGGGCTTATTCACAAGCACTGGCAGTCCTTCGAGAATCGAGAGCTCCTCCCCAGTGGCTCATCGTGTGCAGACCCAGGAGCGAATGAGCGTCGACATCAATGAAAGTGGTGATGTTCAAATGTCTGAGCCACCTCATATCTCCAGTCCTCCCGCACGACAGGAGGGCCGCCGCACTCGAAGCTCCACCGAGAAGGAGGAAAAGCGTCAGCGAAAGGAACAGGAAGACCGCCAACGAGAGGCAGAGACGCACCAAGAAGAAGCGAGTTTGGAAAGGGCTAAGGAGCAGGAGAAACAACGAACAGCGCAGCTCAAGGCCGCTCAAGATAAATCTTCGGTTGAGCCAGATGAGCGTATCGCCCAAAAGCCATCGCAACCGCAACGACAACAGTCGCGAGAACCTGAGTCAAAATACGGAATTCCACAGCCAAAGCAAGCCGACCGCCGACCCAAGCCCCCGGCTCGCGAGGCGGTTCAAAAGCCCGAGCCCCGACCCGTTTCGATCCGTGTTGGGAGCACAATGTCCTCTCGTCAAATCCCCGTGGCTACTTCTGTTTCGTCCAGTTTCAATGAGGGAAATGCCCCCGCCCCAGCTCCTGCTTCTAAGCAAGCAAGCTTGAAAAAGAAGGGGAGCAACCAATCACTCCAAACGGCTTCCTCGACGAATAGCCTCAAGAGCAGCACTTCGAGCCAGACACAAGCACAGCGAAAAGCTCAATTGGCGAGCGAGCGCAAACGAGAACAGGATCGGAAGCGAGCTGCCCAGCAACAGCACGAGGAATCTCGTCGTCAGGAGGCCCAAAGCCGTGCTGAGAGTCGTGCTGAGGCAGATCGCGGACGACGAGAACTATCTGCCCAGGAAGAATCTAACAAAGCCGCAATTGAAAGACGGAGGCAAGAAAATGCTCGGCGACAACACGGCCGTACCGGTAGCCAGCAAATCGTAAATGAGGTATTTCATCGCTTTTCCACAGTCGTCGAGGATTGCACTAATCATATCCAGGCTCCCGTCCTGCAACACGAGAAATCGGCCCTTCAGTCCTCTCAGAAGAGTGATCTAGGAGGAACGAGGCCGCAGTCTCGCGCGGGTCCAGCACAGAATTATGGTCGAATTAATCCACCTGCGCCTAATCCTGCCAGACCCGCTAAGAGGCCCATGAATGAAGAGGCTAGTAACCGACCTCCGGTGAAGAAGATTAGCAACGTGCACTCTGTTATCGGGGATAAATGGGGCAAAGGTGAAGATGAGCAACAGCACCAATACCAACACCAACCCTCCAGGCCATCGGTCAGACCTCCAATGGGACCCCCCTAAGCGGGTGTCTAATATGCGCCAGGTATGTTTTGAACAATCCCGGTCTCGCTCACTACCTTCTAACCCAGCACCCTCTTCAGCCGCAGCATCCGAGTATAAATCAGCCTAGTATGGCATCTTCATCCGGGTCTAGCATCTTCAAGCCCGGTCAGGCAGCGCGTCCTGCTCCCAATATGTACCAATATGCCAGCGGAAAGATTCCCTTCGCCGAGCCAAACCAAGCAGCAGCACCTGCCAATGCCGCCAGGCCAGCGGCCTCCAGCTCCGCTCAACGTGCCCCAGCTCAACCCCCCGCCAAACCGTCTCCCAAGTATCCCAGCGGAGAGAGCATACATCTTCCCGAGATTGCCACAGACAGCGAAGACGAGGACGACTCAGACTCGGAAATGTTCCCCGTTCCCAAGTGGGCCCAAGCCAAAGAACTTAACGAACTGCTCGTGATACAGGATAAAATGGAAGCGGATTCAATCTTTGGCCCCATCGCCCCATTCTCCCTCGAGGAAACCTTCAAAGCCGACAAGAAGATCAAGAAGTTCCGTGACCGCACTAGTAGCGCAAACTGGTCTGGTCCAGATGGTCTTACCCAGGAAGAGATTCGCAAGGACCGCGCCGAGCGCCAACGTCTCCGTCTCAATGGCGGATGGTCCTTCGAGACCTAAGCGGCTGTGCCGCATAGCGTGTGACAAACAATATTCAGTTCATCCACTTCATCCACAGCCTGTTTGTGTTGTGTCCTTTTTGAATAGCAGCGACAGTTGAGGTGTGGCTTTGCAGTATCATGGTGTTATCGGTGTTTAGGGGGTCTGGGATTTATCGGCGTTGTGTATTTTTCATTTTCATTATTCATCACATTATGTCTGCAGACAGCAGACTGTTAGGAGAGCATCCATTGGTGCATATGGCGGTTAATCGAATGATTGGAGTTAATTTCCTAAGAGTATTTAATTTGGAGTTGATAGATGATTATGTTGTGCCCTAGCGCTCAGGGATCGGTAGTATTCGGTGCTGTTGTTAAAGATCATGGTGTGGTTATTTTTTCTCAAAGGTTTTAGGCTCATAGTTCCAACTGTGGAGCTGGATTATATCAACTAGCATCATTGGTCTAGTGGTAGAATTCGTCGTTGCCATCGACGAGGCCCGTGTTCGATTCACGGATGATGCATTCTTTTTGATTCTGATCTGATTTTAATCAGACATCTGTCAGATCAGTCAAGGTTTACAGCCTCTTTTTTTTGGCCTTGAGAGAACATAGTTTGATGGTCATCAAGGTCATATAATTAGGTTGTCTAAATCTTACCTGTACCCGTCTAGTACTAGATCCATTCAAGTTTATGAGGTTGCTAGACTACCACTAGTAGTACACTCCAAGCCCTGGGGTTTATATATTTCTTCCAAGGTTCCAAGGTTCTCTGCACTTCAAGTTTACCTACCTCTGGAGAGGTGGGGTCTTCTGCCTACGAGTATGAACCAGACAGTGTGCCAGTGAAAGAACTTGTATACAGCAAATAATTTCTCTTTTTTTAATCTGCGTGTTACCAGTCCCGACCGAATATACACCATGCCCTATACAGTATCAAGAAATCAACGAAAACAAAACCCTTGATCAGCCAGACCTGGTCGCGCCACCATACCGAATATTATACAAGCCTACATGGGGTGGTGTATTCACGATCGTATAAACGCCCGGCTCTTACTCCATGTCGGGTTCAGCATCGCTTGCTCCACCATCACCGCCTTCATCCATCGCGTCCGGGTTGAGATTCGCAGCATCCGAGGATACTCCCTGCTTGGTCTCGGACTTGCCGTGGGAAACGGTGCTCCAACCAGCCTCAGCGGAGGGGTCTTTAATATACTCGGACATGGGGAACTATATAATACAAATTGTCAATACTGCGCTTGGTCGAAGTATAGGACCGACGTCAAGCCACTAGGGTGAGTACTCACGTAATGATCGTTCTTCTTCATAGTGACCACCCATGGAACGTTGTCGAATGTCACGGCACGCAGTCGGAAGTAGGTGTTATCCGGAATCTTGCGAACTTCCTTGACGAAGCTATCGAGGTTGGGCGTAGGAACGCCGTTGACAGCAGTCAGGAAGTTAGTAGGAGCAAGTCCATAATGGTAGGCGGGCGAACCGCGGCTCTACAGGCACTATTAGTTATAAATCTCGGACAAAATCTAGCAAGAATTGTTATCGACTCACCCTGGCGCTGACATAGATTTCACTATGAAGCTTTGAGATTTGTTGCCGCACAGCATGGTGGGGCTTCTGAAGAACAGCACCGCAGAAAACAACAGCACGATCGGTCTCAAGATCTTCGGTTGGAACGGTTGGAACACGAATGTGCATCTCTTGGCCGTTACGGATAATCAAAGCATCCAATACCTCCTTCTCATACATGACATCCAGTTCCGAAACGCGAGTAATAAGCTGGTCATCGAGAGTGAGAATGATATCAGCTTCTTGGAAACTGTCGACCTCAGAGGTGAAGTTTGCGGGTGGGCAATCCACCTTGCGCACCATGAACAGCTGGTGACGCGAAGGGTTGGCCTGTGCCACCTTTTGGATCCACTCCTCTGAGACACCCATGATTCGTGCCTGGCTCATCTGCACAACATAGCTCTCCATGTTCAGGATGCGAAGTTTGGGGACGACACCTTGTTGAATTTTGGACGTAACGGGAAGCAACGATGGAGTGGCGAATCCAAGGTGGTACTCGACGTCCTTGTGAGAGCTTGGAGTGCGTTCACCAAGGTAATTGAGCCAAAGTGCTTGAACCACTCCATCTTCACCGATCAGCACTCCGTTTGTGCACTGCCCACTGAGTCCAGTGTCCACTGTAATAGCATCTAGGTTGATTGCTCGGTACCGAGGAGCGGAAGCATTGGCAGGGATCGAAACAGTGGTGATATCAGTGACTGCAGTCTTCGCAACAACAATACGATGGTTTTGGTTGAAACCGACGAAAATAGTGTCTTGACCCTGCTTGATATACTCAGTGCTGAGACGAGCACTTTGCACGGGTGCCTGAACAAGACTGGGGTCATATTGAATGATGGTGTAGTTCTGAAGAGGGTGCAAAAAGACGACCTTGGCGTTGAGGATGACGGAATCAGCAACGGTAATGTTGATATCGCAGAGATCATAGGGCACAATAGCCCGGGAGACGACAACCAGCCCCTTCTCCGCGTCGATTACCAGACCAAATCCGGTTTTCTTGGCTTGAGGGTATCCATCAAGCTTCAATGGCATGGTGCAAGAGACGCGAACGAAACTGCGCACAATCTCTGCCGCCGCAGGTTGGCTAACACCATCCAGCTGGATGAAGTCGGCCTTGCGAGGAACAGGCTTTTCGGCTGGGATAGGCCCAGCCAGATCCGAGAAATCCCAAATACCAGATTCATCATTGCGCACTGCCAAGCGCATCTTCGGGTGCCAGTGACGGTCGACGTAGATGATACTAGTGCCCTTGGTATGCAGATCTCGGATATGGCGGTAGGAGATAACCACCCGTGACCGGTCAGGGATGTTTCTCATCACTTCCACGAATTCGTCCAGGTTTCGGGTTGGCTTTTTATCGACTGAATCGATAATCCATCCCGCCAATGTATTTTCCAGCTTGAAAGAGCCCGCAGCCTCACAAACGTACACGCCACGGGTAGCAATGGCGTAAAGACGGGATTGTTGGTATGATAGGTCATGGAAAGTGCCTCCAGCAACGGTCACAAATCGATTGGGGGTGATGGAGTGGAGGTCACCCACTTCACACTCAACCTCCATGTCTTCTCCTCCGCGCTGCACCAGTAGTCGGATTTTACCACCGACACTGGAGTCTAGGATATCATCAAGACGGACAAATTGAGTAAGAAGCTCTCCATTTACCTGCAACAAAACATCTCCTTCTAGTAGCTTGCCATCTCCAGGACCTTCTGGCAGGATAATCTCAGCTGCAAGCATGTTGGTTTCTGTCGGCGCTGCTTTGCGAACAGCAGCCTCCCACTCGGGGGTCAGACCGAGACGACGGCACTCATCAAATGGCTTGAGAATCCACTGAGTCTGAATGGTACCTCGAGTAACGGGTTTGCCTTGACGAATGCACTCCAAGGCGCGCAATGGGCGATCTAAAGGCAGGAAATAGTCCGTGGCAGCACCGTCTGCGCGTCCACCTGCTTGCAAAGCGACCGCGTGGCCGTCGATATTGACGACGGGACTTCCAGAACTACCACCACTGGCGGCGGCCGCAGCTTGAATATAGTTTGTGTTGAAATCGCTGTAACCCTCTCCATATTCGGGAGCATTGCGATCAAGTCGACTGATGACGCCCGAGAGAATGCTCAGCTTCTCACCGGCATCGTTACCCACGACTCGGATCTCCGCACCCACACGAGCAGCGTCCGGTTGGAGCTTGAGCTCGGTCAGGTTCATATATTTAATCGCCTTCGGGTTGAACTTGAGGATACCAAAATCGTGAACGGGGTCTCGGTATACAGGTCGGACATCGCACTATGAAAGAGCATGTCAGTTATTAAACTATGAATCAAGCGAGATTTCCTTCTCGGGGCTGGAGCTGGGCCGCAAATATATTTTTTTTACCTCTTCATGATTGTCAAAGATACAGTATCCCCAGAAAGGACCGGCACCCACGACATGGCGATTGGTCAAGATGTATCCACGCTCAGCATCGACGACAAAGCCAGTAGCCTGACTGCTCATCGATAGCTCTGTGTCGAAAGAGCATGTCTGGCAGAAGTGGATCGAGACGACACTCTTCACGACCGTCTCAATGGTCGCCTGCCATTCAGGCGAATCGGCCTGCGCAGGGCCAACAGCCATCATGTGAGCAGAATCCTCCTCCTCCTCGATATCGTAAACGGTTCCATTGGCCGGAGTCGCGTCGCCGGGGGTCAGCACCGAACCCTCAGGCTTCAAATGTTTTGCGGGACGTTCAACAGCCCCAGCGACAGTGCCGCGCTTCCGCTTGGCACCCATGTCGCCATTAGCATCCATGGCGCAGGGGAATTGCAAGAAAGGACGGTGGTTGAGGTGGATGTGAGCTCTGAGGGAAGGAAGCTTCAGTTGATGAGAAGAGAAGGGCGAAAGGTGTCGGGCGGCAGACAGTGAGGGTGAGGATGACGACGATGATGACGAGGAGGGGCGATCAGAGCGGTCGAATGGACTCGGAGGAGCAAAAGAGCGAAGGGAAGAGACAGAGACAGACAGACTCCTTCTGCACGCAACCAACAAAGACATTCGCAGGTGTTCAAGTTGAGGCGAATGTGAAAGGCGGGAGTCGAAAGGAGCGATTGTGATTGGGCGGGTCCACTCCATGCCCGATGAGAAGTTCAGGTGGACAAGGCACGCGCACGCCGATCTTTCTGTCATGCAGGAGTAGTAGGTAGTACGAGTATATTATTAGAAGTTGAGGAGATAATGTGGCATATAGTATATAGTATATAGTATATGGTATATGGTATATGGTAAGTGGTAATGTAAATGCAGTTGTATATGGTAATGGTATATGGTAATGTATATGGCATCGCCTGACGATGCTATTACACATATAAAGTGCTCATTCAAACTACAAACCCCCCAAGGGTACAGGATGGAGTATATGGATTAATTACATTCCCGACGCAACGCTGCTTATCCACCATGCATGGTGCGCCTGCAGAACGGGCTTTACCCTCCACCACCATGCGCCCCTTTTCCCAGATGACCAGGTCGGCTGGTGGATTGGAGGATTTGACCGAGGTCAGGCTACACACCCTCGCCAGTTTTTGCATCCCCGGAGGCCTCTCTCATTGGACGATGCAACACACAGAGCTGGCTGAACGGGAGGCGCCGCGGCAGACCGATCTCCGACACAGGGAAACAGGGAACCTCATCTTTCCGTGAACAGGAGGAGCCCGGGATAACGGAAGAAGGAGAGGGCGATAGGAGAGGGAGAGGGAGATGGAGAGATATGGGTGTTCACCGCAGTAAATCCAAAACCAAGAAAAAAGATCATCAATAACATGGCACGAGTTCCTTTTCTTTCCGGCGTCTCAAACCACCGACTCGGACATGGGTGATGGACTTGGGCCCCCGTTGCCGTGCATCATGCCCGGGCTGAGCTTCTGAGGAGTCGATGATTTCCCCGAATTTGGAAACAGCTCATTCAGCTTGACGTAAAGCTCCTTCACCGAGGGGAGATTAGGGGGAGCTGTCATGATTGCTGGGGCCTGGGGTGTAATGCCACTCGCTTTCTTTGCTCGGTCGGCGATCGTCGCTAGATATGCCAGGTTGGCCTGCAGTCGGCGCATGCACTCGATGTACTCTTGGGTTGGTTTTTGCCCAGTAGGCTTGTTCATATCCCCTCCCTGCTCCCCAGAGGCATTCGCTTCCGCATTCGCCGCCGAGCCTGCCTTGCCAGCAGATTGCAGATTCAAAACCTCCTGTAACAATGTAGAGTTGATGTCGAGAAGGGTGCTGACACGCGCCTTTTCACGAGCTGCCGCCGCCGCTTGAGCCTGAGCCTGAGCGGGACTTTGGGCCTGGGGAACTTGGCTTTGCCCTTGCATTTGTGTCTGAATTTGAGCCACATTGGGAGCTTGTCCTTGGCCTTGGCCTTGTCCTTGAGCCTGGACTGGGGTCCCGGGTTGAGTCACATGGGGTGAGTTGTTCATATGCGGCATCTGGTGGTTCATCTGGTGGTTCATCTGCGCGTTCATCTGCGCGTTCATCTGGGCACTCATTTGCGGGTTCATCTGGGGAGGCTTTTGTTGGTTGGGGAGCATGTTGTTTGCTGACAGAGATGCCATATTCTGGGAGAACGTCTGTGCGACAGTGGAGGGGGTATTCGTCGCCGTGCTAGGTTGGGAGAATTGGTTCATGCCGGCGGGGACGGGAGGTTGTGAGAAGGATGCCGAGTAATTGTCCATGGGTGCTGCTATTACAATTTGGCGGTCAGTCCACGTCAATCAAACAGAGACTTGCGATTCCCAACTGTCCTGCTGCAGATAAAATACGACTGGCAACGAATCGAAGCACCCCATCTCGCCAAGAAATTGATTGAGACGATTGTTGACGCCAGCGACAGGGGGATCGATTAGAGCCGCAGGGGCTTCATAGGCAGCGCGACTTGTTGTAGAGAAACATGATCGGCCCTACGCCCCAGACCACTGGCGAATAGGGTTTGGACTGTTCTCCAGAAACTGGAGAGCCAGGAAGACCCCGCAGGACAAAGTGACGAGTACAGCGGGCTAATCACAAAGAAAAGGGGAAAGGAGGGGAAGGGGTCGGTCACGTACCGTTGGATTGCTGGGGAAAGCCTGAGGGCATCATAGCTCCGGTGGGACCGCCTGGCTGCAGTTGGATGGCACCGAAGGAATGCTGTTGGTGTCCAGGCTGTCCCGGCGGTTTAGACTGGGGGTATTGGGGAACTGAATTCTGGTAGAAAGCCATCGGGTTTGGGGGGCTTTGAGTCGGGACGGGAAAGCCAGCGGGATAGACGGCGTTGGGATCCATCTTGTATTAAGGGCACTATCGCGGACCCAAACTTTTGGCGTTTGGACAGGGGAGACCCAGGGGAAAGGGTATCAACTTGATGGCCCGCTGTACGGAGTATTCGTCCGTCTTTTTTGTTGCTGAGCTCCTGGGCGATCAGAAGCCACCCCAAGTAATCACGTCGATTACGCACAAGCCACACACACGCAGACAAAGGGAGAATTCAAGTGGGAATCCAGGGATATGCGCAATTGGTATACAGAACAGCGGCTAGGGAAATGTGTCAAAGAGAACAAAAAGGGAGCACGGTGATTGGCTCTAACAGAGCAATATTGGCAGGGGTGGTGCTGGAGCGCGATCGGCCACTGCTTTAACAGAGCTGGACTCGGAGCAAGACAGAATTTGGGAGGGGGGTGTGGCCCGGATTCAGAGCGATCAGCCGTGGGCTGACGGGCTAATGCAGCGGAGCCTTTTTGGTTGGAGTGGGGACACGGGCCCGATGACAGTGGGCTCTCGGTGAATTTCGATCGGGGCGTGATTGTACACCGATGAGGATCGAGCGGCTTTGGGGGGGGAAACCTGTTGCTCACAGGGTTTCTCTGCAGGAATTGTAGCCAGTGGTGGTGGTGGTGATGTTTGGGATGTTTGAAGAGAGGAGGTCCGGAGAGTCACGGGAACAATTTTCTGCCTCAGGCTTACATCAGCCCAAAGACATGTGATTATCGACTTCGGAGTACTTCGACTTCACACTCTGTAGAGACTCCTTCCATTCTGGGTACAAGACCCATCTTCGCTACTAGTACTACTCCATACGTGTGTCTACTATTCGATTTGAGTGGAACAAAGTTCATCGTCCCAGAGAAATCCAGAGAAATCTTTTACGTCTCGCTGGTTTCCTTCGAAAAGCTCAGAAAGCTCAGACCCTTGCATATCCTCAGCCGCAAACACCAATGCGCCTCAAATGACGTGAATCGTGGGTCCAACTGTGGCGCAGGCAACCGCCTCCTCCTTCTCGTTTTGATCGTCAAGTTTAGCGAATGGCCGCTGGAAAAGATCTCAGGGAAGCTTGGCCCCGACGGTCTTGTGGCTGATGCCTACATGCCAAGGAAAACCTTTGCTTCGAGCTGCCGTTGGTAACGTGGGGCTATGATACATATGTTTGGTGTACTCGTATGCACCTGGGCTACGGTGGTTTACCTACTTGGAGACTTCGGCGGGTTTATTCCAGATCGGACAGATCGGACAGATCGGACAACTGCCAGCGCCAACTGTTCACCCTAAGGCATTGCTGACAATGAACATCAAAAAATCGCTATACCTGTTCTGCATCATGACTTGCACTGCCAAGACGGCGATGGAGTGCATATGTATGGACCAGTTTATTTGTCCGGATCTCCAATTAGGGCTGCCAGTGTCCAGCTATCGTGGCCCCGTCTCAATGCAGAAAGACTAGGAAGCCAATGAAAAGGACCGATCATTCTCCTCGTAGCCACAATTATTAGGAAACGGCGACCCCGAACACTCTCACCATTTTGTGTTCGGTACCTTTTGGATCTGCAATACAATCTGCGGTAATGGGAGGATACGAACGAACGGCATGTGACGTGAAGATGATTTCAGCCACAATTCCAACATGGATCATCCTGTAACACACCTAGTATGTTAATCAATAGACAGTGGAGAGCAGGAGAACCTCTCACTATGTATTGTTATCTCGGAGATCCACCACAACGAAGACTGTGGCTATTTCGCGGTTATCTCGAACGGGCATCCTGCAGCTCGCTAAGGAGGAGGCGCAGTGGACCAGGAAGTACATCCCCTCCCCGCCACCAAACCATTTTGGAGGGATCCATTTTTCCCAGTTTCCAGGAAATGCAGGGCGGAGATCTTTTCCTAGCACGAAACTCACTATTTCTGACCACGACACTTTCGAAAAGGGGGTTTCCATGCTTCGTACGGAGTACATACGTACATGTTCCTTTGTAACCCACTCTATGGTACGGTGACAGCCGTCGGTCAGCCAGCCACACTAGGCGGAGCACCGGAGATGTCATTCCGGCCGTGGCACTAGACAAGCCCTTGCTGCTTCAACCTGGGGTAATGGACATAGGAGTCCTCCAATGGCACGTCAGAATAGCAGCATTTTCAACGCACTAAATTGAACCACTGTGCGAGGAATCTCGGTACTCGGGAACAGGAGGCACCTTCTCTGTGCTACCTGGCTGACCGTAACTGGCCTGATAGATCCAATGCACACTGAGCGAGGAGTGTCGTGTGAAGGGGCGATCCGTTGGGTATCTACTTGTATGTGGCGCACAAGTCCTTGTCGTGATCGGGCGGCTAACTACTACTGCATACGAATACTATGCATACAGTACATTATTACTTCGAAAATAAGTACTAGAAGTTTCTGATAACCACTGCCGCATAGCTGGAGATCGTTCTTGTGGAGGTGTATGTATGAACCTCGGCTCCTGATGTTAGCGGGCTCTTTTTACCCCTTCTTCTCCTACCAACCTTGGATACATCCAAACTCAATCGCGTACCTTAAGGAGGAATAAGATCATTGGCGGAGGCATGGCTATCTAAAACTGTACGTGAACCATCAAAGTAACTACGGAGTACATATGAACGAAGTAGTTACTTGTCCGGACATGTACACGAACTACAGATCATTGACTCCTTAGGCCCCCAGCCTGAGACCCCGCCACCATGCAAAGGAATTTGTCAACCCTAAATGAGGTCGTCGATCCACATCGTGCATGTCTTGCAGGCCGGAGATCTCTGATTTGCGTTCTCCGTTACAGACGCCAGCGTCGGAGGCCCCGAGGGATCACCATTCGTCCTGTCCGAGAACACACGTTCCTGGGCCCAAGCGAAGGAAGTCTGGACGAGCAGAGAGACTCGAAGGCTGCGATCGCTGATCTCGCCAGGGGAGAACGGCGAAATTCTCCAAGTCCTCATTGGCCACTGAAGCCTTGAGTTTTTCCGAGACTAAAAGTGTCTCATCTGGATCGACAGTCTAGTGACAGCACTTGAGCGGATCTCGGGATCTGTTTCGAAGAGCTAGGCGGGTCGAGTGGCGGAAAATGAACGGTCCAACGTCCCAAGAACCTAGTGTTCATTGGTAAGTTACTTGAAATGCGAAAGTTCGTGATCCAAGGCTCTGGGAATCACACTGGACACAACTCAAGAGTCCTTATTTTTAGGGCTGTGGAAAATTTGCACCGAGATGCCTCCGGCCGGCCGAGACGTTGGGGTGGCAAACTACGAGTATGTATGCAGAGACTACGAAGTACGGAGTACCATTTCCCAAATTGGTACCTAAAAGATTGATCCAAGCTCACAATGGAATTCTTTCTATTGAGTGGTTTCAGCTCTCCCCTCGCGGGGAAGCGCCATTTATTCCGGCATCCACATCCACACCCACACCCGCAAGGTTTTCCTTCCTTTTTACCGTTCTGGTAAAAGGCTATGGATCGACAACCTCAGCCACAGAAGTGGCGCCCATTCATGTTTTGCGTCAGGTTAGGCCTCGAACAAATTTCCTGAAACGCATGCGACTCGGCTGCAACGGGCTCTTGAGTTTTGTGTATGTAGGTCGCGATCATCCCCATTATACATGTAAGAACCCGTATTCAGAACCGCTACCCTGTATACTTTGTGCATCACGACCCTGTAAACTTATTCTGGGAATCTACTCGCTACTGCCTGTTGACCTCTCTATTTGCTTTTCTGTTACCTTTACCACCTTAAATATTTACATACGAGATAATCGGTTTCGCGCCTTAGTTCCTTTTCTGGTCATTTATGCAATCGATAGATCGTTTGATCCATCACCTTCAAGTTTCTATTAGCGGATTATTCCCGAAAGAAAAACACATCATCCTTCTTAGTCAAAAACTGTCCGGAGCGATAAGCGGATTTGTCACCAACCATGGTTCGGTGGATCAATGCACGTCGAAGTCACTCTGCGTCAATCAGTACCAAAGTTCATGCGGTGACTAGTTTAGGTGAACACGAATTCCCGTTTCCTGCAAGCACAACGGCCACAGAGCTATGCTTAGATTGCGGTATTGCAGCGGTGAACGAATGAACTTTTGTGATCAGGTATGTCCGAGAACCTTTGAATCAGATTTTCCCTTTATTTTCGTCCTGGAGCCAAAATGTCTTGGTAGAAATGAATATACAAGGGTAGATTATGTGATATTCAGCTACAAGCCACACAAACAAGGCCTGTTTTAGGTCCAGCCTTACCGAAACTATCGAAATGAACCACTCCAGAGTGAGGAAGGGGCCCACCGCGAGACTGCAGTACATGAAAAAGGAATTAAAAATAAAAGAGAAAAAAAAATATAAGGATAAATCCAATCGAACGCCTCTCAGCCATGTGGATTCGGGTATCGCACAGAAACGATCTGGATCTTGCATACATAGGATACGGGCCGGTGCAACACAGAGAGAGAGGAGTGGGCCACGGAGTTCCCAACGTTCGAGGGCCGATCTTCATTTAGCAGTGGCAGCGCCACACCGGCACTTTTACGTAGTTGCTTAGGCCCCTGGTGCTCCCATCTTCCATGCAGACGTAGGCAGCATCCGCCCATGACAGTAACGGGTGCCGATTTGAAACCCTGGGGAGAGAACTGGAGCGGTTCGCATCCTTGATCTGACACCATGGGTGCCTTGAAGGGATATCGATGCACCTGGCTCGAAAGAGAAGGTTTATTATGTTTGACAGAGCTCACGGGTAAGGAAGAGCCGTACTTCTGTCACCACTCTCTTGATCTGCATACCAAAGCCCGATAGTCTTGAGAAGTCGTAATTGCCATGAATTTCGTGACAACCTTGCTTCAGGGCTAGTCATTTGATTCGAGTGCCGTTCAACTGGAAAATTTTGGTCTAGTAAGACCCGACCACTCTGTCGGTTTCCAATGAGGTGGGAATTTCCTCAAGCCGTTACCCACCATAGCCTCCCCTTCGAGCCATCTTCTAATCCAGTCCGTTCCAGTGCTGCACTGCATAATAGAGATACTTTAATGCGGCAGTAGGAAGATGCGAGAGTCAGGAAGATTGGAAAATAGAAAATAATAATAAAAAGGCAATCAATGATGGGTATAGATCCACCCCCGATTCTGCGGTGGGACAACGGTAAGGGTAAAACAGCCGGGACCGCCGTGCGTGCGCTTAGCGGCCCAAGTTTATAGGATGAAAGTGGAATTGGGATCCAGTGCTTTTTTTGATTCTGTCCTGGGTTCTCCACAATCCCCGAAGCAACTGTGCAGGTTGGTTGCGTGCACTAGTGGGCGAAGCTCGCCGAGGACTTTGTGGGCTTGAATAGACTTACATTGTCTATAAATCTCCGGATCCCAGAGTTGGCCCCCTTATTAGTGAGAGGATCTTTTCTTCGCCGCCCAATGTTGTTGTTTTCGTGTACTCGCCAATCCATTAGAGATGCTTCCTGGCTATAAGCCATCCTTTTCTTCTCCTTTGTTTCCTTGGGACACGCCCACCGCACTATTTCCGAGCAAGATCGAGCTCAACCCTCAATCGATCAGCCTCTGCTCCATGGTATCACGTTATCCTCTCTTTTTCGCCCTCGTTCTCCCCCCGCTGATGGCCAACCCCGCGCAGATCCCAACAAGCATGTCGGCGCAAAACCAGCAGAATTCACCCGAATATCCACATTTTGCTCTGATCTACATTGACCGTCAGGGTAATCTTCGTCATGAGTCGTCTCTATCCGTCGCCAACAGCCGCGAAACTATTCTATCTCCGCTGGTGACAGATGAGTTTCTGCGAGCCGTACAGCGCTCGAGCGGCGCTACTCCATCACATTCCCAGTGTAAGTGTCACATACCGCCGCTGAGATTACTCAAAAGTGAGAAGCGAGAAATACCTTGGATTGCAAATATACAGACGCAAAGATAGAGGTCGGAAAGCCGCTGATCCGATATAGTCGAGTTGGGTGAGCCTCCCACATATCACCGAGTCACTAGTGGACAGACCCCTGTTTCGACCCAGATTGGCAATATTCGCCCCGGCCCGGAGAGAAGACCACCCGACAGTCAGTCTCGAGGCCTTCTGGTTGCAAGAACACCCACCCAACCCCCGGTATGGTCAGCTCCCCAAGGGCCAGGCGACTGGTCTCGCTGGTCGGGGCAGCACCCGATCCCACAACCACAACAGAGGCCCTGGGGCATGGAACCAAACATGAGGGGCAGCCAGAAAGCTTTTATATCTATTAGGGATAAAGATTTCCTACGGAGATACTACGAAAAAATCTTCCAAAATCTACAGCAGACCAATTGTCGTGTTCTGGCCAAGGCCTACGTCAAACTGGTTGAGCCGCGCAAGCAAGTGAACTTTCCATACAATGGGCGAAAGATCGTGGCCGGGCAGACGCAACAGCTGGATCCCGATGATACTAAGCCTCCTTGGTGGCCGACTGGAGTCAGTCATCGAGAGCCAGACCATCTTCCCAAAGCCGGTAAGGAGTTGGCTCCTTTCCTCCTTTCTCTCTCTCTCTCTCTCTCTCTTTCCGACTGACACCCGTCCTCGTTGATTCTCCGACGATGAGATTCTTTAAAATGCTTGCTGACCAGACCAAAAGAACGTATTAGGCTCCTAGTCCACATTCTCTGCGAACTGCGCACCAGTTACGGTATCACCGCACGGAAGTTAAAAGCCTCAGACCAGCCAATCCGTCGACAAATTCTACCAGTCGAGCGTTTAGAGATATTAGACGAGGTCTATCAAGTCAGAGAAGAGGAAGAAAAGCTTTTGGATCAAGTGACTGGTATGATGATTGAGTTACCTCTGCCCTCCAGCCAGCCGAACTGACTGGCCGCAGATGGAAAAGCCATGGTGTCAATCTCACGCTCAAATCTCCCCGATGCAGCAGAAGCTCTCGTCAACCGTGGCGAGCAAAAGCAGAAACCAGCTCCGATCGAAGAGGATCCCAGCCCAGAGCCGAAGACAGAAACAATGCCCGTCATTGGCGGGCCCTCGAGAGCGAACCCTCCACAACCTATATTCGTTGCCGGCGGAGACATCCCCCCAAACCCTCAACCTTCCGTGACCCCGAGTCCTACTCGTTATATACATCAAGACCTGCCTATACACCCCAGCTTTAACCAGCCCCCTGCTTCAAATTCCATTTCACCGCAAGTGAAGAGGAAACGGCAAGATTCAGGGCCGGATGTCGCTACCACTCTTAGCCCAACGACCATGGGCTACTATTCCCCAATATTCGTAGGCTCACAGCCATTTATGACTGAGCCTTATGCTGGAATGCAAGGCTTTCAGACCTCAGGTGTTACGTCCCAGGACATGACATCTGGACAACCGATACCAGAACCTTTCAGAGAGCCCATGGAGAATTATGAATTTCCATACTACTTTGAAAACTAACACGACACATTCAAAGCGTTCATTCACGTTGGTCATGATGACGAGTTTCTTTTCTACAGCGTTTGATTAAAGTGCGACAGCACTTGGGGAGGTTTATTTGATAGGTTTTCAAAGCATTGAAGCAAGTAGTACATGTTGAGTTTCGTGAAAGTCGAGATGGATTTCATCCAATAGCATAAAAAATAGCATTGACAAATGAAATTTGCGATTGATTACCCGTCCCCTCGAGGTTTGGATATCATATCCGAGATTAACTTCTTCACGGAAATATTCTCCTTCAACCACTCATAGGGCACAGCCTCAAAGACATTGAGAGTAATAGTCATTGAAATACGTGCAAGTGTACCCACTCGCACAGGTCTTTCCTCCAGTCCATCCACTGCCACCACACTGACCCCAATGGGCGACGCCTGTGGCAGAGCTACCACTACTAGTCGTCGTCGAGGTCGACGAAGTACTGGAGACAGCGCTAGTTGTGGTACTACTTGTCGCAGTGCCACCGAGCGCAGTCAGAATACCTGTGTAGGCAGGCTTCTTCACATAGTTTTCATCCCAGGGACAGGCGGCGCCTTGTCCAGAGAAAGTGCTGGGAACCCAGGAGTATTTATCAGTCCAATCCCAGATGGTGACGCCGACGCAGTTCTTTGTTGCAACACAAGCTGCCACGGTACCCGAGTAGTCTGTCTTCTGCTGTGCAAGAAGGGCGTCTGTGGATGGAAGTGTCATGCGAATATCAAGCTCAGTAATGGCAACTTCCACTCCGAGGGCAGTATATGCAGCCATGGTGCTAGCTTGCGAGCTTTGACTAGGGGTGCTTCCTACAATGAAGTGGCCTTGCAGACCGACGCCATCGATTTTGACTCCGTAAGATTGAATTAATTTGACGATGTTCAAGGCACCTGTTGCCTTGGAGCCGGAATATTCGATATTGTAGTCGTTATAATAGAGTTTCACGTTTGGATCTGCCGCTGCCGCTGTCGCGAAGGCAATTGGGAGATAGGCCGGCCCGATCGTTGTGTACCAGATACTTTCGCGGTAGGAGCCGTCCTCATTGAGAGCTATAGGGAAGAAATCAATATGGCGTTTACACCCCGTAAGAAAAATGCCGATTCCATACCTTCGTTCACAACATCCCATGCGTAGCAATCTCCCTTGTAGTGAGTCACTACATTAGTGATGTGGTTTTTCATCGCTGCGAGTAGCGTCGCATTGGTCCAAGTACCACTGGTGACTATTTTATAAGGTGAGCAAGATATTTAAATCTATTAAGCAGAGTACAGAACCCACCCCAGCTGGGAAGTTGGCTGTGCCAAACTAAATTGTGACAGCGAAGCTTCTGGCCATTTGCTTTTGCAAGATTGGCAATGACGTCTCCCTTGGTATAGGAGAATGTATTTTGCGTAGGCTCAATCGTGTCCCACTTTGAGTATATTTAGTCAGATTATGAATCGCTGAGAAATAATAACAATGATAGAATGATTGACTGAACTGACCTTTTGGGAGTTCCCGGGGGTGATTTGACCAAAGTCATCGGTGTTGTTGAGCTGCGTCACGTATGCAGTATCCGTTAACTCTGGGTTATCTGTTGCAGTTCCGAAATAAAGTTTGCCTTTGGCTACAGCTGCAGTATTAAGACCTGCTCCTTGCACACTGCCGATTCATTGTTAGATCTAGCTCCTGGACAAGAACTTCCGAGATCAAACACGTACAGCTGTGGTAGAAGGCCAACCGCCAGCGCTAATATCTCAGAGGATAGTCGGACCATTTTGCAAGACTAGAGTAATACACAACAATACAGCATGAAATGGGAGGCAAAGACTCTAACCAGGCCGGGAGTGAATTTATAATAGATTGACGAAAGGGGTGCAGATAATTGATTCTTCCGGTGCTGGATACCCTCATGCCATTCTCCATTCGGACCTATGGCCCGTGGCGTAGTAGTCGCGGCCATACCAAATAAAAAAAGGGTTGTTGTTGCCATGTAGCTTCGGTGATATAGCCGGTTCACTGCATTAGTAGTTTCTCAAGGAGAAATCCTACGCTGTGGTTGTTTCAGGTATAGATTAAGGCCGGTGGAGCCGTTTGGAGGACCAACTGTGGCTTAGGACATCCCCCACCCTCTGGCCTCAATGAATAAAACAAACGTAGGAATTTTTCCCGAGCTTCAAGGTGAAGCATTTTCTTGAAGAAATCATGGTTCACGCTAGGAACTGTTCGTGTCCTGAAGATGCGGGGGACTGGATGAAGCGGGGATAAGTCCGTCCCGCGCCGGCAAAATAGCATAGTTCTCGTTTACTTTTAGGCTGTTACCACTAGTAACTAGTAGCTGGTGACTAGTAGTAGCTACTAGTGATGTGGGAACTTCCTACTAGTATCCAGTAATACTCTGCCTAAAGCTCGTCCCAAGTGTCCGAGTCCTCTTTTCGGTTTCTGCCTCCAGCGCGTTCCTCTCAAGTTAAGCCTGATGTCGCATCACTCTAGCCGGCCTTTTTGGTGATATGCCTGTTTCAATGTACGCTTAATCGAAAATACTAAATGTGCCTTTCACACAGAAAAGTGGTGTATCCCACCTATAGGTTCATAGTTGGGGTTTTCGCTCTTGGAACCGTGGCCAGTTGATAGGTTGAATTGAGATCAATTGTTGATCCCCTTGATTTTGACTTTCCCTATTCCAGGGAAAGTATCTATCTATCTTGATGTGTTTGAACATGCATTTCAAAAATGGGTATCGAGCTTTTGTAGTGTATATCGCCCTATCTATTAGGACGTTCTCTCAATATACTGCGCATGGCGTTTATGGGAGCCCGGCTTCATGAATGCTAGTTAACCGAGTTCAATGTTGTTTCATCTCCATTAAGGATCAGATTACCATTGAAGGACTTGCAACCGGTAAGCAAATTACCGAAACCTTGCAGATACAGGTAATCCTTTGAGTTGGTTGGAAAACACAGTATGATCATTTTCAACCCTCCTTGCGAGCTTTCATCTCCGCGATGAAGGCAGCAGTCTTGGAGCTCGGCACGACAAAGATCCGGACCATGTGATCAACAACCTCAACCTTTCCACCGGTAAGAATTTGCAACAAGGGCAGTTTCTTACCGGCCTTGATTAGTCCCCCAGAGACAGTCTGCATAAAGCACTCGACGTTGGCAATGGTGTACTCCTTCTTTGTGTCCCACGGCAACGGGAGAATATAGTCCAAATGATCAGAAATGGAATGCAACTCCGAGAAACCCTTAATAAAGTCGGACTGAGCGTCCATGGGGTACAGAAAGACAGCAGGAAACTCCACAGAGCTTTCTGGCGAAAGAGGATCGGGAACCAGCCTGATAGTAGACCCTTCCATATCTGGGGGTTGGTCAGTCTTTCGGGTTCGGATTTGGCGTGCGCGCAAAGCTGTGCTAAGGACCAAGTTTTGTTTGCGAGCGAGCTCCTCCTCGGCCTTCTTCTTAGCAACTAGGCGCTCTTTAAAGGCCTTGCGCTCGGCAATCTTTTGGGAAGCAGTTTGAAGGGACTTGTTATCGGGTCCGATGACCAATCCACGCGCCGCGGCATCCTCGGCTTCGTCGACCTTATCTAGCTTCAACAAAGCCATCGCGGAGCGATAGAAGGCCTTGACGTTTGTGGGGTTGAGCTTGAGGGTGACTGCGCAGTCCTGGGTACACGACCGGTAGTTTCCTAGATAGAAGGGATGTATGAGTAATGTTCAAAATCATATCGGAGAAAACAGACATACCAAGTTCGAGATTACAACGTGCGCGGTTGATATGTGACAGCTCCTCCAACTTTCGAAGCGATTTCTTCTCTTCTGCGAGATCCTCAGGCTTCTCCCATTTGTCCTCTTTGGCATAGATGACGGCGATAGCCTTCGTGTAATGCTCCTTGGCATCGATCCAGCGTAGTTCGGAGACGGCTTCGTTACCCTGGTCCTTGAAACTTTGCGCAACGTCGGCACGGGTACCCTCGTTCTGCATGGCAGAGATGGCATCCAAGAGAACGTTCTCCCCATCTGTAATAGTTCGAAATGAGTGTCAGTAGCCGATTCTGCTGGACGTGAAGAGGGAAACAAAACACTGATACGTACTCTCATCACCCGCATTCGCAATGTCCGTCATGAATAGCGGGGTCTTGTTCATCATGTCGAGCAATTCCTCCTTCGACTGCGACTTGACCGATGCCATAGCCGGGGGCATTTTCGGCACGGAAGGGTCATTCTCTAAATCCTTCAGCCTCTCTTCGTTGATAGGGATGGCACTTCCTCGTTGGCAGCAGCGAAGGCATCGAAGCCGGGCTGCGGCAAGTCGGGCGGTCCCTGAGGAGGAGCCGGGTTGAGATTGAGCGACTCATCGAAGTCGTCCGGGAGCTCCTCGATTCGAGACATGGTGAGTACAAAGCAGAATACCGAACCGATTGGAAAGGATTCTAAAAGCGACTGTCTGGACTTTTTTTTTTGCGGGGACCGAAATGTCATTCAGCAAACAGTGCAAACACGAGGGGTTGCACGGCTCCACCAATCAGAGAGGAATGCTCTGATTGTATGGTTAATGTAGATCTTGATCTAGAGATAAACTTGGTTATGTAAATGAAAAGAGATTTTTCTTTCTCTCTGTTAAACCTTGGAAATCATGGGTCCTGTGAAATACGGAGCGGAAAATCCAGTGCGTGGCGCCACCTGCTATCTAAGTAGAATCTTCTGGAACACCTTACTAGGCACGGCCCATCTAGACATGGAGAACTAGTCAAGGCACTAACTAACTAACTATGTATATACATTGAACCAAAGGAATCAACGTACAAGTCAAACTATACGCGAAATTAAGGTTATACGAGTATATACCTCCTATATCGGAGAATGTCAGATCGGAAACTGCCCGAGGTATCCCAACCCCGCATCAGTCGGGCGAAAGACCGAGTCGCCGATATAGGACGACATACTTACTACTAGTAGTACTGCAGTACCCATACAATCCATCATCTCATCTCGAATTTCTACATCATCTTGTGAATATAGCCCTCAGCATGGCACAGACACACAACATTCTCGTCCTGCCAGGTGACGGCATTGGCCCCGAGGTCATGGCCGAGGCTGTTAAGGTGCTGCAAGCATTCGAAACTCCGCAACGCAAGTTTCAACTACGACACGAGCTCATAGGAGGATGTAGCATTGATGCTACAGGCAAGTCAGTGACCGAGGAGGTGAAACAGGCTGCATTGGATTCGGACGCGGTGCTATTTGCTGCCGTTGGCGGACCCAAATGGGATGGTGCTCGTCGTGGTCTTGATGGGCCGGAGGGTGGATTACTCCAGCTACGCAAAGCAATGGATATCTATGCAAACCTGCGCCCCTGTTCTGCGACTTCGCCTAGCTCATCTATCGCAAAGGAGTTCAGTCCATTCCGGGAGGAAGTCATTGAAGGCGTTGACTTTGTAGTTGTGAGAGAGAATTGCGGAGGTGCTTACTTTGGACGGAAGGTGGAAGAGCCAACATACGGTACGTGATACCGTCAGAAATTCAAGATTATTTCCCTTTATACTAACTATACTCAGCAATGGATGAATGGGGCTACTCCGAAGCAGAGATCCAGCGTATTGCCCGTCTGTCCGCAGAAGTGGCCCTTCGCCATGATCCCCCTTGGCCCGTCATCTCCTTGGACAAAGCAAACGTCCTCGCATCATCTCGTCTCTGGCGCCGGGTGGTAGAGAAGACCATCACGACTGAGTACCCGCAAGTGAAGCTGATCCACCAGCTCGCGGACTCGGCCTCGCTCATAATGGCGACGAACCCGCGATCCCTGAACGGCGTCATCCTGGCTGACAATACTTTCGGTGATATGCTCTCCGATCAAGCTGGTTCGATTGTCGGAACCTTGGGTGTTCTCCCCAGTGCCAGTTTGAATGGTCTACCCGGCGACAAGGCATTGAAGACGCGACCGTACGGATTATACGAGCCTACCCACGGCTCAGCTCCGGAGTAAGTATTGCGAAATATGGAGATGCCTACGATGAACATTGCTAACTATTGTCTAGTATTGCTGGGGAAAACATTGCCAACCCCGTCGCAATGATTCTTTGTGTGGCTCTGATGTTTCGCTACTCATTAAACATGGAGGCCGAGGCAAAGCGGGTTGAAGATGCCGTTCGAAAGGTCCTTGATGCAGGTGTTCGAACTCCTGATCTGAAAGGAAAGGTGGGAACCAAAGAGGTTGGTGATGCCATTGTAGCTGCTTTGTAAAGAGAGTTGAGCCTGCAATAGAGTTGGAGAATATGAGAAAGTAAGTAGCAATTTTCAAGGCACAGAAATTAGTAGAAATACCTTGGGTGATCTGGAATTAAGTCAAAATTGATCAAACAATACAAAGATGAATCACAATGAATGAAAATGTCTCAATTAGATTGAAAGACGATAAGTAAGAATTGTTTATAGGGCATAGGGCTATGCCGACTGTTCATGTCATCCTTTGAATCCCAAAGAAGGAGATGAGAGTAAAGTAAGTCGGCAGCCGCGGAATGGCAATGTTTGTTCTCAAAGAAGACTGTGACGGGGCGTTGCATCAATATGACTTACATTGCCCCTTAATTCTTGTGAGACATTGGAAGCAATGAGTTTTCTCCTTTTATATCTTAGCTTTTGCTGCCTCATTGATCGATTAAACCAGCCATTCTTTGATCAATACCTCCACTTTGGCCATCTCTACTTATAGAGAGAACCGAAAGATCCTTCAAATCCCCTTTACAACTAACCCCCAACCTACTATTTGTCCCGAGATGGCCGAACCAGCAAAAGGTCCCTGCACAAGACGTCTTGAAAGCCTCCACAGCCTATCCAAGGCCGATCAAACATACCTCCTCCGCTCGATCGCAGTAGACATACAGACAACATTCTCCTGCGTAGGTCAGCACCTAAGCCAAGGTACACTCAGTTCATCGAGCGCAGAACCAATATACGATGTGGCCCGAACGATCTGCAGGAGGAATGTCGCTCAGCATCAGAGACTTAAGGAGGAAATCCGGCGGCTGCTGGGGCAAAAGCACTGGATGAGAAAGGAGTATAGAAAACTCCATGTTTCAACTCGTGCTATTGCGCAGGCTTATACAGCCAAAGTGGGAAGACTACGAAATAGGGCAAGATTGCTTGAGATGAGATTATCCTGTGTTACACACGAGCGGGATATTCTGACTCGAGGCCTTGGTCGAAAACATCAAGGACCTAAGGAAACAGCACCTGACGAAGAAGGGGGGTTGGGTCGGTATGAGATTGCGGATGGAAACAAAGACGGAGATCGGAGACGGGATGTGGAATTGGATTTTTTGGTATAGTGATTATCGCCATATTTAGACTCGAAGCCTATGATACCTATGATATGGAAGTTGAATCTCAAACGGTGGCTTTGGCTTTTCTCCAGCGGTTTGAGTCATTCAATTTTTTCAGAATACTAGTACGACAAGAATGGGAATAATTTTTATTGTTTTAGTATTATTTTTCGAAAATCAAGCATCAAGTATCTTAGTGTTTCTAGAGCCTAAAATTAGTATGTCAGTGACCGCTACGTAGATCATTACTTGAGCACCGGGCAACCTGGCGTGATCCGAGGCAGCCCGGTGGCGGTGTTAATATCCCTCCCACACAGTTTCCACCGGATCCTACAGAAACTGACAGCTGAGCAATAAAATGTGAGTGATTAGCAGAATCTGCCCCTTAAAAATTAAAGCGGACCGAGAATGGATCCTCCAAACCCGAAGAACCCCGTGGGAAAGGGTGACGGGTCACGGGACTCGATATCGGCTTCCATGTTCCGAGGTATTCAATTCATGTTCATGTTCATCGCCGACGGAATTAGACCGGGCGAAATGACTTCATTTGCTGGATCGTCCCGCACTCTTATTCAACAGACAGGCCCTTGATTGTGTGCGGAAACCCCCTCGACGATTGGATCAAGGAGGTCCATGAGGTGGGCCGAAAATCGGAAAATTTCGCCATCGTTTGGATCCGAAGCCAGCGAGCAATTACGCTGACACGGGGAAATGGGGGTAGTCCATCGGAGCCAGACACCACGGCGGATACTGATAGATGGGTTATCGAAGCCCGAGAAGGGACCTCGGCATTGTGGCCGTCGAATAACGCGCAGGCTGATTCGGTCGGGGGCTCCACTTCCTCTCTCTGGGCCTTCATGTGGGAGGACTCCAGACTGAGGACCCTTTCTTTTCTCCATTTCTCTCTCTTCTCCCAGTTTATTTTCCCTCTTCATCTTTTCCGTGGTTTCAACTGTTGTTCGTGAACCATTCCACTTCGCCTTCAAGAAAAAGCCCAACCTCAAAACCCAACTACAAACACCATCCCGAACCACGCTTATCGGCCGAGAATGAGTAGCGTGCACGACTATGAGGCGGTCCGCAAGGACATCGTCGCTCAACTGAAGAAACCCGACTATGATGATGGAAGCGCTGGACCGGTATTCGTCCGTTTGGCATGGTATGTGAATCCCGATGTCTTTTTGTTTGGAGAGAGGTTGTGGTCTCGGTCGGAGTCGAACCGGTCTCGATCGCCGGCGGCAATTGGAATCCTAGCGACGGAAGTAAACAGCAAAGAACCCTTTTCGCTAACCATCTTTCGTGTGAACAGGCACTCCTCCGGAACCTATGACCTTGAATCCGACACTGGCGGTTCAAACGGCGCCGGTATGCGCTATGAAGCGGAGGGTGGCGATCCAGCCAATGCGGGTTTGCAGCACGGCCGGGCCTTCCTGGAACCGATCAAGGAAAAGCACCCTTGGATCACATACTCGGACTTGTGGACACTGGCAGGCGTAGTCGCAATCAAGGAACTGGGAGGCCCCGAGATTCCCTGGCAAGGTGGACGTACTGATCTGGTGGACGACTCTAAGGTGCCTCCACGGGGTCGACTACCCGACGGTGCTTTAGGCGCTGACCACCTGCGGTTCATCTTTGGCCGTATGGGCTTCAACGATCAAGAGATCGTTGCGCTGGCTGGCGGTCACAACCTCGGTCGGTGCCACGGCGACCGTAGTGGGTTCGAGGGACCCTGGGTCACCAACCCGACCCGTTTCTCGAACTCTTTCTTCAAGTTGTTGTTGACGCTAGACTGGAAGCCTCGCAAGCTGTCAACGGGTATGACCCAGTTTGTGTATGAGGATCCCGATGCCGACGAGGATGAGGAGCCTCTGATGATGCTGCCGACCGACATGGCGCTGAAGACCGACCCGGCTTTTGCACCTTGGGTGCATGCTTATGCCAAGGATAAGGATCTGTTCTTTGACCACTTTTCCAAGGTGTTTGCGAAGTTGGTTGAGTTGGGTATCCAGCGTGATGCGCAGGGTGTCATCATCAACACCGACAACAAGATGGGTGGATATGTCTCTGCACCCAAGAAGAGCAACACAGCCACCGGTCCGAAGAAGGGCGAGCCTCGGGCTCGCCTGTAGAGGGTTCAGAGGGCTTTGTTGGTGACATTTCCTTTCCTTTTTTTGTTGTTTTTGTGACGTTTGGTTGGCATTGGATGAATTCCCCTTTCTGTTAATCGATCTGGGCCGCGGGTATATTGGCTGGGTCCAGACTTGTAAATAATCATAGACCATGAGCGAAAGATACCTCACACATTCCGGTGATGAAACATGATGAACCGAGATTCGAGTAGGAGTAGAGGCGTTAAGGGTCAGTGGTGAGTGGTGAGTGGTGAGTGAGATGATGGGTAGGAAGCTGGTTCCATGATGGAGAAGATGGATGAGGATGAGGAAGAAGGAAAGAGGAGAGAGGAAAGAAGGGGGAAGAGAAGTCCGGGGTATAGTGGAAGCGGGGGTCTCCGTGTAACTCAGTGTAACTTTGTACTTTACTTTGATAATACTGGTATACACACTTTCTGCCAAATAGCAGGCTTCTGATTGGTGCCTGGCTGCCCCGGAATGCCCCAGAATGCCCCGGACTAGTAAAGTGGAGGTATCAAGTACGAGTACACATTGTACTTTGTCCTATTGTCACCCCATTAATAATACAAAATACTAAAGAAATCATTGAATTAACTAAATCAACCGAGTATGTACCCCTACTAGTATCACCTGTTCTTGCCTCGGTGTTTCGTCCCTCTTTGCTCAACCCCTGCGCCTGTGCCTGTACCTGCACGTCTCCTCCCCGAACGGGGTCCGACCGACGTCCCACTCATATGCGTGTCGTTGTCGTTGCTCCTGGTGCTCCTGGTGCTCCTGGTAGACTTGATCGATTTATTGCTATCCGCGCTGGATTTCTGAGATTGACTCGGACTGAAGTTGATCCACTGCATCCACATCTCCTGTGCCATTTGTTGTTCCTTTGCTTTCGCATCTGCTTCGGCCTGTTGTGCTTCCGCCCGTTTGTCTACTTGCGTATCATTTCCACTTCCTCCCCTTCCTTGTGGCAGTGGAGGCAGTGGAGGCACTAGAGGCTCCATTGGCACCGGCGGCAGCTCACCGTACTCAAGCCAATCTTCTAAGCCTTCCCAATCTTCCTCATCTCCGGGATCAACGCGGCGCTCTCGTACCTCCATAGGGCCCAATGACCATGTCTGCGGATTCTGAAAGTAAATATCCGGACTACTCAATAACGAGTCGAAGGTCTGGACGGGATCCGGTAAGGGGTAGATTGGCAGTTCTGGCGCGACACCAGGAGGCAACTCTGGCAAAGGGGTCTTCGCTACAGCCTCAAAGAGACCCGGGACCTCTGAGTGAAAAGGGTTGACCTTCATCAAAGAGTAGAGATTGGATTCCGAATTTCCGACGAAAGGATTTAGTTCGAGCTGGCTCCCTGCATCCGGCCGATGAATCTCGAAGCACCGATCACCGAGGCTAGGCAATCGGCGATCCTTGTGCATTTTCTTTGCGAGATAGCGCGGACGGGCAGGAAGGGTGTGACCGTGAAGAGCAGGCCGCTTTTCATTGACATTCTTCAGCATATGGGTAATGTGAGCTCCCCAGAAAAGCAAACTGGGTTTCGGCGGGTCGATGACTCTCTCGTAGATCAGTAGTGGGATAGTTGACTTTAGCCAGCCATCTGGAATCCGAGTTTCTGGAGCTGGCGGGATCCCCCCCAGCAATAATACCTTCTTTACTGAGGGGGTCATATCCACGTATGGTCATAGGGTCTGCCCGACCTGGCTCGCCGTCGGACCAATAAACCCGAAGTCGTCCATCGCAGTGATAGATTCCCCCAAGCCACCGGTATTTGGCCTCCTCAACCATGCCGTTTGCATCGCGATAACTGAAAGTGAAATCAGCCGTGTGATCCACGAGTCGTGTTTCGGAGTTGGTCAACAAGGACAACCGGGGTGGAAGTCTGGTTATAGTTCGTTCAGTGATACGTCCTTCCCCTCTTGTCAAGTTACATATTTCACAGCCCCATTTATGCTCGACTCCTTAGTTTCCGGCTGACCAGAGCGCCTGGAGTGACTCCATCGCGGTCCTCTGGTTTAAAAGGGGGCAAAAGGCAGTTGCCAATCGTGACAGGGCTATCCTCGCAGGTCTTGTTTTCGCACCCACAGTAATGAGAGCGGTCTTGAAATGTGTATTGAAATTGCGCAAAGTTTCTCGTTAGCTTCGCCCATACCGCCCAAGGGGGGATAGTTTGCCCCATTGCAAAGGAAGGATAGTTAGTGTGTAGCTTTCGGAAGAAGGAATCACGAAGCTCCGCGGACAGTTCAGCATCCATGCAGTCCCAGTTCATATTAGTCACCTCAATGTAGGCCATCTCGACATCATCGAAGAGCTCATGTCTCCCCACATAACGATCGATGGCAGTGCAGCCGGCTTCGGTCAACATTCCCATAACAATGATGGTGTCAATGGACGCAGTAGCGACAGATCCCACCGGGCCTCTGCCTTGATATTGGCATAACTTCCCTAGGGGGCTGATCTCAAGGCTATTGAGGTCAATGTTCACCTCAAAAACTCTGGTCCCCATACAAACCTGGATGATATCCAAATCCGTGGGGTTTTCTGCAAGGAAATATGGTGCCATTCCACGCGCTGGTGCAGTGTCATGCCTTTGAAGCTCATGGTAAGTGAGCTTCATCAAGGATTCCACGATCGCTTCATTGACCTTCTTCTCGGTGGCGTAATTTGGCCTGGGAAGTGGAGGGTAATCACTAGAAGGAGGATTTCCATCACTAAGTCTGGGGATCTCGGATTCATTAAGCTCTGAGGCTTGTTGTCTTCGTAGGATCAGCTTATCTCGTCGTGTTGGAGGTTCACGCTTTACCTCGGGTGCATCCACAGGGTCCAAGGGAGTCCAGGGCTCTTTGGGAAGCATTATCCTGTATAGCGGGAAGAGAAATTGCCGAACATGACTTGGACGTAAGTTAAGTCCCTTTGCATCCTCCGGCATAGTGAATGGCGGGTCGTAACTAGCACGATCTTGCATCGCAGGAGGCATACGGGGGTGTTGGATACTGACAGGCTGGGGTGGAACTATAGTCCTGGCGGAAAGCTTCCCGGCAGTTGTTGTTCCATCATCAAAATGGCTACCTAGCCCGTGGTTCGATGCGTTTTGCAAGTTTTGAGGGTCTGCTTCGCGTGGTTCATATCCTAAGAGTCGAGGGCCAGCATCCCGATCAAGATCAACCAGCTCACCCAAGGTCTGAGGTCGGTTACGTTTAGGCATATAGTAGAAAAGCTTCCAAAGGCCCTTTAAAATGACACTCTTTTTCATTTTGTAGGTACGGTGCCAGTCGATGCCCCAAAAATGGTGTTTTGCAAGAGTCCCCAAGACGCCTCTGGACAACGCGCGCTCATTTTCAAAGGCAGTCCATGCACGGTTGAAACAAACGCATGCATCGTCCGGGGGGTCTGGGAGCAACCACAGGTCGAAATAGGGTGAAGGAGCAGGCGGTGGATCGTAATCCTCTTCCTTGGGAAAGCCCTGGGGAATTTTCACCCGGCCGTATTGAATGGGCTCATCAGCCATATTGAGAAGATAGATTGAGGTTGGTTTCAGTTTGGCGATGTCGCTGGAAAGTACTATATAAAAAGAGAAACCAACAATCCAGAGTGGAAGCGTGCTAGTCATTCCCTGGTGGAAGAATGTTCAAGTGCATTCATGGCATGGCAAGAGGAGCGAGGGGGACTTTATGTCGAGTCAAAGAGCTTCCTCGAGTCAAAGGAACCGTAGGACAGTCATGCTATGGCTGCCTCTGTTCATTTTCTTTGACATAATATTCACGGCAATCCTTTGATCCCGAGTCGTCTTTCGAGACCAGGGAAGTTTAAATCAGTTTCCATGATTGGCGAAAGGAACATGATCTGAGACCTATGAAAGAAACATCGAGGGCCAAGCTGGAAGGACACCATGCCTGGCAAAAAAAAGGTAAAGAGAAAGAAAGAAAGAAGTATTTTGCTGATTCGGAAGAAGCTAAATGCCCTTCAAAAATCATGGTGGTATTCCAAGCTGGAGATAAAGTTCTCTGGTAGAGTCGTACATAGTGAGCCAGACAGTCAGACCGTGCTCCCGTGAATTGATACTTCCAACGGAGAGGTGGAGGGGGTATCCCACATTCTCAATTGACAAGATATCGAGCTTGTGAGTGAATTGAATGCTGAGTAGTATTTTTGTGGAAACAAAGAACGATTGAATCCATCCTAAGAGTATCCTAGGGTAGCTGGTTTTGGACAGGGATGAAAGATACCAGTAAGGCCTGGCAAAGTTTTTGGGTGGTATTACCAAGTGACAATACATCACCTGATGGTTTCATCATGTGACCCATTCTCTGGTGTCACCTGATCCACCAACCCTATTCGGACTAGCGCCATTAAGCGAGCCCTTCTCGCACACTAGACCCAGTCAGGTTAGTGTCCCAATTATCCGAATCAATCCCACAAGCCGGGAATCTCGAGCCTTCCTCCTCCTCCATCCCTCTAGTCGACAACACATCGCGATACCATCGCGCCAATCGCCTATCATGTGTACGTTCCAAAAATCCCTATTCCTACGATACCTTCAAATCCGCAACATTCAAGAGATGCTCAAAATACCCCGTGGCCGCAATTTCTCGATCAGAACTCGTCAATAGCTAACATGCGACCTTTTTTCGAATAGCGCTCGTCTCAGGGGAGAAGAGCAACTTCCAGTACATTCTGCGATTGCTGAACACCAACGTCGATGGAAAGGAGAAGATCATGTTCGCCCTGACCCAGATCAAGGGTGTTGGTCGTCGTTACTCCAACCTGGTCTGCAAGAAGGCCGATGTTGACCTGAGCAAGCGGTACGTTTCGACTACAATCAACGACTTCGGTATCAATCTGCAATGTCTCGAATTGGGCGTGGAATTTGAAGGAAGACGACAAGGATCAAACGGCATGAATTATACGAACGACCGGGTTTTTTTTTTCTCTCTACCGCCTCGAAAGTCCACCGGGAAACAACAACGCACACACAAAGGACAAAAATCATCACCACGACACCACGACCTCCAAAAGGCTTCACTCGAGACATTGCAGATAGATGCTGGTGAAAACTCACAAGGAGACGAAATGCTGACCAAAATTCCTACTTTAGTGCTGGTGAGCTCACCACCGAAGAGCTCGAGCGCATCGTCACCATCCTCCAGACCCCTACCCAGTACAAGATCCCCTCGTGGTTCCTGAACAGACAGCGCGACATCACCGATGGCAAGGACTCCCAGGCCGTCTCCAACGCTCTGGACTCCAAGCTCCGTGACGACCTCGAGCGCCTCAAGAAGATCCGCTCCCACCGTGGTCTGCGTCACTACTGGGGCCTCCGTGTCCGTGGTCAGCACACCAAGACCACTGGCCGCCGCGGTCGCACCGTCGGTGTCAGCAAGAAGAAGGGCTAAACTATTCGTCGTTTTCCGGGGGTTTATGGAGGGATTCCTTTATTGTCGGTGTGTTTCTATTGGGCATCCGTGGGATCTTTTCCCCGCTGGACTGGGTGTGCCCGGTCTAAAAAATTGAAAATGAATCATACCATTATGCAACGAACCGATTTGCTTTTCCTCGTACCTATTCCAGGCGACTTTCTACAAGTAGAGTAGAGTAGCGTCGTGTGTCACTGATGGTGCCTGGCTGTTCTAGACTTCCATGTAACCTCCCCACATCATCTCTCATAATGGAGCTGCTCAATGTTCCAAGGTTCTCCCGTTTCATTGCTACTCCCAAGGCTGGGGTCCTAGGTATCTGGTGGTCTATGAAGTTACTCAACACACTACTACTACTACTGCCCAGGTTGGCTTCTCAGGGTGGTCGTATCGGAGCTCACTCCTGACAAGCCCTGTGATGCTACTTGTTACATCGATCCATTCAATATCCGAAATGATCAATTCATTCAAATGCTTAAACACTATATACTTGCATAAGCGAACATCCTCGCGAGAGGCAAAATACTACTTTCTGCTAGTTTAAATCCTCTTTCACAAGTCATACGACAAATCCTGTATGCAACCGAAAGTCGAATAGACAAACACCACCGGAGAAAAGGATAGGAAAATCAATGCAGTAGGGTACAGCAAGTTGCGTGGCGCTTAGAACCACTCACCACCCAGCCAGCGGTTGAAGAACTCCAGGCTGGACTCGGGCTGGTCCATGGGGACCATGTGGCCACCGCCGTACAGACGCATGAAGGTGAAGTTTCCGTGGGACTTGACCTGGCCGATCTTCTTGCCAGTGTGCTTGTTCTGCTCAATGACAAGGTCCTCCAGCTCCAGACCGGCAAACTTCTTCTGGCCGGGCCACTCGAGAGCCTCGGTCCAGGCCTTGTTGCCGAGCCAGTTGCAGATGAAGTCGGCGTCACCGGCGTAGATGAGGACGGGAATCTGCTCGAGGAGACCAGGGACAAGACGGTGGAAGGGCTTCATCCAGTCACCGTTGAACAGGAAGTTACGGTTGATGTCGAAGTTGCAGGAGTCGTAGCCGTCAACCTCAGCACCGAGTGCCTCGCGAACGTTGGCCTGGTTGAGGTACTCGCTCACATATCCCATACCCTTGTAGCACAGGTTGGACTCATCCTCGCACTTGCCACGTACATCGTAAACGTTCTGGCCGGTACGCTGATAGGGACCCAGCATGGCGTTGTTGCAGTAGATGGAGGCGGGAACACAGACCCAAGCGCTCTCGCTGTCGTAGCAAGCCTGGATCATCTGCTGGCAGCGGGGAAGAGCGTTGTCCATGGACTGGCAGGTACCCTCATCCAGGACGGCAGGATAGCCACCGTCACCGCAAGCCATGGGGCGGTAGTACTCGTACTGGGTGAGACCATCGGTCAGACCGTTTCCGATCAAGACGGACTTCAGGTTGATGTTGCGCTTCTTGTGGGAAAGAATCTCAGAGGCGAACTGAGGGATGTAGTGACCAGCGTAAGACTCGCCAGCGATGTGGAAGTCCTGCTTAGCGTACTGAGGGAACTGCTTGAAGAACAGGGACAGAAGAGCATAGACGTCCTTGCCCGCAGCGACGGTGCTGCTCACGGCGCTGCCACTGTAAGAGTAGCCAACGTTGACTGGCTGGTCCAGGAAAATCACCGAGGCGTTGGAGTTCCAGGAGTAGTCGTTGTAAACAGTCTTGATCTCAGCGTTGATGGAGCTGGGTCCAAGCTCCATGAACAGTCCGGTCAGGGAAGAGCAGCCGGGGCCGCCGTTCAGCCAGAGGACGACAGGGTCGTTCTTGGGGTCGTTGCGAGACTCAAAGAACCCTTGGGGATAGTTAGAAGGAGGACAGCGAGAAGGTTAACGGTGTATAACTTACAGTAAAACAGATGCTTGTCATTCTCGTTATCGTCAAGATAACCACTGTATTGCTTGACGTCGGGATCGACACCGAGGACGCTGGGATCCACCTTCTTCACACGAAGATCATAAGCCTCGAGCTTACCATCAATCTCCCGCTCCTTGGTGCCGCCAGCACCAGTGACCCAAACACTCTGCACCTCCTCGCCACGAACAACATGATCCCAGTGAGAATCAGGGCGACGGTTGTGCTTCTTGGGCAGCGAGAGCATGGGGGCCTGCTCCATGCCGTTGGGGAAGTGGTCGGCGACCTCCTGCCAAAGCTGACGAGCCTCGCTGGAGAGGGTCTGGAACTGATCCTGAAGGTTCTGCAGGGGCTTGGAGAGGAACTCGGAACCCTGCTTAAAGGCATCGTGGCCCTGCTTGAAGAGGTCGGAACCCTGTTGGGCCCATTTGTCCATCTGCTCATTCTGAGAGCCGATGACCTGCTGGAAGGGCGGGGCAGCCGCCAAAGCGGCTCCCACCAGCAGTGCGGTGGGAATAACTCTCATTCTGGATGGATCTCAGGGAATAATGATGGTAAATGGCGATCTGAGTAGCTTAATGATGGAAAGCGGGGGTCTGGGTCTATGCGGCAACTCTTATCAGTAACCGCTCAGGAAGCTGGGGGTGGATGGATGAGTTGGGGGAAAGCAGGAATGGAATAGGATGAAATTCAATGTGAAGGTATAGATGGAGTGACATACAGGAATAAAGTCAATAAAGATGCTCAAGAGAAGGATGCAGGGGACTGCAGTCGTGAGGAGTGATGAGGAGAGGTTGGGGAAGGGTTACAGGGCCGATGTCACTGGACTAGGCGTGACTGGGAACCTTGGGGGGGCGTCATCGCACTCCGCTTTCGGGCCGCGATAGGTGACTCAGCAGGGCGGTGGAGAGGGCGGTGGAATATGGCAGTAAGGGGATGACGGATGACTGATGACTCCCCAGAAGGGAAACTTGCAAATATCATCCCATCCCATCCCACTTTTCTTTTTTTTTTCTCCAGTTGGTCCCTTGAAGATACCCCGGAGCCTTGCGCATATATTTTATAGCTTTACCTTCATCGTCTTTATCTGCAACTGCCCTTAACTGAATCCACAAGTCCGCTATCGCGGCATCATCCCACCATGCCGATCAACCAACCCTCCAACCAGATCAAGTTCACCAATGTGTCCATCGTACGACTGAAGAAAGGTATGATTGATATGACACACTTGTCTAGTATATGGCCAAGGCCTTGAGACTAACAACGATACACAACTCCAGGCAAGAAGCGCTTCGAACTAGCCTGCTACAAGAACAAGCTCCTCGAATATCGATCCGGTGCCGAGAAAGACCTCGACAACGTCCTCCAAGTGCCTACCGTCTTCCTCTCCGTATCAAAAGCCCAAACCGCCCCCTCGGCTGAACTCAACAAAGCCTTCGGCGCCGCCACTCCCCGCGATGAAATTTTGCAAGAAATCCTGCGCAAGGGCGAAGTGCAAGTCGGCGAGCGCGAACGAAAGGATATCCTCGAGCGCGTCGAGAAGGAAGTACCAGACATAGTCTCCGGTCGTCTTGTCGACCCCAACACGAAGCGCGTCTATACATCGGGCATGATCTCCAAGGCACTAGATCAGCTCAGCTCGGCCAGCGGTCAACAAAATCAACAACCATCGACTGGCGATGGCAACGGCGGAGATGATGAGAAGCCGGCTCAGCCTAAGAAGCCGCTCTGGACTGGTGTCTCTGCCACCCGGTCTGCCAAGAGTCAAGCGCTGGATGCCATGAAGGCGCTCATTGCCTGGCAGCCAATTCCCGTGATGCGGGCACGCATGCGACTCCGTGTTACCTGCCCGGTGTCATTCCTGAAACAGTCTGCCAAGGCTGCGCCCAGTGCTGCTGCTCCGAGCAAGGAGAAAGAAGCACCGGCCGGAAATCCCAAAACCAACAAGAAGAACAAGAAGGGGACAAAGAAGTCTGGTAAAGGCGGAGATGATTCCGATCTTGAAGCTGGCGATGAGGAGGTGGAAACCGGTCCCAAGGCACCGGGTACCGTGAAGGATAAGATTCTGAACTACATCGAATCTGTCGAGTCTCAAGAAGTGAGCGGTGACGAGTGGGAAGTGATTGGATTCGCGGAGCCGGGAGCTTTCAAAGGATTGAATGATTTTGTTGGAAATGAAACTCGCGGAAGGGGAAGAGTGGAGGTCTTGGATATGTCGGTGACGCATGAAGATTGATCTATGTGAGATCAGACCAATATAGACTTGGACCATGTATCTATGATGACCCTGTAAAATGACTGATGAACCACTAGAAAAGCATAAAGTGTTTATGTTGAAATAAGTTTCAATCTATTGTGTGTCGGGCCCAGATTACCATTTCAGTGGGATAATGGATTGGTTATTAAAGTTCCAGGTACTTTGGGGTCGTACGAATGCTGTGTTGCTTGACAAGGAACGTGCATTCTTACTACCTATTGGTACTAGTAGTAGTATTGCTGAAAACTTGGAGCTCATTCCCAAGCCCTAAAAAATGATCGTGTATCTATCTACTATAAGCCACTGACTGAATGATTGGCTAAAATCAATAGAGATTCTTCAAACCAAAAAAGAAAACTATGTAATTATAAAACCCCCAAAAAATCGCCATTAGCCATTGATAATACAGCGGTGAGTATAAATGTAGGCCATCCTGAACAGAACGCAAACTCCAGAAACTAAATCAGCACAGCAGGGGTATTGTGAAAATCATGAGCATCAGACAATAAGGCAGAGAAGAACGTAAAGAAAGGGGACACGGAGAAGGAGAGGAAGGGAGAGGGGACATACAAGGCGGAGAGGCATCAAACATCCAACCTCCTCCCATCATGCATGCCAATGTTATCTCCTCCCGTCACCATCAAAACAATATTCTTACCAGGACCCAGATCTCTCGCTAAACTCAACGCTGCGCTCACCGCGTGACTCGAGTCCAAACCAGACACAATCCCCTCGTGGTTCAAGAGACTTTTGAACCCATCCAGGGCATCCGCGTCCGTGGCAGTCCGGATTTCAATGCGGCCCCTGCTCTTCCAATGCGCCACCTCGGGTCCAACCGTGGAAAGATTCATATCTGGCGAGATGGAGTACGAGTCAATGATCTGACCGTCATCGTTCTGAAGCATCAGCGTGCGCGAGCCCTGGAGAACGCCTAGTGAACCCTCCGTCAAGGCAGCGGCATGTACGCCTTCCACACCAATTAGTATAACAGCCGGGCTGTGAAGAAAGGGCCTGAATAGGCCCACCGCACCGCATCCACTACCAACGGCGGTGACGACAGCATCTGGCTGACAACCGACCTCCCTGTGCATCTGGGCTGCGACCTCCTCGCCTAGGAGAGCCTGGAAAGTGCGGGTCACGGTTGGCAATGGGCTGGGGCCCACAGGTCCTCCCATCAGGTAGTACACAGATTCATATCTGCAGACTGAATAGCGGAGTGCTTCTGTGATTGCAGCACGCAGTGACCCCATACCGGAAGGGGTTCTAGCGGTCACGATCTTGGCCCCGAGCATCTTCATTTCGAGGACGTCTTCTTCCTGCGCTCGTGCATCGTCCGCACCCATGACGACAACACACCGCAACCCAAGACGCGCGCACATTGCCGCCGTGAAATTTCCATGCTTGGCCGCTGCGCAATCAGTGACAACCTCTGTACGACCCATGCGGCGAGCAAGCAACAGCTGGCCGATGATATTGCGAGTCTTGTGGCTGCCGTAATCATTCAAGTCCTCCCTTTTCAGCCATATGGTTGCCCCCGTGGCTGAGTCGGAGAGCTTGCTAGCCCGGGTCAATGGGGTGTGCTGGGAGCGTTGGAAGGTGGCGTATTCAGCCCAGAAAGATGGGTCTGAGACGGCGGCTTCGAAGACCGAGGTCAGCTCGTGGAGGAAGCCCATGATCGATTCTGGAACGAACTGGCCCCCAAATGAGCCATATCCACCGAATGAGATTTGCGGCGGTCTCAGTGTGCCATCCGGCTGCAGAATCGGAACATACGGTGTGCCGTAATCCCAAGAGGCGTCGTCGGTGGCGAGCTTGAGAAGAACCTCGGATGACAAGGAAGGATATTGACTGGTTGGAGATGTTGTGGCAGTGACCAGACTCTCTGCATCAGATACGAAATAGGTATGAGTGCTGGTGGTGCTGTACATGGAGGAGACTGGCAGTGTTATCACCCTTGTTGGGACTCGTTCTCGCGCTCGAGGTTGAGGGCAGCTGGCCCGGGCAGTGGAATTTCGACTTGAAGTCCGACGAGGAGCATCATGTGTGGACTGGACGGTCGATTCTGTCTCATCGAGGTGCTGAGGTGAAGTAAAGCAAAGTAGACGCTTCATAGATCGAAACATGTTGGGGGCCATGTTCCACAAAGAGGCATCGAGGTATTTGGGACACTCTGAAATCGCAAAGTCGAGTCAACGGGTGTCACTAAGGAAAATGTGAGAAGATGAAAGTGGGATGGAGGGGTATTTTGTATATATTTTTGGAACTACGAGGAGAGGGAAAGAAAAGAGAAGAGAGAAGAGTGAGAGATAACCAGTAAATGGTAAACCGTAGTGCATACAGTGCATGCTTTGGGGTATAACACGCCCACGTGGGTCACCACCACAACAATGCGGGAAGGCAGAGACGGTGTGATTCCCTCATGTCGTTGGTATACTTGGCCCTGATTCTGCAGCTGAGGAGGCTGATGCTCGCTTATTTCCAGGTCAATTCGATGGTTTGTTATTGAGTTGGATCTGACCAATGTAATGTCTATGGTCACGCTTCTATCCCGAGTTCCGTCGACCTACTACTTAACCAGGAAGGTCTTCGAAAATATCGAGGCCCACTGAATTGAAATATTATTAGTTCAATATTAATATAATACTGTCATTGCAGTATCATTAATATTGGGATTCAAGTAACACGCGCAGTAGTGAATATACGGGATTCGCTTGGTCGGCATTCACGCTCCGCTACCGACCCGTCCAACACAGTTCTATAGCCTCGAGACTCAACTATATCCCAGATTCTCCATGATATCGTAATACATGTGAAGCACAATCCTCTGATATGGAGGCTCATTTGATTATTTATTCGGTTACTTGAGAGTAACAGTTTTGGCTCTATATCAGTCAGCCTGGAAGTTCTCGGTAGCTACCGCTATCCTGTTTCTTAGAGAATCAACGATTTTCTCAATACCATGATCCTCCCATACATAATCTAAAAGTACTTCGCAATTTTGGCAATATAATATTCAAAATTCATAAATAGCAAATCTTTCGCATAATCTCAAAACAACACCGGTGAAAGAAAAGAAAAGAAAAGAAACAATATGGGACTACCCTAAGGCTCGAGTTCGTGGAACACATTCATCGGTATATGAGAAGTAAAGAATGGCCCTGCCGATCAAGCGAAGATTGCTCATCATGGGGCTGTAATGATAGAGACCTTTGGTACAAGACGAAAGGCTCCAGTCAGGTTTTATGAGACTATTTAGAGAGCTTCCTTGGTGCTGGGGGGTACTCGAGCGGCTTAGGTAGCATGCAATAATTATGCGTAGCTCAGGCCTAATGTAACATTATCAGAAAATAAAATCATGGAGTATTACTGCTTTTAAAATACCCAATACGCTTGACTATACGTGCAATCTGTTCTTTGAGAATCTACTGACTGCCAGTGCCTTAACACTTCGTAAGCGCCTTGCCTCCACCAACTCGTCTAAAACGTATGTTTCTTTTCTTCGGGATCAAACTTCTTGGAATTCGAAAATGTTCTATAATTATACCTTGTAAGATATTAAGCCTTATAATTAAATTCTTCAAAAAAAATTAATATGGTATCTCTGGGGGGACTGTAAATCTCTAAACCTGAATGTGACTTGGTGGGAAAAGGCGGGATTTAAATCTAGACCAAGAGATACATCAGGCCTTACTATATATGGTATGAAGGTGTCACATAGCAAAAATAGAGTGTTAATTAATAATTAACAGCAAAATAATCCATGCTCTCCCAATCTCGGGCTCAATATGCAATTCTGGAAGATCTGAGCTCAATATTACCTAATTCTTCGGAGCTGTCAACATGCAGCCATCGCACGCCACGAACGCACATACCCCGTCTCCTTTACATATATCCTTGTTGCGAGAAACGGGGAATATTGATACCAATCACCTCGATGATGCGGCATTGCGCTCATATCATCAGAGACACCGATCTCGGGTCACTCGGTCGGGAAAGCAATTTTGGTCAGCCCTGTCTCAGAAGAAAATTATAAATGAGCGCCTAATTCTCCAGTTCCTGGCCCTGTTAAATAATCATTCAGTCTGTCCCACACTTTCCACGTGCTTCATCGGTTTTGTTGAAAATGCGATGTGTCAGGAACATGGAAGCAATGAATCCAGCTTACCCCATGGATCTTAAGCTCTTCATTTGGTTTTCCTTCAAAATTTTCCAAAAGCTGGTCCAATATATTTTTCAACAAATATCTTATTCATCATGAGTAGGTTTCCGTGATCTTGATTTGTGAATTCATCATGACTTGGCTATTAATTTTCTACCTTAGCGGCTCGAACTCGCTATGCCACTTCCGCACCTGGGCACTGCATATCTATACTACAACCTTGGAGCCGAGTCACCAACATTACCAGCTATTTCGAATTTCACTTTCACCACCTGGCACTAGAGTCTTCGTGTCTAGGGGGGCTTATATATCCCCGGGAGAAAGGATCCTCCCTTTTACTAGTACTCAGTATTGTTCGAATAAAGGAGCATTACTAGGTACAATGGGTAGACATCGGCTATCTGACGGTTTCTCACCTCATAACTATACGCTATTGTACACATCTTGGCGGTGTTTTCAAGTTACCACCATCATTTTATTTCAATGTTAGAACCTCTCAAGTTCAGTCACATTACTCAATGACACATCATTCTGTTTGATATATAGTTTATCTATAAGCACCCAGCTTACAGGTGCTCATTGTCAGAGCGAAAATTTAGATAAATTTAGGGGCAGGCGGGTCCCATTCAATTAACACGGCTTCCGAGGTTGCTGCTACATGTGGTATACCTACCATCCCAACCCAATATAATACCGCTATACAAGGTCTTTCCTTCCTATAACAAGGTTATTCAAAGCCTTCCGAGGCAATTTGTGTATTTTTCTCAAATTGCGTTATTACAAGGGGTGCTCTCGGCCTTCCACTAATCAACACGCGGGGCTACCATTGATCCCACATTCTGCCCTATCTCGCTCACCATCCCCGCTACTGATATTGTATAAATTGAGCCTTGCCTCACAATCCAACTGGTTTATATTCTCAAGGTTATTTTTAATAGCAACTATGACTGTCTTCAAGAGACTTGTTCGTTTCGCTTCTCCCAGGTCGGGGGTCCATTACGGGGATCTTCTGGCCGTCAGCGAGAATAAATATACGGTTCGCAGGCTGGAGGGAAATCCTTTCACAGGTCTGAAAGCAACGGAAGAAACACTAAAGGTTAACTCGGTAAGTAATTTGAAATACTAAAATCCTATTCTTATCTAATTCTCTTATATTAGCTGGAATGCCCTCTCGAGAGCACACCTATTGTGCTTTGCATCGGACTGAACTATAAGCAGCATGCAGAGGAAGCAAATGTAAATGACTCTTCTAATTTTGATTAACTTGATATTAATAATACCTGATTCAATTAGCTGACTGTGCCCAAATACCCCGTCATCTTCACCAAGCCTGCCGATGCGCTCGCTGGGCCTTTCGAAAAGATTAACATCCACGCCGATGCGCGCGAGTTTCTCGATTACGAAGGCGAACTCACCGTTGTGATCGGAAAAGATGCAAAAGATGTGACGGAAGATACTGCGTTAGATTATGTTCTTGGATATACTGCTGGCAACGATTTATCTGCACGAAACTTCCAGCTTCCCGAGAACTCTGGAGGGCAATACTGCTACGCCAAATCTTTTGACAAGTTTGCGCCAATTGGCCACGCAATCGTGGCTGCAGAGGAAATCCACGATCCTCAGGCTCTGCGATTAACTACCAAGGTAAATGGTGTGGTGAAACAAGAGACTAGCACTGCAGACATGATTTGGACGGTGCGCCAACTCATCACTCATCTCTCTCGCGGCACAACCTTGCGCAAGGGAACTCTGATCATGACGGGCACACCATCGGGAGTTGGATTTTTTAGGAAGGAATTTCTCCAGAACGACGATGTGGTTGAGGTGGAGATTGAAGGCGTTGCGTCTACCAAAAATTGCATCCACCACGGTTGAGGTTGAGGTTGTGGATGAGTGCCGGATATACGGAAAGGCCCCGCATGATAGATCCCACATTTTGTTTCACGCGGTGCCCATAGCACGCGACACACCGATCAATTTAAATCCGCTCGGACTTTGAACATGCGAATCTCCGATCTGTATTCATCCTGGCTGGAGTCTAAACTCAGCCTGCCTCAGCCTCTGTTGAAGATCATTGGATCTCGGCATAATGTGTAGATCTTGGAGCGGGGAAAGCTCGGGTGTAGAATGGATGTTACCTCGATGCACAATCTTTTGGACTTCATCTCCTCCTTTCACATAGACACTATGACGGCTCCAGTTCGATGATTTAATTTTTCAAATCATGCTTTCCAGCAGAGTCCATACAGCCCCCTCATGTGCTGGCATCAAAGCTCGCCGCCGCCGCAAAACTTCCAAGGAAGAGCGAGTCTGCGCGGTCTGTGGACAGGCATTTAAAAAGGCGGAGCATTTGGCCCGACATCTAAGGTCACATACGAAAGAAAAGCCATTCAACTGCCCTATATGCAGCAAGGCATTTGCTCGACAGTACTGTATTCACCTACCTCTCCCTGGTATTCCAATGCTGATGCTTCGACAGAGACACTCTCCTACGCCACTCGCGATCCCATGCGACAGGCCAAGAAGGCAGCGAAACAAACGTGGTTGCTCTTGAATCCGAAAGCCATGGGTGTCTTGATCCCAAAATCATGTCACAGATATCAATTGCGACGGGTGTTCCAGCCATTCCGATTCATCCTGAGATGACAATGATGGACGACATGATCTCGCCACCCAGCAGCGCCTCCATTGACAAGCAGACGCCAGATTTCTCAATCAGCGAACACAGTTATCCTTCGCAAATGACTCCCCTGGCTTCATTCTTTTCTCTTGAGGCCACCGATGCTTGGAGAAACCAGGCCAGTCCACCATTTCCGCTATGGGATCCCCGACTGGATCAGGAGTGGGAGACCCTCTTGACCGGGGACGACTTTGATTTGAATGCTGTGAATATGTCTCTACTTTCTGCGACATCGCAATACATACCTACGGCGGAAGTTTCATTTGATTTAGATACCACGACTTCCCAACCATTACCGGTCGACCACCAAGCAAAGCAACACAACAACACAGTTCAAAGAAAATGGCATACATTCTGTGAAATAGCATCGTCAGGTCAAATGACACCAGATGTGCCAAACGAGGAGAGCTATATCGATGAGACCTATCGTAAACGATTGGCAGATCGACTACAGCAGCGTGTGCAAACTGGAATACTGCCCTCTACTCCTTTTCTAGTAGGGTTCCCGCCCCAGCAGCCATTTTATTTTGGGAATATACTGATTCGGGGTAGGATCTTTGCATTCAAGCATATTTTTCCAAGCTCCATCCTCTCTTCCCCGTGGTTCACATGGCTACTTTCCGACCAGGCACGCAGAACTCGATCCTTCTCCTGTCTATCTGTTCTGTTGGGAGCTTGTTTGTTGGCTCTTCTCGCGCGGTCAATCATGGAATCAGCATGTTTGAGCGACTGAATAAAGCCATTCTTGCATCGGTAGGTCGCCTCTTCCTGGATATAACAGCTTCACTGACAGCCACAGTGGGACACTTATACATTCAAATCTGGGGGTTCATCTTTAATAGCCCTGCAAGCGTCTATCATCGGACAGACATTCGGTCTGCTATTGGGGGTAAAGAACTGGACTATTCCGTATAACTTCTATCGTAGTTCTCAGTTGACGGATTGATAGAGACCCAAAGACTTAACCGGAATTGATGTATTCCATGGAAGTGTCATAGCCGTGAGTCCCATTCCATTGACCCTTCCAACGACACTCGGCTTACAAGTCTCAGTGGGCCCGCAAAGCAAAGCTATTCAACCTTCAACCTACCGAATACCATCTTCTCGACACAGAAGGCCCATCTCTAGAAGAAGCCTGGTTGAGCTGGGTCCAAAGCGAAGTCAAGCAAAGAATCATCCTAGGTTTACACATCCATGACGCCCTCCTCGCCCGAATACATCACCACGAACCTCTCCTCCGCCACTCAATCGACCGACTGCCCCAAATCTCCTCGAACGAGCTCTTCGCAGCATCCAACGCCTCAACCTGGAAATCACTCATGTTAGAGTCCCAAACGGACTCCCTCGCCCAGCCATCTCCAGCCCAAATATCTCCATCCCGATCCCGATTCCCGGGCGACTTCGCCCTAAATGGCCTCCTCGAATCAATCAACGCACTCACCTACGAAGACCAAGACCATCACTCGTCTAATCCCAACTGGATGAACACGGTCGAAAAAAGCCACACTTTCCTAACAACCTTCCACACCAAATACAACCCAAACTCTCACCCTCACCCTCAATCCAACAAACCCAGCAATTCGCCCTCCCATCCCTCCTACACCCACACATGGCCCTGTACAATGATACTATGGCACTCAATCTTCATAACCCTACACACAGACATCAACGCCCTAGAATGCGCCTTCGGCCGCGAAGGCCACGACCCCAACCTCTCACCACTCCACACCTCCTACGCAAAATCCTGGATCCACACCCTCGACGCCAAACGCGCACTCCTACACGCCATGCTCCTGCAGCGCCAATTCGAGACACTCCCCCGCTGGCGCGGAGCCGGCCATCCACGCCCCTCTTTCATTATATTATTGCGGGATTGTCTGGGCTTGCTTTTTGTGTTTTGGCAGGCAGGATGGAGTGCATATGTCCATGCCTGTCACTTTAACTGCCGGGGATGCGCGACAGTTTGAAGAGTTTGGCTTGGCTGGTGTGGATGGGGTTGGGTTTTTGGAGCAGTTGGGTTCTATTTTGCCGGGGAGGTTGGCTATGGGGTCTTTGTTGAGGGTGATTGATTTGTTGCAGCGGATTAATCATTTCCGGATCTCGCAGCGTCTTGCTGAGACGCTTTTGGCTGTTGTTGAGGAGACGCAGGGACTCTTTTAGATATCGTGTCGGAGAATGAGTACAGAACGGAGTGCATATACACGGGGTTGTAGCAATGGTGAATTCTGGAAATGTACTATTATACCTATACGATCATTATCGAGCTCGTTCAAATGGCTTGGCCAAGCCTACACTTGCCTGATCTACTCAATACCTGTCTCCATTAGTTACGCAGTACTCCATAGTACTACTAGTTACAACATACCCTATACTTGCCCATGACCACATCACTCGACCCACCAGAGCTGAGCTGGCTGGGGCTATGACGAGGGATCATCCAGCTCCATCGAACTAATCAAACCACTACGCAACACTAGTCTACGATAGTATCGACACTGGGGCTGGCCTGGGCAGCCCACCGCCTCCAACAAATGGCGGTGTGTTACGATCAGGAGAAGGGGGTACAAGGGAAAAAATAGAAAAGGGGGCAGTGGTCCTCAGAAGAGATTTATTTTAATAAGCACTATGTTATATAATTTCGATGGTGTATCATTTCAACGGAGCAGGAAAAAAAAAAACAAGCAAAACCAAACCCTCCAACCTTTTCCCTGGATATCGTACATCCACACCCTTTGATCAAGGACTGGACCAAGAAAATCTTCTTCGCGAGTACTGACCAGACTCACTATCCTAACAGCAAACAGCAACTTCGTTTCCGTTCAGCTTCCCTCTACTTGAACTTCCGCTTCAACCAGCCGAAGAAACCACCCTTCTTCTTCTCGGGTTGCTGCTGCTCAGTAGCTTGGTCGGCCTTGGTCTCCTCATTCGCCTTGGCGGGTTCTTGAGCAGACTCCTTAGCCTCAGTCTTGGGTGCCTCGGTGGCGGGCTCCTCGCCGCGCTTGAAAGCAGCCTCGGGCTTCTTGGGCTCTTCAGCGACGACCGGAGCCTGCGCGGCAGACTTGTCAGTCTTGGAGGTGTTTATGGCAGCGTTAGCAGCGGCGACCGCGTCAGGCGAGGCGGGCTGCTTATCGGTAGCTGTGGAAGACTTGGAGATGGGCGCCTGAGTAGCAGGGGGCTGGACCAGGGTGGGCTTCTCCACGGCCTTGGGCTTCTCGGCCTGCTTCTCGGCGGGCTTTTCCTCGACCTTCTTGGTCTCGGGGACAGGCACGGGCTCGGGAGCAGTGTAATCGGCAGTGGAGGCGGGACCAGCACCAGTCAGAGTCAGGTTCTGCTTCTCGGCCGCGGCGCTGGCAGCTGCCTTCTCCTCCTCAGTCTTGGCGATCTTGTGCGGCTTCACCTCGTCGTTGGAGAAGATGGGCTTCTCGTACGGGCGCTTGGTGTGGGCGGCATCGCTTTCCGAGGGGACTGCGGCGGCAACGGGGTCGGCGGCGGCGACGGTGGCCGACTCGGCGGTCTTGGGTCGCTCGGTCGAGCTGGAGATGGGGGCAGCGGCTCCGGTCGCGGCAGCGGTAGAAGTGGCCGACTCCTCAGCGGCGGCTTCGCTGGTGGAGGGATAGATCTCTGCGCCAGGGGAGGTTTCCTTGACAGTGCTCTCAGGGAGGACAGCTGCGATGGGCGGTTGGTTAGCTTGAGTTCGCGCAATTGACTTGACAGATCGATTCTTACGCTTCTCCTCGGCTTCGGGCTTCAGAGCATCGACCTTCTCTGCGACAGCGGCGGGCGCAACCTTCTCCTCGACCTTCTTGGATTCAGACTCAGTGGCGTTGGTGGTGGCGGGTGTGGCAGCAGCATCGGTCTTCTTCACATCAGCGGCAGGCGCATCAGTCTGTGCGGTGTTGGTCTCGGCCTTCTCGGCCTCATGGTCGGGGTGACTGGAGTGGGTGTTAGCGATTCGCGATCCGAGCTAGCTAGCTGCAGGTGGCACGCGACCACGACAACGCTTTTTTTTTAAAAAGGTTTCGCTTGGCGCATTGAGGGTCACTGACACAATATGCTTCGCAGTATCGGCGACCTTGTCGACAGCAGCGGCGACGGGGGCCTTGGCGCCACCCTTGTTCTTCTTCTTGCCACCCTTCTTAGGCATTATGTTCGTGACGATTCGTGAGGTCTGCGGCGGGTCAGAATTGCCACGGTGGATGACGACAGCGGGCGGGCGCGCAGTGCAATTGGGAGTTGGTGGGAGAGGTGGTGAATGATGGAAGGTTAAGTAACCAGTTGAAAGGACTTACAGATTGAAATGGGATGGAGAAGATGGGATGAAGCGAGGTGAGGTGAGGTGAGGCGAGGTGTGGTGACAGGAGATGAAGGTGGGAGGGTGGAGCGAAGGAAAGGAAAAGTAAGGGATGGGATGGGATGGGATTGGGATGGGTGATTCCGGTATGCTGGGCTGTCCCTGGGTCAAATTGGAACTGTCGGATCCAGAAGGCTACTAGTTAAGGACAAATGGCATCATTGTTCTATTTGCAGCGATGCCCTTTGTTTCTTTTTTTGTTTTTGGTTCTGTTTTTGGTTCTGGATCTGGTTCTTTATTTTTGATGTTACTGATTTACAGCGTTGCGATAGGCTGATGCTATGGATGCTATAGGTGCCAGTGCTGGCCACATTCTCCTGGTTGCGGTTGGAATGGGGTCTTATTGAAGATTTCATTGTTTCAGGTTCAGATTCGCAAAGGGACTCTGATCTGATCCTTCTACTCCTAGTACTACTGACATACATCGAATCCCCGTCTGTGCCTCGGGCCCCTGCAGCCCTAACGCCGGATTTGGTAATAGGGCTGCACGCATGTTGTGCAGGTGACGAGCGGCATACCAGGAGTATACTAGTATACTGCTAGTAGATAAGTTACATCATAGTAGTACTACGGAATATAAATACTATGATTATGATTATCATTATCATCTTCTAATTAAAAGAGCCATAGAACCACTGGCAGCCTGAGGGGGCAAGTGGACACTGGACACTGGACACCTGGTCGGAATATATATGTCATCATTACCAGCCACCGACCCAGTTCTATTCTGGGATGTAGATCTACCTAGTGGATTACTAGAGAAGAACTCGGATATTAGAACTGCTTTAAATAGAATGAAAAATAGAGGAAAAATAAAGGAAAAAAAAGAAACACTCAGCTAGTACTTAAGCTGAAATAAATAGTACAAAAAGTTGACCGACGCAGGGGTCGAACCTGCAATCTCTTGATTCGTAGTCAAGCGCCTTGCCATTGGGCCAGCCGGCCTATTGTATATTCTGTTTGGTCATTTTTGGTATTATAACCCAGAACGGTATACCGCTGGTATTGCCCAAAGCGGTAGACCGGGTCAGGAATGCCGAGAAGCGAGAAAGATTCCAGAGAATCCAGAGAATCCACGAATCCCCAGTTGCTTCTAGCCCACCCTCCACAATCACCTCCCTCCTTATTGGCTCTTCCCGCCGCTATAAATGGACCGCTGATGCGGTTGTTTCCGGTGTGCCCTCCTCCGGTGCAATCGGAGACAGCGTGCCCGGTCACTGCGAGGTATTGACGTTGGGGCCCGTATTGCCCGTGTCGCCCCCGTGGTTGGCCCATGATGATGTCGGTGGGCAGTGGTTGAGTGCCGTGAGTGCCGTGAGGCTGATCTTAATCCTGGATCCTGATTCCTGCGCGGGAGTATTCCTGTATTCTTCTCGAAGTCTTCGATGCGGCAAACTCTGGGTGTGGTGGCAAATTAGAGGCACCGTAGCACTCGTGGCACTGGGGACTATCCAGTTGTCTTCGGAGTACTGGAGTCTACTCGTCGTCTATCTATCTCTCGTATACGATATTCGTACCCTCGAGTACCCACTCCCAGTCTGGAGTCCGGAGAGTCCAATCCCAAAGCAGCCCCCAGAGTAATCTCGTCCTTTGACTCCACTTACGAGACGCCGTTGGTAAAGGAAATGCCGCACAGACTGGACGAGACATCCCATTCTGTATTCGCAGGGCACCTTTAACACCGACACTGTCTTATCGGTTGCATCCACTTCTACCTCCAAGTTTCCATTTCCACACTTCCACTTCTACCACTTCATTCCCCTTCCCCTTCCTTTTCCTTTTCTTCTCCCCTTCTCCCCTCTCCCTCTCCCCTCAATTCCTCTCCAATGGTCAACCTCTCCCCTCTCCCATCCCGCTTTACGTGCTCCCACCCCGACCCCCACGGGCGACGTTCGCTGTGACGCAGAACCAGAACCACAACCACAGAATAATCCGGCCTTTCCGGTAATCCTCGAGTCTGTCTGTACCTGTGTACCTGTGTTCTGCTCCAGTTTATTCCCCCCACACCACCCATCACCATGACTTTTCGTGAAAAAGTTAGGCGCGTCTTCCACCGCTCCTCAGCCAGCCAGGATACTGGCCGTCCCAAGGTGGAATATTATCGTCGCCATGAGTGCCCCCCTTCCAAGTTCCGCGGACCTTTTGATAAGGAACATCAAAAACGCCTTGCTGCGTGGTCCTTTGATCGGGCGACGGTGGAACGCACGCGTTCTCTCGACTTGGCCCTGTCACCCTGCGCCACCTTTGATTTACCCGGTCCCAACCCTTTAATGGACCCAATGGACAGCGACGATTCCGGTGAAATTTCCCCCGACGACGACGGGGTGGAAATCGTCGATTCCGGTATGTTGAACAACCCCCATCTGCTCAGGTTTCACCCTCTCGGAACCTGGCCGATATCCCCCCTCCTCTTATCGTGTCCGTGTCCGTGCCCGTGCCCGTTCCTGACGCCCTCTCTGTTGCAGTCTCCAACCAAGAACAAGATCAAGACCAGGACCGAGACATCCTCAACTCGCGCCCCACCAACCACGGCTCTCAGTCCTCGACCGTCGTCAACTCCGATAGTTATAACGGCTCCATGATGACTCTGCTCAACGAGAATTCCGTCTATGACTTCCCCGAAGACCCTATTTCCCAACTGAAGGAGTCCATACGCTACTCCTCCCCCCATTGTCCGCACTCTCTCCCCAACCTCACGGACCCCACGCAAGGGTACGCATCAGCCCTTTGCGCCCGAGGATTTGACTCGCGCCTTGGTCGCTGTTCAACTCTGCGCGTAAAAATCATCACCCTTTCCATCCCCTTACCTTCTACTTTTTTGCTACATCCTGGAGATCTGCCCTACCTTTTCTTCTTCTTCTTCTTTCTCTCCTTTCCCTCCCTCACTTCACCATTGAAGTCACTTTTCACCACCAACCTTGACCACTTTTTATCACTCTGCCCCCTGAAATCGTGTCCCTTGATGGTTCACGGGCGGTGCTGGGGATCACCGCTGGAGACAGGGCCGAGTACGAATGATCCACGTTCCCGATGGACTGACTTGCATCCCAAATGCCCTGCATTTGAGCGTATACCCGTGTTGGCGTTTTCTCTCTTTTATTTTGCTTTGTGACCCGCTCTAGATCTATAGACACTCGCTAGATGGTTGAATACAAAACTCAATTATACTATCCAGCGAAGTAGTAGATGGATACCCATGAACTAGAATCAGTATACTAGTATGTACTTGTATACTACATATGGAGTACTCTCGTATACAAGTACAAGTACCACTGATGTCCTAAAATTGAGGCTGATCCCAACTTAATCTCGCCAAGACAAGCCCCCCGCAGTCGACAGCGCACATCAAGTCTCGGCATTCCACGAAAGGCAATGATCCTTCTGACTAGCCCTTCTCTCCCCCGCACTTTGTATTTCTGACTGGCTGTCCATGCGATCATCATCGCGAGGCTAGATAACTTTGTTATGGCGACTGCAGGTACTCGTATCGACAGGGGCGGGTCAGCTGATCTCACTCACTCAATACCACACTCTACGGACGAAGAGTGCGAGCGATCGGTAAGTGGGATAAACTGGATAACAGCACCTAGATTGGTTTGAAAAATCTGTGCGGATGGAACTTGAAATATTCTACTTAACAGAACACGATTACCATTAACTACCCAGCTTAGTCCCGATATGCGGACTGAAAGCAACGAACGCCCTTTGCAGAAGGATTTTCTATTCTTAAAAAATAACCAACACACGAGTTAAGCGAAAGCCAGGGCCAGTATTCCTCGCAGCATGACGGAGAATCAACAAACAGATTGCGCCGGCCCTGTGGTGAAGTCCTTGTCCTTGTCCTTGTCCTTGTCCTCCTCCCCGCCACCTCTACCCTCCTGGACCCCCAAACACCCACGACCAATAAAGATAAACAAAAGGTCAAAAAGCTAGGCCCTTCTAAACGGCAGCGGGGCAAACTTACCAGATCCCAGAGCCACAATTCGGAAAGAACCCGACTCCGTGACAAGATTCCCATTATGAGGTGGAGGGCTGTTAGCCGGCACCATCCAGATTCGATAGTCCTTTCTATACATCACACCATAAATGAGTACACAGTGAACCGCAACAATTGTTGAACCCAAAAAAAACAAAACAAACAAACAAACTCACCCGCCATTTTTAGAGTAGTCAAGCGCCGTAGCCCGATCTAGACCCGGGAGAGTGACGCTGCCCTGGCTACTCTGGCTCGCATTCACAACAATGTTCTCGTAGAGCCTATCAACGGGCGGATTGGAACTTATATAATTGGCGAGTGCGAAGGAGACGGTCGATGGAGTTTCGGACCTAGCGATGAGTCCTTAGTATACAGGTCGTATACTTTGAACGATATAACTCTTGAAATGAATGAGAATCTTACGGGGATGCCGTCCATGTCACCGTCACGGGGAGAGTGATGTCGATGCAACCTCCACTAGGCGAGGTAATAGTATAAGCTGGTGATACTTGTCAATACAATGAATCCATGGCTATTGTTTGAGTGGAATAAACTTACCTGTCGCAGTGGCGATAAGGGCCACGACGGAAGAAGAATTAGTGAAGCGCATCTTGTCAAGTGAGAATATGATATAGGGCCGGGATTGTAACGTAGATGGAAGCAATGATATATACTAGGAAATGACTCCATTCCCGAAAATTATGTCTCTTTTATAGACCCTCAACAGACACTTAGGGCATCCCAAGTAGTCATTCTACTCACACGGAAATACCACTCTCATTAGTGGCGATGGTAAGGTGGCATTTCATCTCATATCTCATATTACTTCGTTTCGGGGACCAGAAATTGTGACTCGTGGCAGAATGCGCCATCCGTGACACGGCAGGGATATAATTTCAAGACATGATCACAAAGTTGGGGGCCTTTGTACAGCGATAATCGGCTAACTTTTCTGTACGGATGACTTAACCTGGGTAATGATTAAGTAACCTACCACTGTACAACTTTGAATGGAAGCTCAACTACGAAGAAATAAGAAGTAGTGTGTGGTAAATCAAGTAGTTGATTATACAAGATCAAGCGATATTATGATTTGTATTAATTGGTATTATTCTGGTGTTTGAAGAGCTGGTGCAATGAAGGAGGTCGATCTGCATATACGAGAGGAAAAGACATTTATAATAGGAATATTGCTAGTGATGCTAGAAGGGAGATAGAGGAGGCAAGTAGTATAACTAGCACTACCAAAATAAACAAAGCCTAAGTTTGAGCCAGAAATAACCCAACTATACTATGAATAATATTTATACGAGGAAAGAAGGGGGTATTGCCCTTCATACCTGGCTAGCACGAATGTCCAGGTTCGATTATCTTCAAAGTTCCTGACTGAGCCAGAGGAGTGGCTCCAACACCACTACCAGGTTTGACGATATTGATTGATAGCCGTTTCTGCACTCAACTATCCGGTATTGTATTAGGGAACATTATTAAGATTGATATCTTCGACAAACGCTATATCGACCAGGGTCTTGTTGTTTGCGGGAGAACAACAGCCTCATCTGCAGCTGATGGCGTAGGCCCCAGCTAATAACCACTAGAAAAGGCTGGTGGCTATCTTCATAGTGGCCGGAGTGATGATTGTGGAGTCGAAAAGGTAAAAGGGTAAGTTGAGAGGTTGCTGTCCGATAGATTTATGATTTCTGTGACGATTAATGTCTGTAATGAGCCTGATGGAACCGGAGGCTCCACTCCTTTTATACTTGATATCACGGTTCTCGGAATATTGATATAGGCTGGCAAAGGTTGCACAACTTAAAGACCGAATTATTGCCCGACTTTCCGTGGATTACAAAACTGTAATGGCCGGACAGGAGGAATTTTAAGTTCGGTTTCGAGAAAATTTATTATTCTCCTTTCTTTCCCCGTCCAAATTGCACGAGAATGGTACCCCCAACTCTGCACCAGCTGTAATTAGCGAAAAATCTGGAGAAGTCTCCCACATTGCATCAGTGTTACATCGACGCAATTATTACGATTCAGAATCAAGACTAGGTAGAATCATTTTTCGATGACATTCAAGCGTTCCAAGGCTGGGAATGAAGAGGAAAATATTTCTAGAGACTCGGACTCTTTCTAATGTCGCGTAAACAGGTAAACTCAATGTGCACTATGCCTTTCTCAATTAGGAGAATCATTCAATCTTTATGTTGGTTTCTGGAGTTGATTAATTGGCCTTCACTCTTGAGCTATGTCGATCATCGGTTGCCCACAGACAAGAGACCGGTACCATATTGCATTGCCGAAGATATCATCCTCCTACATGGTGCTTTAAGTCGTTGACTACTCAATCAGGAGCCACTGGTTAGATATCCTGTATGCAGACAACGAACTGAAAGCGCTTCCGGCGATGGAGACTAGAGATATCGATTTAAATACCCTGACTCCAGACAGAGTTCCCCCGCACTTGTCTCCAAGTTCTGTACACACTGACACTCGGTTGAATGACCCGACGGGGTACCCAAGGTCAGCACTGGCACCTGCACGTGGATGTTCATCTATAAGACAATTATTTAGGAGTATTGAATAGTCACAAATGGCCATGGATGACCCAGAGTCGAAACCTGCAAATACCTATGATCTCTTGATTATTATGGACTCTTTCGCAATTGGTGTGGCCCCCGTGTGGGGTATGAGTGAGCCACAGTCGGACCTCTCACCCGATGTGCCGCCACTCCTCATCCCTCTCCACCAACTAAGGTTAAGAAAATTGGCCCTTGGAGACCATGACTTGAAAATCTAACGTAGACTTATACCATATTTCCTTTACCATCCTGCATTGTTCCTGTTTCTATCCACATTGCACTAGTGTTGCATTGAAGAAATGATTGTGAGCACCTCGGAATGAATGCCGAAGGTCTTGTCGCTAATTGAATATCAGAAGCCTATCCAAGCGCGCGAGCTCATCCCAGGAAGCACAGAAGGGCAAACTCTTGCTAGCAATGTTCCCCTCAGTTTCTGGGGAGGCGTTGACCCCGAGACCGGCGTCGTGATTGACAGTCATCATCCCTTGGTCGGGAAATCGGTCGCTGGCAAGATTCTTGCCATTCCAAGTGGTCGCGGATCTTGCACCGGAAGTGGTGTCATTCTTCAATTGATCCTCAATGACTACGCGCCACTTGCTCTCATATTCGGCCGGGAGGAGATGATTCTAACCATTGGGGTTCTTGTCGCCCAGGAAATGTTCGGCAAGAGTATTCCTGTTCTGAATGTTCCGATGTCTTCATTAAACCAACTTCAAGACATCAACTGGGCTCGAATTTCAGGCGGCCAGATATCTTTTGGAGTAGCCACAGATGACTCAGGGCTAGAGACGTCTTTGAAACAATCTGATTGCAAGCTTGATACTCCGTCGCTACATCTGACTCCTTTCGACCAAGAATTGCTGGATGGCTTGCATGGAAGAGCGGCGCAGATTGCAATGCGAGTAATTATTCGGACAGCACAGATTGAAGGCGTGACTTCGCTCATTGACATCACCAACGGACACATTGATTGCTGCATCTACACGGGACCCGCAACTTTAGAATTTGCACAAAGACTATGCGACATGGGAGGAAGATTCAGAATTCCGACATCATTGAACTCGATCTCTGTCGACCAAAGGCTATGGCGCTCTCAAGGGGTTGATCCGGCGCTTGGAGAGCCTTCCGAGGAGTTGGCGCGTGCTTACCTAGAGATGGGAGCTCGGCCGACATTCACCTGCGCCCCATATCTCCTCGAGGAAGCCCCAAAATTGGGAGAAAATATTATTTGGGCCGAGTCAAATGCCGTGGTATTTGCGAATAGCGTTCTTGGGGCAAGGACCATCAAATGCCCGGATTATCTGGATGTGATGTGTGCCTTGACTGGTCGTGCGCTGAATACTGGTTGTCATATAACCGAAAACCGCAAGGCCAGAATGGAAGTTCACTTTGCATCTGCCGAGGGGGGCTGATGATACTCTTTTTCCACTTCTCGGATACCTTGTTGGAGACATCGCTGCCGAGTGCATTCCCATTGTGACTGGGCTTGAAAAGCAGGGTATCACGACCGAGGACCTAAAGGCATTTGGAGCTGCCTTTGCTACTACAAGCTCCTCCCCAATGTTTCACATTGCCGGAATCACGATAGAAGCACGCAGTACCGAGGAGATTCAATACCACTTGAAAGATACAACACGGGTTACAATAACACGATCGGATTTAGTTAAGCAATGGTATCGATTCAACGACTACAGCGAGGGACACAGCGATGATCACATCGATTTAGTCTCATTAGGCAATCCTCATTTCTCGTATGACGAGATTGTGAAAGCCGTCAACCTCTGTTCGGGTCGCAAGAAGAGCGAGCGAGCTACTATGGTGATTACATGCAATCGAGATACATACTCTCGAGCAGCCCGGGACGGCCACATTTCTGCACTGGAAGATTTCGGGGCCCTGATAATTACTGATACCTGCTGGTGCATGATTCAAGAGCCAGTTATTCCCCCGGATCACGAACAATTATCACAAACTCGGCCAAATATGCCCACTATGGGAAAGGATTGACTGGTCGACAAGTTCGGTTTGGGGGGTTGGCACGATGTATAGAGGCTGCATGCACGGGGAAAGCGACCAACAAACCTCCCCAGTGGCTTATTGACACAGAAAGTACATGAATGAGAAATAAAAGTCACCTCGGGCAGCAGATATTTGGTGCCTTAACCCTGAGGTTGACCAACACCTTCCGATTAACTAGTTGCTATGTACTCCGCCACAAGCAAAGGCACATCACGAGCTTGGACAAGGCTGGCAGCACAGCCACCGCCAAAGTAATTTATGTATCGCGGATCTAGATAATCACTGGTAGTATATAGTTAACACATCTCGATAAGTCAGCGATACATTTTTAAAAGATTTTTGAAAATGACCCCATCACGCACCTCTCGCACACTCGGGGCTCTCCTCGCCCTCCACGCCGGTGATGCCCTCGGCGCACCCCTCGAATTTAAACCTCACACCGTCATCCGCGGTCTCCACCCCGGTCGCAACGCCAACGCTGAATTCCCTCGAACTCTTACTGGAGGAGGTTCTCACTCCTGGGCTCCCGGTGCTGCCACCGACGATACTGACCTCACCCGCGCCGTCCTGCTCGCCTACCGCGATGCCATCTGCAACGGCGACGATGTCGTCAACAAGGCTGCAGAACACTTTCTCGCGTGGTATCGAGGAGATCACTGGCCTAGTCGTCGACAAGGGAGCAAGCCTCGCGATATTGGCCGCACTACAAGGAAAGCTCTATCCTCGCTTGCTTCCTCCCGTCATCCCTCCTCAACAGGTGCTGGCGAGGGTAGTGCTGGCAACGGCAGCTTGATGCGTTGTATCCCTACAGGACTCTTCCAGAATGACCCGGAACTACTCATCAAGGAGAGCCAATCCATCAGCGCGATTACGCACAATGACACCCGATGTACTATCGCCTGCGCCGCCTACAACGCCATTGTTTCTGCCCTGGTCGTACGCGGTCTATCTGTCGAGGATGCCGTGTCTGCGGGCGAGCGTGTCGCTATCTCACTAGAAAGTGGCCGCACCGATGGGCCTGTCTACGGTGCCATGAAGATCGGACGCACAACCTCCCTCGTGGAATTGGCTGATAAGGGACCTAGAAAGCTTGGCTTCCCTGGTATGTGCGGCGGCTTTGTGCTTAATTCGCTGACTTTGGCGGTTGCTGCGGTCCTGGATGAGCGGAGATTGGACCAGGTGCTTGTCGATGTTGTTAGAGTCGGTATGGATACAGACACAAATGCTGCCATTGCAGGTGGTCTCCTCGGGGCGAGGGACGGAGAGGAGGCCGTGCTTGACGAGTGGAAGGATTTGCTGCAGTTTGGCCCGGAGTTTCGTCGCCTTGTTGACCAAATCTTGACAGCTCAGGGAGTCATACCAGAAGAGGGACAGAGTGATGAAGTAGGTCTATTCAGTGGGAATCATGGCTTGAATGTGTCCATTTGATTGGAGACACATAAAACGGACAATGCGGGATATAACTTGATACACGCAGTGATGTCTGTTCCTGTTCAATGAGGCCTCACACAATTACACTTCCAAGGTTGAGATATTAACGAAGCAAGAATAGCTATTTCCCTTGCAATATTTGACCCCTTGCTGCTAAGGTGTCTTGAATGTGGTACCGCTTCCTTTAGCTCCTCGTTCTCGTTAGTTTCTTGTTGGTAGCCACGTTCCTAACAACAGTTGATCAATAGGCCAGAAAATCGACGGAAATCCTGAAAAGGAGTCCTTGAAACCTAGAAGTCTACTCCACAAATCAAAAGGTTGTTATTGAGGGGCCTAACATCTGATCCGACGACTTCGGTATTTTAAGTGGCCCACATTCCACATTGTCCCCGCATCCCGACCATTTCCACGTGGCCTATAGAATTTATGAAGAAGCCATTTGAAGGGTCTTGAAAGTTTACATACCCTTGTTTATACCTTGCAGCTCGACAGGACGTACAACATGGAAAGCCAAGCAAACCAGGCGGACTGGGAAACAACAGACGTTCTCATCTGCGGATGCGGGCCCACGGGCGCAATGTTGTCCGGGTATTTGGGCAAGCTTGGGATTAACAACATTCTACTCGAGAAAGAAGCTGCCATCACCACTGATCCTCGCGGTATCGCCCTTGACGATGATGGCATTCGGCTACTGCAGGGTCTTGGCTTATATGAACATGTTTTTACTGAGATCGGTTCTTGTAATGGCGACACCTTCAAGTTTGGATGAATTTTGCTCGCCCCTTGGCTAACACCAATTGTTCGGATAGATATTGCCAAGGCCAAATTTATTAGCGGGACGCATCAAAATCTGCACGCGAAGCATTTTCTGCATTTCGATATGGCTTCGGTAAGAAATTCTAAATTGCGATAAGTGTTGGAGAGATGATTCCTAACCAGTAAATAGAGCGAAGGACAAACAGGGCATGTGGGTATCCTGGCTCACAAGCAGCCCATTCTCGAGAAACATCTCCGATCTACTATCGAGGAAGCCGATAGCTGCGAATTGCGGAGTAGCTGCACGTTAACTTCAATCTCTGAAGACGAAAACTGGGTCTACGCAACATATGATGACCCCCTGGGGAGAGAAAGGCGTATTCGTGCGAAATTCCTCGCTGCTGCGGATGGTAAGACTGGATTCACGCGCAAGATGTATTTAGAGCCGAAGGGGATTCGACTCGAATGGGCAGAGCAGTATGTTGCCGCGAGGCTCCTTGGAAAAAATAAAACTAACAATCTTTCCCAGAACCAAGTATGAAGAGACATGGGTTGCACTAAATTGGAAACTCCATCTTCCAACAAAAGAAACCCACCCTTCATTCCCACTATGGAATTTGGGATACACACCTGAGCAAGTCTATGACCTCTTCTTCCCCGTCGACTTTCGGTTCCTTTGCAACCCAGATCGCCCAGCCGTATGCGGCCGATTTGGTCTTTCAGAAGATCGTCTGTGGCGATTTGAGTTCGTTATCGCTGCCGATGAGGATGGCGTGGAGATGGCATCGGAGAAAAAAGTCCGCGATGTTGTGTACCCGTATTTGACGCATTCGGGGAGTCGCTATGGGTGAGATCTACGAGGAAACCCGTACTCATGCCCTTTACTAATTATGCCACAGTTTGAAACAAGACGTGTCATACCCAGAAGACTGTATCGAGGTCCTGCGGTCACGGCCATTTCGATTCTCAGCTCGAAGTTGCAACAAATGGAGTCTCAATCGAGTGATTCTCTGCGGCGATGCAGCACACGTCTTTCCACCATGTGAACCCCCATTCACCATTCCAACGAACCAAAGCTAACGTCTCGCATAGTTGGTGGACAAGGAATTACATCCGGATTCCGAGATGCAATCTCACTAGCCTGGCGACTGGCAATCGCATGCAAACCCGGTTCCAATCTCGACTACGAGCACCTGCTGACAGGCTGGTATCTGGAACGAAAACAGCAGCTTGATGCTTCACTCGCTAGTACTGTTCGAAATGGTGACATGGTGAATGGGAAAAACTGGAGTCACATTTTCTTCGCAATTGGGGTCTTTGGTTTCTGCAATTGGTTCCAAATTGGAAGCACTGGCTTGAACGTGGGCCCCGAGGAGCCGGACCTACCCGGTACACGCATACGTCCGAGATGCCCTTTCTACCGGAATTTGGTGGTGGTGTGAGCTTCCCACAGACTTACTGCATGAGTCTGAGAGACGGCTCAGAAGTGCAATTTACCGACGACGTGATATTCTTCGGCAAGAAGGGGATTTTCCAGATTGTGGTTCTACTGAATACTCTCGATGAAGTGGAATCAGCTATACAAGACATGGAAGAGGTCAAGGCGGCCGAAGATCTTATTTCTCCAGCTGAAGCTACTTTCTTCGTGCCTCGGGTTGCTTGCGAGTCGGCGCCTGCGGGTCGGCTGGATGCAGTGGTTGCCCGGCCGCTCTTCCGCACAGCGTCAAGCGACGAGTTTGCTCATTCGACTCTTTGCAATTCCCGACCAGAGCCGCGGGGATATAGTGAGTCTCTGATTTGGGATACTATAGAAGTAAAGCGATATGTGGTACTCAGATTGGATCGTTTCGTTTTTGCTACTTGTAATTCTAAGACCGAATTGGAGCGGGTCTTGAGACAATTGAGCACTTTGTTTTAGTTAGAACGGAGAATATTTTCTCAAAATACAAGTGCATTGTTTATTCCTTTCTTCTGATTACCTCCGAGGTTAATATCACTCAGGCCCAAAGACATGACTAAAGCTCGAGAGATCTTTTACCGTTGATGCCGATTATTCGGTAACGGGGTTGGCAATGACATCTGTACAGCCTAGTAGCAATGGCTGAATTTTATCTACCGCAAAACTCCTCCAACACTACTCCTCGAGCCGGATAGACCCCGCCATTTTGCGGGGCCTTGTGAGTGATTACTGTAGGATTGTATGGGTGAACAACCCCCACGGGGAAGCATTGCGGGCCGCAGTTAGCCGGTTGCCGCAGCCAGAGAACTGCCAATCAAAATACAGATTGATTGTTCAAGGTCTCAAACTGATAAATATGAAGAGATATCTTACTTAAAGAGGGATTCTGCTAGATAGAACTAATTTCTACTGCTTTTTCAATTCATTTGTGCTTTGTGGAAATGGAAGACGCAGCTGTGCCTCGGAAGCTCTGGGAGCACCCAAGCCCAGAATCTACCCAAATGAGTCGATTCCGGACCGAGTTGGAGTTATCCGTAGGACGCAAGTTCAAGGTGAGCAAAATATAATGGTGGATAAGCTATCTTGCTCAAGACCTAACTCGGATCAATAGTCATTTCATGAACTTTACCTCTATTCAATTCGGAATCGGTCTGAGTTCTGGGAGTTTTGCTGGAAGTATTTCCAAATCATCCATCGAGGAACTTACACTGCTGTGGTGGACGAGTCTGCAAGGATGGACAGTGTGCCTGCATGGTTTACCGGCGTGAAGGTAAATTTCGCGGAAAATGTACTCTTCTCTCGTCGTTTGGGCGATACCACTGGCAAAGAAGACACCAAAGTCGCCATCACAGAGATTCGTGAGGATGGGTTGAAGGAGGTGGTGCATCTTACATGGGGACAGCTGAGATCGAGAACAGGTCTTTTGATTCAGGCGATGAAAGCAAATGGTGTTGTGCGTGGCGATCGAATAGCCGTATGTGCTTCTAACAGCATGGATACTCTTCTCGTATTCCTCGCGTCGACAGCCTTGGGTGCGATATTCTCGTCCAGCTCGACCGATATGGGGGTGAAGGGGGTGTTGGATCGTTTGCTGCAAATCAAGCCTCGTTGGTTGTTCATGGACGATTTTGCCGTTTACAATGGGAAGAGGATTGACTTGCGTCCCAAGATGAAGGAGATAGCCGACGGAATGGAATCCATTAGCGAGTTCCAAGGTGTCATCTCACAGCCACGCGCATCATCTGAACCTGCTGATATCCAGAGTATCCCTCGGACCGAGACGCTTCCGGAATTTCTCTCCAAGGCAAAAGGCAAAGATCATCTGGAGTTCGAGCGAGTTGACTTCCGCGATCCCTTTTTGGTAGTCTACTCCTCTGGCACAACTGGTCAACCCAAGTGCATTGTTCACTCAGTGGGAGGCGTGCTATTGAATGCCCACAAGGAAGGTCGTTTGCACACAGATCTTGGGCCCGAGAGCACGGCATGCCAATATACAACTACGGGATGGATTATGTACCTGTCGGCCATTCAAACACTGCTCTTTGGGTCTCGGGTGATTCTATACGACGGAAGCCCTTTTGTGCCGGATGCCAGAGTGCTAATCGATATTGTAGCCCAGGAGAAGTATTGAGCCCAAAGAATAACCACTAGTATCTATACCGAGGACAGGCACTGATATATCGCAGGGTCACGCATCTGGGGATCTCCCCACGGTGGCTGCATGAATTGCAGCGAGCGACAATACGACCACGCGAGACAACAGACCTTTCATCGCTTCAAGTCGTGACTAGCACTGGTATGGTGCTGCGAGATGAGTTATTCGAATGGTTTTATGACGAAGGGTTTCCGGCACATGTTCGGCTGAACAATATCTCGGGTGGCACTGATATTGCAGGGTGCTTTGGGATTGGCAATCCTTTGAGTGCACTTTATGTAGGTGGGTGCGCTGGGTGCAGTTTAGGAGTGCCAGTTGAAGTCTTTGACTCAACTATTGAAGGAGGAAATGGTACCAAGGGCATCCCTGTGGAGGAAGGTGTGCCTGGTGAGCTGGTGGCCACTTCAGCATTCCCTAACATGCCAACGCAGTTCTGGGGCGATGCCAATGGCAAGAAATACCACGGGGCCTACTTTGAACGATTCGACAGTAAGGCCGCGTCACAGTTGCAAGTTAAGCCATCTCAGTGGTTGCTAACTACTAGGCAACAGATGTTTGGACGCACGGGGACTTTGTTTCAATCCATCCTATCACGAAGCAGCTCGTGTTCCACGGGCGAGCTGACGGGGTCCTCAACCCCTCCGGCGTCCGTTTCGGATCGGCTGAGATCTATCGGGTGATTGAGAGCCAATTCTCACACGAAATTGCGGACTCAATTTGCGTGGGCCAACGACGACCGTCGGATACGGACGAGCGGGTTCTGCTCTTCTTGCTGATGAAGGGCGGGGTGTTATTTACGGGTAAATTGGTTGATCGGGTCAAGAGTGCGATCCGAAGCGAGTTAAGTGCCCGCCATGTGCCGATGTACATATTCGAGACCCCTGAAATACCGGTAAGTGATTGATCAATCGAGCTCCATCGAGCTCCACTGAGACTGAGTTGAAATCGACACTGACGGCATGGTGGATCAGACCACGGTCAATTTGAAGAAAGTGGAGTTGCCTGTGAAGCAGATTGTATCGGGCAAGCGAATTCAGCCATCGGGGACCCTGCTCAACCCAGGCAGCCTGGATTATTATTATCGATTCGTCGAGATGGAGAGGCGGGAGAGCAAATTGTGAATTGTGGAGGGTGATTGGGCGGGGGAAGTGAGGCTAGACAGCGCATAAGGGGAGAGAGAAACAAGCCCCACTTTGAATTGTCCACTTAAATTGACGGTGTGCCCGGTTTTAGTTTTTGCCATTGTGCTCGTAAGGAGAATTCGGATAGGTCGGGTCTGATCATCGAGCCAAGCTTTCTCCAAGCTTTAGTTCATGCCCCATAGTTGTGAACCAGCTTGGTACAGCTGGGTTGTGTCATGACATTAGTATGCTGTATACTGTATACTCATGCTGTATGCAGTGATGCAGTAGATGTAGTAGATGTAGTAGACTCGAATTGACTGCATGCAAAAGCTGTGCAGATGCAGTGAAGTGAAGTGTGAGGTGTGTAGAAGAGAAGAGGAGGGGAAGTCACTGCGTCATTCTGCCCCGCAGAGCGTTGTGATTGCCTGTTTACACGTGCCGTGGCTTCTGCTTTGCTTGTTTTCAGCTTCTCCTCTCCTCTCCTCTCCTCTTCTCTTCTTTTCTCATTCCTCTCCTTCACCCTGCTTACTTCCACTTACCCCGGTAGTATCCCATCTCCACCCCGATTCATCATGGTTCATCTCGCTTCCGTCAAGAACGACGACGAGGTCTTTGACCCCGCCAGTCGCAAGATCGACTCCCTCTCCCCTATCCCCGACGAAAGCGAGATCTACACCAATGTCTACGGCAGTCGTTTCGCTGCCGAGCATCTCCCCGAACATGAGATGCCTGAGGGTGAAATGCCTCGCCAGGTGGCTGCCCGTATGATCCGGGATGAATTGAGTTTGGACGGTAACCCCAAGCTCAACCTTGCCAGTTTTGTCACCACCTACATGGAGGATGAGATCGAGGACATTATGACCGATTCCTTTTCCAAGAACTTCATCGACTACGAGGAATACCCCCACAGTGCCGAGATCCAGAACCGCTGCGTCAACATGATCGCTCGTCTGTTCAACTGCCCGACGGACCCCAGTGGAGAGAATGCCATGGGAACCTCCACCATTGGTTCCTCCGAGGCTATTATGCTAGGCACTCTGGCCATGAAGAAGCGTTGGCAGAACAAGCGCAAGGCCGAGGGCAAGGACTGGACCCGTCCCAACATCGTCATGAACAGTGCTGTCCAGGTCTGCTGGGAGAAGGCCGCCCGCTACTTTGATATCGAGGAGAAATACGTCTATTGTACCGAAACTCGCTTCGTGATCGACCCCAAGCAGGCCGTCGACCTCGTTGACGAGAACACCATTGGTATCTGTGCCATCATTGGAACCACCTACACTGGTGAGTATGAGGATGTCAAGGCGATTAACGACTTGCTGGTCGAGAGGGGCATTGACTGCCCTATCCACGTTGATGCCGCCAGCGGTGGCTTCGTCGCGCCTTTCATCCAGCCCGACCTCGTCTGGGACTTCCGTCTCGAAAAGGTTGTCTCGATTAATGTGTCTGGCCATAAGTATGGTCTTGTCTACCCTGGAGTTGGCTGGGCCCTCTGGCGGTCCCCCGAGTATCTCCCAAGGAGCTGGTCTTCAACATCAACTACCTGGGTGCCGACCAGGCCAGTTTCACTCTGAACTTCTCCAAGGGTGCCTCGCAGGTGATCGGCCAATATTACCAGATGATCCGACTCGGTAAGCACGGTTACCGTTCGATCATGGTGAACCTGACTCGCATTGCGGACTACATGTCGGATCAGCTGAAGCAGATGGGCATGATCATTATGAGCCAGGGTAAAGGAAAGGGTCTGCCACTGGTGGCATTCCGCTTGCCCCCGAACCCAGACCGCGTTTATGATGAGTTCGCCGTTGCCCACCAGTTGCGCGAGCGTGGTTGGGTTGTGCCCGCCTACACGATGGCCCCCCACAGCGAGAAGCTCCAGATGATGCGCGTGGTTGTGCGCGAGGACTTCAGCATGAACCGCTGTGACAGCCTCCTGATTGACGTGAAGCTGGCTCTTCAGACCCTGGAGTCTATGGATCAGGCGATGATCACCAAGTATAAGGCGTAAGCTGCTCCTCCTCTCCTCTCCCCTCCTGTGTTTTTTTTATTTCCACATCCTGACTTTTCGATAGCCATATGCGCAACCACCGGTCCCACCCCCGGCACAAGCAAACACATGCTCAATACCAGGGCGAGAAGCACTCACTGCAAGGCAAGCACGGCAAGACGCACGGAGTGTGCTAAAATGGGAGATGTGGATAGGCGGGGATCTTCCTTTGAGGATGCTGCACAGCCACGGAGGTAGCTTGGGTTCGCTTGGGCGAGGCTAGCTTTCGGGGATAATCAATGTTCAAGTTTGCCATTGACTATTTAGTGTGTGTTTAGTATTGGAAAGCTGATGTTGTCTACGATGTAATTGAATTGAATTGAATTGAATTGAATTGAGCGATCAATGAGGACTGCCAGTGACAGACAGTATAGCTGTAGTATTGTGGTTTATATGATACCCCGTCACCACTCGCAACCTCAGCCTTTCACTCTCCACCTCTCCACCTCTTCGCCCCCAACCCACTGGCATACGAAGTACCCATCCCCCCGGGAATAGTTGACTCCTCCGAGTCCTCGCACTTTGATGCCACAAATGCCACAGATGCCATGAGATTAAGGGGGGGAAATTCCTAGCTGCACCTTGCAAGGGATCTTCTAGAAGTGCAAAGCCTCCATTCCGACGTCAGCGGGGATAATTATAGCACAAGAGATACGAGTCCATCCCTCCACGCCAATCATTGTTGTCTTTGCGCTGATCAGCCTCCACCAGCCCTTCTCCCCTCCCCCCTCTTGCTGTGTTGTTCCTTTCGTGTCCCTCAAACCTGGCACACAAGAATGCCCTTCTTCAAGAGGAGATCACCGAATTCGAACTCGAATTCGAACTCAAGTGGGAACCCAGACAGTTCTACTAGTACTACTACTCCTCCTACAGGCAACTCCTTTGCTCGTTCGGTGGAACATCTCATCCACCCCGCCTTTGTTCAACAACAACAACAACAACAACCACAGCCGCAACCACCCCTCAACCCCCCCCGATTACGAGCAAGTTGGTCACTTCCCAGTCTCCGACCCTCGTTTATTGGGGGCGCAGAGACAGTCGCAGTCTGGAGTACAATCACAATCACAACCACAACCACAACCACAATCCTCGTTGCACCGTTCCCAAAGCCAACGTCAGCCCCACCTGCAGCAACGCGACCGACCGACTGTGAGTGTTGTCGCCCCTGAGCCTGAGCCTGAGTTTCAGCCTCAGCCTCGTCAAAAAAGAGGTCTATTTGTGCGCCCCTCTTCGGGTATTCTCGATCGCAGTTCCAGTGTTTCCATCAGGGGCAGGACCATCTCTCATCCCATCTCCCAGCCTGCCTCGCCGCAAGTGCCCTTTCTCAACACTTCCGACGATCACGTCGCCCATTACTCCCACGAGGATCACTCTCCTGCAACCCATTCTTATGAAACCCGATCCACATCGTTAGCCTATCAGCAGCAGCAGCAGCAGCAGCAGCAGCAGCAGCAACAACACCTCCGACAACCATCGCGTGAACAAAACGAACGGTCGCCCCAGTCGCAATACCCCTCGCAGCAATTCCCCGCGCCGATCGACCAGCCCTATCCCAGGCCCCTTGTGCGCTCCAATACCGATCCAAATTTGCTGGGTAACTCCAGCCAACCTTCGTTCACCGAATCCACCGACGAATCGCCCCATCCCTTCGAGGGCCCCCGGGGTCAGCCCCATCGTTCCCAGCAGGACCTGGTATTGAATGCCCGGCCCCCTTCCCGGCAATCCTACGAGCCACTCTCCCCAATTCATTCGCAGACTCATCCTGACGCCATGCAGCAGGCTTCCGCGCAGGCACCACCATCATCATCCAACGATCAGCTGTCGGGGAGTTCTAGTCGTCGCGGGAGCGCGACTGCCCATAACATGCCCGATCAGCCTGGCCGACAGACGCCGACCAGCAATCGTCAACGCGAAGATCCCGGAGATATCGATGTTCGAGCTTTGCTTCAGAAGCATGAAGAGTTACGTATGTTTAATGGATCTACCCCATACTTTCCCCCTCTTTTTCTTTTTCTCTACTGTTGGTTGGTTCCAGCGGTTACAATTGTTTGGTTGACTGATACTGATCTGATAACGATAACAAATAGAGAGCAAATACTCCAAAGTCAAACGTTACTACTTCGACAAAGAGGCCCAAGTCCAGCATCTCCAGAATACTGTCGCCCATCAGCGTATGGCCGTGTCTCGAACCGTGCTAGACGATAATGAATACGCGAACCGATTCCAGCGCCTGGATGGTGCCATCAAGGATCTGGCATTCTCCGTGCGGAAAGATTGGCGCACTGTTCCCTCATGGTTGCACGGTCTGGTGACCGAGGACGCCGTCACAACCGGCACAAAAGAGATGACTGCCATGGGCCGAGCTGTGGTCAGTAAATGGCTTGGGGAGGAGGTTTTCCACAAGTACTTCCATCCGGGATTGGATCCTGCGCTCAGCGTGCAGCTGAAGAGCATTGAGATGAACCTGCGCCGACAACAAATGCGCCCATGCACGGACGAAGATCGAGAGAATGCCATCGCTCGACTTTCTAACTGGCGCCGCACAACTTTTGACGGTCTTGGCGATGCACTGTCTACCCCAGACGCTCAAGAGTACCGCGCGGAGTTAATCGAGCACCTGATCGCCGAGCTAGCATCATTCCTGAGCACACAGCTCCAAGAACCCGCGCTGGCTGGCCTAGAAGCAGGCGTCCGGATGATCATCGAGAACACCGTCAACATCGCCGAGAAGATCCCGCTCGAGGCTCGCGACGTTTACGTGGAGTACCTACCGACCAATATTGCTTTTGCCGATGCATTTATGAAAGTGGAAGGCCAACTGCCACCACTATCACACCTCCCTCAACCCCCAGCGGACCAGGAACCCGAAGATCCCGCCGCAGTAGAGGGAGACTCATCGCCCGCTTCCAACTCCACCGGAGCCGGCGAGGGCACATCCCCAGCCCCACGCGAGTCCAAGAAGAAATCCGTCTTCGACGCCATAAGAAACCGCAAATCTGGTGGAGCCGACCACGGTCGATCGGGGGCATCCCACCCGCACGAAGAAAAGATCGAACAGCCTGAGGTTGCGATTCCGCCCCGAATTCGATTCTCTTCTTTCCTGACGGTCGAGGTGCGCGGCAAGGGCCAGGCGATGGTCCTAGTGAAAGCGCCTGTGTGGCTGATAGAGTGAACAAAAAGTAGGTTCGTTGTATATATCATGGACGCACGACTCATGCTGTGCTGCAAGTGGCATGGTGATGATGAGCACGAGCTTAAGCTTGAGCTTCGGCACGATTAAGCATTGATATCCCATTCGTTATTGTTCTTGTTCTTGCAAGGGTGGATTTTGGCGGGAGGAAGGGGAGGATATCCATGGATTTTATTTAGTTTATTTTTCAGATTCGATTTGAATACTTTAAATATCATGAGGTGTATACCGGGCAGATGATTCACGGTGTTGCCCAGGGCAGTTTATGACTTGAATTTTAAGTTCACCTGGTAATTGAGTACATCCAGTCCTGGTGTACTAGTTACTGAGTAACCCGTCCATATGTTCCTATCATTCCTAGTACCATCCTCCTCTCCAATTTGAAACTTGGAAGGTTGCCCTTTTCATCGAATCCCTGGATGCAATTAATTACAGGGGAGGCGGTGCCAAATCCAGCCCCTCAACAGTTAACTTAAACGCATCGCTGCGGGAATAACTGCCTGCAACATCCAAATCCAACCGGCCACGCTCACAATCATCCAGATCAATCTGCGCAATCGCCAGCCCATCCCCAGCCGCAATTGTTTCCTCCTCAATATCCGCCATAATATGCGGACCGGAAGGGTTACTAGCAGCAGCATCCTCACTATCAGCCGAATCATCCGTAGAAACCTCCCACAACGGGCCTGCAAGGACGGCACCAAGAGGCGAAACTATACAAGACCCGCCACGAGAAACAAACTCATCGGCACCAGCCTTAGCCTGACCAAGCTGTTCAACTTTCGCAGCCAACTCCTCAACCTTATCCGTCACATCGCCCACCTTAGAACCAGCATCAGTATCAGAGGGATGGCCCTGACCCTGCGGCCAAACAATCTCATGGGGACCCTCCGAAGTAATAGAAAGTTTCCTTCCAGACGGCTGAGGTCTAGACTGTGTCTGCGGCGGCACACCACCGACCGCCGAAACAGCAGAAGACTCATCAGAACCGGTAATCCAGTCCGGTAACTCTGAAGATCGAACACACTGGTTCGCCGAGAGAACAAAGCACCGTCCCTCAGCACCAACAGTCCGCATAAGAGGCAGCCACGTATCGCGGGCATCAGCCGTAGGCGCGAGGTAGATATTCACATTCTGCGAGTACAAACTCTGGCGTAGGAGAGGCATGTAGTTCTCCCAACATATCGCCGAAGCCAGGGTTAACGGTATACCGTTTAGGGTTGTCGTTACGGCACGGAGAGTCGAAGCCGACCCCTGGCCCCAGATTAAACGTTCTGAGCCGGTCTGAATGTTATACACAAACAATTAGCAAAACCTTCAAGTTTAGGGTAGAGTCTCGGGGCCGGCAGGAAAACAAACCGGCATAACCTTCCTCCTCTTCCCCAAAACACCCCTAACAGGATCAACATAAACAACAGCACAATAAAGCGTCCCACCCACTCTCTCCACAACACCCGTAACGATGAAAACGCCTGTCTCAGCCGCAATCCTCTCAAGCGTCTCCCTCGTCCCATCACCACGATGACTCTTGCCGACGGCAACAGGTAATCTCCTCTCGATCCAGTCATCACCGCCTCCGGCAGGTGTATCGCCCAGATCAACGGCTGCCTTGAAATAGGCTAGGAACTGATCCCGGCCGCGCGGGTGTCTCAGCTCCGACTGCGGCACCGAATGAGCAGGTTCGTGGGTATCCGCCTAGATAGGCTTCCGGGAAGAGAATTAGGTGCACGCCGCGCTTGGATGCTGTTATAGTTGTGCGTTCTAGGGCGGCGAGGGTTGAAGGGAGGGTGGCGCGAGTTCGGGCTTGGGCCACTGCTACTGTGAGATGAGACATTGTGGGTGGGTGGGTTGATAGGTAAATTTAGTGTATTTCGGTTGATTGATGGGGATAGTTGAGATGAATTGCAGTGTATAGCTAGGTCGATCAAAGTAGATCATTGAAGTTTAGATGGAAGTGGAGGTGGGGTGGAGGTGGAGGAGGAAATAAAGTAGACTCAGGACAGTGGGAGTCCGGGGGTGGGGCGTTGATAAAACGGGGAAATGACATCATGCGTACTTCACTGCACCAAGTAGGGCTAAGGTCAACCTCAAACCTCACGCTAGAAAAGTTAAATATACTTCGTTTATACTCCTTGCAGACGAGCAGGGAAGTCCCTGTAGTATCTAGCACATGCATGCATGCACACGGTCATCATGTGTGAATACTTCATGCTTAAGAGCCAAGTGGTGGCACAACACTGGACTACAGTACAGTGGCAACATTTACTCAGTTCTTCAGGAATAATAGTAATCTTCAATATCAGTCTGTTCTATTGGCAATCCATCGGGCAACACCAGCCCCGGGATGAAGAAAAATATGTACAAAAGCCATGCACACCGCACGAAATGCAATTTGAATTTTGCAGTGAAAAGAAATCACAAGAAAAGAAAAAAAAAGAAACTCTCTGGTTCCCGGGTATAGCGCCTCGCGATGATAAAGAAACTTGAAAGAAAAGCGCGCAGACAAAACCCAGATGGATGAAAATGCCAGAAAATTCAAGTTGCCAGAACGAGGTGTCAACGAAAGAAAGACTTGAATCAAAGCAACAAACACATTGCTGGAACGCGGAAGGGAAATTCGTATCGTCGAAAATATCGAGGTTCAATGCAGAGTGAGTCGAAGTAAAGGCAGAGGCTGAAAATGGACATGAAAGAACGGAAGATTATTTTCAAGATGAAAGGCCTTTCCAATCACTCTGTTCGTGTGGAGAATGGGTTATGCGGTGGAGATACCGTTCGCATTGGCGGCTTGCTGGAGCACGCGAGGCCAGCGTGAGATAAGTTCAACATCGTCGAGGACACCCTTGCCCTGGTTTCGGACGTATTGGGTCGAGGGATCAACTCGATGCTCATGGTCCCAGTAGGTCGGAGTGCCCTTGATGAGAGCAGAGTAGACGAGACGGCGGCGGCGCTGAGAGCGCAGAACATCTTGGCGGATCGATTCCAAGTCCCATTTGTTGTTGACTTCCTCGACGAAGTAGGCTAGGAGCTTGACTGGGTCCGTCGTGTTGGGCAGCGCCGCCTCGCCAGGGCTGGGAGTGCGCGGGGGAGTCGGTGATGGGAATGGGTAGGATTTGTCGGTGGCACGCTGCGGGATGGGGGAAGCGTGAGGTGAGTCGAGAGGCGTGGGCAGGTTGGCCACGGCCAGAGACAAAGGATTGCCAGATTTCACTGGCGCACGGGCTTCACGGACAGGGGCAGATGGGATAGGAAGACCTGCTGCCAGATTGGTCAACTCCTCCGGGTCGCTGGCCACGTCGAAGAGCATAGGCGGGTCGATTGGTGAGTAGACGAATTTCCAGCGGCCCCTTCGAATCATAACGACCGGCGCCTGAGTTCCCTCTCCCATGTACTCTCCGTAAACAGTGTCGGCCCTGACGCCATCCTCCCCGGTCAGATATGGTACCAGGGAAACACCGTCCAGGGGCAGGCCTGGGACGAGACGAGCTCCCACGAGGCCGGCGAATGTGGGGAGCAGATCCATAGTGGAGACATTCTCGGAGACGCGCTTTGGAGCAAACTTCTTGGGAGCATGGAAGAGCATGGGCACTCGGGAGGAGTTCTCGAACCAGGCCATCTTGTACCACAGGCCACGTTCGCCAAGCATGTCACCATGGTCACCGGTGAAAACAATGATGGTATCCTCGTCTAAACCAGTGTTCTTGAGGACCTTGAGCAGCTTGCCAATGTTGGTGTCCACGTAAGTGCAGGCGGCATAGTATGCACGGCGGGCTGCCTTGATGCGGTCCTCGGGCAAGTCCTTGCCAAACAGATCGATGCACTTGAGAATTCGCTGAGAGTGCGGGTCCAGCTGGTCGTGAGGGATAGCGCCATTCTTGGGAAGCGGAATCTCGACATCTTCGTACATGTCCCAGTACTCCCTGGTCATGGCATAAGGATCATGAGGGTGCGTCATGGAGACGGTCAAACAGAAGGGCTGGTCAGTGCGGGTGCGGACGTGGTCGTACAGGTACTGTTCCGACTTGTAAATCACCTCCTCGTCGAAGTCGAGCTGGTTGGTTCGGACGACAGGACCGGCATCCATGACCGAGGACATGTTGTGATAGTAGTCGAGGCGAATTTCGGGTTCATCCCAGTTCACCGACCAGCCGTAATCGCCGGGGTAAATGTCACTTGTTAGACGCTGCTCGTAACCGTGAAGTTGGTCTGGTCCACAGAAATGCATTTTTCCAGCCAGGGCCGTGTGGTAACCCTCACGACGGAGGTAGTGGGCATAGGTAGGAATGTCGGCAGGGAAATCCGCCGCGTTGTCGTAAGCCCCAATCTTTGATGGTAGCTGACCACTGACCATGACGAAGCGCGAGGGGGCGCAAAGAGGAGAGTTGCAGTAAGCAGAATCAAAAACAACACCCTCACCGGCCAACTTGTCGAGGTTGGGGGTCTTGATGGGGGAGTTCTTATCATGGAGGGAGAGCAGAGGGGCAGCCATCTGGTCAGCCATGATGTAAAGGATGTTTGGCTTTTTGGTAGCCATTTTATCGAAGTCTTGGCCTTCGCCTTGCAGAGGAGAATAAGCTCAAGGGAGAGAGAGAGAGAGAGAGAGAGAGAGAGAGAGAGAGAGAGCTGGAGGCACGAGGAAAGGTAGGAAGGAAGGAAGGTGGAGAGTGGAGGATGAGAAGTTGAATGGGGAATGAAGAATGGAAAGATGAAAGAATGGCGGAAGCGGGTGAGGGGGTAGATATAAGTGAAGAAGAATGGCACATGTGGGGGAAGGACAGTTCAGAGCCAGACAATGCAAAATCAAACAAATTTTTTGTCCAGACTATCTGAAAAAGGAAAATTGACACTGGAGGTACGGAGGTCTCCTACTCGACACGAGGGCCCGAGAGCCGGAGCTATAGTTGGTTACAATACGGTACACTATAGTCTACATCTGATAATCCAGATCATCGCCAGTATACATACATAGTTACTACAGTACATACTGTACGAATAAACTGGGGATCTCCACCGCTCGATCCAGCGGAGTCATGAGTTCGACTAAGGAGACTACTGCATGGAAGATCAGGGGAAGCGGTGACGTACTCATTGAAGGCGCAAGATCGAGCAATTGCTGGGTGCGATGGTGTGATTGTATGATGTGACAGTATTTACAGTACAGTATCCAGTATACAGTATAGTGGGGAGTATACTCAGTATACTCAGTATACTAAACCGAATATCATGATCATCTATTCCATCCTCCATCCTCCATATCTCCGTTCCACCAAATGTCCACATGATCACTCCAATGCGGATTCCGTCTCCTCGTCGAGTCACTAAATCCCTTACAAAGAGAGTAAGTGCCCAAGTGCCGAGTGATTGTGACTTGACTATTTGCCACGCTATTACTCAACCATCCCCGGTCCACCGCCATTCTGACCGTATCATTACAACTAACAGATGTAACAAATAAATCAACTTCCACCCCCTTCCACCCCAACGCAAGGAATCCTCACAACTTTTGCATGTATGTCTGGACATATCACTTGTAATGTTCAGTGCAATTATCACCTACTCTCGACCCCAGACTCGTCAGTAAGGTTATCCGCCTTGGGCTGACCCTTGTAACGCCGGCGATCTCAGCCGAACAACCCGACCACCGGCGCAAACCTTGCTCCCCACCGATCGTGTCACCCTGCCCATCCTGGCCAATCATTCCAGGCTTCATTACCCCTGGGACCGACTCGTCGGCGAGACGATGTCGTGCTAGCCACCTTCAGGCATGCTTGGGGCGTTGTCCCCACTTGCTTATCTCTCCAGCCAATCATTACCTTTCTGCTTCGACCTCCGAATTGAGCACCGCACAAAAATCAGCACTTTGCCAGGAGCCGACGGGGGTGCCCGATAAGCGACGAGTGCAGGATGTGCAAAGTGCAGACTGTGCAGATGGCACGGACTTTGGTGAGCAGAACAGAAATGACACCTGGCATTCCGGTTTCAACATACTCGTTACGGAATACCCATATCCACACTTGTTCGCACTGTGCAAGTAGATCAATGAGCAATCCCCCTGTCTAAGCACGCCATGCGGGAGCGGTCTGTTCCAGCCGCCCCCGGATTCCATAGCATACTCGTACAATGCTCCATATTTGTTCACTGTACAGCCTACAGACTCAGACTAGACTTAGGCCGCGTGGCGTTGAACACGAGTACAAAGTACGAGATGTACGGAGTACAAAGTTCCCCTGTAATCAGATGTGATTCGATTCACCGCCGTTTCGCGGCTCCAGGTTCTGCATAAGATCCGGTCCCCACCACATTGCACTAGCTGGACTATTTCTCCTGAAGCAGCATGGCGTGGTGTACACTTGGGACACTCTCGGTTTGAGTCTCGTCCAGTTGAGCTACTCTGTGCGGTACTCTGACCCCATACGGAGTACACCAAGAGGGACTACTACCAATAGGGACAATTGTGGAACATCGCAGCCACCATATACGGAATACTCGTACGGAATACCTGGGCTCCATCTAGGTATCTGCTTCCTGAACTGCACGATGACGGAGAATTAAATTTAAATTTAAATTACAGCGTGCACCAGCGATGTACAATCGCAAGCTAACTAACTAACGACTGTACATATGTGCGTAAGTAGATATGTGAGCAGGATTGCTTCTCATCAATCACATCTGCCAACAATCAGCACTGCACAACCACTCGTACACACTCCCTTCAAGAAAAGGGGAGAAATACAGTGGCGTTGCAAAAGTTTGAAACCCCATGTTGACTGTTCTTGTCTCCGCCTTCTAGTCGCGGACTAGTAGCTACCTGAGATGGAATAGATTGGCCTATCTATTCCATCTCAGGTAGCTAATAGGTTCCCATTAGCAGGCCGTAAATCATGGTGGGCAATATGGGGTTTCAAGCTTTTGCAACGCCACTGTCCATACTCCGGGTTGAAAAAAGCAAACCCAAGATCCACTTTCCTTTGACAACCCGTCAATGTCACTCCGCCACCCCGTTCATATGTTTGTTCCCACGTCGACAATCATTTCCGACCTTGTGCCGTTCCGGTTACGTCTACATGAGAAAGAGAAAGAGATTAGGGGAGAGTAGATAGTCCATTCATAGGATAAGATAAGAATAAAGAAAACTATGTACTCCCCAGGGCTGTCTGTAACCCGAAGAGAATGGAGGTTAAGACCTAACCTGGCCACCCTGGCCAACACCGCATCCCTCCCTCAAAAGATCAACGCACCTTGTCACAGATGAGCGTAAAGGGCGGACAAAGGATCAGCAACAAATAGGAGAAGCGAAAAAAAAGAGAATCCATCATCGTCACAACTAGAGAAACTTGAGACCTTGCACCCACTTCCTAAAAAAATGAGCTAGTAGAAGCACAATTCTACTAATCCCAAAGTGAATCTTCCTGGGAGGGAGGCGGGTTATTCCAGTCGTCTTGAGGATCCCAAAAATCCGTCTCTATTTCAGGCCGAATCCATTCATTGCCGTCTCGCGGAACGTTATGCAGAAGGCACAGACGGCAGTCTTCGTCCAGTCTGTCTGGGCAGAAGAATGGGTCATCGCGATGTGCTATGGCATACTCAGCTTCAGCGCGAAGTTCTTCTTCTGTTTTCTTGGGCCATTGCTCAAGTTTCGTCTTCATGACCGGCGGCAAGTTGGCCATGTACCACTGAGTCAGGTCGCGAAGAGCGACCGCCGCCTCAAAAACATTACCATTGCTACCTTTCGGGAAAGGACGCTTTAGATGCACGGGAACCAGCTTGCGTAGACCAGTCTTCCAGAGATTGAGTCGGACAGACTTGTCCCGGCGGGACTCCAGCTCTTCGATGTCGATAATGCGTCTGTGCATGAGTCGAAGCTCCAGCAAGTCTCGTGTACCACCAGAGTAAGTGATGATGATGGTCTCAGGGCCAACAAAGTCCCAAACACGATTGCGAGCAGCGTCGCGTCCTTCAAGGACAGTCCTCATTCTTCGCGCACTCCGTAACATCTGCCAATCTACACCGGTCCAGTGAGTGTTCAGATGGAGCATCTCTACATTTTCGCCGGGGAAGACGAGCGAGTTGATGAGAATCTCTCCGGTGAAAAAGTCAAGCATGCCGATACGGACGATTTCACGATCGCCGTTGGTGGCAATGCCCGCCTCACAGCTCAAGACAACGGCGGTTCTGGGGTCAATCGCCACGCTTGGATCAGGGGTGGCATAGAGATGCCACGCTTCCTTGGCTTCGTCTGAGTTGAACTGTGGGAACCTGTGGTAGTCCGAGTGATGGCATCCTTTGGAGTCAGGCCAACCACCGCAACAGGACCACTTCTGGAATTTAATTAGCGGGATTCAAATGTTGAAGACAGAGGGGAAGAGACAATGAGAACAAGGATCATAACTTACCCTGTTGGCGCCGACCGTACCATCATGACCGATGCATCGGGCCTTGCGAACCGTCGAAATGTCAATACTCTTTGCGACGTAGTCATTCCAGGTACAAGGAACCATATAGTTCCACCATTCCATCACCTCGAAGTTTTTGGTGATGCCTGAGACAGTGTAACAGGGCTTTTGCGGGTCCATCTCGATGCCGAGGAGAGGCTTTTCTCTCCACTCCGGGATCAGTGACGTGCGATTATCGTCGGTTGGTTCAATTTTGTGACGAGGCTTTGACTGCATCGCTCTGGCATACTCCCGGGGGGTAGTATTGCTCGATTTTCATATCAGGATTGGGAAAATCATTCTGGAGAATGTAACCCTTTGTACGGGGATCATTACTTGTGATGATGTTGCCACCGCTGGTGAAGATCATCGGCTTGGCCTTGCCCTCGGGCCAGAAGTCAAAGTAGCGAGTAGTCTCACGGCGAGCTGCGTCCTTCTCGGCCTGGGTGGCCGGACGTGTGCGACGCTTCGCTTCGGACGACTGTTCGAGAACTATGATGAATGTTTAGTCTCATGTTCCAAAGTGAAATGCAGATAGATAGAGAAGAGAAACTTACCAAAGCAATCTATGCAACGGACTTGCTTCCTGAGGATCTCCCAATCTTGGTACTGTTCGAAGCGGTACTTGTACTTATCACTGATCATGTCCTTTTTATCCATGGTCAGACCATTTAGGTCCGCTAGGATTTCATCGCTACGCTCAATGTCGTTGGGACGAGAGGATTGAAACGAAGAAGCTGAGGAAGACATGGCTGACAGCGGTGCAGTAAAAGCTTGCTCGGTGTCGAAGAAAGGAATAGATGGGGCAAAACGAAGATGTGACTTGGAGAGTAGTGGAGGTTAGGAACGAAGGGTGGAGAAAAGAGAAGCGGGTGAAGGAAGAGGTGAGGAGAGAAGAGAAAAAGGAGACAGGCTGAGGAAAGGAAGTGAGGGAAGTGGCGAAGAGGGTCACCTCGCAGGAATCCCCTTCAAATGAACACGAAGTGCAATTCGTATCCGATATTCGAAGTGAAGTGCAGTGGCATAACAGGGCAAGATGCCCGGCGGAGCGAAGTCGTAGCCACAAATGAAGTTCCACAACTTCGATATCGATATGGTGAAGTAGAATTTGTCTTTGTTGGTAAGAGAGGAAATGAAGCTGGGAGAAAAGTGAAAGTTGGACAGGAATGTGTGTGGACGTCCTTGTTAAGCTAGCAGGATCATGTGCCAGATCCTGCGTCATACCATGAGCAGATGTGAGAATATTGGCGCCTGAAGGACGCCTGGGACACCATGATTCAGAGGGGTCGATATCTGGTTGTGGCGCCTGTGCAAACGAACGTGAATGAAGTGCGGATGAGTGTGGTTGGGCGATATTCATGGATTTGATGGAGCGCCTGTACACAACTACAGAGGCAGGTAGTTTGTTTGATAGAATGAAATTCACATTTAACAAATAACAATACACAACCTGTTGCAACCACCTAAATAATTGACGGCGGATTGACAACACTTATGCCGTGCTGTACATGCACCCTTCATTTAGATGGCACAATGATGAAGCTTGAAGGACAGACATAGAGAAACAACAGAACAGGGGGCTCAAAACGTCTGGTGAAGACATGCAATTAAAGGACAGGATACGCCGTGGTGGTCGACACCAATGCTGGTCAAGGAGACATATGAAGTCGTGAGAGTGAGGTGATAGGTGGTGGTTTAATCAACCTTAATGGCACTGTTGAGCTTGTTAGTGTCTAGCGCAGGAAAATGTGGGGAAGCGGGTAAGGCCGCAGCCATCATTGATCGTACCTATAAACTCGCCGAACAAAAGCATAGGCTGCAAGGAATCCAACGGTTCCAGTCAACAGCCCGTAAACAGCACAGGCAAGAAAGCTATAGCTGAAAAAGAGCAGCCCCGATACGAATCCTGTGATGTGAAGCTTGAAGGCGTAGTACCAAATGCAGTAGGCAAAAATCCAGAATGCACTACTGCCGCCGGTCAAAAAGCTCTGCCACCACCAGTGATAGTTCTGGAGAGGTTAGTATAAAATTTGAGGCGGGGACGCAATCCCCAAGGGAAAGGGAACTTACCTCGGAGCAAAGCTGGCTGTATGTCGCAATGATCGTCACTTCAACGACGGTAACGAGGAGTACGGTAGAAACCACACTCAGAAAACCGAACACGTAGTAATAGCCGCTCTTATCTTGCCATAAATTCTTGAACAAGAATAGGAGCTCGATGAAGAGGACGGCAAATGGAATCAATCCGGTCAACAGAGGGCCGGCGGGACTGCGCAGGTACCAAGGCTGGAGCGGAATTTGCCGAGCGATAGCATTGGTCTTCAAGGGGTGCTCCCAGGCCGTCGCACGCACAAATCCAGCCCAGCTGCCTATGTATACCAGGGGAACTTGGATAAGCAGCCAAAGAGCTAGGAGGCCAATCAGAGTGCTGAACGGGATGGCAGTACTGGACGCTTGAGCCCAAACAAACAGGTTCAAAACCAATACGAGGAAGAACGAAAGCCCGGGGAACAACAGAGCGGTGATCAAGGTATTCTTTCGCCAGGTCGATCCACCAAAGGTCTTATAGAGCCGTCCAGAGAAGTAGCCCGAGAAGACACCTGCAAAGACAAAAAGACCCATGCCAACGCTGACGAATCCACCACGGAAACTGGGGTTGAGAATGCCCAGGCAGCTCAGGAGAAGTAGACCGGTAGCCATGAAAAGAAGCTGCATGCCAGAACCGATAAGCGGAGCCAAAAGACCGCTGTAAGCGGGGATTCGGAAAACGTCGCCGTGAAGAAGCTTCCAGCCACTGGTGTCTTCGAAGGATTCATCATCCGAAGACATGTCCGCTTCGTTCTCGACGTCGGCATTGTCGAGCAATCCTTCTCCCTTCTTCTCCCCGGAGCGCTTGCGTCGAGATTGCGCTTTGAGCTTACGGTCCTCCATGGCACCATCGCCACGGCCTTTAATGTCGCCCTGGACGGTTCGGCTCCAGATGACAAACACCGTTACTCCAAGGACAGCCGAGATGGTCAAGGAGTTGATAATCGCCAGCCAATGAGTCATGGATCCTTCCTCCTGGTTGGTAAAATAAAGATCCCAGCGGTTCGCCCAGTCGACTTTATTTTCTTCCCGGAAGTAAACAGAATAGGTATACGGGATCTTCAGCGTGGCTCCATCGTCATCCTCATCGTCTTCCGGGATGTAAGAAAGACCAGCGTACTTCTCTCGAAGTCGCGACATGTCCGGTGCAATGAACAGACCCAGACCATCCTGCTGCTTGTGCACATCCTTCGGACAACCGCCTTCCAAGCGATCCTCTGCACTGATACTCTTCGGGTATACCTCAAAGCCAACAATAACCTTCCCTCCCTCCGGGACTCCTCGCCAGCGAATAACAATGGTGAAATGGTTGTTTAAGAAGTAGCGCGAACGGCCAGTAGCGGGAGAGATGTCGCGATAGCCGAGCTTGAAACCCGAGGCGTAATATTTGCGGCTGCGGTCGACAGTCACAAAGCTCGTTGCGCCGGGCAGGTTGTCGACAATCCACTCAATGACATAGTTCTCTTTGATGAGCTGGCGGGCCCATTTCACGTTCTCGCGACCGACCTCGGCCGAACACAGGGATTGGCATTCCACATCTTTGCCCATCTCAAGCTCAAAATCGGATGTCATGATACGGTCGCCACGCAACACCTCGCCGAGATTGAGCGAGATGCTTTGACCTGATCCGAAGGGGGATCCACCATGCTTATTGCCGCTCGGAGGACAGACGAAGGGGAGGTCGAAGTAGGCATATTGAAGTTGGGTGTGGTCGGAGAAGATCTTGTTTACAAGCAGAGGGATTGCCTCGCCATCATTATACCGGGTGACCGAGTATCCTTTCAAAGGAGCGAGATTGTTAGCTATCAATGCCCCTCAAAGGTGGAGAAGATCGACTGGGGGCGATGTGGATGAAGCTCACCAGGGATGTAGAATGACCAGGTAGCCGACACAAAGAAGAACAGACAGAGTGCCCAACTACGCGGACACAATGGCCCCATGGGCATGGTATACATGATTGTAAGAGATGGGTGTTTGGTTCAGCTTGCCCCGTCAGCTTGGGTCAGCTTCTCAAAGCGCATGCGATGCGGATGTTGTGTTGGTCGGAAGGATCGCTCAGAGGTGGGAGTGGCGAAGTGTAGATCCCGAGTGGTTAAAGGGATCAACACCCCTTGATCTTCAAAGATACAGTATTCCGGTTCAATATCTCCGTCGGGTGGAGTTTATACAAAACAAATTGAATACGGGGGTCAGCCCAGGGTGGAGAGGGGGGGATGCACGCTAATGAGATGATGCTTGGCGGATGACTTGATAGTGGTAGCTTGAATGCACGAATCAGCCCAGAGAGATAGGTGAGATTGCCACAGCGGATCAATACCCCGTTGTGGAGGGGAAACGAATGTAATTGGCAATGAATGCCGGCAGGGGAGTGAAGAGTGATTGGGGGGGGGGGGGTGAACACACTGGGTGAATTCAAAGTTCAAGAGATTCCAGCGTGTTCAAAGCAAAGCAAAGCAAGGCTGACTAACGGCCCTTGCGTGGAGCTTGGTGGAGCGTGACCTGGGGAATTCCATGGGGTCTACTAGTAGTAGTATTACATAGTAGTACTATGTATCACTATTATTTATTGGAATCTGTTAGTAATATCACAACTATCATGACACTACTAGGTAGGTAGTAACTAGTAGGTGCCAGTGGTTCACAGTATATTGAAACTAATCGTGGTCCAGGTGATAGCCTATACTAGTGCTACTAATAGGTGTACAGCAACTTGAATATATACTTCAAGCACTGGCACCTGGGCACTGGCACCGTGACATGGCACGATAACCTTCAGAGATCCCTAGTACGGGAAATCAACTTGAAAACTTGAGCTTAAACTTGAAACTCTGGAAATTACTTCTATTCCAAGATCCACACGGCAGTGAAGCTACTACTCTAGTACGTACTATTATACATAGGCTTATACAAGCCCCAGAGTTAGTATACCATGATCCATGAGCAAAGCAAATCGTCCAGCTCTGAAATTCAATTGAAAATGGCATTGGCGATAAACAAAACGCTAGTGTACCAGAGCCATTCAGGGAAAAAAAAGAGAAATTCCACATCCAGAGATAAACAGAGGTAAAAAAATGTGAAAGAAAGGAGGCAGGGAAATCATCAACGTGCGGCCTAATCGTTATCATCGAATCAAGAAACCATGGAAATACATCGGGAAAATGAGCAGAGTCATTCAACACAAACATGTCAATAGAATGAACCTATGGAAGCTTCATGACGAGGTGTTCAGGAGGTGCTCAATTGCCCCTTGTACACTGCCACCCGATCGTCGCAATGCTTCAATGTTGCGTTCAAATTCAAAAAAGCCCATGTCGTTCAATTGACGAAGTTGTTCGGCATAACGCTCCTCTGGGGGACGGTTGTCAGGGGGCTGTTGTGACGCGCCAGCACCTCCAAGGCCAAGCATATTTGCCCACGCATTCGCGCCGGCACCACCACCCTCTGCGTTTCCGTTTCCTAGCCCCTGAAGCAGCTGAGCCATCATGGCTGGATCACGGTTCATGAACGGGTTCATGCCGCCGCCCTGTCCACCCAGTCCGGCACCACCAAACATGGCCGGGTTGAACAAAGAGGCGAACGGGTTCTGAGCAGCCTCGGGAGTCTGCCCTTCTCCAGTAGTGCCTCGATCTGTGGACTGGTCGCCCTGATTCTGGGCGTTCGCAGGATCAGTATTGGCCGATGGCTGTGCGAGGGGGTTGGCGAATGGGTTCGCGTTGCCGCCGAAGAGAGCGGCGAAAGGGTTTCCAGCAGGGTTCTGCGCAAACGGATTGGCTGCGGGATTTTGCTGTTGGGGTGGGTTCTCGCCAGCGGTTGTGTTCGTCACGCCGGGAGCGGGGAAGGCGCCGGCGCCGGCGCCACCACCTCCCATATCGCCCATCATCCGCTGCATCTGCATCATCTGACGAATTTGTTGGGGATCCGTCAGCATACGGCGGAATTCGGGACTTTGGAAAATCTGGCGCGCCCCAGGTCCAATATCGCGGAGCATAGGGTTCTGTTGGATCATCATGTCGATCATCGCGGGGTTCTGAAGGGCCTCGTTGAGAGTAGACTGGAATTGAGGGTTTTCGAGCATGTTCAGCATGGTTTCACTGTCGGGAGGAGGTCCCATCTAGATAGGATGTATCGCGTCAGCAAACCTGGAATTGGTTGATGTCTCATAAGGATACTTTTTGAGCCAACCAAGGAGTATGGTCTACTTACCCCACCATCAGGGCCAAAGAGACCAGCCCCGGGAAGCTGGGCAAACCCGGCATATCGAGCTCCAGTCAGCCCCGCGAGGGGGTTGTTACCTGTACCGGCGGCCAAGTTTGTAGGAACACCGGCAGCGGCAGGAGGAGTCGGGGTTCCCGTAGCAGAGGCTGCCCCCGACGTAGATGTAGCTCCAGCATTTGCACGCTGGTTGCTGTTGGCATTGCCAACCAGGTGAATAGTGTGTCCATCCTTAATCTTGTAAGATTCTAGAGTCTCGTTATCCTTCAAGATCCGGCCGGAGTAAATCAGACGTTGACGATCGGCCGGGATGCTCTTGGAGTCATCAGATTTGTCAGACTTGTCTGGCTCGGCCGTTTCGAGTTTCTGCTTCAAGTCTGAAACCAGAGTGGACAGCGGAAGGGTCATCGTGTATTTCTTATCCGTTGAGGTCTTGACGATGAAGGTAATGGGAGCCTCTCCGGCAGTACCAGCGTCGTCGGCCATGGTGAATTGAGTTGTCGGAAGAGAAGTGTGGGGGTGATTGAAGAGGGTTGAGATGACAGAGGGAGAGGGCGAGGGTGCGACTGATCGCCTCTAGGGCGTGGACAGTAAAAAAATGAATAGAAAGATGCGGTGCGAACAGGTGTTTGGAGGCGGATGAAAATTTCCCAGGAGACCTAAAAGGGAGTTCAGAGGTGGTTGGATTGTTGAAAGCAGCTGGCAGTTGGCAGTTGGCAGTCGGAGCTAGTCAACGCTGTTGGTTGCCGACGTAATTCGACCGCTTTCCATATCACGTGAATCAATCACGGGCCACACGGGCCACCACTTGAGCTTTCCCAGTCCCACCAGCACATTTTGCTTCCTCTTTTCTCTTCCCACCAAACCAACCTCCACCCCATCACGCATTTTTGCCAACCTCTGGGGTGTCTTTCTTTCATTAGACCCCAGCAGCGATGGGATTGATGTGACCTGTTGCATAATTTTTACTGCAATTGCCATTGCGCATACTCCCATATTTTCCCTCGCGAGTTTTGCAAGCTTTGCGAGCTTAGCTGTTGCCCACCATGGCCACCACTTCGCATATGTTCATGTACTCTCTGACGATTCAGCCTCCAACTGCAATCACTCAGGCCATCTTGGGTCAATTTTCGGGCACCAAGGAACAGCAAATCGTCACTGCCTCCGGCTCGAAGCTGACAATCCACCGTCCCGACCCGAGCCAGGGAAAGGTCACCCCGATCTTTTCACAAGATGTTTTCGGCATTATTCGCTCATTGGCAGCCTTTCGGTTAGCGGGCAGCAATAAAGGTATGTCTTGCAATTAGCCCATGTTTGCATTTACGAGTTCAACTTAGTGATTCTTCAAGCTTCCCGGGTAGCACGGTCCTGGTTTTCCGAGCCGCCCCCTTGAAGGGTTGAAGCGGACCTGCCCCCCGGCCAGCAACGTTGACGCTGCATATCGTCTTTATGCGAACTGTGCTGAGTATATCTTCATTCAGATTACATTATCATCGGCTCCGACTCCGGGCGTATCACAATCATTGAATATGTTCCTTCTCAGAACCGGTTTAACCGCATCCACTTGGAAACATTTGGAAAGTCGGGCGTTCGGCGGGTTGTCCCGGGTCAATACCTTGCCGTGGATCCCAAGGGACGTGCGTGTCTGATCGCTTCTGTGGAGAAGAACAAGCTGGTCTATGTTCTGAACCGTAACTCCCAAGCGGAACTTACGATCTCCTCTCCTCTCGAGGCCCACAAGCCACAAACGCTGGTTTTCGCCATGATTTCCTTGGATGTGGGTTATGAAAACCCCGTCTTCGCTGCCTTGGAAGTTGATTACTCTGAAGCCGACCAAGATCCCACTGGCCTGGCTTATGAGGAGATTGAAAAGGTTCTCGTCTACTACGAGCTGGATCTTGGATTGAATCATGTCGTCCGAAAGTGGTCCGACCCCGTCGATCGCACAGCGAACATGCTTTTCCAGGTCCCCGGTGGCGCGGACGGCCCAAGCGGAGTCCTGGTGTGCGCTGAAGATAGTGTCACCTATCGTCATTCCAACCAAGATGCTTTCCGAGTGCCTATCCCACGCCGCAGGGGTCCTACTGAAAACCCCGAGCGAAAACGCACCATCGTCTCTGGAGTTATGCACAAAATGAGGGGAGCTTTCTTCTTTCTGCTCCAGACTGATGACGGAGACATGTTCAAGTTGAACCTTGAGATGGTTGAGGATGAGAATGGCCAATTGACCGGGGAGGTGCAAAGATTGAAGATCAAATACTTTGATACCGTCCCCGTCGCTTCAAACCTGCTCATTCTCAAAAGCGGTTTCCTTTATGTGGCCAGCGAGGCTGGTAACCATCATTTCTACCAATTTGAAAAACTTGGCGATGATGATGAGGAAACCGAATTCTCTAGCGATGATTATTCCGCCGATCCATCTGTTCCATATGATCCGATTTTCTTCCAACCCCGGACATACGAGAATCTCAACCTGATGGAAACCATCAACTCCCTCAATCCGTTGATTGACAGTAAGATCACCAATCTTACCGAGGACGATGCTCCACAAATCTACTCGGTCGGCGGCACTGGGGCTCGCAGCACTTTCCGAACTCTCAAGCACGGACTAGAGGTTTCTGAAATCGTTGAATCCGAACTTCGAACAGTCCCATCGGCCGTCTGGACTACTAAACTGACGCGTTCCGACGAATACGATGCCTACATTGTTCTCTCCTTTGCCAACGGGACTCTGGTTTTGGGCATTGGTGAGGTCGTTGAAGAGGTTACAGATACTGGTTTCCTTTCCACTGCGCCGACTCTGGCTGTGCAGCAACTTGGCGAGGATTCGCTCATCCAGGTTCATCCTCGCGGTATTCGCCATCTTCTCGCAGGTGGCCGCGTCAATGAATGGCCCGCTCCTCAGCATCGGTCCATTGTGGCTGCCGCCACCAACGAGCGCCAAGTCGCAGTCGCCCTCAGCTCCGGCGAGATCGTCTACTTCGAAATGGATACCGACGGTACCCTGGCCGAATACGATGAAAGGCGGCAAATGTCTGGCACTGTCACCTGTCTCAGCCTTGGGCAAGTTCCCGAAGGCAGGATGCGAAGCTCGTTCCTGGCTGTTGGCTGCGACGACTCTACAGTGCGTATCCTCAGCCTGGACCCGGATTCTACATTAGAAAACAAGTCCGTTCAGGCTTTGACCTCCGCACCATCCGCTCTGAGTATCATGGCCATGGCCGATTCAAGCTCGGGAGGTACCACCTTGTATCTGCACATCGGTCTTTACTCCGGTGTCTACCTACGAACCGTCCTCGACGAGGTTACTGGAGAGCTATCCGATACCCGTACGCGCTTCCTAGGCGCCAAGCCCGTCAAGCTTTCCCAAGTCTCAGTGAAGGGACAAACCGCAGTTCTAGCCCTTAGCTCCCGCCCCTGGCTTGGTTATTCTGACATCCAAACCAAGAGCTTCATGCTCACTCCCTTGGATTATGTTGGCCTGGAATGGGGTTGGAACTTTTCCAGTGAGCAATGCGTAGAAGGCATGATCGGTATCCAGGGCCGTAATCTCCGGTACGTTTCAACCAACTTTTTCTCTCTTCTTTCCCTCCTCGCCATTTTCTTCCACACTTGATCATATGATGAAACATGGGACCTGAATTTCCATGTCGAAGAACTTTTTTATTTATATTCCAATTGTTCCTACTGAGATCAACATCACCTTCACCGCGTTGAATTTATTTCACTTCGGTTGCGTATCATCGCTGACGAACATGCAGGATCTTCTCGATCGAAAAACTGGATAACAACATGCTCCAAGAATCTATTCCCCCTCGCTTACACACCCCGTCGCTTCGTCAAACATCCCGACCAGCCGCTCTTCTACGTCATCGAGTCCGACAATGGTGTCCTTTCACCAGCTACACGACAAAGTCTCATCCAAGATTCCGAGAGCCGTAATGGGGAAGCTGCCATTCTGCCACCGGAGGAGTTTGGTTACCCTCGCGGAACTGGCCACTGGGCATCTTGCATTCAAATCGTTGATCCCATCTCTACCAAGTCCGTCGTCTTCACACTGGACCTTGAAGACAATGAAGCTGCTGTCAGTGTTGCCGCTGTACCTTTCTCAAGCCAAGACGACGAGACATTCCTAGTTGTGGGCACTTCGAAGGATATGTCTGTCAGCCCACCCTCATCTGGCGGCGGCTTCATCCATATCTACCGGTTCCAGGAGGATGGCCGCGAGCTGGAGTTCATCCATAAGACCAAGGTGGAAGAGCCCCCTCTTGCTCTGCTTGGATTCCAAGGTCGTCTTCTAGCGGGCATTGGCTCCACATTGCGCCTCTACGATCTGGGTATGAAGCAACTTCTCCGAAAGTGCCAGGCACCTGTTGTCCCCAAGACGATCGTGGGTCTTCAGACACAAGGAAGCCGAATTGTGGTCAGTGATGTTCGCGAAAGTGTTACCTTCGTCGTATACAAGTTCCAGGAGAATGTTCTCATTCCCTTCGTGGACGATTCCATCGCTCGTTGGACAACCTCCACTGCCATGGTTGACTATGAAACTGTCGCAGGCGGTGACAAGTTTGGTAACCTGTGGATGATGCGATGCCCTGGAAAGGTTTCCGAGCAGGCCGACGAAGATGGCTCTGGCGCCCACCTTGTCCACGAGCGAGGCTACCTCCAGGGTACCCCCAACCGTCTTGAATTGATGGTTCACTACTATACCCAAGATATCCCCACCAGCCTGCACAAGACGCAGCTCGTTGCAGGTGGACGTGACATCGTCGTCTGGACCGGTTTGCAGGGAACCATCGGCATGTTCGTCCCATTTGCCAGCCGTGAGGATGTGGACTTTTTCCAGAGTTTGGAAATGCAGCTGGCTGCCCAGCACCCCCCCTGGCGGGACGGGACCATCTCATCTATCGTGGATACTATGCGCCTGTAAAGGGGGTCATCGATGGTGATTTGTGCGAAATGTATTTCCTCCTACCTAACGACACGAAGATGATGATTGCGGCGGAACTCGATCGTTCCGTCCGCGAGATCGAGCGAAAGATCTCGGACATGCGGACGAGGGTGGCATATTAATAACATGGGGCAAGTCTGGCGTCTTTTGCTGGCGTTGGTGCTCTCTGGGCTTCAGATACCTAGGTACCTGCTAATCGATATCCAAAGGCGGCTTTGATCGCCTTATTTTCACTTGATTCCATTCTATCCCCTTCCCCCTTAGACTTCCCCAAGTGGATGTCGTCTCTTGCCTCGCTCGGTCTGCCGCTTTTACTCGGCTAATCTTGAGCTGGATGCAGCCCGTCACTTTCAAGTGCGGCTTGTATGAGACAAGAAAAAGTGTGGCAACACACTTCGACGCTCTTTGAGTACGGTTTTATCTGCATTGCACCACGGATATGAGCCGTAATTTATCAGTCGGGACAACCTGTAAATCTTTTAATTGATGTAGTAAAGCACACAATGAGAGTGAATGAATATTGTTTATTGAAATCATATCCTAATCATAGATGAAGACTGAAGTCAAGTCATAGAACCAAAACTACTACAGTGGTGTTGCAAAAGTTTAGAAACTCCTTTCGTCTCCGCCTACTGATCGCGAACAAGTAGCTATCCAAGATGGAATAGGTTGGCCAGTTTACACCATCTTAGGTAGCTACTAGTCTTCCATTAGAAGGCGGTTGATAATGGTGGGCAATAGGAGGTTTCAAACTTTTGTTGCAATAGTCCTGTATGTATCGCGATCACCTGATGCGGTTCGGATATCCTCAGCGGCTTCCCACAACTTTCCAGCACCGACAACGCAACGCACCGACTGCAGCAGACCGATAGCTTGGACCGAAACCCGCACGAATGCAGCAGCATAAATGATTTTTCTCCCCTGAACCCGCTGCAAAACCGGCAGGAATATCCACTCGGCATGCAATGTGCTCGGCTAAGGTCGGAAATATCTGGAGCCTCCCGAGAGACAACAGGCCGGCTACCGTCGTTGCCCTTTTTTCTCCTCGGGAAATGGGTCTTTCGATGGTGTCATTTTCCGTGGATCGAGAAATCAACGCCTGACTTCATTTTTATGAGGTGGCCTTCAATTTTGCGAACACTGGAAACTCAGATTTGGTTTGAAATTCCCCAGCAATTGTCAGCAGGACGGTTCACCCCCGCGCGGTCATGATTGGCCTATTCTCGAGCAACACGACGTCTGAGGGTCTGAGCAGCTCCGATCGGAGACTCGTGAGTGGGTCACCACGGTTGTTCTTCCTCAAAGTGGATCCACGAAGGGCGTGCTTGTCGGCATAAGGCGTGGTCCACCGACTGTTCCAGCCTGGTTCGACCCACTGGTCTTGCTGAGCTTGATACTCGTACTCTTGCCTCAAATTTTGATGCTCCGGCGTCGCAATGAGGTTTCACAAGCCCATACAACAGGGGAACGATCAAGATGGATAGGGGATCCCACCGACGAATCAATCGGAATGGAGAGAATCGTGTTGCAAATTATCTTATTGGCTCCGATCTGCTCGACAAGGGCGTCGGCAAGGTCCTTTGACGCCAAACGGAATGTCAATCCAAGGGCGCGAGCATGGAGCGAAGGAAGGGCGCAGCCCACCAATCATCCAATCACCTTCTCCATTTCCCCCTCCCCGGACGCCTTTGTTCGTATGGATTGGCATTGGCTTGCTGCTAGCTCTTGACTTTCCTTTAGAGTATAATGCAGTTGCTGGTTCACACGTGTGTCAACGTCACCCGTCTTTCAATCGATTTCCAAAGTCGATGACTCACAAACATGGCATAGAGAGATTGCGAGATGGATTTGTAAACATGATCTTTCAAGGATCATCATCATCATCTGGTGCATTTTCCTTTTCTATAAAACGGGGGCGGCCCTCCACTTCATTATGGGGTACCACATACACTTCGCGGTTGTTCACGGTCCACGGCTCCACTTTCTACATAACTACTGTACTTTTTTTTCTCTTCTCTCCTAACAGTCTGGTTTAAAATAAAGCAGACAAAGCCGGGGGTTTATTTAATTCTCCCCAAACTCAAAACCATCCACCTGCACATTCCTGACAAGGGTCCAGGGTCTTGTGTACTCAACTTTCCTCTTCTCCCCCTCTTTCCCTTTCTTTCTTCCCCTCTCAACTCTCAACTCTCAACTGCTATTCGCGCCAATATTAGCTCCCACTCACCATGGTCGCGACTTCGGTTATTAGCCGGGGCTCGGAGACATTTGATGTCTTCACCCGGCGTTCGCAGCCAAAAATCGAAATCGACCTTGTTGGTCAGACACCTGGTCTTGTGAGCTCGTATACGACTGGCGATCACATTGAGGGGACTGTCACTGTTACCGTGGAGCATGAAACTCGTTTTGATGAAGTGGAAATTGCCTTTCAAGGTCGGTTATATTGAAATAAATCAACCCATGTAAATGCGCCAGCCACTCATTCCGATATAGGTTCATCACGAACTACAGTCGAACGGGCCGCCTGCCCTGGTCGAACCGGCTCTCAGCACATGTTTCTGAAACTTCGCCAGCCTATCGACGATACCGAATATCCAGCCCCACGAGTCTTTGAGCCTGGTCGCAAATATACCTTCCCCTTCCAATTCATTATCCCGGAACAACTTCTACCGCAAGTATGCTCCCACAGGCGCGTGAACAACGCCATTCATCGATCACACACCATGGTTCCACCGACCCTAGGAGACCCAATGCTCGCTGGAAATGGAAAGAATTTGCTTGATGATATGGCTCCTGATATGAGCGTCATCTCCTATATTATCCGCGCGGGTGTGCTCAAGAGATCATCTGCAGACCAACGCCAGGTGAAGGCCTTGGCCAACTTCGCCAAAAAGGTTCGCATCATTCCAACGGTGGAGGAAGAGCCCCCTATCGAGATCGCCGACCACCCTTACTACTGCACACGGAAAGAGAAGAGTGTGAAGCGGGGGTTTTTACGAGGCAGGCTGGGCCGTATGGTTGCTTCTTCCGCACAACCAAAGGCGATTCGTCTTCTCCCCCACAGTTGTGAGACGCGCGATACTGTCAACACCGTCGCCACTATTAATTTGCGATTTGACCCTGTGGGAAATGAGCAACCACCTAAGCTGGGATCATTGACCAGTAAACTCAAGGCCAGCACGTTCTACAGTGCAAGCCCCTGGGAGGATTATCCCTTCCAATCAGACAATATGCCTTTCTCACAGGTTGGCCAAGGTCTATTCAACGATTCCATTCCGCTCTCTACCATGTGTGTCGGATCTGCAAAGTGGCAGAAACATTCAACAACTGGCTGCGAGCGTCGTGACTCGACAGAGTCCACGTGCTCCGAGTCCTCTACCGGGCCATCTACCGAATTCACTGGCGGCACATACTATACCGCATCACTGGTTATCCCAGTCAATCTTCCAAAATCGAAGACCTTTGTCCCGACTTTTCACTCATGTCTCATGTCCCGCACTTACTCCTTGGATCTCTCCCTCTCCTATCACACCCCAGGTACAAACGTCCTCACCCCGACAATCTCTCTCCGTGTCCCGATTCAAATCACAACCGAGTCCAAGAATGGCGGCTCCATCAAATCAGAGCTTGGCGTCGTTGTGACTCAGGCGGAACTGGATGAGTTTTTCTCTCCACGTTCTGTGGCCCCAGCTATGAATGAAACTGTCATTGACGTGAACTTGGCTCCTCCCGAGTATTCGGACACAATCGCCCCAAGGAGTGTTCGTGCGTGAGGAACACCTCTGTGACATCTGATGAGATTGATATCTCCTTTCGGGTCTCTTCAAATGAATATATGCATGGCCTTCAAAAACTTGCTTTCTTTGCTTTTGCTTTGATTCTGATTTTCTTTTTTACTTCTCTTTCTTTTGTCGAGAGCGCTGATTGAGTTGAGCCTTTTACACTTGTGATACCCACATATTCACTGCAGTCATCATCGAGCGTTTTGAAAAGAATTTGGTTAACTTTCAGCTCTTATCTTGTTTATTGATACTAATGTATACTTTGATGATCCTCATATTTTAGTTCGTTTGTCTAGATTATAAATTTTAATAGCTTTATATTAATGAAGTTGTGAGGATGCTCAGATTCTCACACAGATCAACGTACGGCGTAGCGTACGAAGCAAAGGAAACAGTAGCTGTTCGACGAAAGTAATTAGTTTGAGGAGAAGGAGGAAGCTGAGATAGAACTTAAGTACATGTAGGCGTGGATGCCTAAGTGGATGCCATCTACGTCAGGCATCCGCGAATGGTAACAACCCCAGTTCGTTACAGAAGTGAAAGATCGCGAAAATAGTCTACAGTCTTGAAATAAGAAGATTTGCTATCTCCAAACCTCGGAAGACACTTTTCAATGAGTGGGAACTAAAATCAAGCAACCCGATATCTAGCAAGAACACGGTCGAGATCACGCCATGAAAAGCAAAGATACAACCGGGGGCACACAATAAAAGTGTATTTCAATTCTTGTACTACAAGAAAACGAGTCAAGTTGATATTCGATTCACACCTGGGCATCTTTTCATATTGAGCCCAACCCCTACATATGCATCCATGTGGAGATAATAAAGGCAAATCGGATCCCTTTCGACTTAAAAGCAAGCTTTATAGGTCAGATTTAGTACAGTACAAATAGGATTTTGTACACAAAAGCTAAATACTTACTTGTGGTTGTACAAATGTAACAACAAGGCTAGGAAGATGGAAGTGATGGCCTACTTTCTTGTTTGACAGCTCTAAGTTTGAAGTTCAAACACCACGAGCCCCGGAAGTCTTATAAGAGCCCCCCTAGTGTACATCGAGGATGAATTTTTGGCGTTTAATTGCCAACACATCTGTGCTAAGGTAGCCAGACCTGAATTAAAAACGGACCGGGAACCCTTTGAGCGAGGTCAAGAATAATTCACGAGATGAAATCCTTTCGGTGTCTTAACTTTGCAGTTCTTTCTTCTATAGCAGCTAGCCTAGTGCCAGATGCAGCTGATAATTGCGTCGAGATTGGTAACTGCTATGACAATGACTGCAATGGCAACCCAACGACTCTCGTATGCACATCGGTGGGTTCCCCATTGCATCTGTTA